TATGTGACATGGTTCACGTGATTCGAGCAGGACTCGAGGTTTATTATATCTACCAGTGTAGGCTCTGAAACTCGATCCTGTTACTCTTCACATGGGATAGAGCTCTTGGATTTACTGCATTCTACCTACCGTTTGTGGAACTGGCAGGAATATCAGTCTACACCACCTGGTCAAGGTATATTTGCAGGGTAGCTATGTAGCTGTGAACAGTGGAGTTGGTGATAAAGCTCCAGGGTCTGCCATAAGTAGTCATCTTTGTCCGCTGCCTGCATTGTCATTAGCCTCAATATTCCTATTTGTTGATCACGCTTTTCGCTACGGAGTACACTTTAGATAGTGGATACACAACATCCCTTACGTAATATAGACACCCTTGGCTTGATAAAAAAATATCAGTCAAAAAAAAAAATTAGAAAAATTATAGATTTGTCTTCTTGAATATGGATCTCTTTGGGGCCTTTGAAAATCCAGATCTGGAAAACGTTGTTCCAGAAGAAGTCCCAAAACTTGAAGATCCAAAAGGTATCAAACGATCCAACTCAGAATCCAAGAACGGCTCGGAGAAAAAACCGAAGGTTGAAAAAAAGGAACAAGAGGAAAATGGCGAAAAAGTGGTCCCTATCGTGGCCGACACGTTAGAAATCGAGGCTTCTCGAGAGGTCGATGCCTCCAGTGGGCTGCTCGCATCTACAGACACAGACACCTCGAAAGTCAAGTTACGACACCAGGTGCGACACCAGGTTGCAGTGCCACCAGGATACGACTACGTTCCCATCGGGCAGCACAAACGCAAAACTGAGGCTCGTACATATCCGTTCACGCTTGATCCCTTCCAAGACACATCCATTTCTTGTATAGATCGTCAGGAATCTGTCCTCGTCAGTGCTCACACTTCTGCTGGTAAGACTGTGGTTGCAGAATACGCTATTGCCCAATCGCTGAGAGACAAGCAACGTGTGATATATACGTCTCCAATCAAAGCGTTGAGTAACCAGAAGTACCGTGAGCTACAAGCTGATTTTGGTGATGTTGGACTGATGACTGGAGATGTGACGATCAATCCTGACGCCGGATGTTTGGTGATGACAACTGAAATTTTGAGATCCATGCTTTATAGAGGATCTGAGATTATGAGGGAAGTTGCCTGGGTTATTTTCGATGAGGTTCACTACATGCGTGACAAGAGCAGAGGTGTCGTTTGGGAAGAGACCATCATTCTGCTCCCCGACAATGTCCATCACGTGTTCTTGTCTGCTACCATTCCAAATGCGATGGAGTTTGCCGAATGGATTTGTAAGGTTCATAACCAGCCTTGTCACGTTGTCTACACTGATTTCCGTCCAACTCCATTGCAGCATTACCTTTTCCCTGCTGAAGGGGAGGGAATACATTTGGTCGTCGATGAGAAGGGAACTTTCAGAGAGGAGAACTTCCAGAAGGCCATGGCATCAATCTCGAACAAAATGGGAGACGATCCCGGAGCTATTGAGACCAAGGGCGGCAAGTCCTGGAAAGGAGGTGTCAAGGAAGGAAAGTCTGACATTTACAAGATTGTCAAGATGATTTGGATGAAAAAGTACAACCCTGTCATTGTTTTCTCATTCAGCAAGCGTGACTGTGAGTCTCTTGCCATGAAGATGTCCAAGCTCGACTTCAATACTGATGAGGAGCGCGAGATGCTCACCAAGATCTTCAACAATGCAATCAGTATTTTGTCCGACGACGACAAAGAGCTACCTCAGATAAAGCATATCTTGCCATTATTGCGTCGTGGTATTGGCATCCACCATTCTGGACTGCTCCCAATCTTGAAGGAAATCATTGAGATTTTGTTTCAGGAGGGATTCCTGAAAGTTTTGTTTGCGACGGAGACTTTCTCTATTGGATTGAATATGCCAGCCAAGACTGTGGTGTTCACATCAGTGCGTAAATGGGACGGAAATGGGTTCAGATGGGTTTCTGGAGGAGAGTATATTCAGATGTCTGGACGTGCTGGTCGTCGTGGTTTGGATGACCGTGGTATTGTGATTATGATGATCGACGAGAAAATGGAGCCTCAGGTCGCCAAGGGGATGGTGAAGGGTGTTGCTGATAGACTGGACTCTGCATTTCACTTGGGTTACAACATGATTTTGAACCTGATGCGCGTGGAAGGTATTTCGCCAGAGTTTATGCTGGGCAGCTCCTTTTTCCAATTTCAGAATTCGATTTCCGAGCCAGAGCTGAAGAAACAACTTGCCAATTACGAACAAGAGTTGGACTCGATTGTGATAGACGACATGGAGAATATCAAGGAATATTACGAGCTGCAGAAACAGCTGGACCAATATAACGAAGATGTGCGCAAGATTGTCACTCATCCGGGAAACATTTTGCCTCACCTGAAGGGGGGTCGTTTAGTGGAGGTGAGCATCAATGGAATGGACTATGGTTGGGCGATTGTGGTTGACTTTTCGAAGCGCAACAACAAGCGCAACCAGGCGCAATACAGCGACCATGAGTCATATGTTGTGAACGTGTTTGTGAACACCATGTTTGTGGACTCTCCAGTGAACCTAATCAAGCCTTTCCAGGTGCAACTGGTTGAGGGAATCCGTCCAGCAAAAGAAGGAGAGGAGACGAGGAGCGAGGTGATCCCTATCACGTTGGATTCCATCAAAAAAATAAGCAGCTGCCGCTCCATCTTGCCGCAGGACATGAAGAATAACCAGGCACGCAAGACGCTGCGCAAGGCGTTGAAAGAGATTGTCAAGAGACACCCAGATGGGCTTCCTATTTTAGACCCTGTCGCCAAAATGCATATTAAGGATGAGGAGTTCAAGGTTTTGCTACGGAAAATCGATATTCTGGAAAGCAAACTACACTCCAACCCGCTTGCACAGTCGGCAAGACTCAAGGAGCTGTACGACCAATACTCGCATCGGATGAGTATTGTGGAGAAGATTAACGAGACAAAAACGAAGATCAGTGAAGTGCAGTCCCTCATTCAGATGGACGACTTGAAACACCGCAAGAGAGTGCTTAGACGGCTTGGGTTCACGACTCAGGATGACATTGTTGAGATGAAGGGCCGTGTTGCATGCGAGATCAGCACGGGGGACGAATTGCTGCTGACCGAGTTAATATTCAATGGAACCTTCAATGAGTTGGATCCATCACAGTGTGCAGCCCTATTATCGTGCTTCGTGTTTCAAGAACGCACCAAAGTGACTCCCAGGCTTAAACCCGAGCTTGCTGAGCCTCTCAAGGCGCTGAAGGAGATGGCTTCGAAGATTGCAAAAGTTTGCAGAGAGTGCAAGCTGGAGATTGTTGAGAAGGATTACGTTGAATCGTTTAAGCCAGATTTGATGGAGGTGGTTTATGCTTGGTGTCAGGGCGCCTCGTTCACGCAGATTTGTATCATGACCGACGTTTACGAAGGTTCACTGATCAGAAGTTTCAGGCGTCTGGAAGAGCTGATCAAGCAATTGGTGGACGCTGCCAGAACCATCGGAAACGTTGCCTTGGAGGAAAAGCTGACCAAGTCGGCTGAGCTGATCCACAGGGACATTGTTTCTGCTGCATCGTTGTATTTGTAGATAATTAAATTTAAGCTGCCATATCCATGATATCGACTTGGGCCTCCGTATGGCCCTTCATTCGAGCAAGCTCTTGCTCTATTTTTTCCTTCCACACGTCCACGTTACGGTTGTACAGTTGTTCCAAAATCGCCATTTTCAGCTTCCAGATCTCTGGGTTGTTGATGTTTTTATACTCGTCCAGCAGTCTATTCATGACAGAAGGCCATCGGATCAGCTGAGCCACCGTATGATCGTACAAGGATAGGGCTCTGACAAGCTCCAAGAACGAGCTTGTTGACAGGTTGAGGATCTTGGAAGGCGGGATGTCCAGTTTCGAGAAAATTTCCTGCTTGCTGACCAAGTTTTCAAATATCTGTACTGTGGTTGCAGTGAGAGGGAGAGTCTCGAGAAACTGTGTTTTTGAGGCCAACAATCGCGGATCAATATTTGAAAGAAGAAATACGGAGGGCTCGTCGCTGTGCGATGTTGCGTGGTCTATAATCTTATACTGGCGGTCGAACTCGGCAAACTTGGAGGCATCGAGTCTGCTTAGATTGGCAAGAAAAACCACCGGCTCAAGACTGAACAGCGTCTTGATCTCGGGTACAAACGTATCATCCACGTACAGACGACAGATGTACCCGATTTGCTCGTCCAATTTGTCCAGCAAGTCTATTTTGTCGAACCTAATAGTGTCTAGCAATTTGTTGTAAAATGAAACCACATACGCATTGAGCAGCACGTCGTTGCTTTGAGAAAATTCGCTTTCTGGCATCAGATATAAATCATCGGGAAGGTCCTTCATAACAGGAAGAAGCTCAGAACACAGATCGAAACAGCGCGAAAACACTTGTGGATCGGCCCTGATTTTTCTAAGCAAGTCTAGACACTCTTTGGAAAGCAGACGACGTTGCACGAGCTCGCCCTTCGCCAGTACCACCAGGCTTCTTTCAATTGCACCGACCGTTCCTATGGTAGTTGCTGGGTCTGCCAGCAGGTTCAGCATGATCGAAATGAATGGCGTGTTGGCCACCAAATCTGGGGGAGTCGCCCTTGCCACGATATCGATGATGAGTATTTTTAGATTTTCGTTGTGGCCCTGTAGACCCGAAATGAGCATCTCAAGCGAGAATTCCTGTACAATTGTGTCGAAGTGGTAGTGATTGATGACTTCATTGAACAAGTCGATAGCATGATTTTTCCAGTCGGCACTTGTATTGTTCGAGCTGACTATCCGTATCACCTGTGATCCAAAGGCCCGAAGGATCTCTGTGGACTCATAGTAGCTCGCGTCTTTCAGCTTCAATTTGGCTTGTTCAAACAGCTTGTGATCCACAGGCTCAGACTCTGCAGTGTCCAAATGTTGGAGGATCTGCTCGATGGCTGACATGGGGTAAAGTATGTGTATAGAGAATTAATTTTTATTGTTATTAATTATTTATGATCCCAGAGGAAGTTATATTACAAGATCCTCAATTCAAAGAATCGCGGCTGGAATCCTTGTATTCGAACTTTAACCATCTGAAGGAGAACCCAGAGGGACTTGAAGCGAACGTGACAGCGTGGAAGACGCTCCTGCTGGATGCGAAAAATAAATGTCCAGATCAGTTTAGAGATAAAGTTGCCTTTGACTCTGATAGTTTGGTGGACCAGTTTTCGCTACCCTCAAAAGGCCTGGTGCCCAAAGGTTTAAACAAGGTCATAGACCAACTAGTACAGGAGAGAGTACTAGTGCCGTACTCGCAGTATCAGCAGGACAAAGGTTTGCTAGGACGTGTGGTGGGGTGGGTATTTGGCCCGCGCTACCAGAGCGGCAATGACGATTCAGGACAGCTCAGGAAAGGCGAGCATTTTGTGATAAGCTCGGAGCTCTCCAGATGGAGTCGCGAGTTAGGGTCGTATTTGAGCAACAACTCTCCACTGGTGAAAGACCATCTGCTTGATCTGGCATCCAAGGATTTGGGTCTCTCGCGATTTGATATTGAGTGTTGTCTAATTTGTCTTGAGAGGGAACGAAAGGTGGCAGTAGAAGGCCCCGTCGTGCGCTTTTTGGACGAGACACAGCAAGAAGTGCAGCTCTCTCCCGAGCAAGTGGAATCGATTGCAACTCTGAAATATTCTATTTACAAAATGACCAAGTACAATGACGAGACAGAGAAGAAAGTCCATGAATTGGAGGCACGTGTGCGCGAATACGTGAAGAAGAATCAAATGATCAGGGCCAAATCTGAGCTCAAAATCCAGAAAGCTTTGTCGGCAAAGCTGCAAAAATCCACTCAGGGACTCGAGAATTTGGTCCTGCTGTTGTACAAAATCGAGGAGAACAATAACAACATGCTGGTGGTGAAGACTCTAGAGTCCAACTCGAAAATCCTAAAGAGTATGAACGAACAGGTTGGAGACATCGCCTCGGTCGTGCAAGAGGTTCGCGAGGAGTGGGGCAAAATGGACGAACTGAGCGAGCATCTTGGCGCCATTGCTGCGGACGACAGTTCGATCGACGAAGAGCTGGAGCTGCTCGAGAAAGAGGAGAGAGAGAAGTCAGAAAAGGAAGAAGAGAAGTCAGCAGAAACGGAGCCACACAAGGCGCACGAAGAGCCGGCAGCTGCGGATGGCGCCGAAGCCGAGTCGGAGCTTCTGGAGCGGTTCAACAAACTGAAGCTGCCTTCCAAAGCCACAGAGGAGAAAGAGCTGGAGAATCCATTACCTGCATGATCTATAAAATGACGACTCCGTTGAGGGGCAAGATGTATTGTCGAAGCTTGATGCCTGCCTCCTGGAATACCTTGGAGCTCAGCTCATCCATGGAATAGCTCTGGGAATAAACCACTTCTTCAATGCCGCTCTGAACAATTTTTATAGAGCATGTGAGACATGGACAGGTATTGCAGTACAGTACAGCGCTTTTTCCTATTCTGTCTCTACCTGCCTCCAAGATGGCATTCTCTTCCGCGTGCAGACACAAACATGTCGACAAGCTGACTCCACATGAATCTCCCGCATTACATCTTGGACAGCCCCCCTGATTGCAGTTCTTGACGTTACGTGGAGTGCCGTTGTAACCTGTTGCCAGAATCCTGCTATCTCTGACTAGCACACAGCCGACTCTGCGTTTCATGCAATTAGATCTCAGCGCAGCTAGATCTGCCAGTCTCATGAAATATGCGTCCCAGGAGGGTCTGAGCCGTTCCTGGTTCAGAAGATTCAGACTCCGAAGTCTATCGTGGAACTCCTCAACCGTGTGCCCATCATTGATGATGCGTATTTCCGACTGGTCAAGGATCCGCAACATCTCGCCATTGTTACCAAATTTATATTCGTCTGATCGCAGTGCAAATTGTTCCAAGGTGATGTTCGCGTCCGTTTTTCGAAGTCTTTTGAATCGGTTGGTTAGTGACGCGTCTATAGCCACATGGAGAAAAAAGGGCCGTTTTAAGAGCGCTTGGAGAAACTCGTTGTTTGTAATGCATGTGAGGACAAATTTACCGTACCAGTTCTTCGTCACAAAGTCTATCAATTCTGATTCCTTGTCGAATCTTTTGAATATTTGAAGATGGGTTTCAGCCGGCGTTCCGTCCACCGTAATATACTTAAACCCATATTCATTAACAAGAAATGCCGCCACTTCTGATTTGCCCGAATATAATGTGCCTGTGATGCCAATTAACATTAGCTTTTTTCATGTAGCGCAGTGAATAATTTTCCCCAGGAAGTCCCGCTAAAGCACTTTACGTAATCCGAGAACGAGGATAAGGTTCTCGATAGCCAAATGAAGAACAACAAGCGCGCGCACTTTGAGCACATTATGCTGTGTCATTATCTTATTTGCATAGGGCTTGCTAGAAGCTCCAAACGATAGACACAAATTTTGGTAACGGAAGAACTCGGAGCAGCCGGCATCCAGCTTTTCTGGATTAAGAGTTGTTTTCTTCTATTTATTTTATTTATTTATGCTAGACGATTTGGTTTTGTCCCGCTGTCAGGGCGCCTCCGGCAATTTAATTAGCTGGTCGACAGACGGGTACATTTCACTGCCCTTCCGCAAAGAGCTCTTTATTTTACGGCCCAAAAGCTCAGAAGATATCTCTGAAATATCGGATGTTTTCAGTTTGACAAGATTAGGGGGTTCGATATCTGAACTGCCAAATGCCCTTGATGAGGTTGTTTGCACGGATGAGGAGATATGTGTGGGTCAATTGCAAGATTCAGCAACCACCAGCGTGGTAGAAGCACGCTGGTCCGCCTCAGGGGTGGGAGAAAATAAGCAGTGTGTATTGAGTCTTGTCACAGATACCGGGAACGCGTTCATATTAGAGCAGGATGGATTGAACAACTGGGAAGTGCGCCACAACGTGATAGACGCTTTGAAAAAGGATGAAAAAATTGATTTGCAGCGCATTGTTAAGTACTCACAACTGAGACGGCTTCGAGTGAAGTCAATTGGCTGGTTTCACCATCTGCATAGTTCGTTACTTAAGGCGCCAGTGTGGCCACTGGAAGTCTCGTCCACTTTTGTTTTATGTACGGAGCACAACAGCGCATGGCTTTACCGTATGGGCGCTTCCCTCTCGCGGTTGCTTGAGATACAGCTGCCAGCTACCAAAGTACGAAAATGTGAGGTTTCCGACTGGACGAGAAACGGAGACTCGTTCGAGGCGTTTGTGGTTTTCGAACTGGTCACAAACGAGCTGCTAGCGCAGAAGATAGAGTACAACAAGGAATTTGTCGCAAAAGAACAGTTCAGCATCCGTCCTCCATCTCCAATCCTTGTTTCGCAGTTCGCTCTCTCCACATTCGATGGCCGTTCCTACTGTACCATAACGTCAGATATTTTGCAATGTGTTCAGCTTTCCACAGGCAAGACGCTCTCGCACCCGCTTTCTTCTGTCGTGTCGATATCTTCAATTATCCAGAAAGAGAATTTCCTAGTTCTCTCAAACGGCCATAAAGATTTGATTTTCGGGACTGTGGATTGGAACACCAACAAAATTATCTTATATGAGCACGATTACCGCCGCTCTATTCAATATGACCACCCGCTTGCCGCCAAATTGAACGAGCTCAATAAAGTTCGGCCGTTTCGTATTATGGCACTGTCTTACAACCCCACCAAAGACTTTATTGCTCTGATCCACGCGCAGCGGTCGCAAAACGCAATAGACTCTAGAAACATTTCGCTCAAGGAAGACTATTCTTTGGCAATCGTTCCTGTGAGCAAGCCTGCCACTCTACAGCTCTCTAGTATCAACTACAGTCCGCCGTACATTGAGCAACTGTGCGACTTGTGGCCTCATGATAACCTCAAGAGCCTCAAAATCGAGACCCCGTCAGCACCAAAGCTACCCTCCGATCTGAAGCTCGCGCTGTCTGAGCTGTACCTATCCGAACAGATACAGGGCTTGCGACTGGCAAATCTCCTGCAAGCGCATTCTTTCGACCCGGTTCTACTAAGGATTCTTGCTCGTGCCGTCGTCAACCATGTCTCTGCACACCACCCGCAGCTGGACGATTGCGACACGCTTCTGTACAATAACTATCTACAATTTCTTGGTCAGCCTCCCCTGACATCGAAGAAGACCGTTACCCTCAGCATCCCAGGACTCAATGCGACCGAGACGTTCGCGCTGGATGCACCATTTGACCCCGACGCCATAACCTCAGAGCAGAGCCATACCTGGCTACGCTGCTCAGCTACGTTGCTTCCGCTGTTCACGACAAAACTGCTGGTGTGCGAAACTTCTGGAAAACGGGTCATCTCACCAGCATCTCCTCATTTGGGGCCGCTGACCAAACAGGTTCTGGAAGGACTACAGATTTGCTTTTTCAGTGGGGGGAGATGGATAAGAAGGTGAAAAATCTCTGAAAAAAATTATAGAACATTATAGATCTTAATTAGTTCGATGCCCTCGCCCGTGTTCTTTTCGCACCCGCCTCCGGGGTTTTCGATTCTCTCCATCCTGCGAGGTATCCAGTTGTCGTTGATTGGCTCCTACCGGGCACTTCTGAACCCAAACTTGCTGAACACCAAGTACTACTCAAAAGCTCTTAACATAATAAAATGGTCAATAATACTCCATGTGATAATGAATATCCCGCTGATTGCAGCTACTATCTTCCTCCGATTTCTGGAACTTTTCCTGCTCTCGCACGAGACTGTGGCTTCAGTGCTGGACAAGCTCAAGTTTTTCCAGATGCATCTTCTCAACATCAACCCGTTCCTAATCATGTCGTTCAGATTCTTCACTAACGACTTGGACGATGTGTATTTTGAGTCCCTGCGGTTTGCAGACAGAGTGTACGCTCAAAAACATCCAGACAAACCGAAAACGTACGCAGCCAACTTGGAACATTGCGAAAAGTATATGAAGACAGTTGCTCCCGACCCCAGACCGCAAACGCCCTCGTATCTGTTGCAGCAGATCAACTCGCTGAAACCAGAATTCTTCGACAGTACCTGGCTGCCCAAGATGACAAACTTCAACGGGTTCGCTGAATTCGCCGTGTCCTACATCTACAACACTGGGCTATCTATAGTATTTTTCTTCCTAGCCAAGACGCCCTACGTTGGCGCTCTTGTGTTCCCGGTGGCCACATTTAAGAACCTCAACAGGTCCATAGGAACGTTCTACGCACTCTTGATAGTGTTTATTACGTTTCTTCTACCGGAAACATACTCTCTGTTCCTGCTGAACACCATCTTCGGCTCGAAACAGCTCATGATGCTTCTGCTGAGACCCTATTTCAAGTGCTTGCCCCTCAATTCTCAGCAGCGCGAGCTGTGGTACCTCTCGAGAATAGGATGTCTTTATGGGTTCAGTCTTATGTTCTATCTGTTGCTGAGACTGCCTATCATCGGCCTGCTGGTTTACGGCGTGGCAGAGGCAGCCACAGGCCATCTCACCACCAAAATCAGCGATCCGCCTCCAAAGGTCACAGGCCCTCTTCTACAGCAATGGGCACAGGAACAGTGCTTGTGGAACAAAGAGTACTATGACGAGATCAACGATATCATGGGCGATATCGAACCCACCATTCCTGGAACATTCAAAGAACGCACCGAATGATAGACTATGACACATTTTCTTCCTGACGTAGACGTCTCACCACCTCTGGACTGTTGGTGTTGGCGAAGCTCGAGACCTGGTAGCCTTTTCCACCAAAGATGCTCAGCAACAGCGGCAGCAGCACCAGGGAGTGTAGCGATGCTAGCACGATCAGGCTGAACCACATGCGGAAATAGTAGATCTGGAATATTTTGGACCGTGTGAAGCCTAGGACAACAATCCCGATCAGTTTCGTCAGCGTGATTCCGCTCAGAGTCGACCCCCCAATAAAGATCAAAGCGTTGTACGCTCTCGAGAAAGGGTCTGACTTGGCATCGTCCTCGGTAAAATTGAACGCCTTGACCAGGTGGATGGAGAACTCCACGGACAGGCCCAGACAGATCAGAATATTGACGAGCGAAACGGCGTTCAACGAGATGCCACCTAGAGTCATTGCTCCGCCAATGTTGACAAGGATTGAGACAATGTTCACCACAAGAATTGTCGAGTTTCGGAACGAGCCAAGGAGGAACGAACTGGTCACGTAGACGAGAATCAGCGCCGAGAGAAGTAGTCTGAACGTCAGTGAGACGATCGTCTCATACTGCGTAAAGAAAATGTAGAACGGCGAGTATGCAAAGATGTCTAGATCCATGCGGGCTTTAATTTCCTTGACGATGCGTAGGGACTGGTGATATGCGCTGATAAAGTCATCTTGCGACCTCAGCGGCACGTGCGACGTGCGGAAGGCGGACCGCACAATCGCGCCATTTTTGTCCTGCAAAATTGAGCTGGAATATGGAGCTTTTCCTCCGAGGGGACACGGGTCAGAAGGCGACTCAATCCACTGATTGAAGAATTTTATAAAGGTTTCGTTCTCAGGAAACCCTTCCATCTTGAAACTCCACTCTTTGTCCTCGTAGCACACCGCACATTGTCTGGAGGGTATGTTCGGGGTACAAAACTCAGACTTGTTCGATTTCTTCAACCGACAGCAGTCTGTGAGATCAGGGTTGAGCCAGAGCAGAAAGTCATCTATCCAGCTAGTAACAGGGTCGCTAACGGTGCTCAGCTCCCCGCGTTTGTACTCCTGTTCCATCACGTTCACCAAAGAGTACTCGTCGCAAGTGGTGAATCTTCCGCAAAGCTTTTGCTGATTTTCCAGCTTTGTGACGTCCAGCGAGGACACAACCATGTATATTGGAGGCCCCACTTCAAGATAATTGTAGACAGCGTTGAAATAGTCAATCAGATAGGAGTCGGACGGGATGGCTATGCGCTGATCGAATCCTAGCTCAATTCCTGGCAGTAGCGACAGAGACACGCCGAGCAGCAGGGCGAAAAAGGCCAGACACCATTTAACCACCCTGCGGTCAAACAACAACGGAGCATAGTAGTTGCGCACAAACTTGTTGAAGATGTTGTCGTTCGAGTATTCGAGCAGCTGCGATAGGCCCTCCTGGTTGTCCGGAGTGTCCTCAGGCAGCGAGACCGGATGGTAATTGCCGTCCAGCTTGATGAACGGCAGACAATCTAGACGCAAGTCTTCAACGCGTTGCTGGTCGAGTGAGAGCACAGAAACGAACGCAGTAAGCTGCAGCGCCGAGTTGAGCACGACAGCGAGAGCGCAGTACAGCGCAAAGTTCTTCACGGCAGGCATCCCGACGGAACTGGCAAGAAGGAAGCAGATGAACTGGCACGAGGTGCTGAGGACGATGCTGGGCCCGATTTTGGCCATTGTCTTGGATATGCGCACATGGATGTCGTCGTTGTTGTAGTTGAGATGGTTGCAGTTGTGGAGCTCGTTGGCAATGAGGAAGATATTGTCGACGCCAATGGCCAGCACAAGGAACGGAATGACCTCTGCAATGATGAGCGTCGATTTGAGGCCGAACAAACTCCAGAATCCCGCCGATGCGACCACCGAAAGCAGTACAATAAAGATACCCACGAGACCAAGGCCAAAACGAGTGCGGATCAGAAATGCAAGCGGCGAGCCAGACTCAACTTTCATCTGGTGCTTCTGGCCGCCGCTGCCCAGAGCGATCGACGCGTATGCAAACATCACCAGATACGAGATGACGACAATGCGGATGTCACTGTTGGTGGACTTGTTGAGTTCCTTTTCAAGAGAGAGCTCGGTACTGAAGCTGATTTCAAGTCCATGATCACGTGCCTCGACCTGCAACTCGGTCAGAAACTTTTCAAGCACGGCTTCCCATGCCAAGGAGTTCCTGATTTGAGGATCGTGCGGATCGTTGTTGTTGTTGAGCAGCAGCGTGACCACCAGCGCCTTGGCGGACAACACCGAGTCGCTGAAGCCACCAAACACAAGCTGCGGCTTGAGTGGCTGGCCGAACGACGGTAGACAGTTGACAGGCGAGTTTGCGCAGTCCTGGATCTTGCTCTGCCACGAGCTCTCGGGCAGCTGGCCGATGTCGCCGTAGAAGTACTGTGTGAAGGACTCCAGCGCGCACGTCTCGCCCAGGGGCTTGAAACACAGGTCGTCGTACGCGACAGTCGTGTTATCGACCTGGACTGTCAAAGCAGCGATTTCCTGCTCTTTTGCAAACCACCATTCGATGGCTCGGTAGTCCTGGAGCACAGAGTCGCCGGTACGATTGGCAAGAATGATTTGCTGTGTCCTGTAAAATGGACCGAAACTCTCGTCGAACACCTTGCGCTCGAGGTACGAGGCAGAGGTCGGGCTGACCCAGAGGTTGACCGGGTCAGTCTCGAGCTGGATCATGAACACAAACAGCGAGAGCAGCACGGATGCGCCAAGCGACAGGCCAATCACAACCCACGGGCTTTGCGAGCACTTGAGGCCCAGCTTGGCAAACCATTTCTCCAACACATTGTTGATAATGTACGAGTCCTTGGCCACGTAGTGGTCGAAGTTGTCGAACTGGTCGTCGGAACCCTCGAGCAGTTCGGTTTCAGAGCCCGCAAACGCCGGAGACTCGAGCTGGTCGAGCAACAGCGACTGCGAGCGCGACCGCGCCACGGCCACAGCGTAGAGCCCGATGTACAAGGCGAGACCGAGCGAGTACACCAAAACGACCGAGAACGAGAAGCACGGGAGCACACCGACTCGACAGGACTCTTGTCGTTTGAGCTCGGGCAGCGCGGGACACGAGCCGGGACAGTCTGCACAGGCGCATCTGTAGTTTTCGTCTTCGTCGTCGCAAGCATGGAACGGCAGCGCCAGCGGCACCAGCTCGGACTCGTTCTGGGTGTGAAAGTTGATCTGGAACGGCGAACCGCCCAGCATCGGCTTCTCATCTCCCAAGAACTTAAGAAATTGCGAGTAGTTCTTGGCACCTCCTCCTATAAGGTCCATGGCGTATCCGTTAGTGGCACTGAATTTGATGTTTTTGCACGAGTCGTAAAACTGGGCAGCCATTGCTGCGTCCATCTGCACATCAACCTCGGCCACGACTGGTGAGCCCGACAGCGAGGTGCCGGTCCTCGTCACGTTGACAAATGTGGACTGGTTTGCGGAACACGTGAAGTGGCAAAACAGCTGGAAGAAGTTGTCTTTGCAGGCGGGACACGAGCTGATCAGTGGCTCTGCCTTGTGAAGCTGTGTCTGGAGATCATTGAGTTGGGTGCCGTCACAACAGGCATACTGCTCATGTTCCCAAGTGTCGCCGCAAACAGACACCAGCAACGAGCGGTCCTGTGCGCTCAGTAGCGGCGCTGCCGAGTTGTTCGGGGCTGGAAGGTTGCCGCCAAAGAGCGACTTCTTGCCTCCGGAGCCGTACATCGCACACACTCCTGGGGAGTGCACGGCCTGCGCGACGGCGAGAAGAAGGAATATAAAGAGCATTAAAAAACAATTTCGGCTACATCTGCGATTTAGAGCTCTAGGACCAGTCCAATAATTTCGTTGCCCAGCATCTTGCTGAGTGTCCTAAGGGTGTGCGTGGTCAGACCTATATATAATCTGGTCCAGACCCTGTCATGAATTTTGATCTTTTTTCATGACGTATTCGGGTGTGAGGATACCCCACAAATGGCCCGGATGGCAGTGCCAGCGCCATTGTGTGATAGATACAGGAAGCGGGACGTGACCCTCTCTGCACACGTATAAAGGACGCTTGACTGCAGTCTTGAAGCATAGCGCTGCTGGTCTTTCATATATCTGTGTATCACATGCTGATTGTCAAATATAAATACCCCACGAGAAGTTTTTCCTCACCAATGTTGAAGACTCAGTGGATGACTGTGAGACACAAGTCCGGAACCGCAAAAGGCTCACTATTCAAGTACCAGGACCAGCTGCCGTCGCTGCCGGTGCCGCCTCTCAGCAAGACCCTCGAGCGGTACAAAAAGTCGATCCAGCCGTACTATGTGCGTGGAGCAAGCGACCCTGAATATCTGCGGTACTGCTCTGTGATCGACGATTTTGCAAAGACACAAGGCCCGAAGCTCCAGCAAAAACTCGAGCAGTTTGCTGCCGACAAGCGCAACTGGCTCTCGCATTGGTGGGACGACTATGCGTATCTTACCTACAGGGACCCTGTGTCGCCGTTTGTGTCGTACTTTTTCCACCACAAAGAGATCAATTCCAAAATTGGCAAGGACCAGGTCACCAAGGCAGCGTGTTTGGCATCGAAGACGCTTGATTTCATGGAGGCCATTGAGAAAGAGACGCTGGAGCCCGAGCTGATTAAGAACAACCCGTTCTGTATGGAGAGCTTCAAGTGGATGTTTAACAACTGCAGGGTGCCCGAGCCAGACAGAGACGCAAATCCGCGCTTCAGTCCGGAGAAGAACAGATACATGATAGTTATTGCAAACAACAGGTTTTACAAACTGCTCCACCATGTGGACGGAGAGCGCGTTGGGCTGGCGGATCTTGCTGCCAACATCCAGGCCATCAGGACACATTCAGACACGCTGCCGCCGGTGAAAAATGCGGTCGGCGCGCTCACGTCCACAGATCGCGATGTGTGGGCCACAAACTATGCAGAGCTTGTGAAGAGCCCGGTCAACAAGCAGTCGTTGCACGCAATTCAGGCGTCGTCGTTTGTGCTCTGTCTCGACGACGACTATCCAACGACGATCGAGCAGCAGTCCCGCAACGCGTGGCACGGCAACGGAACCAACAGATGGTTCGACAAGCCGGTGCAATTCTTTGTTTCTCGAAACGGTACATCAGGGTTCCTTGGCGAGCACTCCAAGATGGACGGCACTCCGACTTTGCGGATGAACGACTGGCTCGTGCGCGAGCTGGAAACGATGCAGCCTCCGGAGGACACCCACAGTACGCCTCTTTTCCGGGAACTCCAATTCGACGTTTCGGCAAAAACCCAGACCGCTATCGAGGAGGCCAAAGCATCTTTTGACAAGACTGTCAGCGCATTGGACCTGCGTGTGTGGCAGTTCCACGGGCTAGGAAAATCGCATATCAAGCTGTTCAAGGCATCACCCGACGCTTTCATCCAGATGCTCATTCAGCTGGCCTATTACAAGTACACGGGCACTGTGAGACCTACGTATGAGTCTGCGTCCACGAGAAAGTATTTCGCAGGCCGCACAGAAACGTGCCGGTCGGTTTCGAACGAGTCGTTACAGTTTGTGAGAAAATGGGAGGACGTTTCGGCCACTAAAGAACAGAAAATCGCAGCTTTCCGCGACGCCGTTTCTGCGCACGTCGAGTACATCACTGCTGCCTCTGACGGCCGCGGAGTCGACAGACATTTGTTTGGTCTCTCGCAACTGTGTGAGGAGGAGAAACACGACTTCTTCAAAGATCCTATCTTTGCGTACTCGTCGTATTGGTTCTTGTCAACATCCCAGCTCAGTTCAGAACAGTTCAACGGGTACGGCTGGGCGCCAGTCGTGCCTGAGGGTCTTGGCCTTGCCTACATGGTCAACAACGATTGGCTGCATGTGAACGTGACAGTGTTCAAGAACAACCAGCTAGGGCTGGAAGCCGACAAAATGGTATATTACCTTGGTTTGGCAGCCCGCGAGCTCAAAGAGGCCCTCACGAGCGAGACCATAAAGGCCAAGCTCTAGAATCAGGTTCCTAGTATTTCATAAATGAAAACATAGTCGCTTGCTTTTCCCTGCCAGCCCCTGTTTCCGCTCGAGCTCACCATGAATCGACACGTAGGGTCCACGTAGAGATCGCTCAAGATGCCGCCATTGTGTCCGGGAACAATCATAAACGGTATTTTCTTTCTCTTTTTCGACGGCTCATCCGACTGCGCGCTGTTGGAGAGCCGCAGGTCGTAAAGTCGTATATTGTCCTGACAGCCGCAGAGCAGGTAATTATCGTTCGGTAGCGTCTTGACCACGCTGATAGGGCCCGATGCAAGAGGGAACTTGATCTGCTGCTTGACCTCGCTCGTTCGCCGGATATCGTATTCCTCCACCACAGCGTTGCGTCGGCCCACGTAGATCGAGTTGCCCTCGTTCGACCACACAGCAGACATGCACCACGGCGTGGATCCTGGCAGTATGCTGATGGTCGACACGTCGTTCGACGCCGTCGGCAGCCGCGAGTCCCACACATTGACGGTCCCGTTGACCGCCGACGAGAGGAACACGTGATCCGACCGCTGGATTGCGGCAGCTTTACCCGTCTGGGCAGCATCGTCCTGGATCTTCTTAATGTCCTGTTTAATCGAGCCGCGTTCTTCCTGCTGCTTCTTGACGTCCTCCTCGTCGTCTCCAAACAGCGAGTCCATGTCGTCATCTGCCTGGTTTACCGGCAGGTCCACTCCGCCAACAGGTCTATATTCTATGTGCGAGATCTGTCCTTTGGACTTGTTGAATAGATTGATGGTCTTGCCCGTGTTGAGATCCCATTCGAGGATTTTCATGTCCCAAGATCCGCTCAAAAAACGCTTTTCGTCGTTGTTGAGCTGCAAACACGAGACGGTGTCGCTGTGCGAGTGCTCGGACTTGCCGTGCTTGAAATAGTACTGGATTGCACCCTCGTTGAAGCGCACGCTCTGGAGGGTAATCCCACCGCTTTTCAGGCCGCTCAGCAGCCAATGCGAGTCCGACTGCACCGCCAGCGAGTACACGGGAGACATGCGAGGCTCGAAGGTGGTGATCGTTGTGTTAGTAGGTTTTTTGGTCTTGGCCTTGGAGTTTTTCAGCTGCTCCGAAGCCAGTTCTGTCAGCAATTCCTCCTTGTAATACGGCTGCTCGTTCTCCCAGTACGAGCAGAGCATTCCCCCGTAGGAAATGGAATCCACCAGTTGGTGCTTCTGCGCAGAAGTGAGCGGTGACTTTCCTTCGACGGACCCAAATAGGTCGAATTTCCGAATGAATCCGTCTTCTCCGCCTGTGAAAAGCCACCGCGGGCCCTTGGTAAGCGCAATTGAGTACACAGGTGACGAATACGGAATTGCAACGATGGGGTAAATCTCTAGCACGTTCAGGTTGCGAGCACGTTCGATCAACGACTGTCGCACGCTGACAGTTGATTTCTCCTCTGGTTGATTTTCTGCTGGCTTTTCTGTCACGTTATCGTCTACTTCAGCAGCGGGCTGTTCCTGCGAAGGCTCCTGCTCGTCGACGTCCATTTCTGCTTCGTCCTCGTCACCTTCGCCGTCGTCTTCCTCGTCCTCGTCCTCATCACCTTCCTCGTCATCGTCCTGATCGCCTTCCTCCTGATCATCGGGCACAGACGGCTCGTCGACTTCTTCTTCTTCGTCGTCCTCTTCCTCGTTCAGGTCGATATCCTCGTCGAATATGTCGTTAGAGTTCATTTGACAAATTAAGTCGAAATTATTTTTTTTTGTCGTAATGTCCATCTACACAGAGAATCTCTGCTACACCTTCCCATCCAACAAAGTCGGCCTCTACGACATCAACCTCGACATCAAGCCCGGATCGCGTGTTTTGCTTGTCGGTCCGAATGGGGCAGGAAAGTCGACTTTGCTTCGTGTCCTAGCTGGCCAAAAACTTATCAAGCAGGGCAGACTACTACTCAACGGTACAGACCCGTTCAAGCTGGCTTCTACCGGCAATTCGGGCATCATCACGTATCTTGGTACTGAGTGGGCATCCAATGATATCACCAAGCGAGACATCCCGGTCACAGTGCTCATCGACTCTGTCGGAGGAACCAACTACAAAGAACGCAGAGATCTGCTGATAAATATGCTGGACATCGATATCACCTGGAGAATGAACCAATGCTCGGACGGAGAGCGTCGCAGAGTTCAGCTGTGTATGGGACTGCTGAAGCCGTGGGATCTGCTGCTTCTCGATGAGGTGACCGTGGATCTGGACGTTTTGGTGCGGTCGCGGTTGCTGGCATTTCTGCGCCAGGAAACAGAGCACCGGAATGCCACCATCGTGTACGCCACACATATTTTCGACGGGTTGGGCGACTGGTCGAGCGAAATCATTCATTTCCGTGGCGGGTGCGTTGTTGCCAGGCATTCGATGGAGAGAGTGAAATACAAGGACAACGAAGACACGGTGCGGGAGACGGAGCTTGCCGTGGAGGTGCCAAAATCAAAATCAATATATCCTCTGGCACTGAACTGGCTAGAGCAGGACCTCCATCTACGTGGCGAGCGCACAGAGGATAAGACCCGACCAAAGTATGAGGATTTGTCACAGCTGGCAAATAACCAGTACTACGACGATAAGGAGAGAGTCACCAGCTACTTTAAAACCACGAGGAAGATTTAGCTGATGTGCACGACCACGATAAAAAAAAAATTTAGAGCTTCGTTAATTATTCGTTATGGTAGATTTTGCTTCTGACAAGACGCGGGGCCGAGCCGAACAGGGACTAAATGCTCTGCTCGCAAAACACCTTCCAGGAGCTGATACTCGTGAAAAGAAGCGCGGAGGCGCAGCGGCTATCGCTCAAGTGAGGAAAAATATGGACTATTGGGATGCAAATCGGCACGTTGCCGCTCGTGAGCGCTCGAAATTGGACAAGAAACGGAACGCAGCCATACGAAAGGCCAAGGAAACAGAACGCCGAGTTGAAAAGCTGGCCAGATTGCAGACTGGCGACATAGAAGAGGTCAATAACGCCATTGCAGAGAACGTGCGAAGAGTCAAGTCGTGGGAGCACAGCGACGCAAAGGAACTGCGGCAGCTGGAACTTAAAATTATTAGGTTGCGCAACAAGGAGATTTCGCGTCGCAAAAAGGTCAGACAGAGCAAGGTCAAGAAAGACCAGTTCCAAGCCAAGGTCAAGAAAGGGCTTATTTCTGTGCCAGGACTCACTCCTGGACTTGCTCCTGTGGGAGAGAGTGATTCGAGCGATGATGAGGTGGATCTGGACGGGGATGACGTCCAGCTGAAGGACGATTACGACGAATATAACTAAAAGTAATATTTCACTATGTACAGCACTAAAGATGTTATTTTTCATTGGATTTGTCAACGGGGATTCCACCGTTCTCAAAAGGCGCCTCTTTGCGTGCCTCGTCCAGCATCGGCTTGATCCCCTGTTTCTGGAGGTGGATATCTATGCATTCTTTGTAATCGGCCCAGAGGTCCTCGCATTCGTTATAAACACTCTTGCCTTTGAGGAACTTTTCTGTATACCAGTAGTTGAAACAGGCGTCGTATTTCTGCTTCAGGTCTGTACACTCTGGAGCAAACGAGGTTGACATCAGATTACCCATGGTCACAAAATGTTCGAAAAACGCACTAGATGAAAATCGACTCGGCGACGGCGACGCTGCACCGACTGGAAAATAGATTTCAAAATAATTACCACGCGTACGCGTACTATGTCTCGGAGATCGTTTTATTTCTCCTCTTCTTCATCCACGCGATCACAGGAGCTGGAGCAGCTCAGCAAGATTGAGCAGGAAATCACGCTGACCTTGCAAGAAATTGACAAAAACTTGAGCGTTTCGAATAGCATCATTAACGAGAGCGTGATACCGCGATTAGTAAAGTTCCGTCACAGCAGCAGCAAGATCTGGAGTAACGTGGAGTTCTGGAAGACCTTTTTTGAGAATAGCGCGAATGTCGAAATCACCACGGAGGAGGCCGACAAGACGGGCGTGCCCCAGGAACAGGAGCCTGCGATGGAGCCAACTCTCGCGGCGACAAATAACTCCCAGTTCAACGAGATCAATCAGCGATACAAAGAGCACATTGACAACGAGGCGAACGAGACGTCAACGACGGCCACAGACACGGTTTCTCTGTGGAAAGAAGGTGCTCGCAAGCGGTTGGCAAGCTCCACGCCAAATAGAAAACCAGGACTCGACAACGACTCAAGCAGCTTGATGCCGGCTGTCCAACTGCGGTCGGACGACGTGGAGCGCGAGCAGGCCGAAAAACAATCGCATGTGCCTGACGAGCTGACGACCAGTAATATTTTTGACGCCTCGACGGTGCAGCTGCCGGAAACACAATGGAAACTGACCAAGAGCCCGAAAAAGAAGACGCCGAGCCCAGTGCGGAAAAAGCAAAAATCAATAGCTACACAGTACGATTCGTCGCCTATCGAAGAGCCCCCCGTGCTCAAATCGGCTGCCTACTTGTCGCCAGTGCGAAAAGGCTCGCGAAGCCCGCAGAAGGAGAACGACGACGAGCAACGGTTCCCCAAGTCTCCAAAGTACGGAGCTGGCGGTACTCTGTTGCGCAACACAAGGGGTACCGAGATCGCTCTCAATTTTGCCCGGTCGGAGCTGGCCTCGACGACGGCGGACTTTTCGTACCAGACAGCGCCGCTGCCCGGCATTCCAGGTGCAACCAACGACTATGGACTCAGTTCGTCGATCTTGAACCCGGAGTCCACGACGATGGATGAAGCGCCCCAACTACAGTCGCAGCTGCCCGAAAAAACGCCCGAGATTGCGTCGTCCCCGGTCAAAGATCCCGAGAACCCATTTATCGAGTAGTGTATATTAGCCGAATAAAACGCACAGGTCGCATTTTTTCAACAATTTCTCCATTCTTGTTTCCCAGCTGAAATTTTCAAATCGGCTAATAATCATGATCTCGTGCCCGCACGCTCCAGGATTGTGAATTATAAGTTGCTATAAAGAGTGAGAACACGGTACCGGTCTTTAGAAAAGCTCTTTCCAAGGCTGCCCTGTCTCGGTGTTGCTGATTGCAGTCTACTAGTATACATCGCTTAGTCGAATGCCTGGTTTCAAAAAACGCGGAAATACAAAAAATGCGTCTAGTTGGTTAGGAATGCCGAACGTGGCATTTCACGTTGTGGTGATGGTGGCGGTCACTCTTCTGTACGTTGAGTACTCGCAAAACAAACAGATCCTGGCGGATGCTGCGAGAACGATCTCCGCTCCGTTTGCGTTAGAGTCCGACCCCAACGACAGATTCCATCCATTCAATCTCGAGTCGCTTATTGCCGTGATAGCCCTAAATCTGGCATTTTTATTCCTTTTATGTTGATGCGCGTTAATATTATGATCAATGACACTTGACGTGGTGCAAGGAGGTACTTTAATTGATACATTTTAGGTGACAGGATCACAGTAAAAATTTGTTGCAGCTAAATGACTGCAGACTACAAAACCGTCATCAGACAGAAGCATGCTTCTAACCTAGACAAGATCCCAGCTGAGTGGCGCCTCAAGTACATTCCTTCCCCTGAGGAACAGCAAGAGGTGGAGCCATACATAGAGCCATTCCTATCTTCCAAGGAGCTGTGGATTACCAATGTCTCTGCGCTTGAGCTCCTGAAAAACATCAAGTCCGGGCAGCTTTCATCTTTGGAGGTCTGCGAGGCATTTTGCCATCGCTCTGCCCTTGTTCACCAGCTCACAGATTGTTTGATCGAGATCTTCTACGACAGAGCCCTGCAACGTGCTAGGGAGCTGGATGCATATTTCCAGGAAACCGGCAAGCTTGTGGGTCCTCTGCACGGAATTCCCATTTCGTTAAAAGACCAGTATAATCTGAAAGGCATTACCACCTCCCTTGGATACGTGGCTCCGCACATATCCAAGGAATTAGAGTGCGTCGTCTCGCAGAAAACCCCAGACGAAGAGTCGCTTCTTGCCCGCATTTTGTACGACGCGGGCGCCGTTTTCTATGTCAAGACGACCGTTCCCATGGCGATGTTTGGCAGCGAGACATCCTCGAATCTGGGAATCACCAAGAATCCGTTTGACAGACGCAAGTGTCCTGGTGGCTCCAGCGGAGGAGAAGCAGCTTTGTTGGCTGGGAAAGGTTCCGTGATTGGCATGGGAACCGACATTGGAGGATCTATTCGTGGCCCTTCTGCGCAATGCGGCCTCTTTGGACTAAGACCATGCTCGAATCGGTTCCCTTACCTGGGAACTTCTAATTCATATCCAAACCAGTCCATTGTCCCGTCCGTGGCAGGGCCAATGTGTCGGTACTTGGAGGACATGGAGTACGTTTCTAAAGTCGTGTTTGTTGCTCGGCCATGGTTCCAGGATGCGAGAGTGCCTCCTATTCCGTGGAGAAGTGTAGATCTCGACACCATAAATGTTGGCTTCATGCACTGGGACAAAATTGTTATGCCGCATCCACCAATTCTGCGTGCTCTGAAACACGCCGAGGCGTCGTTGCAGAAGAACGGTGTTGACTGTCTTGACGTCGAGCCTCCGCTCAACCACGCCGAGATGGCTACCTTTTTGACCGACATCTACACCTGCGATGATTTCGCAGAAATCAAAAGATTTGCTGCTCTTGGGGGCGAGCCGTTACCGGAACTGCTCGTCAGAATGTTCCAGCTGAATGGTAAGGTCTCCGACTTGGAAGACATCTTCAAGAAAGTCGGCCAAAAATATCAGTATCAGCAAACGTACGACAAATTTTGGAACGACACCGCCAAGCACACCAAAAACGGCAAACCAGTGGATTGCATCATTATGCCGGGCTGGGCCTGCACCTCGTGGAAAATTGGAGAGAACTACAAGATCGCCAACATCTACACCAGATTCCTCAATGTCTTGGACTACTCTGTGATCACGCTCCCTGTTTCTCACGTGAGAGACACAGACGAGCCGTTCGAGAGGACCGATTTTGCAGGGGATATGGACAGACTGTGCTGGGAGTATTACGACAAGGAGTTCTACCGCGGCATGCCAATCGTGCTGCAGCTCGTTTGTCGCAGATATGAAGAAGAGAAGTGTATTGCACTGGCAAAAAAGCTGCTGCCAATAATTAGAGATTAATAGATATTGTTTCTATACAATGTTCAAATTCCCATAGCAGTCGAAATCTTTACAAAACAACTAACACGAGGCTATATATGCTATCCAATAGCAGTTTAGTTCATCATTTCGTTAATCCTGTCCTCTTCTTGAGGATAGCCTCCTCTGTACCGTACTCTCTGTCGTCCTTGTCACCTTCCAGCTCGGACCGGATCTTGTCCGTGTTCTGAGTCTGCTTGGCCCAATATTTTTTGTCCTTTTTAGTCTGCTTGCTGAACAGCTCTCTGTCTGGCTTTCTGTAAGATCCGCCCAGCCTGTCCCAAAGAGTGGTGAACTGGCCGTAATTGTAGTTGAAGTACATGTGGTGGATGGTGTGGCACGCAGCTCCATTCACAACCGGATCTTCCGACATGTATTCGCCGTCGTGGATCATGACGGTCCAGAAATTCACAAATGTAAATAGCAAGAGGTATGAAATCTTGTGGAGAGGGAACAAGAACGGATACCAGTGGTATGGCAGCGACTGCGCATAGCCGTCAACCGGATGGAACGCGTGGGATGCGAACGGCGTGCAAACAATCCATTTGTGGTGAGGCTTGTGCAACACTTTGTACACGGACGGCCAGTGCAACCATCTGTGGATGAAATAGATGCCGCAGTCAGTAAACATGATGAAGGTTGGAATCTGGTACACGAGGGCCCACCATCCCCCGGTGGACTCGTTAACATCATAATATAATTTAGAGTGGCCGTGGAGCTCGAGCAAAAACCAAGGAATCGTGAGGATCACCATGACCGGAATGGCACTGGTGGCCTGTTTGATCTCCAAAGACATCTGGTTCTTCAGATATCTTGGGTGGTTGAAATTGGTCTTGTCGTACACAAAGTGGTACGACAAAGCTGCGACGCTGAAATAGAGCAGCCAACCAAAAATGGTCATGATGAAAAACAAGGAAATCGACTGCCTGATGATGTTGGATCTTCCCAGCAGAGACAAGTGGGCATAAGGGCTCTCATCAAAGAAGTGATACTTGTTATTGACGCCATAAATCTCCTTGTTGAAGCTGAAGATCTGTGGCAAGTTTGCGGCCTCGGAGTAGGCAATAGCGGCCTGGGTTCCGTTGTTAATGAATTCTGCCAGGTTGTCAATAGCCTTGGGTTTCTGCGGCATGTAGCGTGCCAATGAGCTTGGCAGCAAAGTGGCGAACACCTTGTCGAACACAAATGTGTCGCAAATCTCTAGCACAATATCCATCTGGATGTAGCGGACGAACCTATGGTAACTCAAATGAGAGAATCAAACACGACGATAAGCTTTCAAATCAAAGAGGATCAGAAACGAGATATTCTAAGCGAGTCCCGACAAGTGGGTTTATATATATGATGCGATCCGAAAAGCTAAATAGTACGATTTATTTTTTCGTTTATTTTTTATATCCTGTCGATCGTTTAACTCGTTTAATTGTTTTTCTCAAAATACGAATGTCCCTGGCAAATAGCCCCATGTTGGAAAAATCCTCGTTGACAAAATTATTCCCAGTGTCTGGATGTACGCGACGATGACGGAGTTGGTGGCAGGTGTGTAGTTGATGAGCAGGTAGTTGTACACAAGCGAGACAGCGTAGTTCTTTGCAATGTAGAGTGCCACCTTTGTTTCCAGCTCCGGGTTCGCATATATCTCGGATAAAACCGCCGGGAGATCAGTGATAGATCTAATCGTGGAGAACACCGCCATTGATTGCTTGAACAGCAGCAACTCGAGCAGGACAGACGAGTCGAGGTACGTGAACAGCTCGCAAGAGGCCAGCTCGAGCGCCTTGAGCCCTGTGGCCGCGAATGCCCACAAGCTCAGCTGTTTCGACGGGACGAAAAGAAGCCAGATTATAAGAAGCACAATTGTGTGCAGTAGTGTCCTGGCAGAAGGCTGAGTTTTCCCTCCAACAAGATTGTTAAGTAGAGGAAGACTAAAGGGCGCCCCTTGGAGATGGCATATTTTAGAGGCGTTCTGTAGTAGCGACACGACAGCAATGCTGGAGAAAGGCAGAGTAAAGGAATGGTTGATTAGCGTAACATAGGTTATTGCGGAAAGTACGATTCCTGAGAGCTGGTTGCACACCAGGTAGGATATCATTTCCTGTTCAACTTATTTACCCCGTCTGGTGTTTATATATTTAAAAATGTCGCAAATTTGGTTGAGCACTAAGGTATAAAAAGGTTGAGTTTTTTTCTGATCTCTTAATCATGTTGCGACTAGCCTTGAAACCACGCTTCTTGGGCGAGATTCCGCGATACCAACGTTTGGCGGTTTCGATCCGCCACAAGAGCACCTCTGAGCCCAACTCTGCCTATAGAGTCAACGATAATTCTCATCATCCGGAGGATTCTGCGGATGCTAATGCAACTATCCTGACCGAGGCAATTGATTTCCACAAACGTATTATGGACAGCAAGGACCGTGCGACCTGGTGGGAACTATTGAAAAAGCAAAAGGAGCGGGCTCAAGAGGGCAAGGATATCGATTCCTTCACCTTAGAAGACGTCAAAACCACAGAGGTGTTTGAGAGAACAAGAGCCGATGGGTTTTCGTACCTTCTGCTACCATTCAAACAGGATCCTTTCCTCATGGACAACTACGTCAATGTTGCAGGAAGGTTGAGGTTTGGAAACTTGTTTCAGGACTGCGACTCGCTGGCAGGCCGAGTTGCTGCCAGGCATTGCAAGCCGGCCGAGCCTATGAACGTGACAGCGTCGATTGACAGAATCTACGTCACGAGGAGAATCGACGAAATTCACAAGTACAACTTCGTCATTGTCGGATACGTAACCTACACGGGACGGTCTTCCATGGAGATTTGCATTAAAGGTTTCTCATTCGAGCACGACATCCCCTCGGAAATCGCCCCAGATTTTGTCGAGCAATACAAGAACGACTGCTTCCTTTCTGCTAACTTTACATTCGTTGCCAGAAACCCGGCTACACACAAGTCTCATGCTGTCAACAAACTGCTTCCTGCCACAGAGAAAGAGTGGGTCGACTTCAAGCGTGCAGAGAGCAGAATCGCTGCCAAGAAACTACGTGCTAAACTGGAGTCGCTTGAAAACGTGCCCCCAACAGAGCAAGAATCCAAAATGATCCATAATTTATACACGTCCTCGAAAAAGTTTGCCCAACAGGGCAAGCCAAGCAACATCGTGTTCATGAAGGATACACGGCTTTCTTCCTCGCAGATCCAGCAACCGCAGTACAGAAACCGTCACGGTGTGATTTTCGGAGGCTACTTGCTCAGACAGACTTTTGAGCTTGCTTACTGTGCTGCCGGTGCTTTCTCCAAGTCCAATGCACGGTTCATATCTTTGGACAACACCACCTTCAAAGTTCCCGTCCCCGTTGGCTCTGTGTTGTACATGGATGCCGAGGTCTGCTACACGGAGCACATACACGAGAAAGACGAGTCTTCCGAGTCGGCCAAGCGGATGAGACAGGTTTTGAAGGATTACGACACCAGTGCCAACGAATTGAGTTCGGATGAGCAGGAGTACTTTTTTGTGCCGGGAACGTTGATTCAGGTCAAGGTGGAGACCAAGATCCGGAATTTGGGTGACTCCAAGATGACCGAGAGCGGCACCTTTGTCTACTCGTTCTATGTTCCTCGTGATGGTAACGGGGAGTTTGACGACCCTGGCTACTGCTCGGTGATTCCAGAAACCTATGGCGAGATGATGGACTATGTGGAAGGCCGTCGTCGTACATATGACACTGCAGCATATGCCCAGCAGCTGAAGCTTTCCAGAGGAAACTAGCAATATTTATATATTTATCGCTGAATACTATTCACTTTAAGCTTAAAATTATATTAGTCGATTAATACATGTACGCGAGAACTAAATCACCAGTGAAAATCACAGCATCGAGCTGTTGGAAGTGTTTTCGATCACTCCCTCGAACGACCGCTCATCTCTTGGAAGGTTGACGGCTTCCGATCCTTTACGTTGAACATCCACGAACTTTGCGCTGCTTTTGCTGAGCGTTGAGTCAGAAAACTCGCGACCAAACTCTTCGTCTAGCGTCGTCAAGTCACGCGGACGATCGGTCGCGTCCACGTACTCGCTCGACGAGGATTGGTCATAGTTCACGTAATTTCCAGAACCAGAAGAGACGTATGACGAGTTTCTGTTCATGAAAATGCTCTGCGACTTGCGCTGCAGGTTGGGATCGTCGGCGACTCTGACAGTCAGCAGGTCGGTCGTCGCCACGGTAGCCAGCGACGTAAGTGAATCTCGAGGCTTCCATTTTGAGGCGCCGTTGCGCCACGACTTGGTGATTTTCTGCGAACGGCCTGATATAAGCTCGTCGGTGCTCTGGTGATTCATAGCCTCGTTGTATAGGGAATGGGAACGCGAGTGGTTACTTTCGACGTTGGTTAGCGAAGACGAGTCGTCACGCATGCCAGACTCGTCCAGTTTGAGAACGTTGAGGGCCGAAAGACGTTTGGCGTTATCGCCCTCGGGGTCATTTTTGAGCGTCTCTGCGGTTCCTTGAGGGTGGATATAGAACGCGTCCTTTTTCTTCTCAGCGTCGTCTTCTTCGTCTTTGTTTTCCTTGCGTCTCCGCCAGCAGCAACAGAAGATCAGCAGCGCACCCAAGAGAGCAGCTAGCGGAAGGGCTACACCCAGCCCAATGGCCAGGTTTTTCTTGTTGGGCGATCCTGAACTGGAGCCAGATTCTGAAGTGGCAGATGGGGATGCCATGGCTGAGGATGCGGACGTACCGCTATGCGAGCCGCTGCTCGACGAAGTGCTGAACGTGGAGGAGCTGCTCCGCGAGCTAGTACTCGAATGCACAGTGCCAACCCCTCTGATGGTGAACTTTCTAGAATCTTCAAGACTATTCATGGTAGCTTCAATTGTCACTTCCAGCTCGCTGAAGCTGTCGGGGACAACACCGGTAAACGAGTGGTTGGTGTAGTAGTAGGTCAGCCAGGTAGCGTTCGAGAAATTAGCCTTGATGTCCGTGTCATTGAGGTTCGAAAAGGCCGACGACGGCAATGAGTACACGAAGAAGTCTCCACGCGTTGCGTTCACGTCGGGGAGATCGTCCACGGTGAAAAGCTCCGAGTACACGTCGATTTCGAAGTCTAAGAAGACCTGGTTGCCGTACACGTCTGTAACCGTCACATTGACCAGCTCGTTGCTGTCCTGGTCTTCAGGAACGTCACCCGTGAGTCTGTTGTCCGAGTCCAGCTGGACCCACGACGGAGCCTCATAAAGTTTCACGCTGGAAATATTTTGCGACGAGATGCTTTGACCGTCGAGCTGAACATCCTGCAGGGGCACTTGGACGCTGAACGACTCGCCTGCAGTCGCGTTGATTTGGAGAGTGTCGGACACGTTTGTTGTAAGCTCGTGAGCGCCCACAAGAAGATAGAAAGTACCATACGTGCCGGTGTATCCCTCGTAATCGGTTGCGATCAAAATGAAGCCGAATTCCTGGGAAGGAGCGATTTCAGAGTTGATGGCGGGAGCAGTTCCCGAGAACGTGAGGGTGTCCTCGTCGAAGTAGCACCAGCTTGGAAGCGAAGTTCTGTTAAGGGATTTGCCGTAGTAGGCGACAATGTTGTTATTCGAGCCAGAGCTCATCTGGAACGTGTCGTTCGAGAACTGCACCTCGAAGCTTTTCTGGGGCTCGATGATGAGCCCGTCGTAGCCATTGGTGTTTCCCATAGATTGCAACTGCGAAAAAATGGATGTTTTGAGTTCGGGGCCGGCCTCCTTCGAAACAACGATCGACACAGACTGGTTCAAAGTGCCAGAGCTGTCTGTCCCTATCAGATCAAACGAGAGCGAGTCGGTCGCGTCAGATGAAGACGGGATACCAGAGAAAGTGAGAGAGGACTCGTCGAAACTGAGCCAGTTAGGCATATTGTCTGCCGAGTACGAAACGGTCCCTTCGTCGCTTCTGTAGGTGTCTTTGTTGATGGTGAAAGCGTATTCTTCGCCCACTCTGGCGACATCTGGTAGCTGTTGGGAGAACGGGAACCCCGAGTAGGGCGTGGCTCCCGCCAGCGACGCTAAACACAAAAAGCCTAGACGTAACATTAATGAGAATTTGGGAGGGATGAATTTGTTTTTTAAGGGAACGCGGTCGACAATAATAAAGGGGAACGCGTCTGCACTTGGCACTAAAAAGAAATCCCAATTAGGAAACTAGGGATGAAGCAGAGGAACAGAAACGGCCACTCAGACAGCCGTATACGAAAGCGCATTGCGCGTTATTGCCACTCAAAGTGGCCTTAGTCACAACTCTGCTTTAAGGTTGTGGGACATGCTGTGAACCAAAATCTGGGCTGTGTCAATATCCTTTCCAGATTGGTCGCCTTGTTTATCATGCGCACGGGTATCACCAATTCTCTGTGCAAAGATGTGATAATTATTTTTGCTAAAAAAATATCTGTGCTGTTACAACCGCCAGTGGGGCTGTACTATCGTTGCCCATTGCTAGCATCACTTGCTATTGTACACTTTATCCAACTTTATCATGCCCCCCACACTAGCGACCCCCAAATACGTGCTGTTGACCCTCACAGTTTGTGGCCTTTCCCTTCTCTCGCTCATTGCATTCAGCTTCTTAGAGCAACTAGACGGCCCGGATTCTGCCAAGTGTCGCAGCGTCTACATGTCGCCGGCCTATGCCCGAGTCCATGGCTTCGACGAGTCTCATACAAGATTCGCCTCCAAGTACTCTCTATATCTCTATAGAGAACAAGGCAGAGACTCTCTTCCTGATAATGACGGCCAAAGCTTGAGACTGAGCGGAACTCCCGTGCTTTTCATCCCTGGAAACGCGGGCAGTTACAAGCAGGTGCGGTCTCTGGCCTCCCAATCAGCCAATTCATATTACACCGAGCTCGAGAAATTCAAAGACCTCAATCCCAATGTGAACAGCCTCGATTTCTTCGCTGCAGATTTCAACGAGGATTTCACAGCATTCCATGGTAGAACCATGCTGGACCAGGCTGAGTACCTCAACGACGCAATAGGGTTTATTCTAAGTCTCTATCGACATAACCCGACACCTGCACGGTCTGTGATACTGGTTGGGCACTCAATGGGAGGAATTGTGGCCAGAGTGATGCTCAGTCTCCCTAATTATGTTGAGGACTCCGTCAACACGATAATCACATTGGCTGCACCCCACGCGGCGGCCCCGGCGACCTTCGATGCCGACTTGTTGCACGTCTTTGCTGCCACTGACGATTTTTGGCGTCATGGCTTTGTCAGTCTGGACTCGGACGACTCAGGATTCAGCAAGCTTGCACGAAGGAGACTGGAAAGCGTATCGCTAGTGTCGATCACAGGTGGCCTTCTTGACAACATGCTTCCCGCCGACTATACTTCGTTGACGGGATTAGTCCCCGAGACCAATGGGTTTACGATTGCTACCACTGGTATTCCTGGAGTTTGGACTCCAATCGATCATCTCGCTATTGTGTGGTGCGATCAGCTTCGCAAAGTTCTGGCAAGTTCTCTGCTGCAACTGGTTGACAAAACATCTGTATCGCAGACGTATCCGCTCCAAAAGAGAATGGAGATTTTGCGCAAGAATCTCTTTACAGGCTTTGAGGCCGATGCTACCCAGGACTTTGATTCGTACAAGGCGGGCGCAGGTAAACTGGATTTGCCATATAAACTCAAAATCGACACGAAGCAATTCAAAGACACTTCTCGACAGCGCAATTTGCAACTACCTAGATCCAAGTTGAAAAGGAACACGCATTCATCTCCAGATATGCATTTGTTTTATATTCCGAAAGATGGGCTCAAATTCAAGTTCAATTTTCTGAGTTCGCTAAAGCCTGTGGATATATCTCGTTTAGGCGAAGGCTTTGCATCCCCATCTATTATGCTGTGCAGAACCCTGAATCCGGACGGACGGTCTTTTAAAAAAGAATTCGATTATACAACCGGCACCACAAGCAAGGCGGTTCAGCTAGAATGCATAGACATTCATGGAGACGCCCACATGATCCCAAGGTCCTACAGTGACTCCAAATCTTCCAGTGAGTCGTCGCTGGGCGCAGAAAAACAGCCGTTCTATTCTATTCAGTTGGACTCCCGAGTTCTCTCGATGTTTGATGCTGTGGTCATTGCCGAGTCGCCAGTGCCAGTAGAAAGTCCGGAATTTGTTCTTGCAGACCTGGAGCTCACTCAGTCCACGGACCTTATCTTAGGAGACTACAGCCTATGGACGTTGTTCAGTAGAGGATACGATATCACTTTACCTGCTCACCGGCCTTTGTCAATCAGCATTAAGATCCCTTCTGCATGGTCCAGTTTACTTGCATACAACTTTGATATACGTTATCAGCAATCGCAGATGGAAAGATTCTCGCCCATGATCAGCCAGAGAATCAGAGACGAGACTAAATGGCATATCAATGTACATCAGGATAAATCGATTACCGCATTAGTTCAGGGAGTTTCTCCATTCTGCCCTTTCACTAGAGATGATACATCATCGCTAGAATTGCAAATATTCAGCGACTCCTTGGCTTCTGACCAGATTATGGACATCTACTTGACCGTGGACTGGTTCAAGTCGCTAAAGTTACTGGTTCTCAAATACAGGCTTTCGGTCTTCAGTTTCCCCGTCTTTATCACAACGCTTGTGTTTTTTCTGCAATTCAGAAAGTACATCAACGAAGACGTTTTTCCATCTTTTGGGGAAGGGTTGTATATGCTCTGTGATCCACATGTTCTCATTCCGTTGGCTTTGGCACTAAGTGTTTTGTCTTCGTTTGCATCGCACAGTTTTTTCCAGAAGCTTTTGAGTTACATCGACCCCGTGGACTTTGGAAACAAGACTCTCATGCATGAAATAGAAAAGTCAGACGTATTCGTTAACCTCTACTTTCTGGGTCTCGAAGAGAAAGCTCTCTGGTTCTTTGGGCCTGTGGTATTGGTGATTTCGTTGTCGTTGGTATGTGCATTTTACAACCTTCTTGAGGTTTTGCTATGGACGATTGTTGTGTGTTTGCGCAAATTGCACATTTCGAGCCTTTTCAAACCTGGCATGTCTGGCAATTACAATAAACGTCGTGCATTGGGTACTGCTTTAATTCTTGCACTTGTGCCCCTATACATTCCGTACCAGTTTCCCTATGTCGTCAGCTGTTTGGTGCAATGCACAGTCGTGATACGTGCCTTTTTGACCAGCCCGGGTCAGAAACACGTATCTGTGGAGACCTTCCGCAACTTCAATTTCTCGCTGCTCATTTTAATGCTGTGGATTTTACCGGTGAATATTCCGGTGCTAATCGTTTGGATCCACAACTTCTCGCTACGTTGGGCCACGCCATTTTCCTCGCATCATAATTTTCTGGCCATTATTTCTATCGTTTTCCTTGTGCAGAACAACGTTGCAGGCAACATCATTCCAAGGCCAACTTCGGTGGTAACCATCTTTGTTACAAAGTTTGTGATCGTATACTTTTCGTTGTGCTCACTCATTTACGGCACGCGTCACCTTTTTTGGTTGCATTATCTGTTCAATTTCTTGTGCGCATGGCTGCTCTGCTTGCTTTTGGAAGACGTTTGGAAGAAACAGGTGAAGAACGTCTCCATGTTCAAAAAGGAGGACACACCATCCAAGCTAAACTAGCGTGGTTTGTACTAATAGAATGTATTGCTAAAATGGTAGATGTTCTGCTCTGTAGCCCTTGATATTTAGATACGGCAGCGAAACCTGTCTAAAATCATGAATTCTTGCTGTTGCTGATTCTGAAGACTGCGTGCTTGTTGGCATCTGCGTTCTGTGCAAAATCCAGTCCTGTGAGAGCATCCGGTTAAACTCTGAGTTGTCTGTAGAGACCAAAATTTTGAACGATGACGGTGGTGTCAATTTGGTTGCTGTCTGCAGTTCGTTGATCACCGAGTACAAAAACGCCTGGTACTCAGCATATAGCACATTCAGCTTGAACTCCTCAGAGAGTTCAGCATCAGCTCTCAGTGCCTCCAGAAGTGGCGAGTTAGTCAAACTAAATCCGTAAGTTTCAATCCTCACAGCAGAATCTGGCGGATATATTTCGACAAAAAGCCTGTTGAGCTTACCTCGCTCTAGGAAACTTTTGATTTTAGAAGTGACGTTAGCCAGGTACCGTTTGACATCCGGATGGCGAGTCATATGGACGGGGAGCTGAAAGCAACGAGCATTTTCAAATGACTCTGGCGGGTAAACTGAGCGATGATACCAAATTTGCTCAACGATGCACTGCAGTAATTCCAGGGTGAGCTCTATGATCTTATCGATCATAAAATTTAATCAAAAAACTAAATGCATATAAATTTATAATTTTTACGCGTATGACCCTAACACAAATTGGGACGGCCGACGTGCACAATATCACCTCCGGGCAGGTGATTATTGATGTTTCTACGGCCTCTAAGGAACTGCTGGAAAACTCGCTGGATGCTGGGGCAACTCAGGTCACCATCACATTTAAAAACCACGGGATCGACTCTATAGAGGTGAGCGACAACGGTACAGGAATCGACGAGGAGGATTTCGATAGTCTTTGCATGAAACACTACACCTCAAAGCTGCGTACGTTTGAGGACGTCGCGAATTTGCGGACCTTGGGGTTTCGGGGAGAAGCACTGAGCTCGCTCTGTGCGGTAGCTACAGTGGACATAACAACGTCAACCAAGACCATGCAGCCTAGGGCTTACAAACTAGAATACGACCAGCGTGGTAATCTTAAAAGCAAGCAGACAGCGAGTCGAAGTTGCGGCACAACTGTGCTCATCAGTGATATTTTCAGAAACTTGCCTGTGCGAAAAACGGACTTGATCAAGAATGGTAGACGAGAGTTTCAAAAGGCTGTGACTCTGCTGCAATCGTATGCGCTTATCAAGGTTGGGCTCCGTCTCGTTGTCCAGCACGTTGACTCGCGTGGCAGGAAGACCATTATGCTTGCCACAAGCGGTTCCAAGCAGCTTCGCAGCAACGTGCTGAGTGTTTTCGGGGCCAATGGTATGGCAGGGCTAGAGCCAATAGATTTTCAGTTGAATATTTCTGCACGATTTAGATTGAAGGCTTGTGATATGTCGCTGAGTGTGCGTGGCTTTTTATCCAACTGTTCGTTTGGCAAGGGACGTTCCGCTACTGATAGACAATTTTGGTATGTGAACGGCAGGCCAGTGAAATTGCAGCAGTTTTCCAAAGCTATCACCGATGTCTACAAAACTTTCAACCATCTACAATGTCCGGTAATCCTGCTGAATCTTGAGCTGGACCCACAATTTATCGATGTGAACGTCACGCCAGACAAAAGAACGATTTTCTTGCACAACGAGGCCGTCATCATTGAAGCTCTTAAAGAACGCGTTGCAGAAATCTTCTCTGGCCAGGATATCAGCATTCCGAAGAGTCAGTTGACAGTGGAGAGAAGCAGGGACAGCAGGCTTGCTAAGCAGGAAGTTGAGGAGGTGAACGAGCGTGATTCTGGCCGCGATCTCGACACGGAGCAAGATGATGGACCGGAAGAACAGGAAGAACAGGAAGAAGAGCCTGGCTATGAGAAGGACCATGATCAAGACCGTGTTGATATCTGTCACGTGGACAATAACAGAGCACAAGAGTTAGTGGGCCCCCCTTCATCTAAAAGTGTCACGCCTGTCGCAGCTGAGACGGTGCATGCGTCTGAAGGCGCAGACGAGGCTGACCCTGCTGATATCGACGATACCCTAGAGTCTACCTCAAGATTTCCGACTCGAACGCAAATGCAGAGCACGCTCACTACGCTATTTGATAAGAGTGTAGATGCCGATAAATCAGCTCCTGACTCAGAGCCTGACACGACGGAATTCTCCAGGGTCGACGACCAGATCTTGTCCTCCGAAATCAATGAGTCAAATGAAGTCAGCTTTGAACATAGCCCTGGTGTCCAGCCAGAAACCACCTCGCCATTGCGGATGAAATTGCGCGACAAATACATTGAGACATATCCCACAGGACAACTAAAGCTGAGTTTTGAGCCCAAATCAGAAAAGCGGACAGCGGGCGCAACGCTGACCCGAGCGCAAAGCTCGTTGCATGACATTGAATTGCCAATTGAGGCAAGTCCTGGTAGTTTCAAAATGAAGAAACCCAAACTTGAAAGAAATGCAGGCACCCGGGCTGCCGTCGATGATATCACTGACGAGTCAGACGCAGAACGCAAGCTCATGCTTTCTGTGTCCAAGAAGGATTTCTTGGAAATGCAGGTAATTGGCCAGTTCAATCTGGGCTTTATTTTGGTGACCAAACAGGATAATTCTGGAACACATCTATTCATCATCGATCAGCATGCGTCTGACGAGAAATATAATTTTGAGCGCTACCAAACGGAAACCGTGTTTAGCAACCAGCCGCTCGTGATTCCACAGCAACTGCATCTCAACGTTATTGACGAGCTTGTCATAATGAACAACCTGGAAGTTTTTGAGAAAAACGGGTTTGGGCTACGTGTGGACGAAGACGCCCAGCCTGGCGAGCGTCTCAGTCTCACTTCACTGCCGTATTCAAAAGACACTATATTTGGCCTGTCCGATCTGGACGAGCTTGTACATCTCGTCAAGGAACACCATGGCAAGGGGGTACTGCGTCCTTCCAAAGTCCGTGCTATGCTTGCTATGCGGGCCTGTAGGACAAGCATAATGATCGGCAAACCACTGAACCATAGAACAATGACCAGCGTCGTGCGCAACCTGGCGACTCTCGACAAGCCCTGGAACTGTCCACACGGCAGGCCAACTATGCGTCATCTGATTGAACTGAAGAATTGGGCTACTTTCAGCAAAGATTATGAAACATAGGGCTGTGCAAAATGCTACAGATCTTAAAAACCCATTAAACGTCCCGATAAGGAAATAATGTTTTGAGATAGCCAGATCAAACATCTGTCTGTGCGTTCGTCCCGACATATAAAGTGCAAGGCTCGACACCACCATCTCCACATTCTTGAAAATGTCCTACTCTCTTCCTCCAGGTTTGGACCCCAATCAAATCGCCCTCAATTACACTTCTGCCTACGGCTTCACCGAGGTGACCTTTGCGCAGCTGGACTCGTATGTCAAGGCCAATGCGGAAGTCGCAGCGATCTTTGGCATGAGAATCGGTCTGGCAGCCATAGCTGTTCCTGCCATATATTTTGTCACTCGAAACAAGAAGTCTGTACTCTTCGTACTTAACGAGGTGTGCATGGCTACCATGCTCATCCACGGCATCATGACCGTCTGCACCATGTTTGAAGCTTACCGTTCGCTCGCTTTTAATTTCTCAGGCTACTTGTATGTGGACAAGCATGCCTCCGATCTGAGCGCTGCCACGAATGTCATCTATGTGATCCTGATCGGCCTGACTGAGGCCTCGTTGACCTATCAAGTACACATTGTTTTCAGAGGCCCGTCTTTCCACTACAGAAATGTTGGCTTCGGTATGGTGGCAGTGTGCGGCCTTCTGGGCTTGGCCTCAACGGTGTTGTACTTCATCTACGCAGTGATGTCGAACATTGCCTTATACGACATCAACAGCTCTGTTCCAATGTGGGTGATGAACGCTTCACAAATTTGCTACGCCAGCTCTTCTTTCATTATCTCGATTATACTCTCTTGCAAGCTTTTTGTGGCCATTCGGACCAGAAAGTTTTTGGGGCTGAGACAGTTCAGCATCTTCCACGTTCTCTTTATCATGGCCCTCCAAACCATGATCATCCCAACAATTCTGGTTCTGGTGTCTTTCAGAGAGGTGAAAGGCTCTTCTGGTCCTGACAAGGCCCTGAATGCTGTTGGTACCGCGCTTATTGCCATCTCGCTGCCATTAACTACTATGTGGGCCAACAGTGCCGTTGACGAGACATCCTCGAGCTCAGCTTCCAACACGTATCTGCAGAAAGTCGAGAGCTACTCCTCTTATGGCTCAGGAGATAGCGGAAGCCCTAAGTCGTACAAGTCAGGCACTAGCATCAGTGAGGAGGTCAAGGATATCGACTCGCACTACAGCACGAGTCCAAACACCGCCGTCACTGACAAGAACTTCTGGTCCGAGGTCCAGTACCTGGCCCAGGGTCTCAAGCCTGCAGATCTGGATGACGACGAGTTTGTCCGTGCTACTGTCGAGACTTCAATCAATAGGAAATAATTGAATACTGGTTTTTCGATCGTCCATAACAAAGCTTAATAGCTAAAAATCAGCGAGGTATCTGTTTAGTAGCCTCGTTTGCGGTCCGAAAGACTGCTGTTCAGTTGCCTGGTCCTCCGAAGTCTCCTGGGCGGCAAACTGAGCAAGCTCAAGGCCCTCTTTCTCGAATTGGTGCATCACGTCTTCCCAGACAATAACTTCTGGATCAATGGTGTCGTAGACTATCTCGTCGTGGTCTGCCAGTGCATGTCTCGAGTACTTAAAGTCTGGAAGTGGCTCGGACATCGTGAAATTCACCTTGTGTTCGATGACTGCCTCGCCGTGGTTTCCCTTGGGAGACAGTGTAAAGTTGGAAGTGCCGTTCTCGCGGCTAACACCGTTTATCACATTGACGCCATTGAGTGCAATCTTTTCACCGAAAACTTTGGTAATGTTCACCGAGAAGTCCACATCCGGCCCAAAGGTTGGCTTGGCCTTCACCTTGTAGATCAAAGGCTGAGTCACCTTTTTCTCCAACGACCAGATAGTGGCATTAGTAGCCGCATCCTTCACGCTACTGGTGATGTCAGTCTCTGGAATGAACACTAGCGACTCATCTTCACCAAAGCCTGACAAGAGCTGCACGTTTGATTGCTTCGTTTTCGAGGAGACCTCGAGAATCAGCTCCTTCTCGGTTCCATTTTCGTAAGTGTAGGTGACAGACGAGTTGACTTTATTTGTGTACTTTGCATCAACAATCTGGCTGTAAAGTCCTGCTGCAGGAGGACTAAAAGCGATTGCGGAAACCGAAGTCTTGTTCTCGAACGAGAGTATCTTTCCGCTGGAAGTGAGGATAGTCGAGTCTTCCCATGTGGCAACGCTTCCGGAAGCAATCCAGTTGGAACCAATGCCGTTAGGAGTCTCACCGAATTTCAGGTCGTCATCCACACAGTTTGAGACGTCTATCGCGAGCTGCGTCGATTGATCCCAGAATATTGGTAGCAACGGGGTGATATCCAGTCTGAGTGCGCGCACATCAAATGCCCCAGTAGACACAATCGGATGCCACAGAGCAGGCGAGATTCCTCCAGTGTACACAACCACAAATGGATCGGCACTCAACACGCGAATGCCATCAACAAAGACATTGATAACACGACAAGGACCATGGCCAGGATAGGATTTGTGGAAAACGTTCTTGTATTCTTCGAGCACATTGGAATACCAGAACTCTTCGTCGGCGTTTCCAGACACAAAAAGGTCAAGCACAACCTTGGTGGTGTTGTAGCTCAGCTGCGGAATCACTGAGTCGAAAGTGTTATCTGGTAACGTCAGCAAAGGTGGTCTGGTACCTGTCTCTCTTCTAACCAACGGGAAAATATTACTGGCTGGAGGGCGCATTCCGTCGACAGTGTCGTAATACTTCACATTCAAGCTAATGTTGAAAGATCCAGTCAACCGTGGAGTCAAGAGGTTGTCAAGCTGGAAAAGAATGGTAGCATCCTCCTCAAAGAGTTTAGCATACGTAGACACATCCTTTTCCGTATGCGCATGAGACGGTTTCCCGTGAGGCTCAATTGTACTTGTTCTCCAAACCTCGATACCGCTAACATACAGGTGAGCCAAACGGTCGTACTGGACGCCATCAACCCAGGTGTCCAATGACACAATCACCCTGTTGAACGAAACCTCTGGCTTTGTGTAATTAGCCTCAATAGGAAGTCCCCAGCTGTTGCCAAAGGTGTAATTCAAGATATTCTGCTCAAAGACCGGGTCCCCAAAATCTGGTTTGGGAAATCCAACTTCAATCACCTCAGAAACGGCTTCCTCCACTTCATTGTGGAAGGTCAGGAGAGAGCGAGGCCCCAAAAGGTAAACAAGTAAAATCAATGTCGATGCCTGAACGGCCCACATGGTTTTCTTCAGCACACCAAAAGAGGCCCTGTTTTTGGGCCTGGCTGGAGCTTGATAGTCCCCGTATTTCTCTGAGACCAGGGGTGCCCTGTCATCGAGTAGTTCTTGTCGCATGCTCTGTTTCTTGTGGAGTATCAATTGGTTCCAGATTGCCCACTCTCTGGCTAAAGAGGCTTTTGTCATGACCCCCATTTCTACTAGCTGTGGTTTGCGCACGGCTGCAAATAATATAAAATAAAATAAAAAAATAATAGTAGATACGGTATCTGGTATACATCAAACAAAAACTCTTTCATTGTCTCAATGATTCAAAGGATACGCAAGATTTTCAACTCGTTTCGCACTGAGGAGGAAGAGAGAAAGTTCTCGCGGAAGGCAGTATGTGTGATCTATAGCAGCACTAACATCTAGTTCTACAATTTCATGGGATTTCTGACATCGTGCGTGGTGTTCTCTTTTGTCGCCCAAAAGTTGACTGCTCCAGACTTGCGCTATTTGAGAAAGGAACTCTTACAAAAAACATAACGTCATGCATCATTGCGTTCTATGCATCTATACACAGGGAATTGCATTAAGGTTCGGATTTGTCGTTGAGAAGATAGGCCTTGGCCATTTCGTATGCGGTCCAGCTAATAGCAGTTGACGGCACGTTGAATATGACACGAGGACTGAGACCCCTCCAGAATGCGCTTGAGCCTCCGGCTTTGTACAAACCAATCGCAGCAGACTTAAAGCCTGTCACATTAGGGATTGTTCTTGTCTGTAATGCCGTCTTGATGCAGTCCAAGGGCGTGGTAAGGGCTGCAGCGGCAGCACCACTGACTCCTCCGGAAACGCAGTGCAGCATAGGGTTGTAAAGTTGGTCTGGGTTGAGTTTGGAACTTGAGTACTCGTACACTCCGAAATTAATGGCAGCAAATGGAATGTTGAGGATCAACGTTGTGGGGTAAGAGATATAGAATTGTCTCAAGCCTTCTCTTTTGTAGATGTCCCAAGCAACGTGCGACATTGACGTCCTGGCGGAAAGCTTCTTGTTGAGGATCTGCATTCTTTGTTTCAAAACGTCAAACGGAGTCATTAAAGCGTCTGAAGTGATCGTTGCGGCTATTCCCGACATCGATGCAATGATAGGGTGTTTCTCATCTGTGATAAAACTAGCGCTGCCGTGAGTATGTGAAGATGCGGAAAGCTGACAGAGAGCGGTCTTAGTAGACTCAAAAACCAAATAATATACAGCATGAGCAGGTCCCGCTCCCAAAACGACGGACGACACCCCTCGCCATAATGCAATAGCTCCCTCCGTAGAAGAGATCTTGGAAAATGATTGGATGACTCCTTCGTTCAGCGGCACTTTCAGTGTTTGCATTCGGGTTTTGATCGCATCGATAGGATACATGACTGTGTGTTCCATGATACCGGCGAAGGCTCCAGCGACAAGCTGTGCGACGACGGGAGAGTTCTCAGGAAGGGCTTCGTAGTCAATCTCAACTCCGTCGTGAGACGGCCTCACACTGAGTGGAACGGAAATACCTTTATCATCCAGTTTCTGGTCTTTCAAAATCGGCCTAGTCGTCATCAAGGTTCGGTTATATCAGATCTGGCAAAGGACTAGTTGAAAGTGGATAAAATGTTTCTCCTATCAAGCTGTCTGTGCAAATGGGTCTGCACCGATAAATTGCTTTGCTTTATTTTTTGGAAGCCAAAGCACTGCTCAAATATGTCTGAAAAAAATGCTGAAAAATTTTATTTACTCCAGCAAATCGGCCGTAACTGTAATATACTATTTTCGTTTAATAGATATAGTATTTGGCTATGTGCAATCAATTTGCCTAGATGCTCGTATATACAAGTTACTTTTTTGTCAAAGAATATTTTTTTCTCGCCTGCCGCTCGCATTTGGCACATGCGGATTATCCGTATCCGCTACCGCAGGCTAGCCTCGTATCAGATATTACGTAATTTTCAAAAATGGTGCCATGCATGGAGGACATGGTTTTAGCTTTCGCAACGATGACCTTCGCCACCTCAATGAGCGCTCGGCCCTGACTCACGGCTGCTCGGCTATATCGTCCTTTCCATTCAGCCAATCGCAACTGCAAAAATATCTTGTATTCCGAAGGAAAAAAACTAGTATCCCTTTTGAACGTGGTGCAAGGATGTCTTCTTGTGGCTCTCCTTCAAAGGGCTGCAGATAAGAAGATAATTAACTAAATTAGGTGCAATTTCAAAAGTGTGTCTATTCTGTAACCAGCATGGGTCTTCGATATTCTCAATGTCTGGACCCAGATGGTGTTGACAACGACTTTCCTGATCATCCAATCCATTCCAAACAAGTATTCTGTGCGCATCCGTGCTATGACGGGCTCGGGTATGGATCCTCTGAAGTAGAGGACGATGATGATGATTGCGACACTGGATCCCGATTTCCTGTTTTCTATGCCCGCGGTCCCACCACAAGGTTTCTTTATTCGCACTCCCCACGATTCATGGCTGCTTCCTCCAGCTTGTCAAGGTCAAAGCCGCTCTTCCGAAAGACTTCCAAATATAACAAGAATGGTATAGCAATCACGTATGGGTGCGGGCAATGTTTAACTCATTTATCTTCATCCAACCAGATCATCAGTGATCAATATACAGGCAAGACCGGAGATGCTTTGCTCATCAACAGCGTGGTCAATGTCGTTCTTGGCGAGCCCGAGGTGCGAGAGATGACCTCCGGTTTATACACCGTTTGTGATATCAAATGCCACCAATGCCACAAGTTGCTAGGCTGGAAATACATCAAAAGCCACCAGGCTTCGCAGAAATTCAAGGAGCAAAGATACATCCTTGAGATAAATAATATGAAGGTGGTCGCATAGGCCTCAGGGTATAGGGAATATATGGATTTTTGTATTTTGCTTCTTTCAATCCACTGTTAGGATCTTGAGTTCCTCCTGTGCCTTCTTGCGTTTCTCCTCTGTGCGCTGGCGCAACTTCTCCTGTTTTTCCTGCTTTTTCAATTGCTTCAAGCGCTTTTTTTCCTCCGGAGAAAGTTCGCTCTTCCGTTCTTGTGGTTTTACGTCGTAAGACACTTTATCGTAGATCTCGCCCTCTTTATGGAACTCTACCCCAAGCTCTTCAAGTAATTGGTCCAGGAAACTCTCAATTTTGCCTCTCTTGGTGGCTTCCAACTCTGTCAGAGATCTCTCATCTCCTGTCACTCTGACGTCAGCGTCGAAATTGTCCTTGTCGTCAATGACAATACGGATTCGCTCACCCTTCTTGACTTGCGTCTCGACTTCGTGTCGCTTTTGGCTTGTAAGATCGTGCGGAGTGATCTGCCAAGAAACTCTGACCATTTTGACGTCGGGTTCTCTCTGTCTACTTTCTTGTTTTTGCTGTTTGGCGATAAGCCGTGGATTCTCCTCTTGGAAGTGCTGTGTCTTTTGTTGCTGTAAATGCTTAGAAAGCTGTTTGCGTGCCTTCTGTGGAGAAGCCACCTTCAAAAGCCCAACGTCTCCAAACTTTTGGTCTCTCACGGACCCCATAAACAGGAATCCCTCCTTGGAAAGATCAATCTGGGCCAATGCAGTCCGCAGGCTCATCACTCCGAGGTTTTCACCCTTACGGATGAGTTTGACAAACCCTTTTGGATTCACTTCTCGAGATTTCTCAAACACGAGCTTCAAAGTGTCCTGATCTTTAGCTGTGCCACCAAGACTTCTAAGACGAACACCTTCTCGTTGAGACTCCGCTGAACACGAACGAAGCGCGCTAAATTGACGAGTCAACGCACGCAACATTATTTCTAGTTAAATATTTTTCACTAGATTTTTTACGCATCTATAGGTATCTTATTTATTCAGTAATTTAAATATCTACCCACGGATCACCAGATCGTCTGGAATTCCTGCATACTCGTCGTATTTCATGGCCAGGTTAATGTTTTGCAAGCATTGAGTCGAGGCTCCCTTGAGGAGATTGTCAATGGTGGCAACCACAACCACACGGTCTTGCTTAGCATTCACGGCAAAGGCACCGATCACCACGCCATGTTTGCCGCTAATGTCTTTCACATATGGAGCCTCACCGCTGATAGTAATGAGCTGCTCACCCTGATATCTGTCCTGGTAAATGTTCCTAACATCTCGCGAAGTCAGTGGCTTTTTCAATGGAATAGAGATCGTCTCTGAGATTCCCTGGAACCACTGGGCAACATGAGGCATGAAGGCCACAGGCAGTCCCAATTGAGAAGAGATCTCCCGCTCGTGAATGTGGTCAGTCAGAGAATACGGAATCAGGTTGTCTCTCAACACATTGATATCATTCTTTGGCGATGGTTTCGTTCCTGCTCCCGAGTAGCCAGAGACTCCAAAAACAGATGGAATGCCAGAACAGTACTCCACCAGTGGGCTGATGGCAACCTGTGCGGCAGTGGCGTAGCATCCAGGATTAGAGATCTTGCGAGCGCTCGAAATCTTCTGTCTATCGTTAAGCTCTGGCAATCCGTAGACCCACTCGCCGGTAGTGTCGAATCTGAAATCGGCAGAGAGGTCGATAATGATGGATTTTCCCGAAGAGGTGCTGTCAATTGCGTCGACAAACGGCTTGCACACTCCGTTGGGCAATGCCATCACCCAAACATCGACTTCGTTATTAGCCTCCATTTTCTTGATGTCCTCGATCTGAAGATTTTCGTACACGATCTCCTTTTTGTTGTAGCCTTTAAGCTTCTGGCCCTGCAACTCTCTAGAAGAAACGTGGCTCAGCTCCAAATAAGGGTGCTTGTCGATCATTGAAATCAGATTTTGTCCGGTGAATCCTCTAGCTCCAATCAACGCCACGCGGGCCTTGGAGGTGTTGGTGCCTTTTTTCAGTGGTGGGTTTGGGTTAGACGATGTAGCCAGTCCCCTCTTGAATTGTCTACTGAATTGCCCTTTAGGAATCCGTCTTTGGCTGCTGAAGCTTCTAGTCTGGGAGCCGGTCTTGAAAACTCCGCTCTGTTTCGCCGACACTTGGTTGGCAAAGTTCTCGACCAAAGTACTCACCTTCTCGATACTATCGACACCGTACCAGAATAGAATCTGGCCGTTCTTGGAGAAAGATCCGTCAGCCTTGGCAAAAAACCATGCGGTATTTGGATCGTCTTCCTGCACAGTCCACTGGAGAGCAGGGTAGTCTTTTTTCACTGCGGTGAAGATGTTGTCGGTCACGTTGTTGAGCCAGCCGGCCTTAGAGGCAAGAAACTTGTCCAGTTTTGGAACACCTGTAGAGTCCTCTTTCACAATGGCAAGGACATCGAGCGGCTCGTCACCATATGCCTTGAACTGGCTGGACTCGAGAGACTTCAGGTAAGAAGCCACCGAAGTAGAGCCGGATGAGATTTCTGGGTCTCTATTGAGGGCAGCCCTGAGTAAGTCTGGCTGCTGGAAATCATCAAGCGAGCTTCTGGTGAACAGCTTGTATCCCCTTCTAATGAGAGTTCCTGCTCCAGAATCGGTGAAGAGCTCCTTTTGCAGGTCGTTCACGTCGATGATGGCAACGGAAGACGAACGGGGCAAGTGCATCAGCAAATCTCTGATCTCCTTTATCTTCAACTTGGTTCCGTACTTCACCCAGCTTTGTTTCAATAGATCCTCGTACTCCTCGTCCAAATTGATTACAGACACCTTCTCTCCGGTGTTTCCGTTAATGATTCCTCCCTTTTCATTCAAATAGACGATCTTCAGAGGCTCAAACACTCTGGCAACCTCTCCAGCAGCAACGTCAGCATTGACATTGAGGATCTGTCCGGACGGAGTCTCTGCTAATGACGTGAGGATAGGCAGAGCACCAGCCTGGATAGATGCCTCGATTGGCGCCTTGTTGACACCAGTGATGTTTCCAACAAGCTGGTATTTCTCCTTGTCCAAATAGTCTGCCTGGAAAACACCTGCAGTAATCGGTCTGGCATGGACGCCCATTTTTTCCAAAGCGGTCACCAATTTGAGGTTCTGTTCAAGGAAGCACTTTCTAACAACTGCCATGGTCCGTTCGTCCGTAATCCGGATTCCATCGATGTAATCAGGCTCAATTCCCTCGCTCTCCAAGATCTCGTTGATTTGGGGTCCTGTTCCGTGCAAGACAATTGGATACAACCCCACGTGATACAGGAATGCTAGACAGGAGGCGAGCTCAGGCAGCTGTTGCGTAATGATGGCTCCTCCGACCTTAATGACAGCAAACTGCTGTTGAGACACAGAGGTGAAATATTTGAGATACTGTTCAACCTCTCTTTTGGAGCCAATGTTGTTCAATAATTGAATCACAGTAGATCTAGTAGAATAGCATCTAATCGTGAATGGAGTCTTAGAAGAAACCTTGACTGAACTGACAATGGCAGGACGTTGCACGCCTCGTTTGAGAGCGTATCTCGCCAGCTGGTTCCTCAGGCTGCCTACAGTTCTAATCATTGAAAAGGTTGCAAATTTAAAAATTTTCAGTCATATTATACACTTACACCCAGCTCACACTGACAGGAAAATTTTTAAGCGCGCACTAGTGGCTGGGGAAATTACCTGTTTTGGACATGTGGCAAAGCAGGATGCTTATGAAATCCATGAATCAAATCGACTTCATTTTTTGTTCGTTAAAAATAATGTGGTCCGGAGCCTCCCCTCAAGAACAAATCATAGAAGCCTCCAGACGAAACAATGTGGAATTGCTAGCTTCTGTGGCAGAAGCTCATCCGGAGGACATTGCAGCACTCGTAAACTCCTCTAAGGACGCCACAGGCAATACGCCATTGCATCTTTGTTGTAAGTACGGATGCTACGAAGTACTTGATAAGCTTCTGGACATTGAGGGTATTGACGTCGATCCAAAGCATCCAATTAGTGGTGAGACTCCCTTGCATTATGCCGTCCACTATAGTTTCGAGGAGCCCGAATACGCCAAATTTCTTATAGAGAATCTTCTCGAAGTTGGTGCCGACCCGACGGTTCGCAACAAGGATGGCCTTAAACCAGCCCAATTGCTGGGCGACGCCAACGAGGATATAAGAATGACTCTTGACGGGGCCGAATATGCAGCAAACGTGCAACAAGATGAACAGGAGGAGGTCGATGACGGTCCCTCGGACGAGGAATAGCTTCTTTGGCTCAAATCAAGCACTGGTCTATTTACACTAGTCTATCCGTTCCTTTCACCTTCCCGGTCCCAGGATCTATTTTAGCACTTCGGGACCCGAACTGGATGGCCCGTTTTGGTTCCTGTTCAACAAATCCCAACCCTAGATGACGAGCAAGTTCTCTCAATGCAAACTTTCGTATGATCTCGCCATTTGTTCTATCCATTCGCAGCTTGTCCTCGCATCTTACTTCTCTGGTTGCAAATTCCACTAATCTTTTATCCAGAAATGGGTAGCGGACTTCTTTGGACCAGCAGGAAATCACTTTGTCGTCTCGCGAAAGATTCCTGGTATGCAAATTGGATAAGTCAAGCTGCAGCTCTTCAATCAGACGTTGGATCAATGTGTTCCAGTCATACTCTCTGGTATCTTTTGAGGGCTTTCCAGAAACTTCTCGTTTTATTTGGTTTGAGAGGTTCGTGAAGATTCGCTCATGACGAGTATATCCTCCAAACAGCTCATCTGCTCCCAAGCCGCTTAGTAAAACTCTGCACGTACTTTCGTATGGCTCCCTGGTTCCGTTTGGAAGTACACGATTGCCGATACCTCGTGCGGCAAAATAGAAAGCGATGGCAATAGATAAATCCATCTCTGTGTCGTTAGGATAAATCAGCTGGATCACCTTGGACTTGTGTTCCAAATATTCCTCATATGGCACGTCAACTTCCACCAGCTGAAAATTGACCCTAGGATAAATTCGATGCAAACCTTTCCAGCTTCGTATCGCAAGAACTCTGTCTGGCGTGTCAGCTGGTTTGGTGTTGGAGCGTGGGTTGCAAAAAGAGACGTTTAGCAAGTCGATCGTTGTGTCGGGTCCAAGTTCTTCAGCTGCTAAAGCTGCAAGCAAAGTGCAGTCGAGTCCCCCACTGAATAATAATGCCACAGAAGAGCTTGACTTATGTGTTGGAGAGATAGTTCTCAAACGTTTTTTCACGCTCGATGCCAAAATTTCGTGCAGTCTCAACAAGTCCAGGGGCTTGTCTGTCTGTTGAACAATATCGGGGCTAGGAAGATCTTTGCTGGATCTGAAGTCGATCGTTACCAACTTTCCAGTCTTCATGTCGAATTCATATACCGTTGCACAGGCACACTCGAACCAGGTGTCTCGTGTCGTGGCAGGAGGGCAGCTGCTAATGTACAATTGGTTCTTATCAAGCATATAACCTAGACTTTTTCTTCCCAATACATCTTTGCCGAAGAAAACCTTCTTAGTGTCTGTATTAGTGATGCAATAAGAGAATTCGCCGTCAAGCTGGCCTATAGTCGATACCACGTCAAAATCTGATCTCACCAAAGTTTGATAGATAAATTCTAGATCATTATATTCGATCTCCTGATTGTAAAGCTCTCCGTTATATTGCAAGGAGAAGTTTCCCCTGACCATAGGTTGGGGCGTCAGAGGTGCCCTAATTGACAACACCGAGGAGAACTCCGTGATTGTGCCTTGGTCGATCTCCTTTTTGAAATATTGAAAACTATCCAACCCTCTGGAACACACGAGTGGCACCATTTGTTCAAAAAGCGAATCATGTAGTTCCCACTGTTCATTCTGACCCGTCGCTCGGTTGTCTATACGTCTCTGAAAATGCCACAAGATGCCACACATGGTTATACGAACCTCACCTATTTTTTTTTTTAACTTTTTGTTATTAAAGTATCTCGCTCTTTATGTCGTCTGGTAAGAAACTCCTTTTGATGGGCCGCTCCGGCTCTGGTAAGTCGTCTATGCGGTCCATCATTTTTTCGAACTACTCTGCATTTGATACAAGACGTTTGGGAGCTACAATTGACGTTGAACACTCGAATCTACGCTTTCTCAATAACATGACTCTCAACCTTTGGGATTGCGGTGGACAAGACGTATTCATGGAAAACTTTCTCAACAACGACTCAGACACCCAGAATTCCAATTCATCCAGCAATATATTCAAAAAGTGCGAGGTTTTGATCCATGTCTTCGACGTGGAGAGCAAGGAAGTCCAGAAAGACATAGAAATATTCAAGCGTGTGCTAGATAACCTCCACAAGTTCTCGCCAGGAGTCAAGATATTTATTCTTGTCCATAAGATGGACTTGATTCAAATCAACAAGAAACAGGAACTTTTCGAGATCATGTTCAACAAGTTGCACCACGTCGCTTGGGATAATTACAAATTTAAGATTAAAGGCTTTGCAACATCTATCTGGGATGAAAGTCTATACAAAGCTTGGTCCCAAATTGTCTGCTCGCTGATTCCAAACATCTCGCTTTACGAACAACTTCTGAGTAAGTTCAACTCAATACTCAACGCCAGAGAGATGATTCTTTTTGAAAAAACGACATTTCTAGTGATATCTTCCACTAATAAATTCAATGTTGGCTCTGATGAACTGGATCCAAAAAGATTCGAGAAGATTTCCAACATTATCAAGACTTACAAACAGAGCGTGAACAAGATAAGAACGAACTTCAATAACCTTGTTCTTCATGGTCGTAACTCCTCTATCTATTTGGATGTGCTCACCTCAAACATATACATTATGATTATTATGGACAACCCGAAATCAACATTCACGGGACACCAGGTAGATGACGAAAATCTGGTTCTTGAGAACATCAAGGTCGCAAGGGCGCAGTTTGAAAAGATTGAAAAAGGAGCATGAACGGTTTCAAAGATAGAATTTCTTCTTCTCCTTGTCCATGTCTGGACGATGCTCCCAGTCAATCTCCTCCTTAATTCCACGTTGGACTCTGCGAAGCTTCATGGTGAACTGGGGTCCAAGTTCCTGCAACCCCACCTTCTCCTCGTTCCTGAACACGTATCTATGCATTCTGAAGAAAATATAATCTCTTTGGTTGTGCAGCGTGATCACTTGACGTCCTTGAATCTCTGGCTTGTGCGGAAGCAGCGACTGGAAGAGCCGGCCCACCGTCTGGCCCAATCGCGTTGTGAAATTATTCAAAATGAGTTCAGGGATATGCTCTGTGGAGTTTCCATGACCAGCAATTTGCTTTCTGTCTCTGAGAGACGAGATCGAAAAATAGAATGTTGGACCTTGAGGCAGATGAATGAAGGTTATACCATTCACCACTTTTTTATCCTCATTGATGACGATAAGATGGGTGAAATCTCTGTTGGAACAATACTCGCTCATGTCTTTCATAGAATACTCCCTCTTTCTTTTGACAAAAGATGAGTTTGGAATTATCTCCATTAACGTAGATGCAAATTTGTATGCTGCTTTCTTTGCGTGCGGACTAGTGGTCATCAAGATCTTAGGTTCTTTATCCCTGTTTGTGAAGTACTCGGCGAAGTCGTCTTCGCCCTCTAACTCGGTGTTAACAGTCTCATCGTAGACTCTCATGTTTTCGATAGTATTCGGCACATTCTCAGCCAGCCGTTTGGCCTTCAGCTCTGGATTCTGTAGCTCCTCCCTCGCTCTGGCTGCTCTTATCTTGTGTTTCTTTTTATTCTGTTCATCTTTGAGTTTTGCAAACAACTGTTGTCGCTTCTGCTTATTCTTGATCGACTTGAGCTTTTCAGTCGAGGAAGACATCTTGATATTTTTTTTACTTTTAAATTTTTTTTTGTTTTTTCAATCTTGATCCTTTTTGATTTATATTTTCTATTTCACCACACGTCTTCCTGATATCTATTTAGAACCCTCAAGTTTTTCACCATGCCTGTGGCAATCGACTCAGTCACCTTGCGCTCAGACATCATGATTCTGACTAGTACAGTCTGAACGTCCCTAGCCATTCTGGCAGCGTCACCACAAACATAAAAGAATGCACCGTCGTCAAGAAGTTCGCTAATTTCCGTGGCTCTTTCCAGCATTTTGTGTTGAACGTAAACTTTTTCTGCGGTTTCTCTGGAAAAGGCAGTCACCAACTCAAACTTTTCGCCAAGTTTCTTCGAATACTCAACAAACTCGTCTTTGTAGAGGAAGTCCTCAGTGGAGTTTCTGCAGCCGAAGAAGAGCAATGTTTTACCAACACCGATGTCATTAGCAGCTTGGGCAACCCTTTCTCTAATAAAGCCTCTGAAAGGAGCCACACCAGTTCCTGGACCAATACAAATAATCGGAGTGGCTGGATTGGATGGGAGCTTGAATGTAGATCTTCTCACATGCACAGGTAACTTGAATGGAGCAAACTTTTGTCTCGGGCCTGCAAGGTCATATGTCACCACAGGCTTGACGTCAGACACTTTGTTCTGGGCTAGCTGGATGTTGAGAAGCAAGTTGGTAGCCACACCAGTAACGATGTGATCAACGTTCGGGTACTTCTCCTGCTCAACAACTGCAGTGACATGAATAGCCTGCTTGTCACTCAGGGACGAAGACGAAATAGAGTAGTACCTTGGCTGTAGATGAGCAACGGACTCTATAATGAAAGCAAACGGAACTGAGGTCCATTTGACTCCGTCACTCAAAACACGCAAAAGGTCAGCAATGTTGAGAAACTTGCTCGTCACCTCTTCATGGAATAGCTCCTTGTCTTTTCCGAGTTTGCTTGCATGTGCCTTAGCTTGCTCGGTAGGAGCAAACTGAGCGACTGAGCCCACGAACTGACGAGAGACGGGACCTGAAATTTCCAAGTAGTGTCTGACAACAGCTTCATAAGTACTTGGAGAAATCAGATGAGGGTGAACAGTTGGGTCCAATGACTTAATATCGATGACAACGTCTTTTTTCTCGTAGAGGCCAAGAATATCCAGGAAGTTGAACACATGTTCGTTGGAGTTAGAAGGCCAAATCGCTAAGTGGTCACCAGTGGTGTACTTCAGGGTCGAATCAGAGATGTCAAACTCAGCATGAATACAATGTCTGCTATCAGAATTGAAAAGTTCCCTACTGACAGTGATCGGAGCCAAGTATGGATGGGTGTGATCAAATGGTCCTTCATTCAGGGATTGCGCTTCCTCTTGAGATGGATTGATATATTTAGCATCTGGTTCTCCCAAGGAAACCTCTGGAGAGTCAACGGTAAGAACGCTCTCCTCGATCTTGATCTGGGGCTCATACACCAATTCATGTTCCTCGAGACTCAGCTGGTCTTTCAAGATGTCGAAGAGACCGTCCTTCCACGCCATGTAATCCTCATCCATGGTTCCTCTTCCATCATCACCAAGACCCAGCTCACCGACAAGAGTAGCACCTTTTTCAGTCAGAGTAGAAACAGTTTTTTTTCCCATTGCATTGTAGAACTCGTAAGTCGAGTTTCCAAGACCGAAGCACGAGAACTTCAAGTTGGACAAGTCCTCGCACTCATTTTCCAAATAGTCGAAGAACTCCACAGCATTGTCAGGAGGCTCACCTTCTCCATAGGTGGCGGTGAAAAAAATGACAAGCTGGAATCCGTCAACGCTCGTAAAGATCTCGTTTAAATTTTCATAGTCGTAATCGGCCAGATCGCCGCACATTGTTGGGATGGAGAACCTAGACTGGAACTCTTTCGCGAACTTGTGGCTGTAGTCCTCTGCTGTACCTGTCTGGGAGGCAAATAAGACCAGGGCTTTTTTGTTGTTAGTGGACAGAACCTCAATTAAATCCCTTGAAGATCCGCGTGGCACAGACACGTCTTCGCCATCTGATTTTCCCCAGAGAGAGCCTTTGGTGTAGTAGATACCAATAGCCAAGACTATAGCAACCAAAACCCCGAGGTCCAATGTGTCAAGTGCCATCTGATGAAGAGTTTAGGAAAGAATGGCTTTTTTTTTATTTGACCAGCTTTGAGTTCAGCACCAGAAAATAAAAATAAGGAACTTATGTCCAATTTAGGCAAATTAGCTCGAGACGTAGTCGTTGAATCCGTCAGAAGGTACACTCTATTGCCAGTCGACAAGGTACGCGATATATAAGTTTTAACCCAAAGTCGCGTGATTTAAAACCGATAAAGTACCTTCGTTGGGATTTTGTAGGTTTACCTAATCAATATATATGCTGCCAATCATCAAGCATCGAAATTAGAGTAGACACTAGCACTCAGGTCGTCTAGCTCTTGTAGATTGTTGAGAGTGTACAGGATTTCATTATCGAGAGAGTTGTTCGTTAGCTGGTTGGACTGTTTTGTGATAGATGCCAATAACGAAGCCAGCTTCACCTTGGGTATCTCGGTAAGCACCTGTTCCTCGTGATCTGGGTTTTTTTGTTTGTTCATGAGGTTCACAACGATGTTATCCAGAACCTTTGAGATCCCCACAGTAACCAAAAGACTGATGATCGCGCTGACCTGGTCATTCATCAGATATCCCTTCAATTCGTTTAGCAGCTTGCTAACGTTTTCCGAGTTCTTTATGTTGTTGTTGAAATTCGTAAGAAACTCCATGTCATTGGTTTGCTGCAACAAGAAAAACTCCATGTTTGCCGGCGGGAGTAGAGATGTGATTACAGCTGAGCTTGAAGCCTCTGGCTCCGTCAATGGCTCGCTTTCTTTTTCCGCGTATATTTCTTTGTCAATTATCTGCTGTGTCTTGTTGATGAGAGTCGCAAACTCGTCGATCGAGAGTTCTTGTCGAGGGTTGATATCTCCAAAGATGTCTTCGACGCTGGACTCCACCTTGTTTTTGATGTCAATCCATCCTTTGTTCAAAAGCCACCAACTGTAGGACAAGAAGGCTTGCTCAGCAAGATTCTCGTCCTGTCCGCTAGAGCCTGTGGCAAGTTCCTCGTCGTTGTCGAGGAAAAGGCTTGCAGAGTCCAAATCCTCATTGGACTCGTTCTCTAGTTTGATTCCTTTCGTCTTGGACGCCAGCTTGATCGCGGTTTCCAAATACGAGCGTCTTGAGAGAATGTTCAGCTGCAAATGCAGGAACACGATAAGCAATGATTCGCAATAGAGAAGCGTTAAGAAACGCGTAATGCTTTGATTCCGAAGCTCGTTCCACAGTTGTGTCTTTGACTTGGTCTGTGGTATGCCGGTATGCATGGGTGTCTCCCTTTCATTGTGTACCGAGAAATCGTCGCTGAGGACAGTCGACAAAGCTGGATCAGTTGTGTTTCCAACAGGAAGATTCTTCGCCTTTTGTCTTTCAAATCGCTTGTTCTGCAATTCTCTTGTTATATCCTCCACCTTTAGTGCCTCGTAGATCGGCTCTGTTAAAACGGGGAGCAGAGACAGGAACGTCATGTAACAGTCGTTCTGCGTCTGTTTGAAACGCCTTTTAATTTGCTCTTTGGCAAAATTCTCCTCCTTTAATCGTTCTTGCAACTCCGCCAGCTTGTTGCTCACGTACGAGCTGACCGCGTAAGAAACCGCGATCACTCCCGTGCCAAACAGGAGCTTTTTCTTGTGTCTCGACACAAGATCTCTACAATATTGGAACATCACCAAGTATCACAGAGAGCGAATAGAGTGTCACTTGTAAGCCAAATATTTATTATTTCTTGCTGCTCACTTGAAAGCCTATATCTTGCCGCAACAGGAAGTCCACGGATTAAGTAAGTTTGATGAAATTTCCAATTACCCGGTTAAACTATATATTTACGTGAAAGACGAATGACGATGAATGAAAGGGCAGGTTCATTTCTTGCTCGTGGTCGCCTTTGACTTTTTGTTCTTCGTCTTGGACTTCTTCAGATCTTTCGAGTCGTCAGAGTCTGTTTTGCGCTTCTTCGTTGGTTTTTCAGTCTCGCTGCCTTCTTTGTCTCCAAACTTCGTGTGCTTGCCCTCAAAGTGCACCTTGCTCACAGCTGGCTCTATCTTCTCGCCAAGTTGATTTCGCACGTGCCGCTCTGCGGCCTCTGCAACTTTGCGTTTGAACTCCTCTGTATTCTCTTCTTTGGTAACCGCTTTTTTCGCTCGCTCAATATAAAGCTTCACACGATTGAGCTCTTGCATTATGGGATGTTCATTCTTCTTATTCTCGCCGCTAGTTTTCAACAGCACAAAGTAGAGAGAAGCGATCACGTAGGCATAATTATTGTATAGGTCGACTTTTTCGAGCGGAGTTTTGGCACCCTGAACATGATTTAGCAAGCTCTTGGCTAGCATTCCAGATTTGAGCTTGGTTTCAAGGTCTTCCACTCCATGGTTGAGCGAAGCCAGGAGTTTCTTCACTGCGTCTATATCATCCATGTCCTGACAATTTTAATCACTGAATATTTTTCTCCTCCCTACACCACAACAAAGCCAATGTTGCACCGAGAAACTATTGTTATGCTGGAAGAGCCCTGCAGAGCATCGCGTCACTGCCAGCAACGTCCATAAACGCATGCAAGAGTTTGTGTCTAGGCTATGCTTTCTTGAACTCACTGAAGCTCAAGTTTGCCTTTTTGCTATGATATTTAAATTCTCCATATTGAGCAAGTTACCTGATATATTGAAGAAACGTAGCCACAGTTTTAAATACTTCAGATAATTTAGCATCCTCCCTATAAAGTATCACATTTTGACGATGTCACTCGGAACAATTTACAGCTTACCAACCTCGCCACGAAGCTCATTTGTAGTCTCTTTGATTAAATACACTGGGCTAGACATCGAGGTCAAGGACAGGAGTGCTCCCGAATTTGAGGAGCAATTTCCTTTGAAAAAATGTCCAGCTTACCTAGGAGCCGATGGTTTCCATCTGACAGAGAATCTGGCCATTATCAAGTATATCACTGAAATCTCGCCAAAGAAGTACAACTGGTACGGAAAAGACGCTAAAGAGGAGGCTAAAGTTTGGCAATGGCTCTCCTTCATCAACACAGAATTTATGCCAGCTCTGTGCGATTGGGCCTTGCCAAGTTTGGGAGTTCTGCCTTACAATGCGGAACAGATACAGAGAGGTGTCGATAGACTCGACCAGCTAGCAGGTCTTATTGAGAAGCAGCTTACAAAGACTAAGTATCTTGTTGGGGACGAGGCCACGCTAGCGGATTTGTACGCTTCCGAATTTGTCAAAGGTTCCTACAGCGGCCTTTGGGATGAATCCTGGGTGAAAGAACATCCTGGTATTGCGAGATGGCTAGATCAGCTAAAGAAGGAGCCAGTAGTGGGAGAGTCCTTGAAAGGTATCAGACCTGCAAACAAAGCAAAGAAATGAATAAAGTCTAGGAAATAGGGATTTTAGCGTTTAATGGCACATTCGGCAAACTGGGGGGAGTTCATTCTGGCAACACTCACTATAAATTCAAACTTAACAGACAGACAAAGAAAAGTAGATGAACACAGAGTTCAGCAAGGGAGGTCGATTAGTACGACTCAAGGTCCTGCTTCCTTCTTAGTTCGTAAACCTTCAATGCCTCTTCTGCAGCTTTGACACCCGAAAGAACCATAGCACCAAAGGTTGGTCCCATCCTGTTGTGGGAGTCGCATTCACTCAGCTCCATACCGGCACAAACAAGACCAGGGAAAACCTCTCTCGTGTTCTTTACAATAAAATCCTCAGCACGATTCATATCCAAGCAACCCATGTGGTTTCTCTTCAAAAGACCAAGCTCAGCCAGTCTCTTGACACAGAAAGCACCCATAGGACCATCATGACCAGTACAGGAAATGATGACCTTGGAGTTGATGGTGTTCGGATCCATACAAGATTGATCGTCATGGTGCATAGAGACCAGTGTCCAGTTGGTAACAACACCAGCAATTCTGGTCTCACCAGAATCAGTAGTTCTGGTAATCAAATCCTCGACACATGTAGCGTTGAAGAGTTTGACGTTAGGCAGAGCTAGGGCCTTGGAACACAAGGTAGTGATGAACAATGCTGCGTGTTTGACAACAATGTAATCACCTTCGTCCTCGTACTCAAGACCTAACTCTCTGATGAACGAGTCGGCTGGCTTTCTCAAAACCATGGCTGAGAAGAGTTGACCTCCAAGGAAACAACCACCTCCCACAGCAACATTGGCCTCGATAATTGCAATCTTCAGGTCAGGTCTAGCCTTACCCAAAACATAAGCCGCACTCAAACCAGCCGAACCAGCTCCGACAATAACAATGTCACTCTCTGCATACTTGTCCAGATCCGCAAAGTAGCGTCTTGTCATAGCCCGAGACACCGTAGACTCTCTGATTGGAGCAAACCTGAAGGTGTCCCAGTCGTACACAGCGGACACTGCCTTGGAGACCGGAGAGTCTGCATTGAATACATTTCTTTGCTTCAGAGACAAAGTAGCCTGCTCAGAGACTGTTTTCGTTGGTGCAACAATAGAAGATGGAGCCCTAAAAGATTAGTATTGTTCTAATACAGGTGCATTTTCTTTTCGCTAGTATTAACTAGATCAAGTTCCGACCGTATAATCTCAGCCCACAAAGGGGCACCGGCAATGCTGTATCATATGAAGAGCAAAAATGACTGACCATCCGTCGAAAACTTAAGTATATCTAATCAAAACCATTATGACCTACATAATTGGATTGATAGAGATTAATGGAGCGAACAGGACGACTTATATAGCAAAAAAAAAGTACGCAATGGCGGTGCAATCAGCGGGCCCCACATATTGCCTCGGAAGATACTCGACCGCCATTGACCAATAGTATTCTGCCCAGGACAGGAATTTCTCTATTAGGAAACTGAACTGCCTTGCTGTACGTTAAACAGGCTGTGTGGTTCGTTGGGAGCCTAACCTTATTAACCTAAATTCAACACCCAGTGCAAAGGTGTGTTTTTCAGAGGCAAAGATTCATTCGCACAAGCGAATTTCATCGTCAGCAATCTTTCCCCATTATATGGCGATTGACAAGCCCCCGTCGTACAAGAAGCCTGGGATCGAGTTACTGGAAAAACATATTCCCAAGAACTCGAATCTAAAGGTTTCTAAAGGGGCAATTGTGTTGAAACATGATATGACTAATCTCGGTACCTTGTATTTAGAGGCCCCTTATATTCTTATTCCTCCTTTTGATCTGGTCAAGCTCATAGAGGTCGGCAAGTGCTGCAGCTATTGCGGTGAAACCCTGAAGGTCTACGATAAAGGTAGGCTCAGGGACAAGGAGGCCCATGATGTTTCAGATCAGAAACATGCTCGATTTATGAGCGGGCTGGATTGCCGAGATTGCAGCTCTAGATGGTGCTCGCAAAACTGCAGAAAGCTTGATTTTTGCCACAGCTTCCTTAACCACCAGCCGACCAACAAAGGTATGACCAATCAGATCACAAACTCTCGTGGAGAGAAGCTTGTCTTGTTGTACGACCGATGGACAAGTTTCAAGAAGGCCATCCACGAGAAGAGCTTAGAGCTGGCACATTGTGCGCTTTATGTTACCTTACAGCTGTTTCACTACCCAGAACTGAAGGAAGGCTACATGAGCATGCGAAATGTGGTAGCGGAACATCGGGAGGAGTTCCTCGGCCGCGATGTAGATTTTGCGACGCTTTATGAAGAAACGAGCGCGTGCTTCAAGGGTTTCAAAGTGTCGAAAGACGAATATCTAGACTGCATATCAATTTTCAAGCTCAACAACTACAACAGTGGTATCTATCCGTTGACAAGCTATTTGAGTGATCCATTGGGCGAGATCAACTGCTCAATTGCACCGTTCGAGACAAGTACTTCTCACGACTACGAGGATTTCCGTATTGATGTTGTTGACGAGCATAGTGTGACGCTGACAAAACAGAGACATTTAGAGTCCTATAGAAAACCGATTCATACGAATAATCTGAAGATCGATAAGAAGATCATCATAGTCTCTAGCATGCGCAACATCAAGAGTTTTGAGAAGCTTGTGGCTGGGGAGCCGCATGAAACAGGTTCTGCATGCTCGAGTTCAGACAATTCTTCGATGGAAAAAATTACGGCTCCCGTTCCACTTCGTGTCCCCGGAAAAGCTCGCAAACCACGTAACGCCTCCTTCACGTCCTCAGGAAACTCGTTCGGGGAGGGCATTATCAAGTACAACAGGGACCAAATTCGCGAAATGCTCGCCGAAATGTCTCTTGACTCTGACGATAGCGAGACAGAGACCCCTATTCAGCTTGAAGTCCCTGAACAATTTGTGAAACCCCGACGTAAGAGTGTGCGTTTCGAGAGCTGAATGAGTCAAGGGTGCAGGTTTGACTCAGACGCATGCTCGAGAACTCGGACCATCCATCCTCTTCTCTGCTGCCGTACAATCGTCCGTTTTTGTCGGTGCAGCAGGAAAAGATGGTTATCGCACGAATATATTTTTATCAACGCATGATACAATAGAGATGCATGAAATAATAGTCGGAGATGTAGATAAGTACCTTGATAAGTGCATAAACAGCCAATCACGTTGAGATATCTCGAACCGGGCTTCTTGGGCAGATGTTGGTGGCTGGAGATTACATTCGCAGCTACGAGAGCTTTCCGGCGCAACGAAACTGTTATCCCTAGACAATGGACCCGCTTTTATGGATATAAATATCCCAAGATGCGCAGATTTTCTCGTCTGTTCGATAATACTCATTTTTTGCAACGATGAAAGACTCAATGACTGAGGACCTCGCTGCAGACTATGACAAGGCCGACATGGTCTGGGTCATGGTCAGTGGTGTGCTGGTCTGGATTATGATTCCTGGTGTTGGACTGCTATACTCTGGGCTTTCCAGAAAAAAACACGCTCTTTCTCTGTTGTGGGCCTCGCTCATGGCTATTTGTTTAATTTCCTTCCAATGGTTTTTCTGGGGGTACTCGCTTACTTTCGGTACTAACTCGTCTGTGTTTTTGGGATCGCTGGATAACTTCTGCCTAATGAAAGTTCTTGGTGATTCTAACGCGTTGTCTACTGTCCCAGACATTGTCTTCTGCTTTTTCCAAGGAATGTTTGCCATGATTACCGGATGCATTATGCTCGGTGGTGCGTGCGAGAGAGCTAGACTCGGCCCAATGATGGTGTTTCTGTTTCTCTGGATGACTGTCGTGTACTGTCCTTGTGCTATGTGGACATGGAACGCCAACGGCTGGCTTGCAACCCTCGGTGCTTACGACTTTGCCGGTGGAGGACCTGTCCACCAGGCTTCTGGCTTTGGTGCCTTGGCCTACGCTCTGATTTGCGGTAAGAGACACGACCCTGTTGCAGGCTCCAACTTGCCTAAGTACAGACCTCACTCTGTTACCAGTGTTGTTCTGGGTACCGTTTTCCTGTGGTTCGGATGGTTTGGATTCAATGGAGGATCTTCTGGAGATGCCTCCATCAGAGGATTCTACGCCTGTGTCAACACCAACCTGGCTGCTGCTTGCGGTGGTCTTGCCTGGATGTTCCTCGACTACTTCAGATGCGGCCGTAAATGGACCACTGTCGGAATGTGTTCTGGTGCCGTTGCAGGTCTTGTTGGCATCACTCCAGCAGCAGGTTTCGTTCCTGTTTACTTTGCCGTCCCAATCGGTGCTCTGACTGCCATTGCTTGCAACTACTCTGTTGACATCAAGAACATGATTGGAATTGACGACGGTTTGGATGTTTGGTGTCTTCACGGAGTTGGTGGATTCACTGGTTCTGTGTTGACCGGTCTATTTGCTGCAGACTACATCATCGCTACTGACTACGGTGTCTCTGGTGAGGGAGGATGGCTCAACCACCACTACAAGCAGCTGGGCTACCAGCTAGCAGCCAATGTTTCTATCGACGCATGGTCTTTTGTCGTCACTTCTATCCTGCTGCTGGTTCTCAACAGAATTCCATTCCTCAAGATAAGATTAAGCGAGGAGGAAGAGGAGCTGGGTACTGATGCTGCTCAAATCGGCGAATTCACGTACCAGGACTCCAGGGTGTACATCCCAGAGCCAGTGAGGTCTGTCAGAAGCATCCCAGGTACTAAGGCCACCAAGTCCAACGAACTTGACGCTGATGCTGTCCCGCTTCCAAAAGACGAAAAAGTCGATGTTTAATACCGTGTCCTATTAATGATAATACGTTCAGTGTAACGAAGTAGGTAAATTTGCGACGCCATCGTTGTCAGCAAAAAAGTTGGATCGCCTGCATATTTTGCCGGTGATCTAAATAACAAGGGTCCAGCTATAATTAGTGAGAAGCCATTTCATTTGGTGTAGCTTTATGTGACTTCTATAGTAATGATGACATTGGACAAGAAAAATTCCTTTGCTTGGCCAATCATTCATTCAAGCCATCTGAATGTTGTCCTCAAGATCTTTCGACTCACAATGAGTTCCCTCTGTTTGGCATCGATCTACATCACCAACCCTGGTACACATCTAAAAGCACAAGGCTGTGCAGCTGTTTATTTTTTGGGCCTATTTGAATTCACGGTAAGGTGTTTTCTGAAATTCTTCTACTTATGAACTACGACTCCAAAAGTCAGAACTCCGTCAGCTTTTGCCTCTCGAAAGATCTAAAACTGCCGATCAGATTTCGAATAAATGGGCTCAACGACTACACCCAAAGGATTGCGCAATCTCTCTCCCTTGATAAGCAGAGTGCCACTTCACGAATAATACAGGCCAAGCTTAAGGACCAGCCAATTAGTGAGATTTACGTTTATGTCTATGTAGAATCTTCCGGGAAGCAGCTTACTGTCCCCGTCCTGACCAGCGTGGCTTATTCAAACGGGAATTCCAAAAATTCGTCACGTGGAAACTGGATCCATCTGCCAATAGATTATTCACAGCTACCTCTTGACGCCGTTCTTGTTTTATCCCTTTTCAATTACAAGCTGAAAACGGGTTCAGAAAACCGATTGGGAGAGTCCAGATTGCACTTGTTCAACCAGGAAAACTGCACGCTTATGAAAGGCTATCAGAGGCTGAAAGTGGATTTTGCAGACGGGAAAACTGAGCTTGATCAACAGAAGCAGAGCCAAATGCAAATACTGGAGGCCAAGCTTAAACAGAGGGAACATGGTGAAGCTGGTGCTGCTGAGTGGCTCGATCAATTAACATCTCGCAGAATGGAGCAGATAAATGCCAAAGAAGCCGCTAAACTCAAACAACAGCTATTGATAACCAAAAGGACGGGGGATGTGCACATCAACTTGGAGCTGGCTCAGTTTGAGATCCCAATCGTATACTCTGATGTTAAATATGCCACTTTGAACATCACTACCTCTGAATCGCACGTCATGAATGCAGTGGCCAGAAACAGTGTCAGCAATAGAGATCAGTTGTTTAACGAGATACAGTTCAGCAACCTTGAGGACCTAGAAAAACAGAAAAGACCAACCATTTTTGATCCGGACCAGTACAGATCGGAGATCATCGAGGAACCTATCGAAAGCAAATTCAGAAGATTGGAGAGAACTCACCAATCCTCGTCACTAGATAAAGACATCAAGCCTACACTGAAGTTGAGGGCTGAGCTTACCAAGATTTTGCACAAACAGTTTTTTGAAAAGCTCAGCCAGAAGGAAAAGAACATGATATGGAAGTACAGGTTTTTCTTGTTGAACAATCTGATCCTAAACAAAAATAACACTGAATTTAACAATTTTGTGATCAACTTTATCAAGTGTATTGATTGGGATGATGATTTTGAGGTTAATGAGTTCCTGGTGATCATAAACAACTTGAACACCGACCCGTATTCTAATGTGTTTATCCGAAAGATGGAGATTGTCGATTGTCTTGAGCTGCTCAGTGCAAATTACAAGAATTACATTGTCAGGAACATGGCGCTGGAACGTCTTAGACTGGCTTCTAATGATGACTTGGAAATGTATATGGTTCAACTGGTTCAGTGTATTAGAAATGAAGCAAATTACTTGAGCCCGAGGACAGATATTGATGATGATGGTGAAGGAGACAACAACTCCGAAGAGAATTCTGAGTTCTTGGACTTTGAAGACTCAACATACACTACCAATTCCAGCGAGTTTCAAGTCATAAACACCGAAGAAGAAGACCCAGTAATCAAGCTGCTCAACAATCCTAACATAACGAACCCGGAAAAAAAGATAATCGAGAAACTGCCAAGGTTGCAATCACCTCTGGCCAATTTTTTGATTGAACGCTCAGTCAACAGTGAAAGACTGTCCAATTTCTTCTACTGGAACCTCAAGGTTGAAGTGGATGACGAGCGAGAAAGATATAGATTTGCACCAGGAAATAACAGAGCAGCTAACGCAGTCGAACAAGCAGAGTATGCTCCTGACCAAGCTGCGCGTGGGTCACAAGTTCCAGCAACTCACGTCAAGCATATATTTCTTCGAACGCTGCTTCATTTCGTTGCTAAGTTGGGAGTGAGCAAAAATGGCTCAGACAAAATATGGACTCTTAGAAACCAGGTGGAGCTTATAGGAAGATTGCATTCAATTTCAAAAACAATCAAAGTCGATTTTAAGAAGGATCCTACGCAGAAAAAAATTGAGGCACTTAAGACTCTTCTGGCTCAAAAGTTCAAGGCGACAAAGCTCAAGTCGTCTAAAAAATCCATATCAGAGTACGAATCGCTTTTGGATTTTGGGCCTGTCCAGCTTCCTTTGGATCCAAGTATTTATGTGATAGGAACCATTCCTGAGGAGTCAAGTGTCTTCAAGAGCAGCTTGAATCCTTTAAAAATCGTGTTCAAAACTATTGAAGGCCCTCCTTACCCTATCATGTATAAGATAGGAGACGATCTACGACAGGATCAGTTTGTGATTCAAATCATGACACTCGTGGAGCGAATACTCTTAAATGAGAATTTAGACATGAAGCTGAAACCTTATAAGATTATGGCACTGGGATCCATCGAAGGACTTATCCAGTTCATTCCCAACTCTTCCTTGTCCTCCATTCTACAAAAACACTTGACCATTCTTACCTACTTGCAAACTTACAACCCTGACCCTGAGGCACCACTGGGTGTCAAACCTGAGGCCATGGACAACTATGTTAGATCTTGTGCTGGCTACTGTGTTCTAACTTATATACTGGGTGTGGGCGACCGTCATTTGGAGAACTTACTGCTGACCACTGATGGCTACTTTTTCCATGCTGATTTTGGTTACATTTTAGGGCAGGATCCTAAACCATTTCCGCCTCTTATGAAGTTGCCAATACAAATCATAGAAGGTATGGGAGGACTTGGTAATGAAAATTACCAGAAGTTCTGCAACTATTGTTTCATCACATACATCACATTACGCAAAAATGCATCTTTGATTCTAAATATTTTCCAGCTGATGATCGATTCATCAATCCCAGTTCTACGAACCTCAGGTAGCAACGGGATCTCGAACGAGACCGAGAAGTTCGAGCTCATTTGGAAGATCCAGGAAAAATTCATGCTCGAATTGAATGACGAGGAAGCCGTACTGCATTTCCAAAATCTCATCAACGACAGTGTGAATGCGTTCCTGCCCGTTGTTATCGACAGACTACACAGTCTCGCTCAGTATTGGCGCGCTTGAATCATCGCGAGACTACGTATTTCTGGAGTGCTTTCGAGGGGAGAACTTGTTGCTTGACGAACAGCTTCAGAGCGTTTGTTCTCGAAACTGTGTAAGCAAAAATGAGGTTCGAAGCAGCGAATTTGCTCATAACATTCAGCTTTTTGTCCAGCAATCCAATGAACTTCGCTTTGTCTATCTTGGGATTCTTATCGATCAGGTTTATAGTAACGCTTCTAATGAAATCTCGCTGTTTTTGAGTGATCGCGCCACGAATCAATGTCTGACGATAGCTTCGATACTTTTCAGGATACTTCTCAAGTTGCTTTTCGAACTCTGCAAAGAGTTCCTCGAGGGTCGCCTTCTCAGCTACTTTTTGTGACTCTGGGTATCTGATCTTGCCGCGACGAATGGTTTTGACAAAAGACAAGATTTTAGCACCGGTGGGGTATATTTTAATTTGATAGAACTCTTCGTTTCCAATGCTGAGTCCCCAAACATCTCGCCTCAACTGGATCCACGGAAACTGGCTTGTCTTGAATTTGCCAATTATATTCTCTGTCTGGACCACTTCTTGCTCCTTAAATTTTTCGAAAATCTTTTGGTAGCCATCAAGAGTGTCATACTCCATGTATTTTATGTCTTCTATTTCTGGACCCTCCTGTTTGCCGCGACCAGTATCGCTCTCAAACAAGGAGACCCCATTTGTTTTCATCTTCCCTTCCAGAGTGGGATTAGAATGAACACCCACTTTGTGTGCGTCCACGAAATCAATCACGTAGCATCTATGTTTGTTCTCATGAAGCCGTAGCCCACGCCCCACCATTTGAGTAAGGAGAGTTTTCGATTGTGTCGGACGTACTATAAATATCGAGTCAATATTCGGAATGTCTGTGCCTTCTGTGAACACACCACAGTTCATTAGAACAGGCAGCTGCCCATTTGAGAATTCTGCGATCAGTCTTTCACGCTCAAACTTGGACGTATTGCCTGTTACATATTGAGCGTTCACGCCGTTGGAGCGAAAAACCAGCGATAAACTTTCCAGATGGGCAACATTGACACAAAAGAACAACGATGATCTCAGTTGATACTTCTCTGCAAAATGCTGGTAACTTTGAAAGACCAGGGCGTTGATTTCGTCTTTGTTAACATGACTCGCCAGCTCGTCCATCTTATAGTCTCCGTCTTGACCGATGGCAACCTGGGAGAGCTCCAGACCCGCAGAAACCTGGATCCACGAAAAATCAGACAAATAGCCTTCTCGAATGAGGTCTACCAAATTTTTGTCAAACACAATTTCGTCAAAAACAAGACCAAGTGGCAGCTCATCGTATCTCGACAATGTGGCGCTGAACCCGAGCAGCGCTATATCACAATCAGCAGAGTCACAGCCGAAATGCTTCAGTATCTTGGTATACGAGTCTGCGACGCCGTGATGGCATTCGTCGACGACTATAGCCTTGTATTCACCTGGATCGTGAGATTCTAGACGCTGAGTGCTCCTGTTCAGAGTTGGAACCGAGGCAACAACAACATCAATGTCTGGTGCATGAGAAGGTTTGCGATTTGCCATATCCAGTTCTATTTTGTATTCAGGGTATACCCTTCGCAGAGACGCAATGGCCTGGTCTGCCAGTTCTTTGCGATGCACCAATATGAGCGTTTTCGAGCTTCCAGTTTTCGGATTCGGTGGAATCTGGTCGATCAAATGACTGAATATGACAGTTTTGCCTCCTCCGGTAGCAAGGCTAACTGCTATTCGGCGGGTAGTCTCAAGCGATTTTAGACACGTATCAACACATTCTTGTTGGTAAGGGCGCAAGGCAAGACTTGAGATTTGGTTTCGTACACGCAGTGAAACGCTGAATCGTCGTATCGAGATACGCATCATATTTTATTTACGATTCAATGTTTTTGCTTGCACAGCCAGATCTAGATCCCGTAACGCAGAAAAACCACGATTATTAATTAAACACAAAATTATAATGAGAGTGCTCAAGACCCTGTGGTCGGCATTCCTTCTGGCGTCCTGCCTTGCGCTCAACACCACAGAGCCAAGGCATACAAATAACTGGGCTGTTTTGGTGTCAACTTCAAGGTTCTGGTTTAACTACAGGCATATGGCGAATGTGCTGAGTATGTACAGAACGGTAAAGAGACTGGGCATTCCAGACTCCCAGATTATCTTGATGCTTTCGGATGACATAGCCTGCAACCCGAGAAATGCGTTCCCTGGATTTGTCTTCAATAACGCCGACAGACAGCTTGAGTTGTACGGAGATAACATCGAAGTCGATTACCGTGGATATGAAGTGACGGTCGAAAACTTTATTCGTCTTTTGACAGACAGGTGGCCCGACGAGCAGCCCAAGTCGAAAAGACTGCTTACCGATGAACATTCCAATATTTTTATCTACATGACCGGCCACGGTGGAGATGAGTTCTTGAAGTTTCAAGACGCGGAGGAGATCTCTTCGTATGACATAGCAGACGCTTTTGAAGAGATGCACGAGAAGAAGCGCTACAACGAAATTTTCTTCATGATTGATACTTGCCAGGCTAATACCATGTACAGCAAGTTTTACTCGCCAAACATTCTGGCTGTTGGGTCATCCGATTTACACGAGAGCTCATATTCTCACCATTCAGATACAGAGATAGGGGTGGCTGTCATTGATCGCTTCACATATTACAACTTGGAGTTTTTGGAAAGCCTGGAAAAAGACAGTAAGTTGACATTACAGGACCTGGTGGACTCGTACACTTTCGAGAAGATTCACTCCAACGCGGGTGTTCGCACAGATCTGTTCCAAAGAAATTTGTCTGATGTGCTGATCACAGACTTCTTCGGCAACGTCCAGCAGACCGTTGTTGACAACGTTGAGGATGATTTGCTGTATCTGACGAATCACGATCAACAAGGCTTCTTGAAAAACTTATCCGCACCCAGAATCTCAGAGGTCGAGAAGCAAAGAAAATCAGGCTTTTTCAATCAGAAAAAGAATATGATCACTCTCGGAGCGTGCGAGAGCAAGCAGATGTCGTCTACAAAACTGATCACTATCGGAACGGTCATCGCCGCCTTTTTCTTCTTTGCCAACTACTTCAAAATTTAATTGTCTTACTCTGCAAATCCATTGAAAACCGTTTCGAGAAACCCGTGCGCCGATGAGAAACACCAGGACGCGGCATTGAAGACCCCAAGATGTCGAGGACGGAATCCGCTTGAAGCGAGGGAGTACTTGAGGACTAATCCCGCGACGCCAATACCAATAGAACACTTGACAACCATTGAGAGAGTTTTGTGGTGTGAAACGAGTGCTTTGGAGACACGGGAACGTTTTAGATACCGCTTCTGTTCTCTTGTATGCAAAAGGATGAGTTCTGGGTCGAGGTACGAAGCCCTCAGCATGCTGTATCTGCTTAGGTCCTTCATTGTTCGCAAAGTATCATGCGGGAAATCGTTCATATACCGCATGGCATTCTTGAGTATATCAAAAAGATGACTGGTTTTGAGATTGTGACTTATCCAGTTGTTCAGGGTCACATGGATAAGGTCTCTGTCCGAGAGGTCCAATTCAGTCTCTTCCGTGAGCGTATCGTCGCTCGTGAAAGACTTGCCCAAAAGGTCATCAAGATCGTTCAAAAGATCATCTTTATAAAAGACAAGTACCGCCACATAAATATAGTACGCCGAGACAGCACTGTTTTGGGCCAAAATGAAGTCCCAAACCAAACATAGCCCGTCGAAATCTGCGATATCGTGCGCAAACAGGGAGATCATCGAACTCAGCGCATAAACAGGTTCAATTGAGCCGATGAGAGCGTGTAATTTGGGATCCACTAAAGACAAAAGCTCGGGTATCAACTTGAGCTCTCTGACTGTAGACTCAATATCTGGCAGCATGTGGTCTCTGAGGTACATGAGTGTAAGTTTGGTCATGAATTTATAGGCAGTGAGGTCATCAAAAATCAAAACGGCGATTGAGGCAACATCGTGGTAGCCTTGGTAATAGTTGAGTCCTGAGTAGGCACACAAAGTACTGTTGATAAGATTGTCCAGCCGTTGACGTAATCTCAGCATTTCATTAGGATTTGTTTTTGGGTAAAACACAAAAGATCTCTCAATGTCCTTGGTTATCTGCTCGTGATCTTTGTGCTTGAGGTACGGAACAGGGTGAGGAGGATTCCAGCAATCCAACTCAAGCAATTTGGGCCAGACAGATGTACGCTGATCCCTGTTCACAGCTCCTGATCTCGTAGTTACGAGGTGTCTGAGTGGCTCTGTATCTTGTGACTCAAGAGCTTTTTGGAGCAACTTCAATTTGAGAGACTCATTTTCTGCAGTCAAAGGATATTCATTGAAAATGGAGCAATCGCATTCCATATGCGTCCATTCTGGAACGCTCATTGGGAGGAAGAGGGAGGGATGTAAAACAAAACACAAGTCTATGACATAAAATTTCGGGTGATGACGGATGGGTGGCAGCGGTGAAATTGAGATAAGTAGCGTGAGGTAGTTTGAAATCAATTTTATCACCTAAAAAATATCAACGGCTAAACATTTGAATGGAGACGAAAAAGAGCGATATTGAGGTGGGGAAAAGAATTGGCGGAGGCCGCTTCAGCGACGTCTACATGTGCAGGACGTTAGGTCGTATGAACCCTTCCTCTTCCGAGTACGCTCTCAAAATTACCGAACCAGAGGATGAACTGCCTCCACACAATGTAAAAAACGAGTTGAGGCTGCTACGAAAACTGGCGGATGCCCAAGATAGGGAGGATAAGGAGAACGATACCAGTTTAGGTAAAAATGTTGTGCGCATGATTGCGTTTTATCAAAGTCCCATAGAAATCGGGTTGGTATTCCCTTTTTACAAAAGTGATTTGAACGGCGTGATAGCAAATAATACCAAAGTGCGGTCTGCCTTCAACTTACAGGATGGTACGATCACGAGAAAGAGGGAAAACAACTTCAGCTCGTCTCAGATCATCCAGATCTTCAAAGGGCTGCTACGAGGGCTTGCGTTTATTCATAGTCAGGGCGTCATTCATAGAGATATCAATCCGAATAATATAATGTTCGAGTCGCCTCACGAGCTCGAACCTGTGATTATTGACTTTGGTATCAGCTACATGGACCCAGACAACAATGGTTTGGAAAAACCAGACTCTAAAATCACAGATATAGCAACCGGCTATTACAAAGCGCCAGAGCTGTTACTTTCAGTCAAAAACTATAGTAACAAAGTCGATATATGGTCCGTGGGCGTGATTTTGATGCTCATTTCAAGCAAAGATTTCACCACACCATACTCACAAGACTCTGCACACAGTGACCTAGCTTTACTCGCATCCATATTTAACACTTTCGGGTCGCCACCCGATGATTGGCAGGAAGTCAAAACTTCTCGATCGTACAGCGCCATGAACACTGCTTTCTTTCGCAAAATCCGCAAATCCTCGGATGACTTGTTGTTCAAACTAAAGGATCTTCCCCAATGCGTGCAAACTTTCAACGAAATGATGGTCTACGAGAGCTCTTGCAGACTGTCAGCCAGCGAGGCATTGAAGAGAATCGACTCTGATCGACTGCAGAACCAATAGATAATCGAAAGGTTTATTTGAGGTCGGACAGTTTCCGTTCGCATTCAACAATGCTTTTGGTGCTGGACTCGATTTTACTGGACAGATATGTCAGCCTCTCTCTGAACAGCCTGTGGTCGTCAATGCCACTATACTTTTGGAGCTCCTCCTCGAACTGGCTTATTTTGGAGCGATGGAATTTGATAAGATTCGTCAGATAGTCCGTTTCCAACGAATGGTATATTCTTGACTCTTTGACCATTGTCTCAAAGGCCAAATGATACAATGGTTTTGACGGTTTCACCTCTTTCACCAATCCCTTCTCTCGTATGATAGTGATTAATTCGGCGTTCTCCATGGCCTGCAGTATATTTTGGGTCTCACTCTTCAACAATGGGAGCTGAGAAACATCATTGTATGTTGCAACCTCTTTCTCTGCCAATAATTTGATGATACACCATGCTTGAGATGCACTGTAACCAGGAGCCCCATTTCTAGTAAAGAGCTGACTTAATTGCTCAATAGACTGGGCCACAATGCCATGCAGGGCCTCCTCAGGAGTTTCTCCCGAGCGCATACGCCTCACAAACACTTGGAGATCTAGCACACGGCCACCAAAAGGTTCAACACACTTCATCAAGGTTTCTCTATCTTTTTCAAGATAGCGCGATAATTTGTCATCGTGCGAAAGCTGTTGCTCAATGAAATTCTTTACAGCTGAGCTGGATGCATCAGTCAGAAGGCAGCGCTTGAAAGGAGTGTTGGGAAGGGCTTTTGAGAGGGTCTCCAAACTTCCAACGTCATCTGTCACGAATATGACATGGGCTATGTTCATGCTCACCAAACTTGCTGCCCATTCTGCAAGCTCTCGATAAACCAATGCGTTAGCGTTGTTGGCTTTGCGAGCCGCCTGGAATCGGTCAATAACCACAACAGGTTTGTCCTGTGGATTTTGCTGTAAGAAGTCCTCTTCTTTCATATGAGAATCGTCGTTCCGCCTAGCAGAACGGTAATTGGTTAGAGCGATGTCCCTAATAACTGCACTCGTCAAAGATAACATATTTTTGACCTGCGCTTCCTTGGACTCACTTATTCCCGATTTTTGGCCTGTGAGACCCTGGGCTATCAAGTCCACAAACGAGGAAACTGAGTTCAGCCACGAAAACACAGGGAAATAGCCAAACTCGTTGGCGAAGTTTTTGATGAACTCCTGATCCTTCCTACCCTTTATGATATTTTCGCAATCAATGTATAGACAGTTAGGTCTGTCTTTCAGCACATGCTCCTCAACCAGATTTCTTTTACCGGATCCTCGAGGTCCCTGAACGACTATAAATGAGTTAACATTTTCCTCAATCCAGAGCTTCAATTCTTTGGCAACGATCTCCATCTCTTTCCACATTCCATCCATTCCATTGATCATTTCCCTATGCGTTTGTTCAGGTAAAGAAAGAACGCTGGACATTGTGTCACGAGTTCTATAAGCCAATTTCGAGATCTGTTGGAAGTAGGGATTCTTTTCCAGGGAATATTTGGACGTGATCTTCTCTTTGACAGCGAAGTACCTAATCGGGTCAAACACGAGAACCGCGAGTGTAGCCAAGATGGCAAATATCAGGGGAATAGCAACACGTGAGTGGTTGTTGATGAAGTTTCCGATTAGGTTGACTTTCACAATTGGCGCATACTGGATATGTACCACGGTGTCGCCAACCTTGATCCCCGTCACACAGTGCCGTGCACTGATCGCTGCTCTTATTGATCTGTAGATGACAATTGTGAATGGATCTTTCGAATCCGGAGGGGGTGGAATTATATCATTTATCTCTCCGTACCGTCTTAGCAATAGGTAGAGGTTTTCTTGAGTTAAACGTGGCCCTTCATACCATATCTTAATTCTGGGACTAGGATACCTGCGAAGGTCTTCGATCCACGGCGTACCTTTCACAGGGAAGCAACGAACGTGAGTTAGATAGTGCCATATTGAGTCGTTGAACTTTTTGCTGACGTTGTGCATGATCTGTTTATTGAACTCCTTGACATCCATGTCTGGTGGAACAGCAAGCTTGACGAAGGCCCCGCCGTCCCTTGGAATGTGTTTGAAGCCCTTGATTTGCAAAGCGTGTGGAGAATTGCTATCTTGAGCTAGATCGAGAACTCTTTTTTTGAGACTGTTGTCCGAATAATCCATGATCAGTGAACCTAGTAGCCTACTGAAGTCATATCTTCCGGCCTTGAAAGGTGTGAGTCTGTCAAAATAGAGAAGAGTCTCCTTATTCTCTTTGAGGATCACACCCGTGTTCGTCGCATCGTCATCCTCCCCTAAATCGCTCTGACGTAAGATTGACTCTTCTGAGATAGGTCTTTTCTGTCGAATTGTCAGGATTCTAGGCCATTGGACCTTGTACTGCCGTAAAGGCCTTCTGATAAATTGGCTAATATACATACAGGCAAATTAAATAAAAAGTGCGACACGAAAAAATAAAGTTTATTTATCAATGAACTCCTCGGACGAAACACCACTTCCTCTATTCGAGAGGTTTAGAGACGCACATATTACCAACCTTATTGAGCTCATGGACGATGTGATGACGAGTATGGGAGACCTTGACCGTTCACTCGAGACTGCAGTGGCCATCAGTAAAGAGTTCACGTATCTACAAAGTATCTGGGGAGCTTTCTACGATCCAACAAGAATGGAACAAGAGATTGAAAAGGCTGAGGAACAACAACAGCCAGCACAATCTGACCAACCAGATACGAGTACGACAAGTTTCCAATTTGAAGGAAGAATGAGTGATATCAAAAGTTAGTCTGATTACCTATTTATTAACTAGTATTGATCCTTCCCGCTGATGATAACATCGTTAATCTTCAAAATCATTCTGGTAAGCTGCGTGGCCAGTAGAAGTTGCTGTCTCTTCCCAATCAAGGTCTCAATCACAAACAACTCCTTCATGTCGTTGTTGTTGTTTCCTAGACAGTCCACACCGAGCTTGGAGTTTTGCTTCAACACGTGGTCTGCCTTGAGTTGCGTCAGCGTCTCGATAGGATCCAAACCGGAGTTTTCAGCCAAAGACATTGGAATCACATCCAAAGCCTGAGAGAACGAACGGAAAGCATATTGGTCAATACCCTTTTGTTTGTCTGCTTCCTCCATGACACGCAAAGAGCACGAAATCTCTGCCGAGCCACCTCCATAAACAATTCTGCTGTCCTTAATAAGGTTGCGGACCACACAGAGCGAGTCATGGAGAGCACGAATACTTTCGTCCACAATCATCTTACTAGATCCTCTAATCAAAGCAGTGACAGCCCGAGGGTTATCGCAATCCTCTATCACCAACATATGGTCTCTAGTAGTTCCGAATTCTAGCTCTGTGACTTTACCAGCGTGACCGAGCTTGGATTCGGTCAAGTCTTCAAATCTTGGCACAATACGTCCGTTGGTGGCCATAGCAATGGTCTCGATCTCTGTTCCGCCAACCCATCTCACAGCAGGTAGCTCGTTGGAAAGAAGTAAGTGGTTGGCTTCATCGTCGAATCCCCACTGACAGATCACCATATTGGCACCAGACTGCTTCACCCAATGGATCATTTCTTTGAATTTGTCCTGCTCGTACGTCTGGAGCTTCTTGAACTCCTCGACAGTGCTGACCTCCAACTTGTGTTTGGTTTTCGGTTTGGGTGGCTCGAACGGACATGTCAAGATGGCAATTTTTGCATTTTCAACTTTCTTTGGCATTTGAGGGTGAGAGAAGTCTTTGTCGATGATAACACCGTTGATCACCTTGGAATCTTCGAGAGAACCTCCCAGTTTTCCCTCGACACGAATGAGTTCGAAATCAACATCCCTACGTTCCAAGTCGGCGACGTTAAGCACAGTCTCGACAGCCATACGAGCGAACTGGTCGTGACATTTGGAAACGATCTTAGACCCGAGGGAAGTTTTGGCTGCCTTGAAAAGCTCGCTTTCAGGCTTGGTGTTGTTTTCGAGGTTCTCTAGATCGATAGAAACAGTGTCTGCAATTTTGTCGAGCTGTTCGAGGGCGATTTTACAAGCTTTGTCGAACCCGTGCGCTATTTTGATAGGATGGATGCCCTTCTCAATTAACTCAAGAGCCTGGTCTAGAAGAGCACTAGTAAGAACCACAACTCCCGTAGTTCCGTCTCCGATCTCATCGTCTTGCGATTTAGAGAGCTCAACAAGCAACTTTGCAATCTCGTTGCTTAGCTCCATCTGGGACATGATGGTGGCACCGTCGTTGGTGATGTTGATTTCTCCGTCTGGAGAAATCAGGATCTTGTCCAGACCACGTGGACCGAGCGAAGTCTTCAAAATAGAAGCGACCTGCCTTGCGGCCAATATATGCGATTTGACGGCTTCGGTACCGTGAGTTCTCTTTTTGGACCCCTGATCTTTCACGATGATGAATGGACGACCCATCTCGTCTTGCGCCACAATGGCGTTCGACATGTCAGGGAGTTCCATTGGTTGGGACATTTGGGACATGGACGCGAAGAAATAGAAGTTGGGAAAAAAGTGAACAAAAAAATATATTGTCGCGACGGGGGAAGAAAATATTCGAGTGTACTTGAAAAATTTCAAAAAAAAATACCTCTGATGTCTACCGTTGGATCGTTGATTTTCTGCCAAGATTGCGGCACGCTTCTAGACTCCTTTGCAAATAGACCATCGATTCAATGTCAGATGTGCAAAAGAACCTACGAGAGTAAGCACTTTGCCAATCTGAAGGTCGTGACGCATACCGCTCCAGATGCTTTTCCATCTTCTCTCAAATCCAAAAAGTCTCTTGTGAAGACATCGCTCAAGACAAGCGAAGTAGAAGAGGGTGCCACGATCAAAGAAAAATGTCCACAGTGCGGTAACGACGAAATGCAGTACCATACTCTACAACTTCGGTCTGCGGACGAAGGTGCTACCGTTTTCTACACTTGTACATCATGTGGTTACAGATTCAGAACCAACAATTAGGGCATTCTATTACTCTGCTTCGTACATGTCCAGGGCCACAATAGCACTCTCGCGCACGACATCATCCTTGTCGTTCAAAAAACCTTTCAAGACAGGAAGAACATCTTCGGTTGCAATAGATCCCAAGGCTTCTGCAGCCTCATGTCGCACCATTCCGGCTTCTGCCTTGTTTCCAACAACCTTAATAAGCGCAGGAACACTGACAGGGTTGCACAGCTGGCCAAACACATACGCAATCTCGTGCTTAAACAGCGCCGAGTCATCATCGAATCCAGTGGCTAGGGCTAGGCATGCTTCGTCAGTGCCAATGTCCCTGAGCCTAAACATCGCTCTGTATCTTTCAAACAAAGACCGACTCTGATCATTAAGAATTTGTTGTAGCTTTTCCACCTTGTCGTTCTCCTCGTTATCAACTGGTAATGGCGGAGCAGGGTCGATAGACTCGTATAGCGACGTCTGTAGATTTTCAGTTTTGGCCTTTTCACTCTTTGCCCACTTGATGCGATCAATGGCCAGCTCGCAGGTCTGTCTAATCTCAATCATTTCATTAGGATCATTATAATATTTCAAAAGCAGATCCAAAGAGTCGCTGTCCCCAAGGGCCCCTAAAGCTTCAGCTGCTTCATGTCTCACCATGCACTGTTGATCGGTGTCTGCTAACACGTTTCTGAGAATTGGAGCAGCCTTCATATTCTTCGTCTGGCCTAGCACATAAGCAACCTCATGCTTAAGCAGCTCAGACTCATCCTTAAAACTCTCAGCGATGTATTCCAAAGCCTTTTGTGCTTCTTCTGGCTTTTCTGCGAACTCAGCTCCCACAGATTTCAGAAAGAAGAGCGCGCGAAATCGAAGAGCCAGCTTTACATCACCACTTCTATTCACCAAAACATCCCTAAGAGTTTCAAGACTTGCGTTTTCGTCCTCTCCATCCCAAATTTCAGTCATTTAGATTGCTGGCCTGATCTAAAGATTTTTTTTCAAGATTTTTTTTTTTTTCTGAAATCCCGAAATCTACGGATCGTCGCGTCGCTTCCTGACAATTTACAATTTAATCAATGTCTTTCCACCCAATTCATGGCCAGGATCCAATAAAAGTGCTGAAGCAGCTAGAAGGCTCTCAGCTCATACTGCCTGTTGTCTCAATAGGGAATACGCCTCAATTGGCAGCCGATCTACTAATACACACGTTGCCTGCGAAGCTAGTGGCGAGACTGGATGATATTTATCTATATCCGTTTGCATCACCCGTGGACTATGTGGATGACCCCAAGCAGGGAATCACATCAGGCTTGGAGATTTATTACAACGAGCTGCACCAAGTGACCATTTTGCAACAAAGATCTCCAATCCTGCCAGGTTTGACAGCCAAGTTTCTCAAGGAGCTGATAGTGCCGTTTGTGCGTATGGCCCAATTTGGTAGGGTGGTGATTCTACAAAGCAACGACGCTGGTCTTCGTGAGGACAAAGACGTGGACCATTTGTTTCTACTGTGGGCCAACGATATTGCCAAAACTCTTGAGACGTTCAGAATTTCTGATAACAGCATTGGTGTGATCTCCGACAAGTCGGATCTCGATGGCATGGGGAAGCTGATACTTGATGCGTTTGAGGATCGAAATGAGGATTCCTCGAGTCTTGGCCCCGTGGTGAAAGGGTCATTGAAGCTCGCAAGCACACCTTCTGCGTCGATCGACGCAATATTTCTGTCGATCTTTGTGTACGAGGGCGACAACTCGGACGATTCCAAGCAATTGGCTTCGCAGCTCCTCCGTGTGCTACATGTGGACGAGCCTGCAGAATGGACAACCCCGATCTCCTGGCGTGGAGTGTACGGCAACAAACAAATTCCTGTTGGGATGGAGTATGGTGTGTACACATAAAAAATTTTCAGACCATAGATAAGTAGAGGAAACTATTGGAGGCGAAAAAGGGCGGTAGACAAGCACCAACACCGTAATTTGGTTAGATTGCGAGCCTTGCATAATAGATACCACTTTTGTTCTCGCATCTGGGTTGAAGCTGCTCGAGTTGCTAAATGTCGGATGGCAATTTGATTACCAAGATGCTTGCTGACGCTGCGGCGGAGGCTGAAAAGGAAAAACAGCAGCGGCAGGAAGTCAATGAGGTGCCTGCTCGAACTGACGAGAGTGCATCTCCGAAGGAAGCCAGACAGCCTTCTACCAAGCAGCATGTGTACTCTCCAGAATTTTTACTATCGTTGAAGGAATCGCCTTTATGTGCAGACGTTTCCCATTTGAACCTGCCAAATAATCAGCATGAGTTTTTCCTTTTGGACCAGCCAAAACGTACCGCGTATGTGAATCACAATAACCACAAATACCCAAATCAGCGTGGCAGAAAAGACAGAAAGAAGGATACAAGAAAGACAGCCAGGGATACAGAGGAACCACCAGAATGGGTGCTGAAGTCAGATGCAATCACAGGAAACTCTATCCAGGATTTTGAGCTATGGAGACTTAAGATGCGGATAGAAACTTTCAGACGGAGCGGCGAGCCTGTTCCCGAGGAGGACGTCAACCAATACGAGTACTTGAAGGCCCAAAAGGCTGAGATTGCGGTGGCAGCTGAAAAGTCGAGCCAAAGTGTTCAAAAGCCAGCCACCAGGCCTGAATTCGACTTCCATGAACCAACTCAAGAACCTGCAACGAACCCAGACACTCTCGCCACGTCAAATTCGGGCTCGTCCAGATTTTCAAGTTTCTTTGGTCCTGAACAGACCAACAAACAGCCTCAACAAAGCCAGACCAAAGACGAGTCCAAATTGCTCTCGTTACTTCAAAACTCTGGACAGCAGGTGCCACAAGCACAACCAATGCCCCAGGCAATGCGTCAGGTGCCTATGCCACCAGGACTAACCCCTGCCCCTGCCATGGGACCTATGGGGCCCATGGGGCCGCTCCCACCAATGGGGGCCATGCCTCTTATGGGCCACCCTCCATCTTCGAACGCTGACATGTTTTTCAACTCTCTGTTGTCCAAGGCCCCGGCTCCCGGACCTGCTCCGTTCTTGCCTCCAGGGCTTTTTCTACCATTTTCAGAAAAAAAGTGATGGTTCTGCATTATTTCACAAAACTGTAGAGATTTGTAGTACACAATTGAGAATTTGTAGTGTTTCATCACATCCGTGACTGAGCCTGGCGTCCGTCTCAAAAAGAATTCTTGAGATGCTGTTCTTTTGTTTTCCGTCAAGGCTGAGAGAAATGCCACTTTCGTCGTCCAGAAGCAGCACATCATGCAGAGAGCTGATTATTAGATTTGCATTGTATCCTTCTTTCGAGATGTACTCGGTCACAAACTCGAATATGCGGTCCGCGTCTTTCTTCTCTGCGAGCGTGATTAGCTCCATGAGCCGATCTTTTGGCAGGTAGCCAAAAACGTCCCTGATCTGGTCTTCGGTGACGTCGTCCGCCATTTCGTCCTCGGCAGGCATCAGCATCTTGTGCACACTCTGGAGGAAATTGATGGCCTTTCTCAAGTCTCCGTCACTGATCCTCAGAATTTCCTTGAGCACGGGAGTGCTAGCAGTGACGTTTTCTTCATTGCAAATATACTGCAATCTTTTGATGGAGTTTTCCTCGTCCAGCATCTTAAATCTGAACTTGGAACACCGCGACGCAAGCGGGTCTATTATACGAGTGATGTAGTTGCAAATCAGACAAAAACGTGTGATTCCTGAATATGTCTCCATGGTTCTTCTGAGTGCACTTTGCGCGTCAGAGGTCATTGAATCGGCCTCGTCAAGAATCAGCAATTTATATGGAGGACACGGGTACTTTTCTAGGTCCTCTTTAGAGGGGTTGGAAATCGACAACCTAGCAAAGTTCTTGATTTTGTCTCTGACGATGGATATTCCACGTTCGTCAGAAGCGTTCAGCTCGAGCACTCTGCTCTTGAAAAGGTGTGGGCCGTAAAGTTCCTTGGCCATTGCCAGAATCGTCGACGTCTTGCCGGTTCCTGGGGGCCCGTAGAACAGCATGTGAGGAAGATTGGCGGTTTGCAAGTTCCTCTTAAGGACCTGAACAGCATGGCTCTGCGAGGTGATTTCGTCCAGAGTTTTGGGCCGACTGAATGTTAGTGGACAGAAACGAGTTGCAAGCAGACTTACTATTTCTCGACCCAGGGCATTCTCTCCTTTTGGTCTGACATGATGATCGCGAAGATCGAAGATGAATTTTTTTAATTTGATTTCGCGTCGCAATGGAGGAAGAACCATCAGAAAGCTCGTTGAGCTTACCTGTTTCGAGGATCAAGAAGCTCGTCAAGCTTGACCCTGAACATGTGTCGTCAACAGAGTCGGCTAACTATCTACTCGGAGCGGCCACAGAGCTCTTCATCATGAATCTTACAGAACAGGCCTCGTTCCATGCCAAATCACAGAAACGCAAAAAAATCGCATATTCCGACTTTTACGAGGTGGTCCACAACAACGACAGCTTGCTGTTCATGAAGGACCTGGTGCCGAAGACTATTCCCCTGCAGCAGCTTGTGAAGGAGAATAAAGTAGTGTTGGAGCCAAAGACGAACGAGGACGACACGATAGACGACGATTCTGGAGTCTCGACGCCGCAGCCACCCCAGCCAAAACAGCAGACGCTACCTTTTGTACTCAAGAAAGATGAGGACAAACCAGAAGATGCCCTTATGATCACTTAATCCATTTCATCTATGTACATTTACGCTCTCTCTATATAGTCCTCTGTGCGCGGATGTTTCACCTCACCGGTCTCAATATACTCTTTCACTTTGTCAAACAAGAACTTCCCGTCTGTAACGCTCGAATAGCCATCAAACGTGTTCTTTGGAATGACTGCGTTCGAAGACACCAGTGGCTTCAAATTGAAGTCGGCGAGGTTAGAGGGTGCCACAAAAGTACGGACACGCTGGTAGTCGATGTTGTACGTTCCCCACTTGTTCAGACGTCCGATACCCGACGATCTGGTTCCCTTATAGAAGTTTTTGTTGCCTTGCTTTGTGGTCAAAGGAACCCTCTTGTTTCCCGTTTTTGTCATGCCGTAAAACAGCGTACCATCTCTGTACGTCTTCCATGGGCGACGCAACAAAGCCGACTGCGTCTCCTGGAAATGCAAGACGTTCGTGGACCTCATGGTGCTGAATGAAAAACTCGCAGTATTTTTTACTCGTTGAATTTATATTGCCGACGATCGACTCGTATATGCGACGACTATTTGCTAGGCTTGATGTAAGCCCGGTTCAGATTAAAGATCTCTCTGCAAAGAATGTACCAGTCCACCTCACGTATGAAGCCAGGAGTGTTACTTATAACCTCCTCTGGCCCAAGGTCTAGGTGTCGGATGTCAAACTCGTCAGCCTCTTCGGATATGGCTCTTTCGTAGCCAGCTAGGGAGAACCTAGGCCTGTCTCGCGCAGAAGATGAAATGAAGGTGGAACTCACCGACCCCACGCTATTCGAAAACGACGATCTGTCGCTGTTATTCGTGGAGAACGTCGAGTTGTTAGACTGGCCGTTCGATGATTGAGAAGAAACGCTGTATTGGCGTTTCTTCAGCTTTGACCGCATAAACAGCTCCTCCCATTTGAACAGCTCGTACATCAGCTTCAAATTGGGCTGTATTATCACGTTAAGTCTGCGCACACGCACGTAAAGGTATGCCCGTGGAAGACTCACATTCAGTCTCTTCATGACCTCTGCAATGCAAACAGTGGCCGAGCGAGAGACGCCAACCTGACAATGAACGAGGACCTTTCCATTACTCTCATAGCACTTGTCAATGAATTCAAGAGCATCATTGATGGTGGTTGTCAGAGTCCCAATGCCATCGTCGTTGATGTTATTGATCCGCATCACTTCTTCAACACCACAATCGCTTCCTTCAACTTTTTGGTCCGAACATATCTTGAAAATCTCACAACCGCTCTCAGTCGTGCCAGTAGCGTACTCTAAATCATCAAGCCAAGGCACATGCTCTCCCACGCTCACAACATAATTGATACCCAGCTCTTTTAACAATCGAAGGCTGGACGCATGGCTCAGGGAGCCCAAATAAAGATGGGGAAGCACCCGTGAAGGTATAGACCCTGCCACCGACTCACACACCCCCGCCACTTCTGTATCGGTTCCAGCGGAAGATAAGCTAGACGTAGAGTCCGAGTCGGAATCGTGATCTTTAGCGCGTCCTTTTTGTTGCTCGCGGAGATGGATAATGTGCTGACCTGTCGCTGTGTTCAGCACAGAGTTGAAAGACATGCCTAGCGTCGATTTGTGCCTGACATGTTTAGGGGCTAACAAGAATGATTTCACGATGCTTTTATCATCCTCAAGAGTTAGTTTATCACCCTTGAGCTGCGCAAACTTCAGTATCATTGGTTCCAACTTTTGTAGCAGCAGATAATCAGACTTGAATATAAAGAAAGGCCGACCATACTGCATGTGTAGACGAATTATCGCCTCATCAATTCCAATTTTTTGAGAGTACATGATGAAGCAAAGTCCGAGTAACGAGGTCTCCGTGTAGCCGTCAGAGCAGTATAGAAGACCTGGAAATTCTTTTGTGCATTGAAAGCAAAGCAATTTGCACACGTTGACTATGCATAGAACATCTTCCTCCGATAAATCAGCGATCTCCACAGAACCTGATGGAGGAAACTCAAGGTAAATCTGTTGCAAATAGCCAATGCTAGAAACAATGGTTCGCAGTTCGATTGGAGTTGGGAACCTTGCGCCATCAATGCAATGCACAAACAACTTCCAATGCGCTCTTGGAAATGTTATCAGCTTGGCATCCACCTCCTTGATTGGCCTTTGTGCAAGGTCCTCTTTCTTCAGGATGACGACAGTATTCGTAGGATCGCAATGTAATGGGAAGTTCGGCGATTTCAGATCAGCGGAGATCGGCTTTATACCCGAGTTCAGTTGTATATGGAGACATTCGAAATCGGTTGTGTTTCCAAACCAGACATTGTCAATTACCTCCGTTGCTGAAGACATCTTTGAGATTTCAAGCTTTTCACGGTAAAGGTAATTCGAATCCCAATTGTTGAACACCTTAATATCATAGTCAGAGCAAAGATCGCCCGTTGCTTTCGAAGATGCATCAGCGTTTAACAAGGGTATCGAAAGAAGATTCGAAGCTTCCAGCACATTAAGTTTGACGTCATCGAGAACGAAAGTGTTGTATAGCTTCTTCTGATCTTGTTGAGCCAGTTCTGGGTGATCTGTCGTATACATTAGCTGGGCAATATGCAGTAGTCTGGCCAGGGACGCGCACTTGCATTTGCCATTCCAACTGTCTTCTTTCTTGGGCAGACGAACGGAGCGCTCGTGATCATCATTGAAGCAGTAGACAATTAAATCTGATATATTGCTCATTTTGGAAACCTGAATATGGAAGTTTCGGAGGGAAACGCCGACCTGTGGATCCAAATCCTTGAACAGTGGCAGAAGTTGGGTGCTTACACAATCTTTCACCAGTATATCTATCGGAAATGAAGTGAGAATGTCTTCCGGGAGGATGGAAAGCAGATATAATTCCACGTTGCGAACACTGAACACTGAAACCAGTATGTCATGCGGCGAGACGGTTCCTTTGATTTGTCCTGTTGTTTCGGCGATTATATCATCACAGTGATTACCTTCAGAACCGGCACTCGCAGAGCGCACCAGCATGAGGCTTCGAACGTTAGAAGGGACCCCTATCTGTAGATCAGAGTCAAGCTGATTCGCTAGACTCGAGAGAAATCTAAGCTGAACTGTGTTGTTCTTGTGCATTCCATGTAGCCATGGGAACATTCTTTCTGTCTCTGGAAGTTCGGCTGTATAATGTCTGACTAAGAATTGGCAGAGTTCGTCTGTGCTGACAAGAGTACAGGCCTTTGCGGTTTTGAGCGAGCGATGATTGACAAAATAGAGAGAGTCCGGCTCAAACACAGATCCAAGGTCGGCCGGTCTCATCGGTCTATACAATGAGTTCGAACGGCTTTTCTTGAAATACTCGTCGCCCTCTTGGTAACTTCCTTTGAATAGGCTGTTGATCCGGGACCGGAATTTCTCTTTGTCCTCTAATGAAACACTATTCGCTCTTTTGGCACCAGCTCTTATCTGTGGTGCTGGCGGTGTAGGCGGAGACGGATGAGACGAAGGCCCTGGAACCGCCTGCTCTACTTGCTCGAGCTGGTTCATATCGATATAGATCTTTTAGCTTATTTGTTTGCGGGCTGCTTTTTGGGCAACTTTTTTTTGCACACTTTAATTATAGCCCCCACACATATCCTTATCTAACTTTTAGTGCCACAGATTTTTTTACTAGCCACAGCGGCTGGGCTATATAGATTTACATATTCTCGATCAACTGGATTAGATACTTGAGGAACTGTCTGTCGCTAAACTGGACAAGCTTCTGAACAAAATCCTGCGCAAGATCGGTAGGGAATCCCATATTGGAGATTAACAAGGCTTGTAGCTGGTCCACCATCTCCTCGTTGAATTTGATGGCTTTATTTTTCTTGGTTGATTGTGGATCAGGGATCTCACAACCGGCATAACAGACGGCCTTCATAGTGCGAATAACCTCCAAGAGAATACTATTGCGATACTGGGCGTCGTTCAAAAGCTCTCTCTTGATCTTGAAACTCATTTCGCAGGCCAATAACAGCGCGTTTGTCACTAGCAGTTGCTTGGCCTCCTCAAACACGTTGGTGTCATTCTTGAACACATCCTCAGGATCAACAACCTTTCCCAGTCCAACGCCCTGGATTAGCGAGTTGATGCACGTGATAGCCACCTTCACCAACGAAAGATCGTTGTTTTGGTAGTTGTAGATGTAGTTAAACATGAGATTGATGATGTTGACTAGAGTACCTTTGTTTTCGTTCGTCAGCCACAAAGAGCTCACATGGTCACTGTTCATCGAAACCAGTAGGGAAATAAAACATTTTTGTGTGTCTAAAATGTCTCTCTTCATGAAATCGTCTTGCGCAGCTGATGAGTCCGATTCTATACGGGATATGATCTTAGCGACCAGCGGCGTGAGCAGCGAGTTCAGCATTATGTATATCTGTTGTGACTTGCCACAATGGTGCATTATCTGGCCGATGAAGTTCAGGAAGTTGTTGATCTCCTGTAATTTGAGCTTGTCAAAATTGATCATAATAATAGAGATGAATTTGGAAAGCAATTGTTCCAGAGCCTCAGAGGGAGTTTTGATGAATAGAATGAAGAGTCTCACGACACAAAATTCTGACGCCTCTCTAACAATGTTGAATGCAAGGAAGTTTTCCAAAGTAATGAACACCACCTGGGAGATCTGTTGTAACAGTGCAACAAATTTCTCGTCAAACTCCACAACATTCAAGCTTTCAAAACCTTTTAAAATAGTACCAACCGATACAAGTGAATGGTGCACCTGGACGACCAGGCTGAGGCTCAGTTGTGACATGTTATTGATGCATTTTTCCAAATTGGAAAATAACGGCTGGAGCACAGATTCAAACATGGAGACACGTTTGTCAGATTTTCTGATCAGCGAAAGCAGCAAACCAATGGATTCAAATAAGTAGAGTTGGTGATCGAAGCTGCCGTTTGTCTCAACGAGACTCAAATCAATATCCTCCGAGAGCTTCGCCTGACCAGTGACCTCAAAGTCGAAACTCAAAAGCGGAAGCAGGCTTTTGATCAGCTCTTCGAGAATGAAGTCATCGCCAGGTGGTTTCGTTAGCTTGATGAATCTATAAAACAAATACCATGAGCGATACTTCACTTTGTCGTTCTCGCTGAATACTCCGAAATTAGAAACAAATATTTTGAGCACTTTCAACAAAATCTCGTCTTTGTTGACTCCATCAACCTGGATATTATTATTTGTGAAGAATGTATAGTGTTTTAGAACAAGCTCGAAGAATAACAACTGGATCAGCGAGTGGTTGACCAGAAATGTAGTGGAGCCGTCGATCACCTTACAAAGCATTTCGTTAAAAACGAAATACGGCCGGGAGTTGTTAATCATGGTCTTGGGCAGATTCATGACATTGTTTCGTAGAATCTCGCTAAAGTGACTCAATTCATGCATTCCAAGTTCGATGGTGCGCCAGTCGGAGTTGGAGTTGAAAAGCGACTCATTAATGCAGTTAATCATGACGTCTAATGCTAATGTTTCATTTAAAATGACAATGGAATCGTGGAAGGAGTTCAGCTTATTTCTCACCTCTTGGAACTGCTCGATCGACTCTTCCTCAGACCCATCATCTTCCTCGTCGAATTTCTTCCTCATGATGATTTTTTTCAGCAATGTAGTGAGAATTTCATTGCTCGATAGGTATGAGAAGTCAACTTGTTCGTTAGTAATGTTCTTTTTCAAGAAAAGCAAGAAATTGCCGATGAATGGAAAAACCTCCAGCGCGACATCGTCGTAGTCGTTATCGAGGTACTCAAAAATGAGCGGGAAAACATCGATTATCTTGTTCATAGCTAAGTTCTTAAACTCTGTGTTTGCCAGTTCCTCGTTGGAGCTGGTGTCGAGCACGTTGACCAACTCTGATCCGAGGTTCTCGACCAGCTTGGAAAATGCCACGTTCACTTCGAAATCTGCTTCTTTGGACTTGAGATCCATTTGATTCAGTACGCTGGTCAGATTAAGAAAGTTGATGAGTTCCAGCTTCTTAATTGGCGCCATTTTTTTGTGCAAGATCTCATTAAAGCACCCCGCAGTCGTGATTTTCTGTTGGTCGTCGGGGCTAGCAAGGAACTGGTACAATAGTCCTAAATACTCTTCGTCCAGAATAAGGTTGATCTCGATCCAAGAGACATATTCACCAATGCACTGAATGGTGTTGTTCAGGATATCTCTTTTCAATGCCGTGCTCGTACTTGAGAAGTGTTTCAGAATGTTTTTCCATGACTCAGTCATTAGGGTCATGTCATTGGCTCTGATCGCATCCTTTAACAAATTGTTCCTTTCGTGATGCTCCGGTTCGCGAGCGATCATTTGGTCACCGATCTCTTGGTGGATCACGAGCAAAGTCCGTAGATAGTAGTCTGTCGCCAGCTCATTAAAAGAACCTCCCGCCTGGACTGGCGAGTAAAGATCCTTGATGAGCGTCTGGTAACAGGAAAGTGTGGCATGGACGAATAGTAGGCCAAAGGTTTTGGAAAGAGCATTTCTTAGGAAAACGGGCTCCACCGTGTTCTTGTCTAGCAAGTCCTTCAGATAGCTGAAAAGATATTCTTTGACGGCCAGTTTTTGCGAGTTGTCCATGAACGGGAGTCTAGAGTCGAGTACCTGGAAAACGAAAAACTTGACGTTGGGCGAAAGTTGAGCATTGGAGCTCAAAAGATTCACACAGTGCTGCCATCCATCCGAAGAGTCTTTGATCTGCGTGATGAACTCTAGCGCCTGCTGCTTCAGCTGGACGTCCGCCGTGGCGCTCGATGCGATGTCCACAGCCTGCAAAATCTGTTGGTCCATGATATATGTGATTTATTTTTTTGTTTAGTTTTTCAAATTCTAGCTTGGTCGTGTGCGGGTCAAACGAGATCAGGGTCTTGGCCGGGATCCTCAGAACGACTCGACAGCAATGTACATCTGTTTCCACTAGAGCTACAGTGACTACTGCTATCGTATAGCTGATTACGCATAATTGGTTTTCGGGAGCTTGGTCAGAAAAAGCTCCCTATTTCTTCCTACCCAACTCTTCATGGCGCACTGCCTGAAATGTTTTTCTTTAATGCAGTTGTTTATACCCAGCACTCGGTTATTGAGACCTGCCTTTTGCTTGCAGGCTAGCAGGCTTGCTCCCTTGGTTCGTTTTCAGTCGACGTTCTCTGCAGAGGATCTCAGGAGAGCCAAAGAGGAGCGTCTTGCCGGGCTGGGATATCTGAATAAATTCCCTCCAAAAGTCGTCCCATACATGGAACTGATGCGGATCGAAAAGCCTATCGGCACCAAGCTGCTCCTGAGCCCTTGTCTGTGGGCAATCACCATGGCGGCATACATGTCGTCGGCGCCCTTGGCCTCTACCGTCTACATGATGTCGGTTTTCAGTGTTGGAGCTTTCGTGATGCGTGGAGCAGGTTGCACCATAAATGACTTGCTCGATAGAAATCTCGACAACAAGGTCGCCAGAACAATGGAACGGCCAATTACGTCGGGACGTGTCAGCGTGAAGCAGGCGTCGGTGTTTCTGGCTGCCCAATTGGGCGTGGGACTTCTGGTGCTGCTTCAACTGCCAATGGACTGTTTCCTGCTTGGAGCGTCGTCCTTGGCTCTCGTGGGCACGTACCCGCTGTTCAAGCGGTTCACCTACTACCCGCAAGTGGCACTTAGTCTGTGCTTCAATTGGGGGGCGCTGCTTGGTTTCCCGGCCATGGGAGTGTGGAACTGGCCCGTGATGATTCCTCTGTACTTGAGTGGATTTTTCTGGTGTATGCACTACGACACCATCTACGCGCACCAGGACAAAAAATTCGACGCTGATGCCGGCATCAAGTCCACGGCACTGGCCTGGGGCGACAGGTCCAAGACCATCTTCCATGGCCTCACCGCTGCTCAGATGGGATGCTACACGCTAAGCGGATTCCTTGCCGGAATGGGCCCTGGGTTTTACTTCGGAGCAGCATACGGCGCATACCGCCTATTGAGAATGACTCAGCTGGTGGACCTGGACGACCCAAAAAGCTGTGGGTTCTGGTTCCGAGAAAACATTAAAACTGGTCACACTTTTTGGCTCGGTATTCTCGTTGATTACTGCCTCCGGCTGCTAGGATACCTGTAAATATGTATCAAATTCATTAATACCAATAACTATGAACCTCGCTGGACTTATCTGGAGGATGGACCTGGGTTCATTTTTCTCTTTCCACCTGGGGTGTTGGCAACGTTGACAAATCTCTTGGTGTACAACAGTCTCTTGTATGCTCTTCCCTTTGGCTTCTTTGGCTTCTCGGTCTTCTCGACCTTTGGAGTTTGAGACTTAACCTTACCGGCACGTGCAAGCGATCCGTGGACTTTTCCCTGACACAGTTAGTCGTTCGAGAGCATCTTGCTACTTACCATTTTGCAATAATTAGGTTAACTAAAAAACAGTTCGCCTTTAAAAAAAAAGAATGAAAATTTGTACAAAGCCCTCATCACGAATCACGTGACGTGATTTATTTCGCTCCGTCTATCTCATTAGAACTACAAACAAAGCGACCGACAGCAGACACGTCACGCCGTAGACGAAATACGGCGCAAAGTGTGCGACAGGGAACTTCCCATTGCGAAGCATTGATTGGGCGATAAAAAAGCGCACGCACCCAATAAGCACCGAGGCCATTGCCATAGTTATAAAACACAGCCCTAGAGCCTTTCCAAGCCTTGTCGTGGAGGATCCCGGGCTTTTAGCCGCTCCCATGGCTAACAGTTGGGTCACATATACTCCCAGGCTTGCAAAAGTAAGCGACGTTCGGAGCCAAGCAAGGAAAGTACGTTCTGAGGCCAGATGGTCGCGAGCGACCTGGCCTTTGTTCTCTAGTAGACAAGACCCAAACTGAGCTGCTCTATTTAGCCATTGGAAGTCCAAGAGACGAGCCATGGCTACAATTTGGCAACGAATATGATCACTATGGCGAAAATCTAAGGTGTTAGTAAATTATGCAATGAAATTTGCACAGCCGCGGCTGATAAGACATACCGGTAGAACGAAGAGAGAAATGGCGAGAGCCGGTACCGTGCCGCTTTGGAATCGCTCTGAGTTGACAATTCGATTGAACATGACGCAGTAGCGAGCCAGGCCAAAGGCAAGCGTCAAAAGAGCAGCCGCCAAGCTCAGAGCACCTAGAGGCTTTGCATATGTTGTGGCTATGTAGTAGTCGTGGCGCAGCATTTCTGGGTACTTCTCAAGGTTCAGAGGCTTTAACGGGTTGATGATTGCGTACTTGGCAAGCCGGACCACTCCGACTCCAAGCGACAGAAAGCTCATCGAGGTCCGCAAATACGCAAGCATGGTGCGCTCATTGGATAGATGGTCTCTGGCTACGGCACCAGATGGACTTAAAACAGTGTATGGCATGAAATCGTAAAATAAATAAAATTATGTCATTGAGCGGAAAAATCTAGCGAGGCTATTTTGTAGATCAGGTAAACATCAAGACCGATCATTACGAGAAAAACGAGGGGTAGCACAGTGCCATCGATGCCAAAGCGATTGTAGAAGGTCAAGTGGTTAGAGTTCACCACGAACCGTCCAAGATTGGTAACAATGAATACGAGCCCCAAGCAAGACATAATCACGGTCCAAGGTCTCACTAGAGTTTCGTAGAAATTCTGGTCTTTTGCAAGCCGGTCATAGTCGGGCGTTGCACAAATGAGCTGCTCGATGATTGATCGCTTAAACAGCTGAATGGCACTTATTGAGACAGTAAAGTAGTTGAGTGCGGTTCTCATATACGCCAGCAGGCCTCGTTCGTTAGCCAAGTGGTCACGCACCGACGAGCCCGAGTTGTCGGTGCTGACTATGAGATGAAACTGGGGGGCCGGATCCTGCGCCTCCGGCTCTTGGCTTGGTGTATTTCGCACAGACATGCAAAAACTATACGGTCTGATAATTATTTTTAGATACCTATAATATGCCTTTTAATGCGCCACATATGCCATGCGATTCTATGCTCACGAAGTGGAAACTGTGACAGTCTTGTACGTGCGAAGGGTGCCTACGGTACCTTTCGAAGTTAGGGAGCCAAGCCCCACGACTCCTGACGACGGAGTGGCCGTGGTGGAATACATAGATGAAAATTTTTGTGAGTAGGTTGTAGAGACGGTAGCCACTGAGTTATTTTCGGTGATGGTGACCCAGACAATGGTTGGAGAGACACTGGTGGAGGACGTGCTTTCGGTGTCAGTTCCAGTCTCAGACGTCAAGGACGTTGTAGGCGTAATAGTTGCGGTGTCACTGGTTGTCGCTTCGGTTGTCGCTGGTGTGGTCGTCGAAGTGGCTGTATCAGATGATGAAGATGTAGTTGGAGTGGTTGCTGCCGTCGTGGTGGTCGTTGGGGTGGTACCAGTAGTGGTCGTTGGGGTTGTTGTTGGAGTAGACGTAGTAGATGTTGTAGATGGAGTTGTAGTAGTCGGTGTTGTAGCATTTTCTGTTGATGTAGTATCGGTTCCGGTAGTGGCGGTTGTTGCAGCATTTGCAACGCCGGTGGTAGTGGAGGATGATGAGGAAGAGGAGGTGGTGGTGACGTCGGCAAGGACACCCAGCGCCAGGGTCAGCAACAGCGCGAGTCTGCTGGTTCTCATCACCGATATGTTTTTTTTTTGTCAGGAATCAAAAATCTCTCCTTCGATTTCTCTGTGTCACCGGATTCAATGTACTGTGCCGGAATTTTTACGTCAACCTGCATACAAGATTCGGACCTAAAAAAAAAATGCACTGCTTGAAATAAAATGGGCACCACTGAAAATGAGGATCGTCGTTCTCTCAGATCTGGATTTTTGCGTTATACAGCTCAAATACCGACTACTCAACATACTCACGCAAACTCGCTACAGTTTTGGTGTCTACCGCTGAAGCCGATAAACGACGTGTTTCAAGCCACTTCGCTTATACATCGCTACGCCCCCTTTTTGTTTTTGCCAAGCTTTGGATAAAGCAGAACAAATAACGCGTATGCAGGAAGTTGCATTATTCTAGAAATATTTTTTTTGTTTTCAGTTCAAATGGCCCTTGAAATTTCTCACACGGTAATCGATATGCACAAATGCACGTTCCACAACCGGTAGTGTCTCGATCGCATACTGTAGCGACTCAGCCAGATCATGACAATCGCGCATTGTTAGCGAGGTATTACCTATAACGATGTCAACCTCGACATTCACCAGATCTCCGACGTGGTATGTTCGATACTCTCTGACTTTGGTAATGTTCTCGCTGAATCGGGTAACCAAATACAGAATTTCTTGATAATCTTCCTTTGATGCGTTTGCTCCCGTGAGATTACTAATATGTTCCAGAGCTATCAGGCACCATTGGACAATCACGTAGAGAGACAGTAAAATTGCACCGAGCGAGTCAGCCCACCATGCTCCAACCACAACTCCAAAAAACGGGAATAGTATAGAAAAAAAATTGAAAACCACGTCTGTCCGGGCGTCTTCCGCAAGAGCCTGAACAGACGAGCTGGATATGCTTTGGCACCAGCAAAAGCAAACGATTTTTGCCGTAATTGTGAGTGCCATTATCTCGACAGACATGGCATTTAGCTTCACGATTTCGTGCTGGCCCCATATGAGCCGGTTCACAGCCTCCTGCAGAACCTGCACAAACGAGATGATAATGATCACAGATAGTACAAGCACCCCCAATGGTTCGAGTCTCTTCCTCCCAATAGGAAACCGCGCTGACTGAGAAGAGGCGTACTTGTTTGAAAAGAATATGACAAGCGTGGACAGGAAATCCAGAGCTGAGTCGACCAGCGAAGCAATGATCGAGACAGACTTGGTGAAATACACAATGAAAATCTTGGAAGCAAGCAGAACAACGTTAATGACAAAATTCACTTTTATTGCCAAATCGACAATTGCCTCATTCTCCTCGGTGTCAAATCCAAGCATTTTGCCACCTTCCAGATCGATGTTTGCCGGCGGATTCATAAACTGTAAGCCGTCCTCTGCATTGCTCGTATCGTAGCCTTCCAGCATCGATATATGAATTCCTGAGTCCAGCAACTTGTCGACCGCGGTATACCGTTCTATCATCTCATTTTGCGCTGAATAGAACTTCACCACCTGTTTGTTCTTCAGTTTCCTCAGTTGATCCTTTTCCTTATAATATTTACGCCATTGGATCGGTTCGGGTACCGCTCCAATTAGTTTGATAGAGCGCATGTGACGCATTGCATCCAGTCTTTCGTATAGTTGGTCAAGATTCAGTAAAGAGCTCAGTCGACGGTCGTGACTCAGTGGATTATTGATGCTCATGGCTGGAAACGGTGTCATTGCTTCGTCTGGAGCGGCAGAGAACGACTTGGGTCTGCCGGTCAATTCCCTTTTGGGAGGCACACTGAAACCTCCGCTCGGGGAAGGCAGTGAAATTACAGACCCGCGTGTATCGGGCAGAAAAGGCCCCTGCTCGGGATCCAAAGCAGAGTAAGACGGACGGAACGAATAAATTGGCTCGTCATCGGTCATTGCTCACGTAGAGACTATTTATCGTCTAGACACATGTAATGAATATTTTTTTAAATCACATCCGTGCACCGGATTGGCGAGTCATCTCATCCAAAAGGACAGGGCCGTGGAATTCAGGATCCTGAATGCGGTCAAGACACCATTTGGCCACTGTCTGGGTACTGACAGGTGGTCTTATCACGCCATCTAAAACATGGCCGAGAACAGTCTCGTTTGCGCGTTCAGCAGCAAGGAGCAGATCTTTCAGTTTGGTGCGGCTATCGCCGGTGGCTTGCTCATCATACATGAATCCGGGGCGAAGCAGGATGGGTCTAAGTGCGGGCTGCATTTGATAGAGTTCGTACTCCGTTTTGCGTTTCGATTCGATGTAGCCAGACGGCACTCCAGGAAATCCACGATCTGCTGAAACGTACGCGAAAGCAGGCTTGGACTTGTTGACCTCTAGCAGTGTTTCTGCAAGCACAATTGCACTCTCATGATTCACTTTGTCGTAAGTGTTGAAAACCGATTTTTTCATTGGGTTTGCTGTCTTGAAAAACGACAAGATCTCTCCAAGAACGTCGTCATTTGATTGCACCACTTTTTTGTAATTTGGATTCTCCAATAGTATTCCTATGGAATGGACGACCGCATTGGCATCAGACAGCAGATCTTTATATGTGTGGGGCTTAAAGATGTCGCCCTTGACCCAGTCAACTTTATCTGGCCACTTTTCAGCAGGTGACAATTGGCGGGGCCGCGAGCCAGACGAGGTCACAGAGACCACGTTAAGTCCTCTCTCAACGGCAGTTTGACATATGCGCTTTCCCAAGAATCCGCTTCCTCCAAAGACAACCAGCTTTGACATAAGGTTATTTTATCGATGCACCCCCAGAATATTGTCAGGAGAAGAAACTTACCCTGCCCACACCAAGCACGACCTTTTTTTAACACTTCCAAAAAATTTTCACTTGATTTTTTCATCTTCGTATTATCACACAGAAATGGTATGTATGAGACATCGGCACACAGAAGAGGACGGCCAGGTCGCAAACAGCCCGTTTATTTAGATGAGAGGGACAACATGAGAGAACATTTGACCAACAAGGGAGTCGAGAACATGAATTTCATCGTTCCAGAAAGCCGTTGAAGCTTCAATGAACAACAGCAGAGAATGGACTGCCAGGACAGATGGCACCGACAGACAGCACCAGATACGGCATCCTTCAAGACTGCTGAAAAATCCGGTGTCGTTGCGGCTATGTGCCCGTCTGAGTGTCGCTTTCTGGTGAGCAGTGCGTGTTAAGAAAGAGATCTTAGATTGATGGCACTGATCCGCTCCACTGCTATAGCACACTGTGACTTTAAGTCACGGAGACCGTACTGCGACTGTATCATCTTTTGTTGTCCGTCACAAGTTGGGCTCTATATTTATTGTCGCCTGGCCTGCTTCCTAGTACCTATCTACTAACCATTCAGGACACCAAAACTCCAGTCACTCTTGCTAAAGTCATCAAGGTTCTTGGAAGAACCGGTTCTAGAGGTGGTGTCACCCAAGTCAGAGTCGAGTTCCTGGACGACACTTCCAGAACCATTGTCAGAAACGTCAAGGGTCCAGTCAGAGAAAACGACATCTTGTGCTTGATGGAGTCCGAGAGAGAGGCTCGTCGTCTGAGATAAGGATATACAAGTTAATTAAACCGTACTGTATCAAACACTGTAGCAGTCACTCGAGACTTGTGTCACGTGACCAACAGGACTGGCTTCATGGTTTCCCCGATTTTAGTGATCGGGTGTTTTAAACAATTTACTCTTCTCCATAAATGTCATTGATGCCCGATAAAGATAGTATTTATGTTAACGTGGACGAATGCAATTCCGCAGACGGTGCCACCAAATTTGAAAAGACCGTGGAGGCGCGCGAGGGCCGCAAACATCAGCTGTTCAACAAGAAAACCGGCGCACGTCTGGTTGCTGGCTGTGTTGTTTTGAACCCCGACCACTCCAAAGTGCTAATGGTCTCTTCTGCTAAACACAAGGACCGCTGGATTCTCCCTAAAGGTGGAATCGAGTCCGATGAGATCGATAGTTTTCGCAAAACAGCTTCTCGCGAGACCTGGGAAGAGGCGGGCGCCGTGGGGAAAATTCTCGGCAAGCTGCCGGTTACTGAAGACCTACGTTATCGCAAGGACTCTAAGAATATACCGACCACTGTCGAAAACGAAAAGATACCTCGGAGCGAGTTTCATTTCTATGAGATGGAGATTCAAGAGCTGTGTGAGAAATGGCCCGAAATGGAGAGCCGGAGCAGAAAATGGTGCACATATCAGGAAGCCAAACATGAGCTTCTCAAGGCAAAACGGTACGAACTAGCAGAGGTGCTAGGCGAGTCCCGTATCCGCAAAGACTGCACGAACGTGAAGTTTGATGAACACTCAAACGTCTTGCTGGACAAAGAGCCTGCGAAAGACACTTATTAGGTTTATTTGCCACCTCCCAAAAGCCCTGACATCATCTCCTGTAACATGTTTGCATTTTTTTGCACGATAGAGACGCCGAAATATGATTCCCCGATAGCATTCACTTTGAGAGTCAAATTGGTTCTTTCCAACAACTGGAAGTATCTGTTAATGAGCAACTTAAAGTTGGCAGCGTTTTCGCTGTTTGCGCGTTCGCAGACCTCAATCAGTAATTGTAGGAAATTCACTAACGCGTAGCAATCTTGTAGATCGGAACTTGTGCCCAGCTCCAGGATTTGCAACTCACCGCTCTGCTGGAAGGAAAACAGGCCTGATCTATCGCTTTCCTTGAGCTTTGAAATCATGTCAACGGCGGACTTTCTAGCCAGCTTCAAATTACCAAAAGTAACGTATGGAATCACCAATCTCGCGAGATAAGTGCCGAACGTTTTAGGCTGATCAAGCAGGTATGCACCAAATTCTAGGTCGATAAGCATCTGTAGGCTTTCAGGTGTTCCACTGACGAGCAGGTAGTGCTCGCTGGCGTTGATCTGGTCCACGGAACCACTATAGTATAGTTTAGAGCCAATGACAAAGCTGAGAGCAGGGAATCCGCCTTCGGACCCACTCTTTTTCACAGCAAATTTGGAAACTTCCTTGGCAAGGTTCAGGATGTTTGGATCCTCGTCAGGAATGACATTGATAAGCTCGATCAATTTACTAAGATCATGGGCTTTGAATTCTTCCACTGACTTATTCTCCTTTTCAAACACTTCAATCATGTAAAGAACAAGGTCACATGCTTCGTCGTATCTTTTGAACTCCATCAGAATTTTGGAACTCTGGTAGAGCAGTTCAACAGCCGAGCCATAATTTCCTGAATTGACGTGTCTGTTGATGATCGCCCTCATCGTCTGTTGAGCCTCATAGTAGGACCCATTTGAAATCCTAAGCTGTTAGAGCAACCATTGAAGTAAGCACATACCTTTCCTTGAACCGTGCCAAGGATTTCTGCAACTTTCCGTGAGTAGCGTCCATCGAAATTATTATACACTAATTAATTAATTCAAGCTCGGTTTTTTTTCTTGGTTGATTTTATTTTCTACGAGTGTGAGTTTGAAATGCTGCGTGTGCTTGTCAGCACAGGATGCTAAATACCAATTTATTGGTAATGGATACCTTCCCAGAATTCAGTGGCCTCGCCGCCCATGCTGAACCACTGATCCTCCGGATCACCGAAAAACCTTGCTCTGCACTGTACATCCCTGCTCTGAGGTGTATTAGTGAAGAGCTTGGAGAATATAACAACTATAGGAGGTAACGACAGCCCTGAATTGCTGGCCATGAATTGCCGCTTATTTGAGTTGCTTTTCTCCAAAGCAGGAAGCCACCACTTGAGTCTAGGGATTGAGAGGTTGCACAGCTTGATGACGCGCAGACTTTTCATTGGACAGGCCACGAATCGGTTCAGGAATATTAGCGTAGCATCAATTCCTCGAATGTCAATTGAGTAGAAAGTCGAAGCGTTCTGTTGGATCAGTAAAGCCATCATCTCGCCGCAAAACTTAAGGTTCGGTTGTTTCTTGATACTTCGATCATCTTGCTCAAATTTCTCTCGAATCAGTTCTGAAAACGTGCTTTCTTCCATGAGGTACCTGCTGGGTACTTTCATCACGTGCCTACTTCTCAGTTTGCCGTAGATCATTGGCTCCTTGCTGGTTGAATGAAGTGCCAGAGTTTTTAGACTCCTGCACTTTATATTGGGCATCTGCATCTCCTTGGCATTAAATTTGGGGTTTGCAACATTGATATTAATGTTGAGCCCTTTCAGCGTGCTTGGAAGAGCTCCCAGAAGGTTTCTTAAAAATGTAAAGTCTCCAATGTCCACTTTTAAATATCTCAAATTTACAAAATTTGGTAGCACCGAGATCAGGGAGAGGGGGACCTCGTTGTAGTCTACCTTCAGGCTAGAGCTTTTATCACGTCTGTGGAATTTTCTCGACTCGACATGGCTTTTCTCAAACTCTTTGATTGAAACACTATTCTTCAATTGAAATACCTTCACTTCGGCGTAGATTTCTGGATTATTTGACATGTGTTGCAACAGATTCCATGTTGTCTGGAGATTCCTGTTGTATCGAAAGTTGTGACTGTTGCCGGAGTATTGCAATCTGACTGGTTTGAGACGGAACAAAGTCAAATGACATTTATGATAGATGGTCTTGCAGCTCAATAGAAAAGGGATATAGTCAAAGGATTCAACGTAGCCAAGAATCTTATCCAGTAGCTCTTTTGGAAGATCTGCAAGTGTGATACGGCTGGAGTATTGAATTAGCTGCCAATCCAGCTGTGTAGCCAGGGAATCCATTTCCAGAGCGCTGAAGACGGATCAAATTATTTTTATCCTTCACGCTGCCCCATTGCAAAACAGGCTGTGCTATTTATATTTTGTTTTTTCCTGCGCTCCAGAATACAAATAAATCATGTCTTCTCTTCAGCTCATTGACGAGAACAAGACTTTCAATGAGCAATTATTGCCCTATATTCAGCGATATTATGACGGCAAGGACGACAATGGCCTCAATTACCACATAGTGTCCGTGTTCGGGTCCCAATCAACAGGAAAGTCAACATTGTTGAACCGTCTTTTTGGCACGGAATTCGAGGTCATGGACGAGGCGAAAAGACAACAGACCACGAAGGGCATTTGGATATCCCACGCGAAGTATATAGCGTCTTCCAAGGCCGAGTCTGGGCGTACTGAGAACAATAATCATGTGTTTGTTCTTGACGTCGAGGGTGTGGACGGAAGAGAGAAAGCAGATGATAAGGACTTTGAGCGTAAGTCAGCTCTCTTTGCGCTCTCTACGTCCGAGATACTAATAGTTAATATTTGGGAGCACCAGGTCGGACTTTATCAGGGTGCCAACATGGAGCTTCTCAAAACTGTGTTTGAAGTCAACCTGAGCCTTTTCCACTCAAACAGACAAAAGTGCTTGTTGTTGTTTGTGGTGCGTGATTTCACAGGCGTTACGCCACTAGAGAATCTTGAAGAGAATCTCAAAACCGACCTGAATAAGATCTGGGAGAGTTTGAGCAGGCCCGAAAATTGTGAAGGTCTTAAGATAACCGATTTTTTCGACCTCAGCTTCGTTAGCATTTCCCACAAGCATTTCCAGAAAGAGAGGTTTGAGGAGGACATCCGTCTGTTGGGTGATAAGTTTGCATCTGATTCCCTTTTCAAACAGGAGTACCACAGAAATATCCCTATAGACGCTTGGACAATCTATATGGATCAAATCTGGCAGCAAATTGAGCTGAATAAGGATCTTGATCTTCCAACACAACAAATATTAGTTGCAAGATTTAGGTGCGATGAGATTATGCAACAGGCGTACGACATTTTTGAAGAGCAGTATCAAATGGTTAATTTTGGTGAACTGGAGGACTCGCAAGTTTTTGCCGACGCTTTGAAACAGTTGCGTTCCGAAGCGCTTGCGCCATATGATAGCTCTGCCTCCAGATACACCCAAAGCGTGTATCTTGAACGCAGGGAGCAACTAATCAAGAAGATTGATCAGAGACTAACAGAGACGAACTCACAAAGACTGAATTCTGTGATCAAGAAGCTCGTGAGTCAGTTCAGCGAGCAAGTCCAGATTGCAAAGAAAAAACGCGACGCAAAGTTCAGTGGTATACTAGAAGCTCAAGCTGCTGCCATTGTGGCTCAATTCCGCGAAGACGCCAGCAAGTGTATTTTTGATCATTCGCGCGAGCTGGAACAACTGGAGCAAGAACTGAGTGATGTCAGTGAGCAATTGAGACACAAGGAGAAAAATCTGCTATTGTCTAGACTCACCAAGAAGTTCCAAACCCAATTCAAGGAGAAGTTGACAGAGATTACTGGAGACCCATCAATAGATCTTTGGGATAGAGTCTTGAATGAGTTCAGTGAGATCACACAAAGCCTGGAGTCGAAATACGTCTCCGATGATTCATATGATTATCAGCTAGGAATGACAGAGCAAGAAAACAAGGATACACACATCCAACTACTGCAGTCATTCTGGACCAAGTTCAAAGACATCGTTCACGATTATGTGACAGAAGATACAGTCTCGCGTATTCTAAGAAACAAATTCGAGGATCTTTTCAGATACGACGATAATGACGTCCCGAGGGTGTGGCTGAATACGCCAGAGATTGACCAGCAGTATAACAAAGCTAGAGACACAGTGCTGAGTCTGCTACCGGTGTTTAGCAAGATGGTGTTAGCTAGAACCAATGAGGAAATTGTTCCGCCAGTGAACATCTCCACTACTGACTCCGAGGAGCTGGATGAAGACGACAAGGAGAGCACATTTGCCGAGCTTTTGTCAACCAAGCAGCAGAATGGAGCGCTGTCCAGGGTTAAGAAGGAGATGGATGCCATTTATATCGAGGCCAAACGTTCGGTGATGGCCAACACAACCTCCATTCCTCTCTGGATGTATGGCTTGGTTCTTGTTTTGGGATGGAATGAGTTTATGGCTGTTTTGCGTAACCCATTGCTGTTTATGCTGATTATCATCCTTACTACCGGGGCCTATTTTGCTAACTATATGGACCTGCTACGTCCAATGCTGAGTGTTGCGGGGGCCACTTTCACACACACCAAAACGGTGGCCAAACAGAAACTGCGAGAGCTCGTTGAGGAAGCGGAAGCTGCAAAGGCCGATGTCAAGGCAGAGGTCAACGAGGCCAAAACCAAATAGTTTGTATAGTTTGAAAAAACTTATACTGAGCTCGAAACCTGAAAAAGAAAAAAAAGTGTTTCTCCCTCACCAGGACTTGAACCTGGAACCTTCCGGTTCGTAGCCGAACGCGATAACCATTACGCTATAAGGGAAGAAACTATCCTATTTACTCTGGATCCCTTTAAGTACCACTTGGTGTTTTGACATTTAATTCACAACTGCCTGTTTATATTTTGATACTTTCTACGGATGTGCCTACCCATCATATGTTCGAGTTATTAGAAGAGCAACTCTTGCGATCCAGCGATACGTCCTTTCATTATACACACTATCGGGATGTTCCAAGTCTTTTGCCAACGTCAAGGCTGCCTCTTATAGAACCATGTCTTAAGAGAGAATATCTGGATAAACACCTTTTATTTACCACCGACTTGTTGAGTCTCTTTGGAATCTACATACACAGGCCTACTGGGCTACTCATATGTGCTTGTAAAGACAAGAAATCTTTCGCTTTGAGGCTCGACCGTTATGAGTTGCAGGATGTCATCAACCGCTCCGAGAGAAATGATCTGCTGTTGTCGAGAAAGCAGAAGGAAGGAGTGCACTATATCAATTATACGAACCGGCCAGGGTTCAAGTTCAACAGGCCGCACGTAGTGGTATGGTCTGACTTGCAGGAGGAAATTACATTAGAATGCTCGAAAAGAAAACTCAACGTTGTATACGAGGTATCGACGGCTAGCTTCAAGAATATCTTCCCATTGTTGCCCGTTTATTTAGGCATCAGAGAAAAGGGCATAGATCGCGCTCTGGACCTGTCTCAAAGCGAGTACGTCAAATATTTGACAGACGGTGAGCACAAGATTATTCTATTTCAGCGACTCTACTCGGTGCAAGAACGATTGACAATCCAGCTGGACGGCTCGCTACCCAACGTGTCTGGTGCTGTCACGGACTACGTGGAGACTAAATATCAAGGCGACGTTGCTACCTTTATCATCGAGTGGTATCGATCGCAGCTGAATAAGAACGTCAACTATGAAGACGTTGAGCCGAAGGAAATGAGCAATGATTTGGCGGACTTCTACGGGATCTTCCCGGAGGTTCTTGGGGACGCATCAACGGAGGCTAAAGAGAGCGACATAATCTCAGACGACGAAACTGAAATCACTGGCGTGCAAGTACATTTCACCGATGACCGGGTAAGCAAATAGCGATTTGGAGGTGGAAAATTGTATGTCTAGGATTTAGATAGACATGTCCTCTATGGAAATTCCTGAGCCGCATGGCTCGTTGATGCTCGCGTGGCAGGTCAAGAGTGAGTGTCTGGAACCAATTTGCTAACCTCAGACAAGCATGTGCTTGTTGTTGGCGCAGGCGACGTTGGATTATCTAGGGTGAATCATTTATTGCAGGCTGATGCAAAGATAACAGTGGTGGCCCCCGAAATCCATCCGTTGATCCGCAAGTACTCTGAGCTAAGATTACTAGAAGTGATAGAACGCGAGTTCAAAATGGAGGATCTCCAGATGTACCAAGAACCAGGAGATATCAGCAAGCTTGATATCGATCGCGATCGCGACGCAATAGAGCGCATTTCGAGCAGTCGATTCGCGATGGTGCTTACTTGTCTCAACAACTACGATCTGAGCTTGCGAATTTACTACCGCTGCCGGCAGCTGGGCCTGAACGTCAATCTTGCGGATAAGCCTAAAAATTGTGACTTTTATTTTGGCTCCACCTATAGACAGGGTCCGTTACAAATAATGATCAGCTCCAACGGAAAGTCGCCCCGGTTCACAAACAGACTCAAAGAACATAAGATCAAACCCATGTTTGAACAACTGGACATCCGGAAGGCAATAGAGAATCTTGACTATTTGCGCACAACACTGCGCACCAAGATACACCCTGGAGAGTCACCGGAAGTGATAAAGAACCGCATGGAGTGGAATAAAAAAATCACGGATTCGTATTCTATCGAGGAATGGACAAAAATGGACAAAGCCCAAATTGACAGAATCTTAGCAAACCATGCTAGTGTATAATCCATCAAACTGTCTGATTTGTTTATTCTACATGTCGTCTGTCTTTTCCGGAGGCAACATAGAAGCATAATGCGGCACGTACATGTACTGGCCGTTCTGGTCGACATATTGAGACTCTGCCGCGTATGGATCGTAGAACATTGGCGGAGCCATCCCAGGCATCATCATGCCTGGTGTTTGTGGAGGTCCTTGAGCGGGTGGCTGGTGTTGAGGCATTCCGGCGGCAAGCGCAGGAGCTGTCAGTAAGTGGTTTCTATTGGATCTACCCCAGCTGAGTCTCACTCTCGAGCCGTCAATCACGTATCCCTGAAGCTGCTCTATTGCTCGTTCGGCGTCTGCGCGCTGCGTGAACTTGACAAATCCACAGCCTTTTCCAGGCGGCACTTTCACATGGACAATTTGTCCGTACGGCTCGAAAAGTGAAAGCAGCGTGGCTTCGGAAATATTGTTTGCCAGTCCACCAACGAAGACGGTGGTATTTGTAGGATCGGTATAAGCGGGAGGCGGTTGTGGCGCGGCGTAGTAGCCAATAGGGGGCAGTCCTGGGGCGTGGTAAGGGTCGAGTTCGATAGGTATTTGGTGGTGTTTCCGGAATTGTTGATTTTGGTGTTTGGGAGTGGCCAGAGCAACGCGGATGAGTCTTCCGTCCAGCCACTTGCCGTTCATCTCGACAAGAGCTTTTTGCCGGTCCTCGTCGCTCGAAAATCGCACAAAGCCAAAGCACCGTGACAAGCCGGTGGCCGGGTCAGTCATGACTCGCACTGTTTTCACTGTGCTGAAGTGCGTCTGGAATAGAGCCAGCAGGTGCGCTTCTGTAGTTGCGGGGGACAGGTCCCCAACGAAAAGCGAATATTCAGGGGTCTGGGCGATCTGCGAGTTGAGGGTCGCGGCAGAAGCCCAATTGAGGCGGAAAAGTTTATCTGTCGTGTTTGGAATGATGGTCCCGTTGAGCTTCAGCGCCTCTTTTGCGTCTTCGGGCGTCTCGAATTCAACAAAACAGTATCCGGAGTGTGCCAATTGGTGCACAAGAGCATTCTGGCGGGGCTTGATAACTTTCACAAGAACACGTCTGTTTGTTTTGGCCCACACGTCGGTGATAAATTCCTCGTTCCACCAGGGCTCGATGTCACCCATCCATAGTGTTCGTGAGGGAACTGTATTTGCGGGATTTTCAGGCGGGTCGGGTAGTGTCACCGGGGGATCAGATTGCGCTGTAGGATCGGTCATATAAGGGAGGCAAAGGTTAGACAATTAAAAACAACTGAAATGAACTAAATTAAGATAACTCTACGTTTTATTACCTAATTTTTTTCCAAAAATTCAATCTGTTTGCTCTGCGTGGCACAGATCGTCGCGGTAACTAAAAATATCGTCGCGCCTCTAATTTTGTTTATCAACGCGTGTTTATGCTTTCACGAGAGGCTAGAAAAGAGGCGAGGAAAAGAGGCTCTGCCAAGAGGAAAATTGACCTCAATGGCCTCGTGCTGAAGCCGAAAGCAGACGCGACAAGGACGTCGCCCAAGAGTCCTAGGGTTGTACGGAGTCCTGTCGCGAACAGAACTCCAAGAACACCAAAAGCTACGAGAAGCCCAAAACCAGACTTTTCCCCAGAAACGCCAGAAATCAGCTCGTTCATGTCCCCTGAAAAACCTACACCACAACAGACCCCCAGGACGCCAAAGCAGACTCCACTGAAAATGCCCAGACTGACTGCCACGGTTACTCCGAGATCAGTGAGACGATCGACGAAACCTGCGACACCCAAGGTTCTCGCCAAACGGACACCAAAACGGACTCCCAAACAGACACAGAAACAATCTCCGCACAGCACTACGGGGACTATTAAATCCTCCACAGATGCCACCCCTAAAAGAAGACCTGGACGTCCGAAAAAAGTTCCCGAACCTGAAACGCCAATCATTCCCCAATCGGCCGAGTTGTCTGACGAGTCGCGCGACTCTTCAAGTGAGCCCGGTTCTCCTGTGGCTCCAGGAACTCCTCCGGCGCCTGCTTACTACGATTATGTTGACAAGGAATTGTTGGCAGCGACCCGGAAACGAGTGGCCCAGAAACACAGAGAAAAGGTGAAGGAGCGCCGCTCGCAAACGATAGAATCCCAGAGGTCTGTCCAGGACAAGAGACGACGCACAACGGGCTACCTGGAGATCAAATATGGCCGAGTTCCACATAACAAGACCAAACTAATAACTTTGGACGTCATCAAACAGGCGTTGGTCGATCGTCTGGAGAGCTACGACGTTCCAGAGGAAGCTGTTGGTGTGCAGCGCAAGAAAGCAGAGCTCTTTTTGCGCAACTATAAAGAGTACATTGACAGACATTTTTCCCGTCTTATCGATACGTATCTCACGAACAATTTGATCTTGACCGAGCTTTCGGAACTGAACAAGCTCAAGAATGAAAAACGGAACAGGATATACGAGATCAGACAGCAGCGACGCGAGGTTGGCATGAAACTGAATAGCTTGCGGCAGAAGTACCTGCAAAAAAGCGAGAACCACCGCAATAGAATGAGAGTGTACAAGCAGCTGCGCAGCGTAAAGACTAATGAGGGAAAACGGCCGCCTGCAATCTCAAGGCTTCTGCGGCTGCGACGAGTCATCGACCCTCATTTTGGCGTGGTGGACAAACTACAGATCTTGAACGAATTATTACGGGAAGTATAATAGTTATACTGGTTATGTATTACATATCGTCAGCAATAAGCGCGGCAATCATCCGGTAGAGGTAGTAGAAGAACATAAGCAGGTGGAAACCAAGCTTGACAAACGACTCCTTCTTGTGTTTGGACAGAGTGCGGAAAATCTCTGTGGCGTCCAGAAGGTGGTTCTTGTTGTAGATCTTATTAGCGTTGTAGGCCAGGATTGGCAGGTTCAGCAGGAAAGTGAACCAGTAGCCGTTGACCAGGAACAGAGCAGTCAAGACAGCGTGCACAGCTGCCTCAGGAACAATGTAGTTGTTCAGCTTGTTGCACAGCTCAATTGGATTGATGTAATCGCACTCCAGGTCACTGTACATGATGGTGAAAAAGACCTGTAGGAACAAGTTGATCGCATTCACGATAACTGCCAGAATAAATAACCATGCCTCGCCCGTCATCTTTGATAAAGAACAAATTTCAATATCGATAGAAAATTTTTCTCCCTTGCACGCCAAACTCTAGAAAAACGAGTCTGGGGTCTAATTGTTTAGGCAATGTGCGATCGGCAGGATTTCGTGGCCGTGCCGCCTCTGTCCGGCAGCCTCACTTTGGGCATGCCGCCTGCAAAGACGGCTGTTACCGTGCCCTTTGCACACAAGACGGCCAGTTTTGGGGTATCGAACGTTCTGGATCTTGGCTCCGGCAAGGGCTATCTGGCCCGCATCCTTGCCAACGGGTTTGGCCTCAAGGTGTGCTGTGTCGACCACAACAGAGACCGTCTCAAATCCAGTCTGCGCGTCCACAAGCTCATACAACAGGAACAGGTGTCGCAGACCAGTCTGGGACCGTCTGGCAACCTGCATACTGTCGCGGCTTCCATTGAGGAATGGGAGGAATTTATGGATGAGGCTGTGAGGTTTTTTAGGCTCAACACCAGGCTCGGCGAAAAAGAGCTTGACGTCGCCGTGGTGGGGCTCCAGCTGTGTGGTGACATGGTGTACAGAGTCATTGACCTCGTTTCAGACTGCAACCGGCCGGGGATTCGGCTCTGTGCGTTTTTAGTGGCCCCCTGCTGCTTGCACAAAATTGTCTCGCTGAGATCCAAAGCGCATCAAGCTAGCGAGGTTTGCTTAGAGAACATATATAAAGATATCCAGGAGTATTTGGTGGAAAGGGGATTTGGAGATGTGCATCTGGGCTATCTGAACATTGGCTATTACTACATTGAGGCCACAAGGAAATGAAATGAGCTACGATTGAATGATTGATCTTGAGCTATTACCGACACTTCTGCCACCCAATTTATATAATACGGCTGTGTAGTAATTTTTTATCGATTTATTTTATGCCCAGCGTCACCAAAAGCAAGGAGGACGTCAAGCAGCTTCTTCGGTCGCTGGACGAGGCGATCGCGGCTTGGAAGCCGCTGTTGACTGTGGAGCCGCAAGACGAGCCGTCTCTGAAATCGTCTCAAGTGACAAACCCTTTGGAGGAACTGAGTAAGCTAGGCCAGTTAATTCATGCACACACCACCAAAGTCGGGATTGTCTACAGGCCTCCCATCTCCCCAGAAAACTTCCATGCCTGTTTTGTTGAGGTTGAAAGCGTCACCAGAAGCCTGGTTATGCTTGTGAGCCTGTGTTCTCAGCTAATTGCAGAGAAAAAGAAGTACTCGACATTATATATTCAAAAAGTGCTGGACGAGATTCACACCTTGCTTGGGACATTTTCTGTGCTAAGCAACGAGCTCTCAGGGCTGCTGGATATACAGGACGGCGATGCTGACAACACAAGACTGGTTTCAGTGGGGAAAATATGGGAGATCTGCGATAATCTCTCGTCTCTGGTCCGTTTGGGAGCGAGCGGAGTGTTGCGCGCCAAGTTCAAGGAGTCCGTCACGCTGCTTGCAGACGGGCTGGAAGAATACGAGGAATGGCTGGAATCTCCAAGCGCGGACAACGGCAACTTCTTCGGGGAGAGCGAGGACGAGGACGAGACAGAGCAGACAGAGGTCGATGCTGTTCTGGTTTCGTACGGCTCTCAGTGGGTGCAGAAATTGAAGTTAGTCAAGTTGCTGTTTACGAGTATGGACAAGAACATCGGCAAAACACAACACACAGAAAGTATATCGTCCAAACTCGACAGAATGAACTCAGAAAGGCTGGAGATTGGTCTCCTGGTAGACGAGTTTATCTCTGCTATTATTTACGATCTGGACCAAACGGCGGCCCAGAAGTATGCATCGCAACTAACCAAAGCTTGCATGTCTCTGACAGAAGTCGTCTCCCAGTTGGAACCCAAAAAGGTGAAATGGTTTGACACCTGGAAAACGAAATTCCTGGAAAATATATAATATAATCGATAATACAAAATCACCAGTCGCCATCGTCTTCATCGTCGCTGTTTGCGACTTTGGCTTTTCTATTGCTGAGAGCAGCGGCAAGGGCGTCTGCGAGCGAGGCCGGTTGGCCTGGAGCAGCCGTGGAGGCAGGCTGCTTTGGCGCTTCGCCACGGGCTTCCTGAAGCAGCACATTCGGCTTCTCAAGCTGGGACTTGTCTGTTTTTCTTAGAGAGCCGACGCCTGCATTGCGAATCGAGGCTAGCAGAGCGTCTCTGCCGTCGAGCTGTGCGCCAGGAGGAGGACTTGCTGCCGTTTCGTTAGCAGGCGGTGCAGGTGCAGAAGGCATAGCTGGGGGAGGTGGAGGAACAGAGGCTGACTGAGGAGCTGTTGGGGGAAGTGGAGGTGGCGGAGGAGCTGACTGCGAAGGTTGAGAGGTAGCTGATTGCATGGGTGGTGGTGGAGGAGCTATAGGGATGGAAGAAGCTTGTGTGTACGGCGATTGGGTCTGTTGCTGGGATGGAGGCAGCGAATTGGCTGGTGGCACAGGATTCGGATGGTGAGGAACAGCCTGAGGAGACGGCGACGCGACGGGGTGAGTTGTCGTTGGAGACGATGTCTGAGGTACAGGCAGCGGTCTCGATCTGGAAGGAGGTGGAGGTGGCGCAGGGCCTCTACGTGGGGGAGGCGGAACAGGCGCTGGTCGAGACTCTCTTGGAGGTAGCTGTGGTTGTGTTCTTGATGGAGGAGGAGGGGGCACTGGGTTCCTCGAAGGAGGCGGTGGTGGTGGTGCTGCACTGGCTCTAGGAGGAGGCAGAGGGACTGCTCTGTGCTGCTGTGGCTCAGGCGGAAGTGGCGCATCCTGGCTCTGGCGCTGTCTTAGTGTATGTGGCATGTAGTCAAGAGCTGGAACGTTGTGGTGTGTAGGGGGGGGAATTGAGTGAGCTGCGGTGGGGGCAGGAGCTGGATTAGCCGGCGCTGGAGGAGTTGGCATTTCGAGATCCGACACCGGCGTATCCTGTCTCGAAGGGATGGTCGAAGGAATTGCCGAAGGAGTATCACTTTTGGGCAGGTCCGGCGTGGACGATCTCTTCTGGGCTGCTGGAGGCGGCGGCGGCGGCGGTGCCTTCTTCGATATTGTGTTCGTATTGCTGGCTCCGCTTGTTGACCTTTGAGCCGACTTGTACTGGTATTTGCGAGGAATTGGCGGCTCCAAGCCGACGAGCGGGCCCCCTGTCTGAGCAATGTAGTTCTTGATGAACTCTCTATTTTCAGCAATCATGTCCTCGGTAATGCCCACGCTTTCCAGCTCTCTGTACAGAGACCTCCACTCTGGAGGAGGCTCGTCCTCGTAGTAGATAAGGCCCTTGGTGCGTCTTGTTCTCTGCTCGTTTTCGAGCCCAGACATGTCGCCTCTAAATCCGACCTTGTTCACCTGGATGGGTTCCTTCTTCAGCTCAACACCGTGCTTGTTCTGCACGGTCTGTTTGGAGCCGTGCTTATCGCGATTTTGGACCTTCTTGTAGAAACTCGTGGCCTCGCTTTTGTCCTCGAACAGCAGCCCAAAATAGCACTCCTCGCACTCAAAAGAGTGGAAGAACGAGCGGTCCTGGTTGTATTCAAAGTCGATGTACAGCTCCTGATCCCATAAAACTCCCTTGTGCGAGACGATGTCCACTAATTTCAGGAAGAAAGTATGGCCCACGAGGTCGTCTACTAGCACTATGGCGCCTGCGAGTCCCGTAGGAGTCCAATGGTCGGGCTCCGGATAGGCGATGTACAACCTCGCCACGGCGGCCGCCAATATCTTATTGGAGGCCTTGGGGATTGCCCGTTTGATCAACTCCTTGTCCTGAGAATTGATCATTTTGCCAGCTTGGTTTTTGGTGTGGTGCAAAAAGTACAATATAAAATGTTCAAGGGATGAAAAATTTGCTACAAATTTTCGAATGTCTGGAAGACAAGGAGGGAAAGCAAAGCGTAAGTACACATGATGACGAAAAATGGATAGTGAACAATCTCCTAGTTTCGACGTTGAGGAGAAACCGTTGCCTTCCTACTGAGTACTAACACCCCAGCGCTGAAGGCTCCAAAGAAGAAGGCCCAGGATCTGGACGAGGCCGACATTGCTTTCAAGGAGAAGCAAAAACAGGCCGAGAAAGCACGCAAGGAGCTCGCGGCCAAGGCTTCCGGTAAAGGACCCCTTGTCGGTGGTGGCATCAAGAAGAGCGGTAAGAAATGAGCGAGGGCTTATTCATCTGTAGAGCAAACGCTGCCTGCAACCAATGTATACGACTAGTAATCGAAGTGCGAGAGCGACGGTACGACAGTAATGGTAAATAACTTTCAGGCATTATCGGGTCGTAAATGCTGCTTAATATCTCTCAGCCAAACGGCCCAAGTTTTTTTTTTTCAATTGATATTTATTTATTACCCTTTCAACAGCGGAGATGCTCACCAAGTACAAAATAGTTTTCTTGGGCGACCAAGGAGTGGGCAAAACCTCGCTCATCACTAGATTCATGTACGACACGTTTGATGCACACTACGCGGCCACGATCGGGATCGATTTTCTTTCAAAAACAATGTACTTGGACGACAAAACAATTCGCCTTCAACTTTGGGATACTGCGGGCCAGGAGCGGTTCCGATCGCTGATTCCCAGCTACATCAGGGACTCGAACGTGGCCATCATAGTTTACGATATCACAAACAAGGAATCGTTCCAGAACGTTAGCAAATGGTTTGACTACGTCAAACAGGAGCGCGGATCTAACGTGCTGATTATCTTGGTTGGAAATAAGAGTGATCTAGAGAACAAAATAATTCCCAACGAGGAGGGAGAAAGTATGTGCAAGAAGCTGGGGTGCAACTTCTTCATCGAGACCAGTTCGAAGAACGGATATAATGTCAAGAATCTGTTTAAAAAAGTCGCCAAACTGCTGCCCGAACTGCAAGACGAAAACACAGACCAAGCACTGGACAACGACAAAGTGCAGATGATTGACGTGGCAGTGAACAACCAAGAAGCTGCCGATGGATGTCAGTGTTAATTCACACATCTATTTAATATACTGCTTAAGCAGCCGCAGTCTTTGCACCGCTTCTTCCAAGACAGAGTCATCTTTGCACACGGCGAAACGAAGACAGTCCTCAATCACATGTGCATTCTGAGGCAGATAGAACTCGGACGGAGGAATGCTCACCACGCCAAACTGCTTAATGAGCCAGAAAGCAAGCTTGAAGTCGCGCGGCTTGTGCGCAATCTCCTGCGGGAACTCGACCTCTTTTGGAATCTCCACCTTCTTCATATTCACCAGCAAAAAGTATCCTCCGTCGGCAATGGTGTACGGCAAGCCCAGCTCGTCAAAGACTGCCGTGAAGATTCTATATTTGTTGAGATACTCTTTTCTGGTTTGCTCGTAGTAGCCGTTGGTTCTTGCCAGTTGCAACGCCTGTGCAGTCGCCTCCTGCATCACGTTGGGCGTGCTGAAACAGATGCGAGTGTGGGCCAGCGCACAGTACTGCACGGTCTCCTTGTCGCCAATGACCCAGCCAACACGCCAACCAGTGGCCGCGAAGCTCTTACCGGCGGAACCAACCGTTAGGGTTCTTCTGCCGATTTCTGGGCTCAAGAGCGCAACTCTGGTGAAGTCCCCGTAGTAGAGGTTCTCGTAGACCTCGTCGGAAAGAATTAAAAAGTTGTGCTTGACGGCCAGCTCGCCGATTCTGAGCAGCTCCTGCTTGTTGAAGACTTTTCCGATCGGATTGTGCGGAGAGTTCAGGACAACCATCTTTGTCTTTGGCGTGATTGCCGCCTCCAGCTCGTTCCAGTCGATGGTCCAGTCGTCACCGGTCACGGTTTTGGTAGCGAAGTCCGCTGGTGGATGCAGCTGGACGTACTTGACCTTGCCTCCAGGCATCTCGATGTTGGAGATGTACTGGTCGAAGAAGGGCTCAAAGACGATGACCTCGTCGCCGGGAGCAATGAAACCGAAGAAACAGGAAAGCATGCCCTCGTTGGCCCCGGTGGTGACCAGGACCTCGTCCTTAGTCAGCTGTCTTCCGTAGATCGGCGAATACGTGTCGATGATGGCCTGCACAAGACTGGGTCTGCCCTTCGCTGGGGCATACTGGTTGTTGGCCGGAACGTCCAGGGCCCTCTTGGCGGCATTGATGGCAAAGTCCGGCGGCGAGTACGAGAAGAAGCCTTGGCCGAGATTAACCATCTTGCGTCCGCTCTCCTGCTCGGCAGCGGCCGCCGTTTCGTTGATCAAGGACCAGATGTCCTTGCCGCCGACTTTGAAGTAGGGATTGTGGGATGGAAGAGACATCGATCGTGAGATTGGAAAGAATGAGTAATTCGTAGTAAGGACTGTTCTTTTAGATAACATGTACGTGCATGAACTAATACGGAAATCTCTGGGAAAAATTATATAGTATGGCGTTTTTGCACTACAGCTCTGCGCTGGACTCAGATTTTGCCAATCGGCGCCGCATCCAGCTCGCGAAACGGGTCGGCAACTACGCGGCGAGTCAGATAGCGTCTCAGCCGGGGAAACGCATATTCAACCCGGACAACAGGCCGAAGAACGCAAACAAACGCAACGGTATACTGGAAAATTCATACGAACGGTGGATCGGTAATGGGAGCCCCTCATTGGTCGAGCGCGAGGCCCCTGAAAAAGCTCAAGCATACTCCAATGAGGACGCCGAGCTACAGACTCTCATCTGTGGCGACGAGATTATTCCATCTCGGAGTGGAATAGCGCGCAGTCACGTGAACGCCAGAGGCTCGCTCCAGAGCCATGTAAGGATGTTGAACACCCTGTTGCATATCAACCTGATGCAGGGCAGGTGGGAGACCAGCTACCGCATATTTGCTCTGCTGGTGCGGGTTTATGGCACCGACACCAGAGAGCTGTGGCCGGTGGGACTGGAGATTTTGAAAAGACTCAACGAAAAGGAGACAGGGTGCGAGGACGACCCCACAAAAGCGCGGGTGCGCGCCAATGATGGGGTGCCAAGACGGTATCAGCCCAAGATATTCAGATTTCTGCGGTTTCTCCAGAACTCGCACGACATGAAGTCGTCGGAGATAGTGGGGCGATATCCTTATCAGGTCGTCGATAACGCGCTGGATAAGCGGCTTGACGAGGACGCATGCAAGAAGGACTATCAAACACACCATTTTCTGCGACTGGAGACCGCCCCCCTGTTCAAGTCGGGCTCCAAAACACATCTTGCAATGTACGTAGTGTCGTTGCTATGGGAACTGACCGTTGCCGGGCAGCACACACAATTTTACGAGCTCGAGGAAATGCTAAAGCTTAATTTCTCAGGCGAGAGTTTTGTGCTCCAATACCTTAAGGGCATCAACAAGATCCGCGAGGGGCTGAAGCTGGAGCGGGACGGTAGGCCCGGCGCCGGGAACGCCATCAGCGAGGGCGAGACCATTTTGCGGGAAATGGGTCTCGAATGAACTATACGCAAGAATATTCATCTATATACAAGTAATGATATCATTTATGTTCGGACTTCTTATCTATCGCTCCCTTCTCCTTCTCCAACTCCTGCTGCCGGTGCTTTTCCTCTTCTCTCAGAATCTGTTTCTCTCGCTTGATCTCCCCCACCAGGTTGGCCGGGTCGCCTTTGGGCACAGCGACGACAATCTCGGGATTGTTGTTTTGCACCTCGATATCCGCCACAAGCTTTTCCCCGCCCATCCTTTTCACCACCTCTCTCAGTTCCGTGATCTCTTCTTCCAGTCGTCTAACGTCCTCCTCCATTGCGTCCTTTCTATTATTCTCTTTGACCCGCTGTCTATTTGATTCGTAGAGAAGCGCCCCTGCAGCAACGCTAAATATAAACGTTTCCGACAAGATCTCTGCTCCGTTCTGGATGGCCTTTGCCTCGTTGAGCGGGCGGACCGGGCGTGCTTTACTGCGCAAGAGCGAGGTTTTGAGTCTCTCGTCTAGGAAATGGAAATACTGCGCAACGCGCACACAAACCACCTTGAACCCCCTGTGGTTCTTTGCTTCGTGCTTCAGCGTGTTGGCAATGGGCTTGGCGATCTGCCGCACCAGCAGCGTGGTCAGTTTCAGTGCAACAGAGCTCATTCTCTGTTTTTACGGCACAGCCTGTAATTTTTCGTTCCTCCGCCACCTAATTTTCTGTCTGTGCAATCTGCTAGACTATGGTACTTCGTATGAAATTTGCTTTGTACGCCGTTGCCAGCACGGCCGTCGCCTTCTACATGGTGTACGAGTCGCTGCTTGAAAGACCCAACATCTATTCCGTCGGAGTGCAGCTTATCCAGGGCCCGTACCTGGTGGTGATCGGGAACTGGTTTCTGGTGATGGGCATCACCTTAGGCAAATTTCTACAGGTGCTGCTGTTTGGCGAGCTGCGAATAATCGAGATGGAGCATATCTACGAGCGCTCGTGGTTTGCCGTCACCAACATGCTCATGACAATTGGTGTTTTCCGCAAGGAGAACAACCTGCTGCTCGGAGCACTGGTTTGCGGTTTGTTGTTCATGAAATGTTTCCATTGGGTTCTGGAAGACAGACTGGAGATGCTTATTCAGCAGAAGCGCTCGATTTTCAGGACCCTGGTCAACAGAAATACCCTTGTGTTGTGTCTTTTTCTGGTCCTTGACGACAAAATAGTGAAATCATGCATTAACAGGTCTTTTATCCACTCGGCAGACGTGTTTTTGATTTTTGGCCTGGATTTCCTTGTCATCTACCTCAACGTGCTGGATGCAACGCTCAAATTTGTCCTCAACGTCGCAGAAATGGCCTATCTTAACAAATATCCCGAGGAGGACGCTTGGGAGTCCAAGATCTGGCTCTCAAAAATCGGCTCTTTCATTCTGAGCATCATCAAGAGCGCGGCAGTCTTGGTGCTCTTTGTGGGACTCATTTACGCCGACCGTCTTCCGGTGAATTTCGCTGGAGACATGTACACCTCGTTCACTCGCCTGGCCAAACAGTTTGGCGACCTGATGTACATGATCAAGGCGACAAGAGACCTCAACAACAACATCATGAACGCGAACGAGGACGACCTGCGCAAGGAAGACATTTGCATCATCTGTCGTGACGAGATGGAGATCGTGAGCGATAAGAACTCGCGGTCCGCGCCAAAGAGACTCAATTGCGGCCATGTTCTACATCACGGGTGTCTCAAGAGCTGGCTTGGACGATCGCATGTGTGTCCGACTTGCCGCAGAGACGTGTTCCAGAATAAGTCGCAACCAAGCTCGAAAACCACTATTAATATACCTCAGAACGCGTTTATTCCTCCCGACTGGACAATTCTGCCCGTCACGCGCGCTGGGGACACGAATTATACCATCCAGCTGAACGATACTACTTTTGCACAGCTCCGAACACGTACATAGTCTACCCTAATCACGCTTAAGATACATTCACTTAGTATACAAAGAAGTAATTTACTCGCCACGACCCTTGCTTTTCTCGACCTTGAGCAACAGTGCCTTGTTGATGTGGGGCAGCACACCACCGTAGGCAATGGTGGCCTTGATCAGAGTATCGAGTTCCTCGTCACCTCTGATGGCCAGCTGCAGATGTCTCGGTGTGATTCTTTTAACCTTGAGGTCCTTAGCAGCGTTTCCTGCCAGCTCAAGCACCTCGGCAGTCAGATATTCTAGCACAGCGGCAAGATAGATGGCCGACTTCGATCCCACTCTGATCTTGGACTGGGCCTGCTTCTTAAGGTATCTCTTGATTCTTCCAACAGGAAATTGCAGGCCCGCTCTGGCAGAGTGGCTCTGCAATTTGAGGGACCCCTCTTTGGCTCCCGACTTTCCTTTTCCTCCGTGAACTTTTCCTGACATATTAAGATGGAAGAAGCTTTAAATACAAATAGGTAAACAAATGTTTATATTTTGAATGTTTATATTCTTTAAAGGAGGGCAGGGTCAGGGCACTGGGCCGGGTAACTGTGACAACCTGGAAGTGGTGCTCTTTTTTTTTTTTTTAACGGGCCTGAGAATATTACCACAGAATGCTGCAAATGCTGCGTGACTATTATCGTTATCGTATATTAATTAAATGCCTAGTTCATTCAGGGCAGGGAGTCTGTATCCGTTAGGGGTCTGCGAGCCGCCCATAGTAACGAGGGTCTGTGCCGCGGCTGAGTCTGGCGTAGCCAGCTGATTATTCAGCACGTTATTGAGCCATGTTTTCGTACTAGTAGGCGTTCCTGCGGAGATAGGGGTATCGTAGTTGTTTATGATGAAAGAGACAGAATGAGGAGAGTTCACTCTGCTGGAGGAAGCAGAAGAGGCAGATGGCACAGCGCTTGGGGTCGGCGTTGGCAATTGGGAGCCAGCTGGCGAGAAATTGGAGTTCTGGACAAAGATCGGGCCCGGCTTGTTGGGCAGGTGTGGTCTGAATTCGTTGCTGCCGGACAACAAAATGCTTCTACGAGGCGGCGGAAGCATTGCGCCTTGCTGGACGACAGCCTGGTTTTTCTGCGTGTGCGTATCCTTTTCCTCAGATTTCATTCTGACATTGACATTTTCGCCGGGATACGTGAGAATGAAATTCTCGTAAATGTGGACGGTTTGTTTATGTTGTCTAAGATTGTCCAGTCTAGAGAATCGGCGAGCGCAATGTTCGCACTTGAAAGGTCTCTCGCCGGTGTGTTTTCTAATATGTCTAGCGAGATGTTCAGAACGAGTGAATGACATCGAGCAGTTCTCGTAGCCAACACATTGGAAAACACGGCCCTTGTGTTTTTTAGTGGAGGAGGTTCTAGGCATGAGTTGGCAATTAATTTCAAAAGAACTGCGGAATTTTGCAAATTTTATACGTCAGGAAGAGAAACAGGTAAGCGAGCGAGATTCAAAAAAATGCATCATGCAACGGTGGGACGATAGGACCTATAGGGGAAAAACGTGGCGGAATTAGCCCCTGGCCCCCCTGCTTCGCCCTGGTGCACGCAGTAATTTTCAGGGAAAATACGCAGCCTGCAAGGTCGCCTCGGCACATTTCAGCCTGGAACCTGTTATAGGCCAGTTTTGAAAATTTTCACGCAACAATATGCAAACGGTATTAACATGTCTGCAGCGTTTTTTATGAAGATTCCCTACTCGGAAGTCTGAATATTGTACTCCTGCGCCAAAAATAGGTCGTAAAAACCAAAAATGAACTTACTACAGGGCGTTCTGCTGTACGGGGATGCGAGGCACTTTAAATCGATGGAATGAACAATGTTCTGGTTAATTTTAGTAAACAGTGCTCATTCCCTTTTCATGTTATCTGACATCCGTGCACGGAAACAGGAACAATCTCTAATTATTCCAGAAGAAATGACATCTCCGTTTCCAAATATCTATCAGCTGCGCAGAGTGAGCAGTGATAACGCGAAACCGTGTACAATATGCTATAAATCGACGCAGGCCGTTCTGGTGTCGTCTCCGGATTTTTTTTACGTTTGTGAGTCGCACTTAAAGGACAAGCAGTTCTGTACGGTAAAATATGCAGACGGTGAAGACGAAAAAGACGCAGAGTACCAGTCCCTCGACAAAGAAGTCCGAAGCTCAGACCAGAAGGCCGCCCAGATTCAGCACAAGATCCAGCAGCGAGAGTCGCAGCTTGCCAGAGTGCGAGATTACCTATGGAAACCAAAAGAAGACGAGAATCAGCCAGATCTGAAGCAGCAGCTTTCGGAAATAATAAAACAGCGTGATCTGGCAAGAGCTAAATTAGAAAAATTTATCAAAGCCTACACAAGATATACGCTGGATGCTGTCTTCTACAAATCGAGACTCCAGCAGCATAGCAAGAAAATTAGACATCAGCAGATCGTGCAGAAGCTGAACAACGGGACTCTGTTCCCCTCCATTCCTGACCTTCCCAAACCATAGTTTTCAAGTCGAGTCCTGTCGCTGCCACTTCGCACCTTTTATGCCACGGACCATGAGATCGAGCGTCAACGTTCTCATCTTGCCCTCACGATCCAGCACGTCGGCCACTTTGACTGTCTTAACGTAGGTAAATCCAAGCTTCTGATAAATTTTCCTGTTGCGAGGATGCGAGCTTTCCAAGTACAGCGGGGCCCCGATCTGTCTGCCCTTGCTTTTGCGCTGGTCGTACTCCGCCAGAATATCGCGGTCTTCGTCGTAGTACCACGACGAGTGGGCCGACGACGCGTCGGAGCTGGCCGACGAGTAGCCCGAATAATCTGTAAATGTATCCGACTGTAAGTCAAAGTCGAAATTATACGACTGGATCTCCGAGTCCAGTAGCGATTCCTCGTTTGCGTCGAATCCAGAATGCACGGGGTCGGCGTCGTCCTCGAGGTCCGAGTCGCCGTCCTCTGTTGGCTGCTTATGCAGATCAATGTAGTTGTGTGTCACGAAATCGATCAAACGTCGAGCCAGTCCTTTGCCTCGACCTCTTGGAATGGCACCTATGTCGGACAGGTACCACGATTTGTCTCGATCGGGGCCGAGAACCTCTGCGCGGAACGACTCAAGCATCTGTGACTGCTCCTCAAACACCCTCTGTCTAGTTTCTTTATTTGCTAACCACATGAACTTCAAATACCCGCCTTGATATAGCGACCACAAGTAATTAAGGATCGACTGCGGCTGATGGTCTTTGGCCTTCTGCGGTTTCTCAAAGCACGCGACAGCCAAAAACGGAGCATCGGGCATCTTCTGCTCCAGCTCCGAATCTCGCACAGCGACCACCAGTCCCTTGAGAATCGTCGAGTAAACCGTGGCCTCAAACAGGGCCATGTTCATCTGTCGTTTCAGGCGCGCGTCGGTAATACCACTCGTGAGATAGTTGACATACAGGTCGTCCTTGAATGCGATTTGCAAAGTCTTTGCCGCTTTTTTGTAGTCCTTCAAAGTCACCACTTCGACATGCAGATTATGGGCCGACACCGTGTCGGAGATTTCCTCGTCCGAGCTGTTGGCCTGGGATACGTCTCCCTTTTTGATGCTCGACTGGAGCTTCGAGAAGAACGACATGCTAGATCTACGAAGTTCTTATCACTTCCTTGTGTTAATATACGACTGGGTACTCTGCACAGCCAAGAAACAACCAAGCATTTATACACAAACTCGGTATCTCGAGCCTGGGCCGGGTAAGCGCGCCATACAAAAACCAGTAGCATCGGAACTGGTTTCGCGAGCTTTGGACGCCCGAGAAGTGTCACCGCGGCTAATCAAGGTCCAGAGCGATATCCTCGTGAACGCTCGTTGGAAATTATCTTGTTGAATACACATTGATCAGGTGGAAATCTTGGCCAAGATTTCGCCTATTATATAAGCAGATCGATAAGGTGGCTCGAGTGTGCTATGCTATATGGACCTTGGGCTTTATGGCTGCCGCGACCTTGCTCTTTTTGAGCGCGCCCAACCGGCCTGCTGCTCTTTGCGACTCGATACTCTCTCTGATCATCAGCCCCACGCATTCTTCCACGTTCGTCCAGTTCTCGAACGAACAGTCGATCTCGATGAACGGGAAGCTCCATTGTTTGGCCAATTTCCTGCCTTCTTCGATCAGCACCGGCGACGCCAGCTCATGTGCACAATGGGTCGCGACCATCACGATGGGAGGAAGATACGTTGCGTTGGGGTCCGTCTGTGCTATTTTGGATTTAGTCCACAAAGTTTTGAGAGAGCGGTTGATAGAGAAGATGTCATACTCCTTGCCAACCTCCCAGTTATGGTGGTATCTTAAAAACTCTGTCCATGCCTCCTCCAAAGTCGATTTGATCGCCTTGACCACTTCCAACGGCTTGAGAGGCTGGCTGTCTTGCGGATCGTCCGTCACGCAGTAAGACGGGGGTGGAGAGTCCAGCGTCGTTTCTGGAATGCAGCTATAGCAGAGAATGTATCCATCGATGGAGCCGTTCAGGTCACTAATTCCAGACCCGACTATCAACGGCTTCACCCTAGCACGTCCAAGTCCTCCGTCGTTGTCCTCGGCCAGGTTCCTCAGAACGTCCTTGGCCAATCTCGAGTCTAAAGACCGTTCCAAAAAAGGTATGAGCTCCTCTGCCTCCACGCCAGGCGTGTCGATCAGTTCAATAAGAATTGGTGTGGTGTATGGCGGAGTATACGCACTGTGGTTACTGGAATTCGACCGAAAAAATTGCTTTTCGAAAGGCTGCTCAAAAGGCGAACTAAAGGGACTCGAAAAGCTGCTGTAATTCAACGGCGATGAATAGGGCGATATCGGAGATAGCTTGTCGTCCAACTGTGTGTAGTCCAGGTCGTAGTAGTTGAGAGTCTTGCTGAGAACGTACTCGGTAGACGTATTTCTTGACTGTGTTTTTTTGAGCGCATTCAAAATAGGCTCTGTGAGGTTGATATCGGTGCCTCCTATAATTCCCATTTCCTCAAAGTCCGCCTCAGTTGCGTTGATATCCAGTAGGGTCCTGGTTTTGGGGTTTGCAGGCTGAAACTGCAGTAATGTGGGGGAGTTCTGGATAGTAGGGTAGTAATTACCAAGAGATTTGTTGTTTGTGATGATCGAAACAATCGACGACTTGGACGAGTTATGGGGTCCCAGAAGCGCAAACCTCAGAGGCCGATCTGTGGTCGACCTCATCAAATTCTTCCTGTCATGGCTTATCATGTTTGATATAGTCTCTTAATTTTTTTTTTATTTTTTCTCACATGTTTTTTGCGTTATCACCTCGTAGATCCAGCGTGCCAGATAAAAAACAGTCAAAACAGACCAAAATCGCTAGCGCGCATAATTGAACGCTTCGAGCCAGCTGTACCAAGTACCACCAAACTGGAAATCCAAACTATGCCTCAATGCCCGTTGAAGATACAGGTCTTTATCCACATTGTAGAAAACCATGAGCAGTCCCCAGACCAGGCCACTAGTTGTTCTCCAACCGACTTTCTCAATCTGAGCACGGCGTAGCCTTGTCCTACGGTGAAGTTTAACAGAGAGCCATTTACCCAGTGCCAGAACAACTCGCGACAGACAATACATCGTGATCTGTGTTGCTATTGCTTCGTTCACAAACTTCTTGAAGTGCATGTTCAGAACGCCCCCATAGACCAATATGCCCCCGAGAAATCCCCCAATAAAATGGTTGATCGTTCTTTTCGGTGCTATCTGGTTCAGCGACAATTGCACCGAGCTGTAGATTAAGGCAAATAGGGCCAAAAGCTTGCCGTGGTCGAGCCCCAATCGTATCGACCTTATCACTTTTTCGACTATCTGATCCATCAGTCGTCTTCGTCTGTCCATTGATCCCATCTGTACCGCTATGCTGTGTATGAAGCGCACTCTGTAGCCATATATGACGGCATTCTTAGAGGCTGACAAAACAGTGTCGATATAATCCATGACAAACAAAATACGGGGCATTATCACATGCCTAAATCCCCGATCAAATCGACGCGTCGACTCAATTTAATTTTTTGGGGTGAAAAGATCCTGCCCTGACTGTTTATCAATTATGCCGTTTGAAGAGTTGTCGTATAGCGTAGAGGACTCGTTTGTCCTGGGAGACATGAAGGTCTCCATCCTGAGATTTTTGGTGCCGCTGGACTATACAGTGCCAGACTCCACTATCAGTATCTGTGTCAAGCTGGTCAACAGCTACAAATACGGGGAGCCAACGGGTTTTGTTTACGAAGCAGACATTTCTCGAAATTTGGATCACATACTGCTGTATTTGCAAGGAGGGCCTGGCTATGAGTCGGAGTTTCCAAGCGACGCTTCAAGGCCCACTTTTCTCTCTCCACTATTACGTAAGGGGTATACGGTGCTGCTTCTTGACCAGCGGGGCACAGGACTGTCGACGCCTATACACGTTGCCAAACTGCTGAGTCTAGGGTCGGCTGAAAACCAGCTTCATTATCTGGAGTGTTTTCGTGCAGACTCGATCATCCGCGACTGCGAGCAAATCCGGCTGGGGCTTGTTGGCCGCTGCAAATGGACTTTGCTTGGCTACTCGTACGGTGGTTTTTGCTCTATTTGCTACTGCTCGATGTTCCCGGAAGCGCTGAAAAAAGTCCTGATTTTTGCTGGACTTCCACCACTCACAGGAGATCTGACACAGATATCCATAAATAACCTTGCTACCGCTAAACGGAGGACTCTGGAGTTCTACGAGGAGTATCCGGGGAACAAGCAACGGGTGGAGCGCATAGTTGACTATCTGAAGAAAGATAGACCCGCGCTGCCGAACGGGGGTGTTCTGAGCCCCGAACGGTTCCAGCAACTGGGGATGCACTTTGCCACAGTCGGTGGTTTTGGATGGATGAACAAGCTAGTTGTCACCATGACGCTGGAGCTACAAACGACAGGACAGTTGTCATACACCACGCTGAAAAATGCCCAGGACGGGTCCGGATTCGACTCCAATCTGCTGTACTTCTTTTTCCAGGAGGCTATCTACATGAATGGCAATGGGTCGAGCAGCCAATGGTTTGTCAACAAAATAAAAGAGCGCGTCCATGACGACGGAGAATTTTATTTCACTAGCGAGCACCACTATCCTGGAATTTGCGACGATTTCCAGTCATTGAGGAGTCTGAAGCCGCTGTTGGAGCTCGTTCACACATACGACAGATGGGACAAGATCTGGGATTTATCAAAGTTGCGCAACGTCACGCTCGCTAAATTGCCGGTTTACTGTCTGCTCTGCTACGACGACCAGTACGTGAGCACCGAGCTTGCCCTGGCCAATTCGTCTGTCTTTGAGTTCAAGAGATGGATAACCACCGAGTACCTTCATGACGGGATTATCGCGAGCGGCGAAGAGGTGGTGGACAAACTCTTCAGGCTGGTGGAGGGAAGAATTCCAAAATAAGTCAAATTTGTACACTAAAATTTCTGATAGCAAAATAATATCCGATTTGCCTCGAAAAAAAAAAAAAAAAAATCGGACTTCTATAAATCCGTTTTTATGGAGAAGTACACGGATATTTACCACCCACAATATATTCCTGGCACATATTCCATTTACACCTCTGCGATTCTACACCACAAACAGTTACAGAAAACCTCCCGACCATGCAACTATGTCTATGACAGAAACACACCTCTCGAAGATATTCCTGACCTCAAGTCGAAATACGGAGTGATACTGCTTCCACAGCCGTCCAACTCGGTCAATGACCCTCTGAATTGGCCACCATGGAGGAAATTGCTTCAGTTTTTCATTTTGATTTTAATAACGGCCTTTACGGCAGCGATAGCGAACGACGCATCTGCTCCTCAAGACTCTATCAACGAGCTCACAGGTATCGACTATGACTGGCTCAACAATTCCGCCGGAGTACTGTTCATTTCCATTGCAGCATCCGTTTGGCTGTACGGCCCTCTTGCGTCTCTTTGTGGCCGCAGAATCACGTACGTTCTCGGGCTGCTATTTGCGCTCTTTGGGTCCATCTGGTACGCCCGTATACGTCACAAGGGCGACATTTTTGGGTCTCAGGTACTCATTGGGTTTGCGGAAGGCTCGACAGAGGCCCAAGTGCAGCTGAGCATGAGCAGCATGTTTTTCAAGCACCAGTTGGGCGCCGTTGTCACGATTTATATACTGGCAACCTCGCTTGGCACCTATATGGGTCCGCTTTTTGCCAACATAATTGCCCAGCATAGGGGTTTCACTTGGGTGGGGTGGTCTGGAGCAATAGCGAGCGGAATATGCTTGCTCATGGTGCTATTTCTTCTCGAGGAGGACTATTTCGATTACTCAAGGTTCGCCTACCATTCCCAGAATTCGCTGCTCAATAGAAGTCTGCAGACACACGGAATTGTCAGCAATGAGCAGGACGACGACTTTGGGTACCACGACGCTCCGGCCACTTGGAAGCAGCGCTATTCGCTTCTTGGTGCCTGGAAGAACCGGTCAATGCAGGATTTTGTCAAGCAATACGCCAAACTGCTAGTCTACAATTTCCGTTGTTTCTGGTTTCCGCCCGTGATTTTTGGCGGCCTTATCTGGGGCTTCCAGAGCGCAGTGTTGTCTTTCTACCTCACCACCCAGGATACAGATCTCTACGCTGACCCGTTCAACTATTCCGGTCGCCGCATTGCCCTGATGAACATTCCGTGCATTATTGGCTCCTTTATTGGCAGCATCTACGCAGGATCGCTCACGGACTACTTTGTGCTCTGGGTGGCCCGCAAGAACAACGGCATTGTGGAGTCTGAGTTCAGACTGTTTTTCGCGTTTCTCTCCGGCATAGTTGGCTCTGTAGGGCTCCTGATGTTTGGCTTTGGCGTTTCGAGGGGCCTCGACTGGCGCGTCATCTACGTGGGGCTGGCAATGATCGCATACCTGTTTTCGTCCGCTGGAAACCTGGCGATGCTCTACGTGATCGGGACCTACGACCAGCTGATTCTGGAGACTCTCATTGCCGTCGAGGTGATCAACAACATCATCGGCTGCATTTTCACGTTCGCGTGCTCGCCGTGGCTGGACAGGTCCGGCACAGAGGCTACATACGTGGCTCTCGCGGTGCTGAATCTGTTCTTCATGTTTCTGAGTCTTCCGCTCATGATATATGGTAAACGCTGGCGTAAGGCCACCAAGAACTCGTACATACGGATGATTGAGGCAAGACCGAAAGGGTAGCGGTTTTGCACCGATTTATAGATTTTTACTTAATTTCTGCTACGCGAATAATTTTTATTTTTATTTTTTTATGCAACTTCCCCATAAACCAACAGAGCAGTCGCCGCTGCTCCCGCAGCCGGCACCGGCACACACACCGCTGCCGGGAAACCTGCCGCTCATCATCGTGTCTCTGTGGACCGGTTCATTTCTTTCGTCAGCTGACTCCACCATCGTGTCGACCACGGCCAACACCATTGCCTCGCTGCTTCATGACTCCAATAGACTTGCCTGGATCGGCACGAGCTACCTGCTGACCAACGCGATTTTCCAGCCGCTGATGGGCAAAATCAGCGAGGTGTTTGGCCGCAAAACAAGTCTCCTATTTGCGCAGTTCTGGTTCGGATTGGGCTGTCTTTTGTGTGCCTGCTCGCGGTCGGTGACCCAATTTGCTGCTGCGCGGGCGTTGGCGGGAATTGGAGGCGGCGGAATCTCTGCCCTGAGCTCTATCGTCGTCACCGACGTCGTTCCGCTCAGAATGCGCGGCATGTACCAGGGATACGCAAATCTCGTGTACGGCCTGGGCCAATTTATCGGTCCAATCATTGGCGGTATTAGTCTCGGCCTAGACCCGAATAACGGCTGGAGATGGATGTTTGGCTGTCAGGTGCCACTGGTGGTTCTTGCCGCGTACCTTGTCTCCACCAACGTGCACGAGTACATTGACGACGCAGAGGGACGTACGCACAAACGCTTCACCAAAGAAAACTTTTCCAAGATCGACCTGGCCGGCTCGCTGACGCTGGCGTTGCTTATTGCGAGCGTGCTGCTCCTGTTCTCGTCGACCAGCCGCGCCGAGGGGCTCACATTCGTGGCCAGTGCCGCTGTTTCCGGCGTGCTATTCTATCTGGTGGAAACCAGACCCGCTACAGAACATATCATCCCGCCGTTCGCTTTCCAGGGAGTCCTGCGCTTGGGGGCCCTCACAGCGATGTTTGGAACCATGACGCTGTACGGAATCAATTTTATCCTGCCTATCTATCTGCAGACCGTCCACGGTCTTGACTCGCTGCAACTGGGGCTGTTCAACGGCTTTGGCGTGTTTTTCGTGTCTTTTGGCTCGCTGTATTCCGGCTGGCTACTGAAACACGACGCCAACGCAAAGGACGACTACATCGTCGCCCAATCCGTCCGCGTCTCGATATTGGGGTTCCTGGCTGTGTGTTCAGGCTCGCTCGTGTCGCTTGGTGTTTGTCTGACTGCAAAGCCAGCGTTCGCGCCAGAAGACCGCAACTATTGGCAGATTGCGCTGCTTGCCGCGGGCTTCTCCTTGACCGGATTTGGATACGGCATGTTCTTGGTGAGTCTGCTGATCATGGTGGTGGGCAAAGTTGGTCTCAAACACCAGGCCTCCGTCACCGGAATGAATTACCTGTTCCGGTCAATCGGCTCCGTTTCTGGGGCAGGAATCACTCTCAACATCTACAGCACGGTCCTCAGCAAAGAGCTACGGCACTACTTCATCAAGAAGAAAAGACCGGACGGCGAGAAAATATACAAAACTCTCATGGAGAACTTCTTTTATGTGCGCAACGGCCTGGACCCAAAATATACCACCAAAGTGCTGAAAATATACCGCGAGGCCGTGGGTGATTCGCTCATGATGGTGTTTGTCTTTGCCACAATGGCCCTCACAGCGAGCATCTCGCTCAGACTGTATAGCAAGTGACTCAGCCATACAGTTTCTTTTCGATATCGCTTCTTTTGTATGGACTGTCCAAGTAGGACAGCACTTCTTTGCCCATTTGGCTGCCAAACATAGCGATTGCCGCCACCATCGTCCGGCACACCAGTTTTTCCGTAAGACAGCCGTATCCCGTCCCCATCCCTGTCATGACAAACACGTCTAGCGACGGCTCTTGTCTGACCCGCACCAGACTCTGCCAGGTCCAGTCGAACACGGATTGTATTGTCTGTTCTTCTGTAAACCCGAGGATTTTTGGAGTTCGCATTGTCGGGACGTGCAGGATCGCGCTGGCCCTATACTTCTGCCAGGCTAGCGAGTCCGGCCAGTCGAAGCGGATCAGTTGCGCAGTCCCTGGAGCCGAGTATCCGTTACTGTTTTCGACTATCCAATTCTTCACGTACCGGTCGGTGGTACGCCAGTCGCCAGCCTCGGAAAATAGGTACGCCAACGCCTTGTCGTAGCCGCCGCCCATTCCGCCAAAGGAGTTGCCCGGTGAGAAAAAGACGCTTTCCTTGCTGGTGTCAAACTTGAGGTTTTCTATATTCCCGTGGAAGATGGAAACCTCCAGTTTCTCGTCGCGCCACCGCATCGCATCAGCCAGCTCTTTTTTTAGCCGTCTCATCTCTTCCTTCCACAGCCGGCAAATATGCCCACTGGCATCAAGCAGCACTATTCGCATCAGATAAGGAAATTCTGTGGGTAAAAATTAATTTTTCTCTAGATATTATATTTCACCAGCTTGAATGCTGGCGGCGACGGCATCTCCTCCACAGGCCTCTCGACCACCACCAGCTCGTCGTCCGACAGTCTGTCTACCAACAGCAGGTTCTTGTACTTGTTGGTGAACCAAAACGTCTTGTCAGAGACCTCCTTTTCTGTGCTGTCGTTGACAGAGCCGTTCACTCCGTTCGGCTTGCTCCTAGGCCGTTTCCTGCCCTTGGCCTGTTTTTGGGGAAGTTGTGTTTTGGCGTCGAAAAATGCTATCCAGCTGGCGCCATATACCCAGAACCGGTCTGGAGTTTCGAAAACTCCATACGGCTGGCCGGGCAGCGACAGAAACGGTTGCGGCATGTTCTCGCTATTTTTCTTGGACCACTCGGTGTGCAACTCGCCGTCCAAATTGAATTCGTAGAGCTTATGTTCCATGGTAGCCACCAGAAGCGTGTCGTTGGACGTGAACCGCAAAGCTGTCGGCACCTCGTTCAGTCTCACCAGCACGCGCGCCTCGCCAGATCCGAGGTCCAGCACAGAGATCTTCCCGTTGTAGCCGGCACAGGCAACGAGCCGTGAGTCCTGGCTGGCATCCAAAAGTTCGCACGCATTCTCGACGTCGTACTCTACCACGTCCTGGGCCTCGTCGAACTCAGACACGTCGTCGTCGTCGTCCACGTTGAAGCGGACACTCAGACACTCATTGCTATGTGTCACCAGCAGGATGAGTCCCAGGCTGTCAAGAATGCGCACTTTTTTGGCTCCAATCTCTTCCAGCTTGGCAGCCGGCACTTTCACCACCTGCAGCTTGTCGGCGTCCGTCTCGATCAGCTCGTAGATGCGGACAATGCTCAGTCGCGCAACAACCAGATACCGTCCGTTCTTGGAGATCGCAACCTGACTGATGCTTTCAGGGTCCGAGAGGGTGAGCTTGGCGGCCAGTATCTTTTGCTGGTTGTCCAGAAAACGCCATATTTTCACGGTCTGGTCCTGCCACATCACCAACAGTCTGTGTTCATCGTTTATTATCAGATTGTTAGCGTTCAGCGGAAGCTTCAACACCATGCTGTTTTGGAAATTTCTTAGCGTATTCACGGCAACCACTCTTTCCACACCACCACTGACCAACAGGTCCAGATTGCGCGACTCGTACGACGCCATGGCACGCACGTCGTTGCCATGCAGCAGTCTGTTGGAGCTGTTTATCCACTTATGCGATTTTTTCCCTTTGTCAACCAGCTGGAACTGAAATATCTTGCGGTCCACTCCGGCACTGAACACCGTGGTGCCGCTCATGTCTCCTGTCAGCGTCAGAACGTCTGCCTCGTGGACGTTGAAACTCTGCTGCAGTACAAAATGTTTCATGTCCCAGAACTTGACGCTTCCGGTAGAGTCTCCGGAAACCAGCTGGCTCCCGTTTGCGACCATGTAGAGACTCCACACAAGCGTGCTCTCTGTCTTCGACTTGTCGACTCTTAGTGTCTGTAGTAATTGTCCCTTGATGTCCCAGCATCTGATTCGCCCGTCTGCGCATCCGCCAATGATCATGTCGTCTTTATTCCAGCATAGACTCAGAACTCGCGACTGCTGTCTTTGCAAGATCCGCTCGTGCTCCATCACGCCAGGACCGCCTGAAATGTCGATTATCACCACCGAGCCGTCCTCGCAGCCCACAGCAATTTTGTTCTGCGACTGGTTGGCGGCCAAAGACCATATCACACCCGCATTGCAGTCGTGGTTCTGTAAAGGAGCGCTTTTCGCAACGTCCCACTCGGTCAAATACGTCGATCCGCCAATGGAAAATAACCTGGAGTGTCCCTCATCACTGCACCACACGAGTCCCTCGACGGATCTGCCCCGACACCCGGGAATCACGTGCTCCTTGAGCCAGTTGGTGTGTCTTCCTCGCGGGTTCCACACCTCTATCGACCCGTCGGCGCGACCCACGGCCAAACGGAGCCCGTGCGGACAGCTGTCGCTCACGGAGTTGTGCGAGAATGCAAGCGACGTCACCGTGTGCGGCGTATAGTCCACAAATCGACACCGGTGAATATACATACTGAATGAAATATTTTTTAAATATTTTTACAAAAAATATCTATATTTGCATACGGCTTACCCGGCCATAGAGCAGGGTCAGGGTCCTCAGCACACCAGCACGTAAACGCAGCTACAGTGTTCCGGTGGCTGTCCCATAGCCATTGGGGGACTCACTGCCCCTGCCGGAGCATACATGTCCAGCAATTTAGCTTCTAAGGTACACTTTCACTATATCCGGCGTTTCTCCGAGTCGGATATTTTTCATGTTGATTGTACGCTCTTCGCTGTTCCAGCTCGGTTGCCGAAGCGCCCACAGGGCCGGTATTCGCCGCCAGAGCACGTCGCCCCTACAGAGATACGACCACCTGGTGGCTCAGCACAGATTGAAGGACGACCCGTACCAGCGGGGAATCCTGAGCAGCTTGGAGGGGTTATACTCCGAGCTTGTCCGTTACCGGCCCCCAAAAGTGGACGAGCCGGACATCAGAGACCTGACTCCCACGACAGGGCTGTCGAAGGTATTTGGGTCGATTTTCAGGAAGAGAAAGGCGGCCCCCGAGGAAGCTGTCTCTGTGCCTAACGGTATCTATCTCTACGGAGACGTTGGATGCGGGAAAACCATGCTGATGGACCTTTTTTACCAAACTGTCCCTGAGCATCTCACCAAGCGCAGAGTACACTTCCACCAGTTCATGCAAAACCTGCACAAACGCTCGCACGAGCTCAAGATGAAACATGGGGGCAAGCAGGACATCGACGTGATTCCGCTGCTGGCGTGGGAGTTGGCGCAGAAATCGACTGTGCTGTGTTTCGACGAGTTCCAGGTCACCGACGTTGCGGACGCGATGCTGCTGAGACGGCTGCTGAACCTGGTTCTGCGGCCGGACCACGGCCTTATTCTGTTTGCAACGTCCAACAGGGCCCCCGACGACCTGTACATCAACGGAATCCAGCGCGAGTCGTTCATTCCCTGCATCCAGCTGATCAAAAGAACCACCAAGGTCATCTATCTAAACTCGCCAACAGACTACAGGAAAATTCCCAAACCTCTGTCCTCTGTGTACTACTTCCCTAAACCAGGCATCCGTTTCGACTCCAAGGCGTCGCGAAGACAGCAAAAGGAGCATATCGACACCTGGTACCGCTTCTTTGCGCAGGGAGTTCCGCCAAGGGACAACGTGCCGCTGCGGATCTGGGGCCGCGACCTTGTTGTGCCGCTCAGCTCGCCGCCCAACGTTGCCATGTTCACCTTCGACCAGCTCTGTGGCCAGCCGCTTGCTGCCGGCGACTACCTGACGCTGGCCTCGTCCTACAAAGCGTTCATTGTCACCGATATCCCGTATCTGAGCGTCAACGTGCGCGATCGAGTGCGAAGATTTATTACGTTTTTGGACGCCGTCTACGACAGCCACGGGTGTCTCGCCGTCACGGCGGCTGCTCCGTTCACGGACATTTTTGTGGAGCCCGAGGACATCGGCGACGGCGACTACTCGCTGTCGCGCACCACGTCGGAGGAGGTGGAGGACGCTCTGGAAAACGACGATTTGGTGAAAAACCACGGCTTCGACAAGAAAGTGGCCAAGAAGGCGGCCATGTTCGGCACGCTGGATGAGGAACGCTTTGCGTTTGCCAGAGCGCTCAGCAGACTGAGCCAAATGAGCACCCAGCACTGGATCGACGATAGATTTTCCTAGACTTGCAACGCGACATTTTATTCCATTTCGTCTATATCCAACGCTATCTCGGCACTGTTGCCCGTCGCGGCAGCGTCCAAAGTGCCACGGGTTTCCTTGTGCACAAATCCAATCGAATCCGCCGTCTTGGAACGCACATTCACCACAGTGCTCTCTAAATGCCTCTTGAACCGTAGCAGCTCCTTGTAGCTCTCCTCCGACCCGTTGTCCACCTCGAACTGCTTCCACAGACTCCACACACGCTCCACGTCCTGGTCGCGCTTTGCAAACTGCACCAACAGCCGCGCAGCATACCGATATATCTCGCGACACCGCCGGTACTGGCCCAGCCGCACCTCGAGGTCTACAAACCCTTGCATTAGCACGTCGAGGAAGCCCGGAGCGTTGACCGACACGGACTCGAGCGCGCTCTGGTAGACCTCTCTTGCGCTCTCAAGGCTCTTGAACTGGACCGTCTTGGCCGCCAGCAGTCTGTACAGCTCCACTTTCTCGACATTGGCGGGGGTATGCTCGATGGCCCGGCGGTACACCTTGAGAGCAAGCAGCTTCGAGCCCCTGGTCTCCTCAAACTGCGCGTAGAGCTCGAAGATTGGCTTGGACAGTTCGGAAGGACAGTTTTGCAGTGCATCCTCGAACAAATCTCGAATTCGTTCGACGCCGATCGAGAGTTGGTGTTGGTAATGCAGTATTTTGTCAAGATAGACAATCCATATCTCGTACACGACCGGGTAGCGGAAAAGCAGCACTCCGCGTTCGTAGACCCTGAACGACTCCTCGTAGAGCTTCTTGTCTTCTAGATATCCCGCGTAGTCCAGGATCGATTGCGCAGTGGCGACCTTGACGTCGATCATTCTGTCGTACGCTTTGCGTGTTGCTTCCAAATTTTTGGAGCTCTTTATTAGGTCCAAGTAGTACTGCCAGAGTCTCGTGGACTTGTGGATGCGCATCTGCGGACTAAGATCCTCGTCCCGGTAGCTGATTTTTCCGTCGTACTTTGGGGTTTCCAGGGCTTTTTCAAGCACCTTTACTGCCCGCTCGCGGTCCTTCTCCAGCTCCCACTCTGCCCAGGCCAGCCAGATCTCGACCAGATCGTCGATGTGGCGGAAAGGGACCTTCGTGGATGTCTGGAAGATTTTTCTTGCCGTGGTGACGTCGCCGTTTTCGGCAAAGAACTTTGCGTACTGGATCCAGAATTTAGAAAAGAGTCCTGGCTGCTGCACTTTTTGCGGTCGGATTGTTTCGGCGGCCTGCGCGTAGCAGTCTGCAACCTCGTGTTTATCGTCGAACAGACCGATTCTGCTCAGCCACTCGTGCACGTTGTCGGGGTTTTGGCGCAGTGCCGTGTCGCTGACCAGGATTTTTCTCCTGGCTAGCAGGTCCTCGAACCTGTCCATCAGGACGTCCAGCTCGCACGCGGCGTCGTCGTCGAGTCTTTGCGATAAGGACGTCATTCTTCTGTCTTCCATTTCTGTGTAGGCCTCGAAAATCAGCTGGAAATCGTGCAGGTTGTTGACTCTTTTTAGCTCCTTTTCAAAAATGTCTTCTGCTTCCAAATACCTAGCTTTCTTTTCGAAGTAGGCCGCAAGTTTTATCGAAAGCACGCACCGCTGGTCGGCGAACTTGTCAGCAAGATGCTGGTACATTTTTGTTGCGTCCTTTTCGTCTCCAAACTCCAAAAGCAGGTTGAAATACGTGCTGTATAGGCCGAACTCTGAAATGGAGAGCTGCACCAAAAGACTGGTATTCTGGGCTATTGTCTCGAAAACCGGGCCCAGCTTCGCAAACTGGTCTTCTGAGTCCGTGTGCAGCACTAGCTTGTCTATAACTGTATCCAAATCAGGAAGGTCTGCAAACAAATCGCTGTAGTCTGCAAGCTTTGCCCTGAATTCAAAATATCGCCTGTACACTGCAAAACTGGTGCGTCCGCCAACTATGTCAGCAAAGCGGATAAACACCCTCCATATTCTGAAGTGCTGCGAAACGGTCAAACTTTGCAATGCCTCGTTGAACCGTCGCCGGACGTAGGAGATATCTAGCTGATCGAGGTTTTTTATGAGAAACACCAAGAATCTCTCCCAGAGAACAGGAAACTCGCTCAAATTCGACAGGCAGTGCTCGTACGCCTTGATCAGCACTTCTGTGTCTCCTTTACCGGCCAGCTCGTGGCACAGCTCGAGATAGCCCGTCCAAAGCTTGAATGACTGAGGCAAGCGTCTGAGTGCGCGTCGGTAAACCCGCAAAAGCTCAGCTTCTGGAGCGCTCCTCTTGTGATCTATATATTCCAGCCAGTTCTTCAGCAGATACGGCTCCTTGTGGACCGCGAGTTCTGCGTCCAAATCGTCTGGTCGCACCAAACCTGCGGACATGCTAATGAAATATTTAGAGCACAGCCCGGGGTATTTTATTATTATTTTCTGGACGCTACCCGGCACAGGCAGCCAAAAAAAATTAACCATTTTATAACAAGTTATCAAACATGTCGTCTGCAAACAGGTAGGTACACGGTTGTTTTGGACGCTAACAAGCCAGAGAGCAGGTCTTCCCGACACGGATGACGCTGAGTTTGATGAAGGGGAAGCTGAAGGGGGCTCAGCAGGGCCATTCGCTACTGAAACGTAAATCTGAAGCGTTGACAAAGAGATTCAGAGACATCACCAGACGGATAGACGACGCCAAGAGGAAGATGGGCCGTGTGATGCAGACGGCGGCGTTTTCGCTCGCAGAGGTCTCGTACGCGACAGGCGGCAACATCGGGTACCAGGTTCAGGAATCTGTGAACAAAGCACGATTCCGGGTGCGTGCTCGCCAGGAGAACGTTTCCGGAGTGTATTTGCCGCAGTTCGAGGCCGACATCGACGAGAGCATCAACGACTTCAAGATGACGGGTCTGGGAAGAGGAGGACAGCAGGTCCAGAAAGCCAAGGACGTCTACACGAAGAGTGTGCAGACGCTGGTTGATCTTGCGTCCCTGCAGACGGCATTTGTCATTCTGGACGAGGTGATCAAGGTGACCAACAGAAGAGTGAACGCCATTGAGCACGTGATCATCCCGCGCACGGAGAACACGATTGCGTACATCAACTCGGAGCTGGACGAGCTCGACAGAGAGGAGTTTTACCGGCTCAAGAAAGTGCAGGAGAAGAAGCAGCAGGCTAATGCGCAGCTTGATGCCGAGAACGCTGCCCGGAAGGCCAAGGCTCTTGCTGAGCAGTCGCAGGAAGACACAAGACAGGAATCGCAGGAGGTGCCTGACCTGACTGCGCAGACAGAGGACGATGTGATATTTTAAATAGCGAAAATGGCATTTGGGCAGTGCAGTATAAAATAATAGGGCACTACTACTATTTACAAAATCCTATGGCACCGATTATTGGGCTGGCTATTTCTCTGGTGCTGTTGGTGCTCCAGACGGCGAGTTTGAGGTACATTGGTCTTTTATGGCCGGTTGAAGTGCCCGTCTTCGAGTATCCGTCCGAGCTCCACCAGGACACAGTAAACGGCCTGATAGAGCGCATCAACGAGACCCGAATAACGGCGCAGTTGCGGCATCTGGCGGGGGCGTTCCCCCATCGCGAGTTCAATTCAGACACAGGCGAGTCGTTCGCCGTGGAAATTGAGTCGCTGCTCAGAGATACCGGAGTTTCCGTGGATATTCACCACCACGGATGGAGACAGCCGTCGCTCATCGCCAAGATCCCCGGGACGCAGCACAGCAAAGTCGTGGTCGGGTGTCATCTGGATTCGGTGAATTTGGTGCCGTTTCTGTCGTCTCCGGGCGTCGACGACGATCTCTCAGGAATAGTCACGTTGCTGGAGGCAATACGAATATTGCAGCAAAAGCCACCGGAAATTCGCCAGTCGCTGGAATTTCACTTCTACGCGGCAGAGGAGCCCGGGCTGCGCGGGTCGCTGGACATCCTCGCCAACTACACAGACATCGTTGCGTTTCTGCAGCAGGACATGACGGGTTTTTCCGCCGGTGCACCGCCGCATTTTGGGGTGGTGGAAGATTACGCAGCCGAATCGCTGACCAAATACGTCAAGCGACTAATTGGCACGTATTGCACGATCCCGTACAGAAGCACGCGGTGCGGCCAAATATGCTCTGACCACTCGGCGGCGCTCATCAACGGGTTCCCGGCGGTGTACATTCTGGAGTCAGAGCTCGCGGCGTCGAACCCGTACATTCACACCGAGCACGACACCCTGGAGCACATCGACGTGGGCCATGTGGCGCAGCACGTGCGGCTGGTGCTTGCGTTTGCCCTGGAGACCGCACTCATGGAGACGGTGGAGCCCCACGGCGCGCAGGCGGTCCGTTTCAAATGGACCGACATCGTCGTCTTATCGGCCACGTCAGATACGCTGCGATTTGTCATGGCGTGCATTATCCTGTCATGTGCAGTTGCCAATTTAGTACTTGTGCTTAGGTCCGGGGGTCACCGGAATTTGTTCAAACTCCACGAAAATTAGTGGAGATTAGTGGGGTAGAAAAGAGCGGAAGTCTATATATACGTGCGCTTTCCCCACCATTTTCTGATTGCAAAATGTCCTCCATAAGTGCCCTGAGAAGTCCAAGGTACGTACAATTTTCTGGTTCCACTGACGGTTAGCTTTATTGCGTTGCTCGTAGGAATGGCAGTCCCTCCACTGGTGCTTTACCAAATGGGGTCCAAGTACCCCAACATGATCTACCGAACAGAGGACGAGCGCAGCTTGCGCAGACTCCAAAAGGACCTCGACATGTTCAACGGCCGGCTGGCCACGCTCGAAAGCGCGGTGTCGGGCAAACCGAAGTTCCACTAAATAGCATGATCCAATATATTCGCCATCTCTTTCCGTTAAGAAATTTGTACTCCAGATTTTTACCCATTTTTCGCTAGAAGCAGGCCACGGCGAACGCTTTTATATATAAGCTGCTGCACTTTTCCACTCAGCGTAAAATGGTTTCTCCCGAGTTCAACCTGTCCTCTGCCAAGGCTATCGAATACGAGCACGAATACGCCGCTCACAACTACCACCCGCTCCCTGTGGTGTTCTCGCGGGCCCAGGGCGCCAAGGTCTGGGACCCCGAAGGAAACGAGTACCTCGACTTCCTGTCGGCCTACTCTGCCGTCAACCAGGGCCACTGCCACCCTCGGATCATCAACGCCCTTGTGGAGCAGGCCCACAAGCTGACTCTTTCGTCCAGAGCGTTTTCCTCGGACGTTTTCGGCTCGTATGCAAAATATGTCACTGAATTTTTCGGCTACGAGTGTGTTCTGCCTATGAACACCGGTGCCGAGGCCGTCGAGACGGCCTTAAAGCTGGCCAGAAGATGGGGCTACAAGAAGAAGGGCATTGCTCCAAACGAGGCCATCGTGTTGTCCTGTGCGGACAATTTCCACGGCAGATCGCTGGCCATCGTCAGCATGTCCACCGATCCAGAGGCCAGAGACCACTTTGGCCCGTACCTCGAAAAAGTGGGCCCTGTGATCCCAGGAACCGACAACCAGATCCTGCGCTACGGCAACATCGAGGACGTCGAGCTGGCGTTCGCCAACGCGGGCGACAAAATCGCCGCCATTCTGATCGAGCCGATTCAAGGAGAGGCCGGTATCGTGGTGCCACCAAAAGACTACTTTGCTCGTGTCAAGGAGCTGTGCAAAAAATACAACGTTCTGCTTATTGCCGACGAGATCCAGACCGGTATTGCTAGAACCGGAAAACTGCTCTGTTGGGAGCACTATCTACCAAGAGAAAATAAACCAGACATGGTGCTCCTCGGAAAGGCCATCTCGGGAGGTGTTCTGCCTGTGTCTGCCGTGCTGTCTTCCAAGGAGATCATGCACACTCTGGAGCCGGGCTCCCACGGATCCACGTACGGCGGAAACCCTCTGGCCTCGCGCGTGGCCATTGAGGCCCTGGAGGTGGTGAAGGACGAGAAGCTTGTGGAAAGATCTGCCGAGCTCGGCGAGTTTTTCCAGGGAGAACTCGAGAAGCTCAAGCAGGAGTCCAAGGGCGTCATCAAGGAGGTCAGAGGCAAAGGCCTTCTGTGCGCCATTGTTGTGGACGACTCCAAGACCAACGGCAAGACAGCCTGGGACCTGTGTCTGAAGATGAAGGACCACGGCGTCCTGGCCAAGCCAACCCACGAGCACATTATCAGACTTGCTCCGCCATTGGTCATCTCGAAAGAAGACCTCGTGAAGGGAGTCGACAGCATCAGACAGGCATTGAAGGAAATTGTTAATTGAGAATGTTAATAGTGGAAATAAAATAAATATTTAATTTGTTTGCTCACCCCTCCGTCCTCAGCACCCTGAGGAGAAATTCCAACCCCTTCTTGGCAAACAATTGCATGTTCTCAGACCTGTCCTCGCTTCCCGTGCTCACTGTGCACGATCTGTCTCCGTAGGGCCCGCTGATCCCGAGATAAACCACTCCCTGCTTCGAGGAGTCGGTGATGCTCTCCTGGTCCCCTAGTCCGACACTAGTGGACGGCCCAGCAAAACCCGACTCCGACAGCACGTATGTGGACCCAAACTCGATCCGCAGGTTCCTGGCCAGGCGCAGCACCACTGCCTCGCTCGGCCCCGTGTAGTCTCTGATCTGGTCCGTGTTCCAGCCGCTCAGTTTGAGCCGAGACTTGAGGCTATACACCAAGCGGCCTCCGTCGAAAAATTTGGATGCGCCGGGCAGCGAGATCAGGTAGGCGCTCAAAAGTCCGCCGCACGCACCTTCGCTCACTGAGAGTGTCTGTTTGCGCGCCAGAAGCAGTTCGGCGATCTCCTCGACGAGAATTTTGATATCGTCTGGAGGAAAATTCATGAATAATAATTAATTTATTTTTAAGTTATTGACTTTAGTATTTTGAAAAATAAGTCGCTGTTTGCCACAGGTTTTTAATTCCAACATGGTTCTTTCCACTCCTCTCAAATTCAAAGCCGGCAAGGTCGACTACAACGAGGAAACCAAGGTGTACACGCCGAACCCCACCAAAGGCGAGATTGTGATCAGCCAAAGCGACGAGGGAGACGAGTTCTACCTGTTTGTGTGGAAACCGCGCGAGACGACCGTTGGCGGGGTCGAGTCGGAGGAATTGCTTGTCATTGCTGGCGATGTCACGTGGAAAAAGGTCAACTCGTGCAAGACCGGAAGAGTGTACATGCTGACGTTCCTGAGCAGCGGTGCCAGAAACCTGTTTTGGATGCAGGACATCAACGACGACGAGAACGATCCGTCCAAGGAGACAGAGAAGGATAAGGAAATTTTCCGCAAGATCAACGATCTTTTCAAGGAGAGCGAGTGAGAGCAAGCATCGATGGCAAATCAATCAGAATAAATAGTGCGCCAGCCATGGCAATTCCAGGACACAGACCCGTGTCTTTTCACCGGTACCGTGATCTGTCATATTGCGAATAGATTTATAATGCGTCAATCTCCAGCAGTAGCCACAAAACAATTTTATTTATTTATATATATATCCGGCGACAATTTATTTTCTCTATGTCTGCCTCCAGCTCCACCCCCAGACGGAGGCCCCTGCGCGGCTCGGCGCCGGGCAATCTCACGCACTACCGTGATCCAGAGCTTTCGTCGCCGCTGCTGGGCTCTGAGACCCCGGGCTCGGGGCCCTTATCGGGATTCGTTGATCTGTCACTAAAAGAGGCCTCGCCTTCGAAATCGACGGCACAAACCACACAAGCCGACTCTAACACATGCTCCTGTCCGTACGGATGCTGCAAAACTGAAACCGTGTCGGACTACTTCTACAAGCGTGGGTTTTTAGAAGGAGCCTACTCAGACGTTAGGGTCATGGCGTTTGGAGCCACATACAGGCTCCATCGGCTTGTTCTGGACAGAAGCGACTACTTCCAGAGCTTGTTCAAATGGCCCGCCGACGACGAGGATCACGTGCACGAGGAGTACGTTCTGGAGTTTGACGACCCGCGCATCACCCAGCACAGCTTCGAGCTAGCCATTTCGAGACTGTACGGCGTCGTCAACGCGGCAGAGGAGGCCAAAATCCCGTACAACATGATTGCCGTGGGCCAGTATCTTGCCATCAACGAGGCGGTGTGCACGGCGACCGACTGCATCGTCAAGAACATGAACATGGCGAACATCTCGGACGTAATTAGGTTCGCCGTCTCGAGCAATTACGGAGCCGCCAGCGAGAGGATTATACAAAACGGGAAGGGCATACTGTCGACGGACGGCTGGGAAGTCGGCGTCGAGCCTTGGGACGACCTGCCGGCAACGGTCATTGCAGACGTGGTTGGCGAAGATTACTTCTTTGTTCCCAGCGAATGGGACAGATGCATATTCATCATCAAGCTGCTAGAACGCCGCATTGAGGCGAACTACGACGAGGACGAGATTGCACCTATTAGGACCACGCTGAACGAGAAACTGCATTACTGCCACATGAGTCCTGAACAGCTCCAAGAGCTGGAATCTTTCACAGATATCTACGGCAACCCCTACATCGACCCGCAGGTATTGCACAAGGCGCTATGGCAGGCGGTTTACCTGCAACGGCTTGTTCTCAGCTCGCGAACCTCGAACATAGCGTCGACCGTGACCAGCGCTTCGCCGCCGACACCCGATTCCAAATGGTTTAGAATCCCAATCAAAGACGCCACCATTTCTGGCCTCCCTGCGGAGCTCGACAGAAAAATGGCCGACATGCTCAGCTCTTCGCCCGCCACAGGGCCTGTCGAGAACGGGAAATCCACCCAGGACGAGAGCCCGAAACTCGAGCGGCTGTACAGCTGGACCTCGATTCCTCCGTTTCGGTTTTCTATCGCATTCGCAAATGTGTCTGACCTTCTAACGGAAAAGAGGGTCTACGGAACCACTTTCTGGTATGCTGGCTCATACTGGAACTTGTATCTCCAGAAGAACAAGATCCAGCTGAAAAACACATACCAGATAGGCGCGTATCTGCACAGAGCAAACAACAGCGGGTCCACGTCGTCCTCGAAATACAGTCTGACGAATCCGAACGTATTCGCAGGCAACGTGAATTACCAGAGCATGCCGAAAAAACACCACGATCTAGTGAACGCACGGATGGAAAGAAACATGGCTCCGCTGGGAAGCAACCTGCACGGAGCCGAGGAAAAAGAGAACGTGCAGGATGACAGTTCGCTCAGTCTGAACGATCTGTCTCTCAATGACTCCTCTGCACCATCTTCCAGAAGCCCTGGAACGGAGCCACGCTCGTTCCTCACCTACGAAGACCAAAGAAACGTTATCATGGTGTACTTTATCATGTTTACTCCATCAAGGCGCGAAAAGCCCTCCATCACCTCGTTCCTCTCTGTTCCAAACGATTTCCACAAATCTCAGAGCTGGGGCTGGAAAAGCAACAGCATCTGCGTGTTCAACGAGGACGGAACGTTCCCCGAGGGCCACGACAAACACCTCAAATTCATGATTGTGCTGGGCAACGTTTGACTTTACCTCCACTCGACAGCGTACCTGAGCTTGGAACCAGGACGGAACGGAACCACGGTCAGTCCGCCCTGCGCGACAGTGTCGGCAACCACGTTTGGTTTTTCGACTAGCCAGCATCTTTGTTTGGAGCGCAGTTTGGACTCGTCCATTTCGTAGAAGCTGTTTCCGAACGTCGACACAAAATCCTTCAATCTGTCAAGCTTTCCTTGCGTGTCGAACACCTCGGCCAGATATGCAATGGCGTACGGCTGGGTATACACACCCGCACAGACGCCAGTGTGAACTGCCTTTTTGTGGACGTCGTGGGGAGCAGAGTCTGATCCGAAGATGAAGTACGGCTTGCCGGACGTGGCAGCCGAAATCAGGGCTCTCTTATCTTCGGGCAGCTTGGCCACCGGCTTGCAAAAATTGAGCGGGTTGCCGGCCCAGTCGTCCACGATGAGGAACAAATGGTGTGCCGTGATGGACGCCACGACGGTAGGCTGCTCGCCGTCCTTCAGATCTTTGTTGATCTCGTGTATTGCGTCGACGGCGGCCTTGGTGGTGCAGTGCTCAAGAACGATCTTGAGTTTCGGAAAGTCTCTGTGCAGCTTGAACAGAGCAGGCAGAAATTCCGGTTCTGCGTTCAGCACGTGGATGTCCTTGCCTTCTTCGCTTGAGACGGACGGCTTTTCGCCGTGCAGGTTGAGCACGAGTCCGTGTTTCTGCATAACCTCGAAAATTGGGTAGAACTGCGTAAAGTCGTTAGGATCCACCCCAGCGTTCGAGTTCGTGGTGACACCGGACGGATAGCACTTGATACCGCGAATGGCCTTCTTCTGTGCGGCCTCCTCCACGATTTCGGGCGTCAGGTCCCTGCTCAGGTAAAATGTCATCAAAAATGTGGTGGAATCGCATAGCTGCTCGAGTTCCTGCTTGTACTCGGTCACACGGTCCAGGGTCGTGATTGGCGGAACAAGGTTGGGCATGATGTATGCTATTGACACTCCTCCTTGCCTGACTGTCGGGGTGACAAGCCTCATAATTTCGTCCTGTCGCAGATGGACGTGGTAATCTGCTGTGTACCCCAGTTCGATAGCCATAAAGATAATAAATAAGATATATTGAAAAAAAATAAGAAAAATATAAAAAAAATATAAAAAAATCACCCTACATTTAATTTCTCTAGAGCATGTCAGAATTAGTGCCTCCGGTGCTGTCAACGGCGCAAGACGCCACAGCCTTTGAGTTCTCACAGGTGCAAAAAACAGACGGCGCTCGAAGCTATCTGGGGCCCGTTGCCGATATATCAGAAACGGGTCTGCGAAAGGTGCTGAGAGACTACTATTCTGTGGACAAACTGGTGGACTTTCTGAGGCAGAAAGACGACCAGAACAAGCTCAAGTACAAGCGCATTGCACTGCAGTTCCCAGACTCGCTGATCGCAGACTCGTCGATCGTGCTGCAGATGATCCAGGAGCAACTGGAGGAGGCACGTGACCAGGGTCACGCGACAAAACAGAGCCGCGACATCGAGGCCGTGGAGCTGTGCAGCGGCAACTGCGGCAGGGAGTGCAAAAACTACCAGGAGGTGTGGATTTTGGCGGACACGTCGTACTCGCCGTGCTGCATCGACGAAGTGGCCGCCGAGCACGTTTCTGCCGACCTGGTGGTGCATTTTGGCGACGCCTGTCTAAACCCAGTGGACAAGCTCAGCGCTGCGTACGTGTTCGGCAAGCCGTATCTGGACACGGCGAAGGTGCTTGCGGCGTTCAGAGAGACGTATTCGCCGGGCGACAAGGTGATTTTAATGGCCGACACGTCGCACACGTTCTATTTGCACGATCTGTACGAGGAACTGTCCAATGAGTACCAAATCGGCTATGCAGAGCTGGATTTGGAGCGGAGCCAGGCGGCGATTATTGATCACGCGACGCGGAGCCACGAGGGCACGCCGCTGGCCTCTCGAATCGTCCACTACGACGGGCCCCTCGCCGAGTGCGCTCTGTTCCATATCACGCAGCCTGAGGACCCGCGGCTGCTTTATCTGAGCACGCAGTTCTCCAGCATGGCCGTCTACGACGTCAACTCTGCCACGGTGAGTTCCGGCCCGTTCCCGTCGCTGATGCAGCGGTACAGAGCAATGCACATGACCAGGAACGCGGGCACGGTGGGCATTCTCATCAACACGCTCTCGCTGGCCAACACGCGGACGCTGCTCAACAAGGTGGTCAAGTGGGTGCGGCAGGCGGGCAAGAAACACTATATGTTTGTTGTGGGCAAGCCGAACGTGGCGAAGCTGGCGAATTTCGAGAGCGTGGACGTGTGGTGCATTCTTGGGTGCGGCCAGTCGGGCATTATTCTGGACAAGTACGGCGAGTACTACAAGAACATAGTGACGCCGTACGAGCTGCAGCTGGCGCTGAAGCAGGAGATCACGTGGACCGGCCAGTGGATCACGGATTTCGAGGCGGTGATGGAGCAGGAGAGCGAGCACGAGGACTCGGACCACGGCGAGGACGAGTATGTGCCGGAGTTCAACCCTGTGACGGGTCAATTGGCCGCGTCGAAGCCGCTGCGACAGATCAGACACCTCGAGGTTGAGCTGGGCGCCCCAGAGACGAGCGGATCAGACGGCCAGCTGGTGAATCGGTTCTCCAACACGCTGAGCATCAAAAACACGGTGAGCACGTCGGCGAGCTATCTGCAAACGCGGGCCTGGACCGGGCTGGGCAGCGACTTTGGCGCCGAGGAGCTGGAAGGGGCTGTCGTGGAGGAGGGCAGGATGGGAATTGCGCGTGGATACGATTATGATAAGGAAATAAAAAATTAGAATTAATTTAATTTACTATTTCATGCGCCATGTCAAAATTCGAGTCGTCGTTTTCGAAGCGGAAAACGTCCGACACCGGCAGCAACCGGGCGCTGCGGCCCACAAACGAGTCGCAGGACGATCTGGTGAGCTTTCCGCCGTCCGCGTCGATCCAGTACGACATGGGGCCGTCTCTTGAGGACGGGTACAAGGACAGGCTTTTTGCGTCGACGGTGCCGTCGGACGAGCTGGAGCTGAGCGCAGGCACGTTTTCGTCGCGCGACAACTTGCACGCCCCGCTGGTGCCCTCAATGGGTCTTGTGGACGACCCGCTGCACTATCTGAAGTACCAGGAGATAGTGGTGACGTCACGGCTGCTCGCCACCATCGACAAGCACAGGACAAGTCTGCAGAAAGGGAGCAGGCGGGTGGGCAGGACGCGCGAGACGCTGCTGTACTTGTTTTCGGAGCTGAACCAGATCAGCCAGGCGATGAAGGAGATCTACACCACGGAGCAGCACAATAAGAGCGCGGTCCTAACTAATTTCGAGCATTGGGAGGCCAAGCGGACGAAAATAGTCGACCGAATAGACGAGATCGAGAACCGCACGACGGAGGGCGCCGCGTACAAGGCGCTGCTCGCCGAGAGCGACCGGATCGGCACAGAGATCGAGCAGCTGGAGCGCAAGCTGCGCGCGCTGCGGACGAAGCAGAAACAGGTGACCCAGCAGCTGCGCGAATCCAAGTCGCTCTTGGACATCAAGCTGAACGCGTACTACGAGTCGTTGGGCCAGATCGAGGCGCAGGAGTTCAGCGAGATCGAAAAACTGCTGCCGGCGAAGGGCGCCGACAAGCAGCTCAACCCGGCGTCCATCATCGAAAATTACAATCTGCAGCTGCGCGCGCTGGCCGACATGGTGCACACGGCAGAGGCCAAAGAACTGAGTTTCCACGAGTGTTGCGTGTATTTGGAAGACGTATTTGAGACTCTGGGCTCGCTGGAGGCAGCGTTGCAGAAAATCATCGCGGACACGGTGCCGGAGAAAACCGAGCTGCTGCTCAAGGAGCTTGCCGCGGCGCTGCAGACGCTGGAGCAGCGCAGACGGCAGGCGGCCCAGTCCAAGCTGGGCTACATCGAGGCCATCATCGGCGACGAGATCACAGCGATAGAAAACGCCGTCCGCACCATCAGGGGCGAGGAGCCGAAACCGGCGCTCAAGCCGTCGGCCAGCGCCACAAGCGTCAAGAGCGTACGCAGCATGAACTCGCCGTCGCCGTCGTCGCTGCCCATCAAGCCGGCGTTCTCGGTGCCGGTGGCGTCGACGTCGCAGATCACAGCAGCCAGCAGCGAGGCAACAAAGTACGCGCAGGCCAAATCGGCGATCCAGAAAAGCAAGGGCGACAAGAAGGACTGATCAGATCTTGTCCTCCAGTGACAGCTTGCTGGCCACGTCGGTGTGGGCGATGGTTCTCTTGAACTCCTCGAAATCCAGTCTGTTGTCTCCGTCCTCGTCGTTTTCCAGGATCGTGCGGTCGACGAGCTGCTGCAACTGCACGTCCGTGAGCGAATTCGCCACCATCATCCGCAGCACCAAGAATAACTCACCGTTCGAAATGTAGCCGTCGTTGTCGATGTCGTACACCCTAAAGAGGAACCTGAGCTTGTCGTCGACAGAGCCGCTCGAGAAAATCGACAGCCCGGCCACAAACTCCTTGAAGTCGATGTCGCCGCCTCTGTTTGTGTCGAAGATGTCTATCACGCGCCTGGCGAGCGGGTTCTGCCCGATTCCCGGGATCGACAGGAACTCGTCCTTGTCGATGGCCCCGGAGTTGTCCGTGTCCAGCTTCATGAACCGCTTGGCCAGACGGTCAATTTCGTCCGACCCGACTGGAGGGTTAGAACGCGCGGCGGTGAATACTTACAGTTTGTGCCCTCGGACAGGTCGTCCAGGAGACTCGACGGAATGTTGCCCATGTTGAGGAATATTTTGATGCGAAGAATAGAAAATGTAGTACATCCGTGCACCGAGGCGCACCTGCGCCACGTCTCATGTATGTGTATGTATTATTCACGCGTCTTGGACGCTATATGCAGCTAATTACGTTTGGGCCGGGGAAACTTCGGTTTCGGCTTGCTGATCTTGATCAGCCGTTCCCCGGACGGGCCCACGGGCGCAGCGCTCGGTCGCGCAACGGCGGGGATTTTGGGCAGACTGGCGGGCGGCGGCGGCGGGGCTGGTGCTGGCGCCTTCTTCGGCTGTGGCCGGTCGCTATTTGCACCACTCAAGGACGAGTAGCCCATGACGCCCAGTTTTTGTTTCTTTGGCGCGGCGCGCGTGTCAGGTTTCTGCTTCTTGCGTCTCGGCTCGTAGCTGTCTGCCGAACCGCCCTTTTTCCTGGTGAAGCCCGGGTACGCTTTGGTCACGAGACCGCGCTCGTACAGGTCCTCGATGAGGTCGCGCCATGTTTTATTGGAGACGAGTGTTTCTCTGCTTCCAAGGACCCACAGCGAGGAGCGTGCTCTGGTCAGGGCGACGTTCATGCGGCGCACGTCGCCAAGAAATCCAACGCCCGAGTTCTGCTCCCCGGCACGCACGCAAGAAAAGAGCACAATGTCCTTTTCCTGGCCCTGAAATCCATCGACGGTGTTGAAGTCGATTTCCTTGGTGATCGGGAACCCGAACTTCTGCACAAACACCTCGCGGACGCATCGGATCTGCTCCTTGTACGGCGAGATGATGCCGATCTTGCCCGGCCACTGCTCATCTGGGAACAGCGCAAATAGGTCCGACACGATCTCGAGCGCGATCCGGGCCTCGGCGTAGTTGTACAGCGACTTGGTCTGCTCGTTCTGCTGGTGGCTGCCCTCGATGTTGAAGAACCGGTACGGCCCGTATTCTTGGATCGCGTGCCACGGCCGGGCGGTTTTTTCCGCCATGCCGGAGCCGTCCAGCAGCTTGGAGTCGTAGAACTCCTTGGACGGGAACTTGGAGATTTCCGGGTGCATACGGTACTGCACGTTCAGCAGGTACACTGCATTGTCGTGGTTGTTCTGCATCCGCACAAAGAGACTCTGCTCGTAGTTGAAGCTGGCTGCTTTCTGCGATAGCACGGTCGGTGGCAGCTGGTTGGGGTCGCCGACCATGATGCAGCGCTTGGCGCCGTACCGCAGCGGGATAATGGCGCTGAGCTCGATGCACTGCGCGGCCTCGTCGATCACAACGGTGTCAAAGGTGAACGACATGCCGGCAAGCACGTCGTGGGCCGAGCCCGAGAGCGTGGAGCACACGACCTCGGCGGCGCTGAGAATGCGGAACTGCGCGTTGCGGCGCTCGATCTCTCTGTTTCTGTGCTTGACCGAGTTCTGCTCGCGCAGCTCGTCGAGCCGCCGGCCGAGCTCTTTGCGCTTCTGCACCACCTCCTGCAGCCGCAGCTCGAGCCGCGCGACCTCGTCTGCAGACACGTTGCCCGCTGCCAGTTTCTGCCGCAGCTCGTCGCGCTCGCGCACGCACTTGCGGTGCTCCTCGCGGATCTTGGTGTCGTCCGCGGCGGTGTCGACGGCGCTCAGCTGCGCGTCCACAAGCTCCTCAAGCGTCGTCTCCTTCACCTGCGCGTTGACCGCGTCCGAGCGGCCCAGCCGCACCACCTTGGGCCGGTAGTTGTCGCCGCGCGCGCTCTTGATGCCGCCCATCAGCCGCAGCACAAGCTCGTCGACGGCAGCGTTCGACGGCGCGCAGATCAGAATACGCCGCTTCGACGACACTTTCTGCTCGCCCGGCACCGCGATCGCGTTCGGATTGCCCGACGTGAGCGCAAACCCAATAATCCCCAAGATCGTCTTGGTCTTACCCGTGCCCGGCGGACCCTGGATCAGCGAAAACCCGTCCTTGTGCACGCTGCCCGCGATCGCCCGCGCCTGCGAGTCGTTCACCGCGTACGTCTGCTTCATCCGGCCCACCACCACAGGATCGATCTTGCCCGGCGCGCTCGGCGTCGCCGTCACTATCTCTCGTCCGAGATCGTAGTACTTCAGCCCTTGCAACGACGAAAACTCCCGCTCAATCGTCGTCATCTGCACAACCTTCATGCACACCAGCTCTATGCCAGGGCTCAAGAAAGGGTTCATGTTCGTTTTCGTGGCCACGCGGATCGTCACGTCGGAAAACCCGTTGCTGTTGTTCTTGATGTCTTTCACGCGGCCCAGACACGCGTGGCGACACCCGGCCAAATGCTTGCGCGTCAGCTTCGTGTCACCGTCCAGATTCTCCACGTACATCAGCACCACCAGGTCGCTGTCGCCGACACAGCGCTGCTCCGTCACCACCTCGCGCCGCGTCGACGCAAAAACGTCGTAAAATGTGTCGGTGGCCGCGCGCGAGCCCACAGTCACCCGGAACGGCGTCTCCTGCGCCGTCTCCTTGGCCCGCTGGATCGACTGCCAGCACTCCAGCAGTAACAGCGGCCGGAACGTCTGCTGGTACTCGTCCGCGCTCGAGAACCGGTTCTTCACGCTCGTGTACTTGCTCTGGTCGTCGTCGGGGTAATCGCCGTCGCGGAAGTACGACCACATGAGAATCTCCTTGTACAGCGGGTTCATGTCGACGTTGAGCCGCAGCCGCATCAGCTCCTCGGCCTTCTTCTTCGGGTCGACGCCGCGAGCCGCGCCGCCGCTCGGCCGCACAGCCAGGTTTTTGGTGCGCGGCTGCAGCGACTGCAGCGCTGCCTTGGTCTTCTTCATCTTGGCCACCACCTGCTCCCTTGTGAACAGGCCGTTTTCGTCCTCGGACTCGGACTCGGACGTGGACGATTCGGCGTCGGAGGACGTTTTGGAGCGTCTGTTGAAGCCGGCCGGGCGTGGCGGCGCCGGCTCCTGGCGCACGGGCTCCTGGCGCCGCTTCTCGGCCAGCTGCAGCCGCGCCTGCTCGAGCATGGACAGACGTTTCGGAGCGGGCGGCTCCTCAGGGGCTGCTTTGGTGAGGAAGCTGGCGAGCGTGGACTGTTTTGGTGCGCGGGCCGTGGCGCTGGACACACTAGGTGGCTGCGCTTCGGGCGTTGAGCGCTCGCTTCGTTCGCGCGACTCGCTGCCGCGCGTCTCTGCCTCGGCCAGCACCCCCTCGACCAGCGCATTGTTGAACCGCCGCACGCGCACGAGAATCTCGCCGCGCTGCTCCTCCGACAGCTTATTGTTGAACTTGCGCGCCTTCGCGCAGAGCTTCGCCAGGATCGCCAGCGACGTGTGCGTGAACTCCAGCCCCAGCTCCGCCACCAGGTCCAGCGTGTCCAGCGTCAGCCGCACGCACAGAAACAGCAGCGCGCTGTCGCTCAGCCGCAGCCAGTACACCGTGCGCTCGAACGCCTGCAGCACCGGCTGCATCAGGCTCTGCTGGATCTCGCGGCTCTGCTCGGCCGAGACCCCCGCAAACTGCATCGACTCCACCAGCAGCTTGTACCCGCCGAGCAGCGTCTGCGACACCTCCAACACGTCGCGCGTGAAGTCCAGCAGCGTCCGGGTGATCTTCTCGTTGTGCTGCGGGTTCTGCACGTGAGCCTTGACCTTTTCGTACTCCTTGGACCAGTCGAACGTCTTGACGTAGATCATGGTGAGAAACCGCCAGCATTGCGCCCAAAACTGCGCGAGAATGGCGCGCGTGGCGTTGCTCAGCCGCGCCGTGTCGATCAGCACGCCGTCGATCGGGTCCAGCAGACACTGCGCGAGGTCCATGAGCACGCGCACGCCACGCCGGCTGGCGTTGAACTGCTCCAGCCGCGTCAGACTCACAAACGCGTCCTTGGCGGCCTCGACAGTGACGGCGGTGTCCAGACGCAGCAGCCCGCGCACCGCCTCAAGCCGCCCGTCGACGTCGAACGCCTCGTACAGCAGCCCGACAGCGCTCTCGTACAGCTTGTCCTCGCACGAGCACAGACACTTCCACACGCCGATCGACGCGGCCAGGTCGGTCAGGATCTGCTGCAGCGTCTGCCCGCTGAAGAAGTCCGCCAGGCGGCTGAAAATCGCCTCGACGCTGCTCGCAAACATCGCCACGCTCTTGTTCTGCTTGCTGCACGCCGCAACCAGCTCCCGCAGCTTCTCGTCGGAGAAGTCACGTGCGTCGCGGAACGTGATCTTGAGCAGCGTGATGTCGAGCGAGAACACGTAGCTGGCCTCGCTCAGGCTGCACAGCACCTGTTGCGCGAAGTTTCTGTCGTCTGCCGCCAATTTGCGCGACAGCAGGATCCACAAGTCCATATTCACCGCCGAGACCGTGCTGGCGTCGTATTTGGCCAGGAAGTGGCTCGCCTGCGCCAGCGACGCCACGTCGTACGCGAGCGACGCCGCCACCACGCCCAGCGCCTTGACCTTGACCTGCGGGTCGCCCATGGCGTCGAACAGCGTGATGGCTTTGCGGTCGATCAGCGCGCGCGCGTCCGACTTGCTGTACAGCTCGACCGTCAGCTTGGCGTCGAACAGCGGGTTCTGCAGCCGGATCTCGTCGGTGATTAAGTCTGCCCCCACGCAAACGAGCAGCGCGCCGCAGTGGGGCCGCCCCAGCTTGTCGAGGAAAAACTTGTACACGATGCACGCTGTCTGTGTCTTCTGCGACGGCGTGACCGACCGGTAGAGCGGATAGATCCAGTTCACGAGGTCTTCCAAACACGGCGTGCGTGCGCCGGGCGCGGCGTTCGCAAGCCGCAACTTGTCCAGGTGTTTGCTATAGTGCGGGCTGTTGAACGAGACGTCGAAGAAATTCAGGTAGCTATGCGGCTGGACGTGCTCCCAAAATTCGGCTCCCAGCTTCGTGAGCAGCGTGGAAAACGCGCGCAGCAGCAGCGGCAGCGGCTCGTCCAGGTACGACATGATCTCGTTGACAAAGATGCGCACTAAAGGCACCACTTTGAACGGTGCTGTTTTCTCGAAGTTGCGCGCGACAGCAGGCCAGTTCAACCGCAGCACGCACTCGCCGGTCCCGGGCTGCAGCAGGGGCACGAGGTTGGCCCAGAACAGCGCACATGCGTCTGCGCTGAAGAGCGTCGGGTTCTGGATGTTGAAGAAATGGCGCTCGTACTCCTCCATGAACGACGCCGTGAAGCTGGCCGGCCGCAGCTGCGCGGGCAAGCACGAGAGCGCCCACGCGCGCTCTGTGTCGGAGCCTTCGAACAGAAAGTACAGCAGGCCGGCAAAGAGGTCGATTTTCGGCCGGATCGGCTGTCTCTGCGTCACCACGGCCAGCATGTGCGAGCACAGCGTGCGCAGCTGGTCGTTGGCGCGCAGAAGCTGCGGACACACCAGACACTCGGTCAGGGTGTTGTGCACGTCGGGGCTGTGCAGCAGGTCCTCGTCGCGGTCGAATTTGAGCGCGCCGAGCTTGTCGACGAGCGATTGGGCCTCCCAGTCGAACACCCGCTGGATCACTATGGCGATCTTATCGTAGGGCAGATTGCGCTTGAGCAGGAGGTCGTTTCGCGCGGCGGCGCGCGCCTCGTGGAAGCCGAGGATGCATTTCGGGCAGCGGTCGAGCGACTTGCGCGCCGCCGTCTTGAGCGTGCGCAGAATGTCCGAGTCCTCGAACGCTATGCAGATTACGAGCAAGTAGCACGCGATGCGCGCCGTGGTGGGGTCGCAGAAGTAGTGCTCGGTGTCCAGCGACGCAAAGTACTGGTAGCACTCGTTGAAGACGTGCTGCTGGACGGCGTCGTCGCTGGGGCTGTTGTGCGAGCTCTCGATGAGGTCTATGAGGTGCGACATGCAAAAAGGATTTTTTTTTTTTTTATTTTACTTGATTTGATTTTCGGCGACGCGACGGTATTTTTCAAAAATATTCAACATGAGGTGAGTTGTCGCACAGCCTGTGCTAACCCTTAGTGGCCGGTTTGTGAGAGCGTCCAAGTACAGACACGTGTACGGCCAGCCGTTCAAGAAGGAGATGTGCTACGAGAACCTCAAGGTCACGATCTCCGCGTTCGACAGCAACATCGTCAAGTGCAACGGCCGCTACCTCAGTGTCAACGCCAACAGTATCGGCGCGTTTCTGGTGATCCCCGTCGACGAGGTCGGCAAGGCCCCCGACAAGGTGCCCATGTTCCGCGGCCACACGGGCGGCCTCGTGCTCGACACAGACTTCGACCCGTTCCATGAGAACAGGCTGGCCTCTGCGGGCGAGGACGGCAAGATCCTGCTGTGGGAGATCCCGCCAGACTACACTTTTGCCCACGTCGACCCGGACAACATCCAGGACGTCGCGCCGGTGGCCTCTTTGGCGGGCCATTCGCGCAAGGTCGGCCACGTCGTCTACCATCCGGTGGCCGAAAACGTTCTCGCGTCGTCCTCGTTCGACTACAGCGTCAAGCTGTGGAACCTGGTCACCCGGCAGTGCGAGCGCACGTTGCAGCACAAGGACCTCGTGACCAGCTTCTGTTTCAACTACGACGGGTCCAAGATCGTCACCGCGTCCCGCGACAAGAAGATCCGCGTCTGGGACGTGCACACGGGCAAGGTGCTGTCGGAGGGCCCGGGCCACACCGGCGCCAAGGCCCCGCGCGTGTGCTGGCTCGGCAAGCACGACAGATTCGTCACCACCGGCTTCGACAGGTTCTCCGAGAGACAGCTGGGTGTCTGGAAGGCCGATAACGTCGAGGACGGGCCTGTGGGCGGGTTCTACTCCGTGGACGCGTCGTCGGGCGTGCTGATGCCGTTTTTCGACGACTCCACAAACATCCTGTTTGTGGCCGGCAAGGGCGACGGCAACGTGAGATACTACGAGTTCGACAAGGACGAGCTGTATCTGATTTCCGAGTTCCCGTCCACGTCGCCGCAGCGTGGCTACGCCGTTGGGCCTAAGCGGTACGTCAACGTGAGAGAGAACGAGATTGTGCGCGCGTACAAGCTGCACAACGACAACATGGTCGAGCCGATCTCGTTTATTGTTCCGAGACGCTCGGAAATGTTCCAGGACGACATCTACCCGGACGCGCCGGCGGGCGTTCCTGCGCTGACGGCGGAGGAGCTCTTTGCGGGCAAGACGAGCGGCCCGGTTCTGGTGTCGATGAGAGACCTGTACGAGGGAGTGGGGGAACCTGCAACCTGCGTGGGGGAAATGCAGGAGAAGGAGCAGGAGAAGGAGCAGGAGAAGGAGCCGGAAAAAGTGGAGCCTGTGCGGCCGTTGCCTGCTGCCCAGCCTGCTGCCGAGCCTGACCTCAAGAACAAGGAGGAGGTGACGACGCTGCTCAACAAGGTGAACGAGATGTCGGACGACGACACGCAGGAGGTCGACGCGGACGACGAGGAGTGGCAGGAGGTGACGAAGAGGGAGGTGAGAGAGAAGGAGAGCACGGGTGGGGAGGAGGAGGCTGGGGAACCCAAGGAGGCCGAGGTCGAGGAAAAAGCCCAAGAAGCAGTTAAGGAAGAAGCCAAGGAGCCTCAGGAAACGGTCAGGGAAGCAGCCAAGTCCAGTGACGTTGTGTCTGACAAGGAAACTGCAGCTCCGGTTCCTGAACCCGCCTCGTCTACGCCAGTTGCCTCCTCCACCGTTCGAGCTGCTGGAGGCCTCAAATCCTCCATGGACAAGCTACACGCCCTTGTGACCCAACTGGAGTCTGCCGTGGACCAGCTCCAGGCCGCCAGCACAGCCAAGGACGAGAGACTGGCCGCCTTAGAGGCCAAGATCGACCAGCTGCTTGCAAAGAGTGCCTGATAGACACTAATTCGGAATTCCATTTTGTAATGTTCCTGCCCGTTGCCAAAAAAAAAAAAAAAACGTAGATAGCCCCTGGCGGTGTTCACGTTGCTTTTGCACTCGGAATTCCTTTGGGGGAGCACACAGATTTGTATAAATACCCACGATCCGCCGTCCAGCATGCTCCCACGCTTTGCAACATGACCCAAGACGAGATCGTCACCTCTCTGATCCACGCCAATGACCCTACGCCGCTGCCTAAACCGGCTCCGGCCCATATCATGGACAGGAGCATCATGGATCTCTTCTCGCTCAAGGGCAAGGTCTGCGTGGTGACCGGTGCCGCTAGAGAGAACGGAATCGGCTACGCGGCCGCCCAGGCGTACTGCGAGGCCGGGTGCGACGTTCTGTGCATCTGGGACTACTCCGACGCGACCGAGACTTGCGAGAAGCTCGCGCTCAAGTACGGAACCAAAACTAAGGCCTACAGAGTGAACGTGGCGTCGTCCAAAAACGTGGCCGAGACCACAAACGCCGTGGTGGAAGAGTTCGGCCGAATCGACGTGTTTGTCGCCAACGCCGGCGTTGTCTGGGAGACCGGCTCGATTCTGGAGGACATCAACGACGACGACAAGAGCTGGCACCGCGTGGTCGACGTCGACCTGAATGGAGTGTACTACTGCGCCAAGAACATCGGCAAGGTGTTCAAGAAGCAGCGGTCCGGCTCGCTCGTCATCACCGCGTCGATGTCGGGCATGATCGTCAACGTGCCCAACTACCAGATGCCGTACAACGCTGCCAAGGCCGGCTGCATCCACATGGCCAAGTCGCTCGGTGTCGAGTTTTCCGCCTTCAACGCCAGAGTCAACTGCGTGTGTCCGGGCTACATGGACACCGGACTCTCCGACTTCCTCGACAAGAAGATCCTCAATGCGTGGTACCAGATGAGTCCTATGGGCAGACAGGGTGTTGCGAAGGAGCTAGCTGGTGCGTACCTTTATCTGGCTTCCGACGCGTCCAGCTTCACGACCGGCTCTGCGATGGTGTGCGACGGCGGGTTCACGTGTCCATGAGTACCACCTGGTGCTTTATAGAATAAATAGTTGGCGGTGCTACCAAAAAAATAATTCGATTTAATTTTAGATAATGGATGTGAAGGAGATGGCCTTTGACCAGACAGCCAACCCGTTTGAGCGGATCACGGAGCGGCTGATCACGAAGCGCGTCGCCGACCTGGAAGAGCAGAACAGGGAGTCTGTGTCGCTGTGGGGGGTCGTTCTGGGTAAAATCGCCAAGGTCCTTCGCGACGTCCCCCTCATCAAGCACTGCATTGGGCCGCCCGACGAGGCCACCGCGCAGATCAACCGGCTGACCGCGCAGCAGCGCGCCGCCACGAGCTACGCAGAGTGGCACGAGACCAGCGTCAAGCTCGACGCCCTGATGGAGAAGGACGTGTGGAAAAAACAAGAGGAGAGCGACCTGTACGACTGGCAGCTGGTCAAGATGCGGCTGCTGGAGCTGCGCGAGGCGCGTCTGAACAACGACTACTCGCGAATGCTCTATCAAATCCGCACAACGTGGACCAGAAACATGGCCAACATGGACAACATCAACCTGTACCGCCACTCCTTTGTTGGCACGAAAAAGCTGATTGAGGAGTACATCCTGGAGTGCCAGCAGTGTCTGGCGGCTCTTACCCGGCAGGACTGCCCGCTGGACGACACGTACGTGCTGGCGATGCTGATGCAGACGCGCAAGAACTACGGCCGTGTGGCCATCACGATGAGCGGCGGCAGCTGTTTCGGGATGCTGGGCATGGGCGTTTTCTCGACGCTGCTGGAGCTCGACCTGCTGCCCAAGATCGTGTCTGGCTCGAGCTCCGGCTCGATCCTGAGCTCCATCATCTGCTCCAAGACCACGCCCGAGATCCTGAGCCTGCTGGAGTCGATCACGTCCAGTAAGTTCGAGGTGTTCGGCAAGGACGACAACCCGGAAACGTTCCTTACGTGTCTGGCCCGGCTGCTCAAGTACGGCACCTGGTTCGACAACTCGCATCTGCGCGCCACCATGAGAGAGATCCTCGGCGACCTCACTTTCCGCGGAGCGTACAACAGAACGGGCCGGATCCTCAACATCACCGTGTCGCCGGTGTCCGTGCACGAGCAACCCACGCTGCTCAACTATCTCACCGCGCCCAACGTGCTCATCTGGTCCGCCGTCTGCGCCAGCTGCTCGCTGCCCGGCATCTTCCCGTCGTCGGCAATCTACGAAAAAAGCGTGAAAACAGGAGAAATCCACGAATGGTCTGACACCATGGTCAAGTTCCTCGACGGCTCGGTCCACTCAGACCTGCCCATCAGACGACTGTCCGAGATGTTCAACGTCAACCACGTGATCGCGTGCCAGGTCAACCCGCACGTCGTGCCGTTCCTCAAGATGTCTGTGCAGTGTGTTGGCGGCGAGATCGAAAACGAGTACAGCGCAAAACTGAAACAGATCCTCAACAACACGTGCGAGCTGCTCACCGCAGAGGCCATTCACTACTTTGAGCTCGCCGCAGAGCTCGGCGTCGCCACCAACTTCTCCACGAAAATGCGCCAGATCCTGTCGCAGCCGTACTCGGGCGACATCACCATCCTGCCCGAGATCCGCTTCAACGAGATGAACAAGCTGCTGGTCAACCCGACCCCGGAGTTTCTGCTCGACGCTCTCGTGCGAGGCGCCCGCGCCACATGGCCCAAGATCTCCATCATCAAGAACCACTGCTCGCTCGAATTCGCGCTCGACAAGGCCATTTCCCAGCTGCGGTCCAAACTTATTTCCACCCCCAGCAGACAGCTCACATACTTGCCTGTCTCGCTCATCAACCACCTCGAAAACCCTGCCCACAGCACAGAACAGAGCAAGCCGCGCAAACGCCGCGCCCACCAGCGCCGCAGGTCCGAGTCTTTGGCCGTCGGCAGCCTCAGAGAACAGAGAATGCGCTCCAATACCATCTTCCCTTCACGCAGATCAACTGCCACGTCCACGCCGCTGAAACGGCAGATCCGGCGCCATCCAAGCATCCCGCTGCTGGCGTCAGAGACCCAGAGGTCGCTGCCGACGTCGCCTTACGCCGCGAAATCCAAAGGAGCCGCCGTCCACCGCTCAAGCAGCTGGCTGTCGACGTCCTCCTGCGGAACTCCCAAGACGGGCATTTTCAACGACACCGGCGCGTCGCTGCCGAACTCGACGCAATCGGTGATGGAACTGCGCTCGGCAGACGGCTCGGTCGGCCAGGACGACGTCAAGAATACGCTTGACTACCCGTGCTAGAGATTTGCGTCGATCGGCGCGTCGCTTCTCGGGCTCGCCCAAAATTCCCCTGTCCCGGGACCCGGCCAAAAGGATAGGGTTTAGTATAAGAACGAAAAAGATGGTTTCATTTCCTGGAATGACATTTCTTGTGAGTCTGAAGCCGGCGTTCTTCAATACGTGGGGGGGAGGCCCAACAACGGCGCAATGCCAGTCGAGAAGAGGCACTCTGGTCAACAAGCTTCTCCAGCTCTACAAAAGCCAGGCTGTGTCGCTGTGTTTGCATAATCCAATCGCCAGAGACAGCATCAAAGGATATTATCACGATCTCGGTAAGCAGTATGAGGAGAGCCACAAACGGCTGGAAAGCGCGTCCCAGATGGTGGAGTTTAGGTTTGTGAACTATCTGAAAGACGAGCTCTATGCGCGCTCGGAAGAGCTGGCCCAGATAGCAACCAAGCCGACCAAATCCGACCTTGCGTGGCTGGCAAAACACTACACGCCGGAGACGCACTCTTTTTTGGAAAAATACCACTCGGAACGGATCCAGACCACCTTTGAGATTAGCAATTATCTGCATAACGATTCCCTGGTCCAGACAATCGGTGCGCGCCAAATTGTTAAAAATGCTATCAAATACACCCAGGACGTTCTGCTTCTGAATGACTACCCTGTTCCGCAAATTCTGCTCGATCCTGGCTCCGACGACGCCAAGATTCGGTGTGTTGCTCCGCAAATCCAGCATGTACTATTCGAACTGCTCAAAAACTCCACCATTCCCGCGCTCCGAACTGACACTCCAATCAGACTCAACATCCTGAGCGACCCGGAGACCACCACGATAAAAATCACAGACTCTGGCGGCGGCATGCCGCCCGATATCGCCCATAAAATATGGCAGTTCCACTTCACCACGGCCACCGAACAGAATAAAGACGAGGTGAATGGGTTCGGCATGGGGATTCCGCTCTGCTCGCTGCTCACGAGGTTCAACAAGGGCAGTCTGGAGATCGAGAACCGCCTCGGCACCGGGCTTGTTGTGCTGCTGAAGCTTCCTACAAGATAATAGCAGCTCTATAATGCATTCATATTACCAAACTTATAAGTACAGCAACCTGGTGTGTCTTCTTGCTGTGCGTTCGTCCAAGCCACCGGACTCTCCTAGTAGTTTGGCTCCGTCGTTCTCGCACAGGACCCTGTCCTGGAACACAAAGTAATCGGTCCTGATTGCCACTCCGCACTCAGAACAGCTTAAGCAGTGCACATGGAACAGCTCGCCATGCTCATTCGACAGACACTCGCCTTCGATTCCCTGTCTACAGAACGTGCACAGCGAGCCGTTTTTCTCGTGGAAGTGTAGCTCGCAGTACGGGAAGTCTTGGTGCACGTAGCAGGACTCGCCTTTCGAGAACGGCTTCGAGCACGTGGTGCACGAGAAACATTTTCTGTGCCACTGGCCAGACAGCTGCTGGTCCTTGGACCAGATCGACTTCTGGCCCGTTGCAATTGCCAGCCCGCATTTCCTGCACGGTCCTTCTCCCGGGTTGAATTTGACTGCGGAAGGAGCTTTTTTCGGAGACTTGACAGAGTTCTGGCTGCTGGTCTCCAGTCTCGACATTCTGTTGGTCACTTGTGCCACGCTGTCGTCGTACTCTGTGTCCTCCTGGATCGTCGACATGTCGTTCTTTCGATCCTCCTCCTGTGTGTTGTACACCTTGAACTCCGGGCTCTGCATGTTATTCAGCCTCTGGATGTCTTGGGCGTTGTATATGGACGACGTCATGCTGTCTGCCGGTCTTTGGTTCAGCTGCGGGATCTGCAGATCCACTTGCAGTGTCGGCGACAGCTCCTTGCGCATCGAAAGCAGCTGCTCCACCGAGTCGTCATTCTCAGCCTCGAACTTGGCGTCGAACGCGTCGATCGACGAATTGGCGTCCTCGAACTCCTCCTCCGTCGTGTTCATCGTGGACTTCGACAGAGGCGTGTCGTTGGGCTGCAACGACGAGGGTCTCAGTGGGGGAGTATTCAAAACGTCTGGTGACGACACAGGTGGCGGAATCGATGTAGGCGCCGGAGACGTGCTATGGATCGGCGAGCCTGCAGGGGACATGATAATCTGCGGAACCGTGGGCTTTGGGCCGAAATTGAGAGAGTTTCCAGACCTCTCTGAGGTCTGCGACATGCCCGATAGGCCTCTGGCACGTCTGGAGGGGCTGGCGCTGTGTGCACTGGCACGATCGGCAGTAGAAGGCAGCTTTGTTGCGTGTTCTAAAGACCCTGTTCTGCTAGTGTCCACGGATGCGTCTCCCAGCTGGAATTTGGCCAAAGGGTCCCTGTATGTGTTTGGGAACGATGCGCCGGCCGAGGAGGTTCTCTGTTTGAACTGGTCGAGCCTGGCGTCAAGGGGCAGCGAGGTCGTGCTTGTGTCTCCGTCCTTTGTCATCAATTTGTGCTGGATCTGCGGATCAGAGTCGTGATGGCGCTGTATGGCGAGCGTTTCTGGCGCCGTGAAGTTTCTGTGGGAGTTCAGATTAGGCGTCGAGCGGTTACCAGAGGATCGGGGCCGCTCTGGACGATAAACCTCAAAACCTGCTCTCTCCATCACCGAGCGCACTCTCTTGGTAGTGGTCAGCGGCGGGAACGGAGAGTGGAACCGTATCTGGGGGCTGGGGGCCCTCATGAACTCCGGCAGAGTCTTCAGTTCTGGCGGTTGAAGATCTTTGTAGCTCATGAAATGAAAGATTTACCTTTCAAAAAAAAAAAAAGACACTTTCATATTAACGTGTTCGCGACACTAAGCATCCTCCAAGCCCAAATTGGAAAGTTCGTCAATTTCATGCGACTCCAATTTTCGAGAAACACGCCTATAAATCACGTAGATGACGGCCGCAAACGACAGCGGCGCGATCACCATGCCGAGGAAGTCCACCGTCTGCATTCCTGGGCTCCGTCCGTCTTGCATCATCTTCCGTAGCTGGTAGCCACTAAATATAGGAACTAGTAATTTCGGACTGGTTGCAGCTGTGGCTCCCACGTAAATGCTGGGTTCCAGGGTCGGGATGGCCGCCAGCGCCCCGTTCGAGAGCGAGTAGGGGAGCGGACACAGCCGAACCAGACACATCAAGCCGAAGTTCTGCCAATACGGGGCCTTTTCGTCGTTGAGAGCAGACACGAACACCTTGAGCTTCACGTTTCGGTGCATGCACCAAACGGCGTACGGCTGAAGCCAGCGACGACAGAGCAGGAACGACAGCGTCGAGCCAAGGAGGGTTGCCGAGGCGATGATCGGCCAGCCAGCAAACCCGTAGACCATGCCTGTCAGCAGGGACAGCGCCGAGTAGCCGATAACCGGCGGGAAACTGACTGTCATGACCAGCGCGAACAGCAGCAGCTTTCCATGGATCCCCCACGACGCCCAATGGTCTGCCACCTCGACCATCTTGTGCACAAGGACAGAATAGTACCGCGACGCCAACATGTGGACGATAACGTATGCGACGGGAATGGCGAGAAGAAGCAGTTTCTTCCATGTCGTGAGCTCCATATACCAGTCCCTGGCATTGGCAAGGTACGTCTGTGCCGCGTCCCACGCTCCAGCAAGATCCTGTCGCAAATTCATCAGGGCTTATTCTTGTGACGAGAACTTTTAGACGATCGACGCGTCTTGCTGGAGCTAAGTAATTTTCAGCCCCGGATCAAAAGGTAGCCGTGTAATGCTGCGTCCCAGACTTCAAAAATGGACATTTCTGGCCCTGGCGTGTGCGGTGCTGTTCTACAGCACGCTGTTTCTGTACGAGACGCGCACCACGGGCTCCGAGGTGGACGTGCTGAACTTTTCCCGCTCTGCTTTGACAAATTACTGGACGTCCCAGCGCATTAAGGAACAGTACTTTAAGAACGGCATGAAAGGCCCACTCACCGCTTATGACATCAGAAAGATGATTCAGGACGAGAACGCCAAGTTTGCCGAGGACCGCGAGATTTTGCTGCGGAAAAGCAAGGACCGCCATGTCTACAAAGCCATAAACGTCCGTGCTCCAATGAACAAGGTGTTTGAGAAGTTCGCCAAGATTCTCAAGCTGAACAAGATGCTCTTTCCGCATCCAGAGCGCACCATCACGCTGGATGGCAAGCCGGTTATTTGGGAAACGCAGTTCGAAGAGACTCCCTACAACGTTCTCTCAGAAAACCGGCTTCTTGAGTTCATGGAGTTTGACCCCCAGTTCGTGGAGGATCTCACCCGCAAGCACCGCAACGTCCTCTCGAGCCTGCCCAAACGCCCTGTGGATTTCTACCGCGGATCAGGGTACACCATGGTTGGCGGAGGCATGTACACGTGGTATGCGTATCTGTCCATCAAGTCTCTGAGGAAAACCGGATCGAAACTGCCGGTCGAGATTGTCATTCCCCAGGACGACCAGTACGAGCCGAAACTGTGCGACGAGATCTTCCCGAACGAACTGAACGCAACCTGCGTGAGACTCACGCAGGTCCTAGGAAACGACACTCTCAAATCACTGGGAGAGCTAAAAGGGTACCAGCTCAAATCGTTTGCTATGCTGGCCAGCTCGTTTGAGAACATGATGTATCTGGACTCCGACAACTTTGCCGTGTCGAACCCAGACCATTTATTTGAGTCGACTCTCTACAAGAAGTTTCGCATGGTGACCTGGCCCGACTTCTGGAGACGGACCAGCTCTCCGCTCCTGTACAAGATCCTGAACATCAAAGTTGGCAATCTTCCTGTGCGGCGACTCAACGATTTCTACACGCCAACAGAAAAGTACGTTACGAGGGAAGAGCTGATTGAGGTCGAGGACCAGATCAACTTCCACGACAGACTGGGTACGCTACCTGACTGGACCACGGAGAGCGGCCAGATCCTCATCAACAAGAAGGAGCACTTCAACACGCTTTTACTATCGCTGTACTACAATTTTGACGGCCCCGCTGGCTACCATCCGCTGCTGTCTCAGGGCGGAGCTGGAGAAGGCGACAAAGAGACGTTGGTTCTGGCAGCCCACGTTCTCAGAAAAACCAACTATCAGGTGTATCGCAAGCCTGACAAGCTTTACGGCACGTTTATCAAGCATGTCAAATTTTTCGTGGACTCGACCATTGTTCAGTTCGATCCCGTGGTCGACTACGAAGTTCTCAAGAAAGCTGTGAAAAATAACATACAGAACATGGACAATTTGCAGGACTCATATGTCTACAGCTACATGCATGCTTTCGGAAACTTTGCCTTTGAGGAGATTCCCGGAAAACCTCTCTTCTACCATATCCATAATCCAAAGATGAATCCTTTTGACTATGTTGAAAGAAATTTATTCACAGACCCAAACGACAAGGAGCTCCGCAATTTCGGCAAGAATTTCCCTCAGATCGGATACGACATCGAGCTCTGGATATGGGAGCTGGTGCTCGAAACGCTGTGCGAGCGGAAAGTGGAGTTTGCTGGGTTTGCAGGCAGAGACATGACGCAAATATGCAATAGCTCTCTTATAGCAGACCGATTAGAGTATCTAAGAAGAACAGGCGTGGAGCTGCTGGGCGAGTCTCAAGTGCCACAAATCGACGTGACTGAGGATCCCGAACTAGACCAATACATCTTCGGCAAGATCAGCGAGACACAGAAATATAAGAATATAAAATGAGAATTTAAATTCTACGAGAAATAATTATGCGTATGACAAAATTACTGTTGCAACCTCTTGCAAACATCAATTGCCATGTGTCTCACCTCCAAGTCACCAACGTTTCGGAATATGTCTCCTAACATGCCTTTCAGATTGTGCCTTTGAGCATAGGAAGCCACCAGCTCATGATCCGGCAAGCCTGCTAGGTTCTGGAGAATGTAGAATCCACGTAGAAGAATATCTGAGTCGTACTGGTTTTGAAGTGAGGCGAATAGTCGGTCCAAAAACATCTCTGACTTTTGCAGTATGACCGCGACCAACTCAAAGTCGCTAGAGTTTGCCAGGATATTTAGCACCGCCAACTGCGACGCGCGATCGTCAAGATCGACAAGCTGAACAAGAATCTTGAAATTCCTGTAATTCTCGTCCTTCTCTGAAGTCCAGTTGAAGAACTTCTCCATGCATAGCGGAGTCACAATGAGGTTTGCCAACAGCTCCAAAATACAGCGTCTAATCTGGAGATTGGCAGAGAGCATGAGATTGCCAATGGCTGGCCATCCTAATTTCATCGGAACAAGCTTCACGTCCATGTCGTCAACGGACGATAGGTTGATAAGAGCAACCAGCGAGGTAAATAGATCAGCGTTCTCTATTTCAAGCTGTGAAAGGGGGCTTGTGGTTTGGGTGCCATTAATTTCTATGTCGTATTGAATCACTGGCTCAAGCAAAAATGGAACGGGTGTAACAAGCTCGGAACGGGTGAAAACAGCAGTGGGATTGCTACTAGAAAGAATGTTTGCGAGCGTGTTGATGGCAGTGAGACGCAATTCCTGGTTCTCTACCGGTTTGCTAATTGATATTCCGTTCTTGTAGTCGATGTTCTGAGACGATTTAATGAGGTATGTGACTACCGTGCCAACTCCGCCTTGCTGGACAAGCGGTGGACGGCAGCTGCGGTCTGTTGATATGTTGTAAAGCAACTCTATTGCTTTCTCCTGAACTCTGGAAGAGACAGACTTCAGACTTGTGACTTTCCCAACAATGCCAGAATCCACCAAGAACTTGAAAAAACCGCAAAGCTGTTTCTCGTTGTCGGGCTCCTTGTTCATGTTTTTCAGCTGACTAAGCTGGTCTTTCTTGGCGACCCGGGACAGATTTGCGAGCACGCAAACAACTCCATACGGCTCAGTATTCAGGAATTCTGTCAGTTTCTCTATCAAGAAGTGATTGTCTCTCAGAAATCTGCTATTCAGAGACAAGTAGGCGAGTCCCTCAACTGCGGAAGGGTCATTTTTCTCAAGAGCTTCTGAGAGCACTTTTTCCAAGTTGTTTAAGGACAAATTAGGATGATCTTTGAAAGTCTCTTTTTTCAAATTATTCCATATCTTCAAAACCACCAATGCTCCGAGGGCCCGCGTGTGGAGATCATTAGACTCCAAAGCCCGGATGGGAACCACTGAGTACTGGACAGCAATAGGGATTCGACACAGTTCGTCCACGCACGCTGCTGAAAAGAGAGCCAAAAGGCTTGCAAACCTGGACTTTGGAATCGTATCGTTTATGAGTTCCGTTGTCTCTGTCGTTATGTAGGAAACCAGAGTCTGGTTCTCGATAAACAGCTGGTGGCAGATTGCGGGTGCAATGGTGAACAGTTGGGTCAGAACTTTGAATACCTGCTGTCGAGGCGAGAGTTCAATCAGATCTTCCAGAGAGTCAGTCAGTTTCTCATTGTACTCCCTACCGCCTTTTGTTTGCAATGTGATCAGACTGGCCAGCACAATTGAGTTGAGTTTGTCATATTGAAGAAAACCCAAGATTGCAGGAATCAGATTTAGGCCTTCTGATCCTGTTTGTGAGAGTTGCGAGTAGACTTTTTTGAGCAAAACATCTGCCTCCTTTACCAAATTCGGGTCACTGGAGTTTTTGTTGAGCTGTTCGAGGGCATGGCTCAACTCATTTTTAGTGACACTATTTTCCATACCGGCAAACTGTTTTAATATTTTTCTCGGGAACTACAATATTTCGGAATTCACAATGCAACAATGCAATTTCAAGCTGGTTTACTTTTTCTATTATTTTGAAGTCCTACAACCGAAACTATTTCCCATTGCGGAACCGGTGTGACAAGGAAGCATCACAGACAGCTTACAGATTTCGAAAAATGGATCATGCAAAGCGGTCATAGCCAAACATCGATGGTCCTCATTGTGAAATGTGGACCCTTTCATCAGGTTTCGAGGTAGAGCATCAGCCTCAATTTTCGCGCCTCACAGTGGAGCTAAATACGCTTCTGCAGCGCTATTAACTCCGGTGTCACTAAAGGCCGAATTTTTTTTTCTTTTTGCAGCTGCAACATCCGCAAGTTGGCGGCCAAGATGAGGCTCGTAATTTCCCAATTTTGCAGGATCAATTGTCAGCCTCAAGTTGTACGAGAATGTCAACGTCCGTCTGTGCGAGAGCGGTTTAAAAAGTGTCAGCTCAGCACTATTGTTTTCATGACTAGAAGCGAATGTAGCAATTAGGCTTGTGATGATCTAGATAATTTTCACAGGTTAGACATTGACGCTTTTTTTAAGCGCTTTCATCGCCGTTAATGCCGATGTTAAAACCTTTATGGAAGACAATACGGTTAGCGTAGGCGACTTCGGACAGCCTTGTATTTTCTCTATTGTAAAGCCGTATTTGGAGGTGAAAAAGGAATGTTGGCTATTGTTTCATGCAACCAAAATTTTATTTTTCCTAATTTAATTTTATCACTGACTAGGCCGCGACCTAGATAAATATAATACGACGGTTGTACGTTTATTCAGACCCAATTCTTGCAATGAACTCTTCTCCTACAAACAGAGAAAAGGACACGGAGAGTGACCTTGTCACCAATGCTCACAGCAAATATGAGCAGAAAAGCTACGGTGTTAGACGGACGGAAGCTCTGAACAAGCAGTACAATGTGTGGTACGGTAAAGTTGCGATTTTTTTCTCCATCTTTCTAGTTGCCTACGCTTACGGTTTGGACGGACAAATCAGGTACACTTACCAATCGTATGCTACATCTTCCTACTCCCAACACTCGTTGCTTTCTACCGTCACTGTCGTGCGTTCGGTGGCAGCCTGTGTTGCCCAGCTATTCTACGCCAGACTCTCGGACATTTTTGGTAGAATCGAGCTGCTTTTCGTTGGAATCGTGCTGTACGTTGTTGGTACGATCATTGAGTCTCAGGCGTACGACGTTACCAGATTTGCTGCGGGAGCAATTTTGTACCAGTTCGGCTACTCTGGAGTTATTGTCCTGTTGCAAATTATTTCCGCGGATTTCTCGAACATGAACTGGAGGGTGCTCGCTTCCTTTGTTGCAGCGCTGCCGTTCGTCATCAACACATGGATCTCTGGTAACGTGACTGACGCAGTGATGTCCTCGAGAACCTGGTCCTGGGGTATTGGTATGTGGGCCTTTATCTTTCCACTGGCCTGTATTCCGCTGATTCTCTGCTTCATGCACATGCACTACCTTGCCTACCGCAGCGGAGACATTCACAGGCTCGAGGGAGTCTCTGACTTCAAAAGATTGGGTTTCAACCGATTCTTCGTCGAGACGTTCTTCTGGAAAATTGATTTGGTTGGTCTGCTTTCCCTGATGCTCAGTCTGGGTCTTATTCTCACCCCATTCACTCTAGCCGGAGGATACCAGTCAGAGTGGCAGAAAGCCAAAGTCATTGCTCCTCTGGTCATTGGTTTCTGCCTCTTGCCACTCTTCTTCCTCTGGGAAGCCAAATACGCAAGACACCCATTCCTCGAGGCGAAGTACATGAAGGACAGATCTGTGTGGGGAGCCTTGATGATTGCCATTTTCATTGATTTGGTGTGGTACATGCAAGGTGATTACCTGTACACTGTTGTTGTTGTTGGTTTCAATCAGACAATCAAGTCTGCCACGAGAATCACCAGTCTTTACTCTTTCGTCTCGGTGATCACGGGAACCATTCTCGGATTTGCTATTGCATACATCAGAAGACTCAAAGCTTTCATCATCTTTGGTATTGCTATGTGGTTCATCGCGATGGGATTGATGGTCAGATACAGAGGAGGAGACGGCACCAAGGACGGTTTGATCGGTGCCCAGTGCCTGTTTGGTTTTGGTGCGGGTTTTTTCACCTACGTTACGCAGGCCTCCATTCAGACTGTCACAGACCACGAACATATGGCATCGCTATTGTCTTTGTACCTTTGTCTCTACTATGTTGGCTCCGCTCTTGGTGGCTCCATATCTGGAGCCATCTGGACCCAGCTGTTGCCGAAGGAGATTTACAAGCGGATCTCCAATACCACCGAGGCAGCCGCTGCTTATGGATCTCCCTTGACGTGGATCTATGAGCATCCTTGGGGAGACCCTGACAGAATGGCTCTGGTTGCTTCTTACAGATACGTCCAGAAAATTCTGGTCACTGTGGGACTCTGTTTCTGTGTTCCGCTGCTTGCCTTTGCATTCCTCTTAAAAGATCCTAAGCTCGAGAGCGTTCAGAGTTTGAAAGATGCCCATCCTGAGGACAGCGAAGAGGAGGAGCATGTGAACCCAAAGACCGCAGCTTGAGACTAATTATGTAGAATCAGTAACATGATTCTTTCTATCTGGACCTGATATTTGACTTTATGAGACCGCTTTTTGGAACACAAATCCCAGATACCTACTAGTAATCTTCTCTTTCTGCATGCTACTTTAGCATGCGATTTTTGGTAGCAGAATTCTGCTAATAATTTCGGCTAAATTTCTGCCTGCTCCCGAAAACTTATGGATGCCATGCAAGAGAAAGCCAAAAACATAGAGGGACTACATAAGAGGAACATGACGATTCCTACAAACAGAACCGTAACAGTGACCAGAAATTGGGTATGAAAAAGACGTACACACCGCGCAGGGACCGAAAAGTAGATTAGCGAATTTGGCTGCATTTTCTTGCGGCAGAATATTTGCCTACGGCTATACATTCACACGATTACACATTGCGCAGCAACACAGTCAACAGTAAACAACTCACGCACACCGATGGCTCGTTATTCTGATCGTCGAGCGCCTCGTGCGATCAGTTTCCTGTTCCGTATTTCTGCCATTTTTTATGACGGTTGAATCAATACACTACACTACAAACCACGTAACGAAAATTGAAATTATTTTGTCTAAACATGAAGGGTCTGTTCCTTGTATTGGCTCTTTGCCTTGAGTACGCCAGTGCCTTCTACTTACCAGGAGTGGCACCAACTCCTTATAAGGCCGGTGACAAGGTCCCGCTTTTGGTGAACCACATCACTCCCTCTATCAACCAGGAGGATAGTTCGGCAAAAACTTATCTTTATTCCTACGATTACTATTTCCCAAGATTCCACTTCTGCAAACCCGCAGATGGGCCCGAAAAACAGAGCGAGTCGCTGGGATCTGTCATTTTTGGTGATAGGATCTTCAGCTCGCCGTTCGAGCTGAAAATGCTCGAAAACAAAACATGCCAAAGTCTCTGCTCAGACACCTACTCAAAATCGGACGCGGTGTTTGTCAACAGAAATATACGCGCAGGTTTCAAGCACAACTGGCTTATTGATGGGCTGCCGGCAGCCAGACAAATGCTTGATGAGCAAACAGGCACCACTTTCTACAATTCGGGATTCCATATTGGATATGTCGACGACGAAAATGTTGCTCATCTGTATAACCACTATGATATTTATATTGAGTACCACAAAAGGAAAGAAGATGAATACAGAGTCGTGGGCGTCATTGTTGACCCTAAGTCACTCACTCAAACCGCCGACGTGACTTGTGATCCTGAAACGCCTGTCCCTGTCACTTTGAGCCAGGAGGCCGAAACGGGTGTCACATTCACCTATTCCGTCTACTTCATTGAGTCACCAACCGTCTGGGCCACAAGATGGGACAAGTATCTGCACGTGTACGACCCTAAGATCCAATGGTTCTCCTTGGTCAATTTCTCTCTTATCGTCATTTTCCTCTCTATCATCATGTCTCATATTTTGATCAGAACATTAAGAAATGACATTCAAAAATACAACGAAATCAATCTTGACGACGACATGATTGACGAGATGGGCTGGAAGCTAGTCTACGGAGACGTTTTCAGGCCTCCAAAGAACCCTATGTTGTTGTCGGTTCTCGTCGGGTCTGGTGTCCAGTTCCTTTTGATGGCTGTCAGTACCTGCGGATTCGCTCTTCTTGGACTTCTTTCTCCATCCAATAGAGGCTCTTTGGCTACTCTGATGTTTGTTTTGTATGCGGTTTTCGGCTCCGTTGGATCCTTCACGTCTGCATACGTCTACAAATTTTTCCAAGGTGAAGACTGGAAAACCAACATGATTCTGTCTCCACTGCTGGTACCTGGAGCTCTATTTGGACTGTTCATCTTCTTCAATTTCTTCCTAATTTTTGCACACTCGTCGGGAGCAGTGCCGATTGGCACCATGTTCGTTATCGTTCTGATCTGGTTTGCTATCAGCGTCCCACTTTCATGCTTTGGCTCTCTTCTTGGATTCAGACGCCCGGCTATCAAGGTTCCTGTCAAAGTTAACCAGATCCCAAGGCAGATTCCAAAACAGGCCTGGTACTTGAAGACATCCAACATGGCCCTAATCGCAGGCATCTTCCCGTTCGGAGCCATTGCCATCGAAATGTACTTCATTTACAACTCTCTCTGGTTTAACAGGATCTACTACATGTTTGGGTTCCTCTTCTTCTGCTTCATTCTGATGCTCATCACAACGCTCTTGGTCACTTTGTTGCTTATCTATTACACCTTATGCAACGAAAACTACAAATGGCAATGGAGATCGTTCTTTGTTGGTGGTGGTATCTCCGTTTATGTGTTCTTGCACGCCCTGATACTGTCAAAGTTCAAACTTGGCGGTTTCACCTCTGTGATTCTCTACGTTGGGTACTCTCTTGTGATTTCACTGGGAATTGGACTTTTGTGTGGTGCTGTTGGATTCATTGGTGTTATGGTGTTTGTTTTGAGCATCTACAGCCAAATCAAGGTCGATTAAAGTGATCGCTAGCATGTATATTGTAATTAGATTCAACAATGAACTTTTCTCTTCGTAGCACATTCCTCGGGCTTACATAATCCATCTCCGTCCCCCACGTCGGGAACCGACAAAAAGCTGAAAAATCGAAAAATTAGAGATATTTGAAATGTCAGAAGAAGGACAGGAGCTAGAGGCTGTGCAACTGACAGTCAAGTTGCCAGACCCAATCGGGCACATTGTGTTTCAGGTCAACCCAGCTGACACTGTGCAGGATGTCAGTCAGACTTTGAAGCTAATTACCCCTACTCAGCATCATACTTCTTTTGTCTTGACCACCCTTGAAGGTGAAAAACTTGTTGAAGATACTCCTATTGGGGATATCTCGGAGAATTCCAAGGCTACGGTGATTTTGAAAGAAATGCCCTACACAGAGAAATCAGCAAGAGAACATCTTCAGAAGGTCAGAGAGATCGCCTCGTTAGAACTCCCGCTATTTTATGGAACCTTGAACGATGTCAGCGGTCTTTCGGCAGGAGCTTCGACCTACAAAGCTTTGGAGCTTGATCCTGTTTCTCCAAAGCCGGAAACTGCCGAGACTGAGGAGAAGGAGCAGTCTGAGCTTTCGGAATCAGCTAAGAACCGTATTCTCAATACTGTTGAATCCGTGCTCTCCATCCAGCCTTCCACCACTCCTGCCCAGAAGCCTCTAAAATTGACGCCTGCTTTGCGTTCGTTGCATGTCTCAGCGTGGACCCCGCCATCTCCACATCGTGTCCTGAAAGGCGATCTGCTCTATCTGCAATGCCAGACTCTCGAGGGTGAGAGTTTTCAGATCACTGCTCACGTGACCGGTTTTTTCGTGAACAACTCTTCTGCTGCCAAGTTCGACGGTTCTCCGAGAAAAGTCACCTCTGCGAACGGGAAGCACCAGAGACCGTCAAGGGCGCACTCTCTGCTTACTTTGTTGAAGGGCCTGTCTCCTAAATTTGTGGAGCAGCTCGATGTCAACGCCAAGATTCTATCCGAGCAAATACAGGACGTTTACTCGCTTCCTACTAATTCCCTACTGAACAATCCATGGCTTGTGAAGGACTATTCTTTGCAACACCCAGATCTAGGAAGAATTGAGGAAAACTACATCGTTGGTGGCTCTGATGCTGCTGATCTGTTTAAGGACTGGAATGAGGAATACCAAGGAAGCAAAGAGCTCCCACGCTCGAGTCTCCCGGAAATAATTGCTAGAGAGCGGCTCTTAAACAAGACTGGCTTTGACTTTACCGTCCAGGCCATCAAAGGTGCTATTTCCGTGGTTCATGGTGACGTGACTCCAATGAACCCTAATGACGAGCCATCTCAGCACGTGTATCTGCGCAACGGAATCTTTTATTCTCTTGGGGTGGATGCAGCAGGAGATTTCGAGCGGTCTGGAGGAGACGAAGCAGCCAGAGTGGCTGCCGTGAAGGACTTGGACGGTGTTAGATGTCTGAACCGACTGGACAGCAGCGAGATCTCTCATCTGTGCACCACAATCGTTGACTACTGCGGCCGTAGAGTTATCTGTCAGACCCCTGTTCCCGGCATTTTCGATGAACCACTTTCGGAGGAGGAGCCTGTCTCGAAAGTGATTTATGGCAGTTCCGAAGCACACACCCAGCTGAATGCTGACGAGAAGCTCAGCGAGAAATTCAAGAAAATTGCCGAAGTGTTCCATCTCAAGCCACACAAAGCATGGAACGTTGACGGCTCGCAAGTCAAGGAAGTTGTGACGTCCATGGATACCAAGGGCATGAAGGGAACTGACGGACGGGACTATATCATTGATCTGTACAGAACGACTCCAGTTGACATCGAGTTCATTGACAGACACTACACTGGCAAGGAAGACTCTTATCCGCACAGAGAGACGGTTCTCAGACACGAGGCTGTGGAAGAATGGTGGAGAAGACAAGTTTCCCTGGCTGTGAAGCAAGAAACCGAAAGACTGGGCAACGAGACCAAGGAAGGAGAAGAAAAGGCTACCATTGCCGTGGACACTTCCGCGTTTGTTCTGAATCCGGACGCTTTCTGCTTGACGGAGGCGCCTACTCCTGAGCTTGCTGCAGAACTCAAGAAGGACGAGGAGAGAGTCAGAGAGGTGTCCAAGTTTGTCTCTGAGATCCTGCTTCCTGAGCTGGTGAAAGACCTGGAGTCGTCAGAGGCATACACTCCAATTGATGGAGGCCATCTGAGTTCCATACTGCATCGCCAAGGAATCAACTTGAGATATCTGGGAGCACTGGCTCAATATATTGAGGAAAGAAAGGCGTTCCACAAGAAGGCGGAGGAGGAGAGACTGGAAAAGGTCAAACAGGAAGAGCCAAAGGAGACTCAAAACGAGGGTGAGTCGGAGAACAACGAGCAGTCAAAGCTCGATGCCACACCGGTTCTGAACGTTCTGGATGCCCTTTTCTTTGTGACTGTGCAGGAGATGATTGCCAGAGGAGTGAAGCACTTCTTGAGAAGGTCCTGTACTTCCGTGCCTGTTGCTTTGGTTCCGTACGTTATCGCGCACGTTTTCAATAGCATTCTTGGCGTGGCCGGCGACCTTGAAGTTGATCCTCTTTTGGCCGAGATGTACGGGTCTCCCGACATCTTGAGGCTGTCGAGATCTCAAATTCGCGAGCACGTTGCAAAGGAAGTTTATATCAGGTACCGCTACACTCTTCCAAAAGACTGGCAGGCGCACTCTCTGTACCTGTTCAAAGAGATTTCGCGCAAGTTTGGCATCCAGTGGAGGGACAGAGCCTACGATTTCACCGAGACACCTCCAACGTTCACAGCTGACGACGTGCTGGCCGTTGTGCCGGTCGTCAAGGACTCTATCTACTACTCCAGCTCTGTGGATGACATATGGGAAGCTGGCCGTGTGAAAGTAACCAAGGGCGAGCCTGAGGGTATTCAGCTGCTGAACCAGGCCATTGAAGTCTACGAGCAGGTTTATGGAGCCATCCATCCAGAAACAGCCAAGGGATACGGACAGCTGGGCCAAATCTGTGTGGACCTCAAGATGGGCGAACAGGCGTCTGAACTTGCTCGCAAGAGTTTCCGTATTCTGGAAAGAACCAAGGGAATAGACTCTTACGACTCGGTTCTTGCACTGACAAGATTGGCTCTTGTTGAGTCGGCCAACGGCGAGCATCTAAACGCGATCAAGCTGCATTTGAGAGTCCTGAAGTACTGGCTGACTTACCACGGAGAATCCCATATCAACGTGGTGTCTGCGTTGTCGACCATTGCCATTATCCTGCAAAAGGTGCAACTGCATGTTCAGGCTGCCAAAGTGTTCCAAAAGGCTGTTGAACTAAGCGATAGGTATGTTGGAGACCAAAGCCAGATGTCTGGTCTTCTGCGTTTCCAGCTCGGCCAGTCCTTGGTCACTTTGAAACAGTTTGTTCCAGCTAGCGAGCAGCTTGAGATTGCAGCAAACATATTCAAAGTCAACCTTGGCCCTAACGACCGGAGCAGTGTCGAGGCGTCAAAATGGACATCTCAGCTGAAAGAGTACATCTCTGTGATGCAGAAACAAGGAAAGCAGCTCAAGGCAATGGAGGCCCAGATGGCCAAGAAAGCCAAGAAGGCCTCGCCGCTGCCTTCAAAGAAGAACAAGTCGGTCTCGCCAAACCCAGAGCTTGCCGATAAGTCGGTCGACGAGATCATGAAGTTCATTGAGGGCGAGCCTAAGAAGCCAAAGAAAAAATCCAAGAAATAGATCCCTGTATATATGACGACCCTAGCGTCGTAAACTTTATTTTACATCTCGTTACTCCTCAATGTCGCCGTGTTCCCAGCAGCCCTTGTGAGCACGTTTGGCCTCCTGCTCGAGCTCCAGCAGTGTCTGGTGTTCGGCAGAGAGCAGCTTTTCGAAATCTTTCAGATTCTTCTTGACAATACCAAGGCCGTTGGACACCAGCTCTTTGTTGATCGTCCATTTCGGATCCTTGGAAATCGTTTCTGGATCGTACAGCTCCACGTCCATCTCGACACCTGGCTCTGGGTTGTGGAAAGTCTCGCACGCAACGAGCTGTCTGTCCACAATAAGGTCTTCTAGGAAATAAATCGCGTCCTGTAGATAGTTGATAGGCTGAGCTGGCGGAAGTTTGACCAGCGAGAATTGAGCAATGTGAGCCTGCGGTTTCAACACAGAGGTCCCGAAGTTGGCAGGCAGCTCGCGCAAGTCAGAGAGCGGAACATTTTCGCTGTTTCCGTAGTCCACGTGACGGACCTTGTATTTGTTCAATTGGCGATCAACAGCAACCACCAGCGCACGATAGAACTTTCCGTTTTCTGAGAACTTGGCCGCGACAAGGGCTCCGACCTTTGGCGGCTTAGCCAGCGGCTTGAAGCTCGACGACAACGCGTGCATCTGTTTCATGAATGGAGACAGCTTTTTCTGCTCGTCGTTGAGAACTTGGAGAGCTATGGTCTCTGAAACGTCGGTAATCACCACATCGTGGTATTTTCTGTCAATGCTGAGCTTTGCCATCTGCTGCACCGGCGCCTCCTCAGGCTGGTACGTGGCCCAAATACCCAGCTTTTTCTCTCTGGCTTCCTCTTCTGCTTGCAAGAATTGGGCCTCATATTTCGTCTGTGCGAGCGATCTCTCGTGGCACTCGGCAAATCCTTGTTGCAACAGGGATATTTGGAACGGAACACTAGATCCAGGGAGGTAGAGGTTGCCAATGAACCCGCCAAACTTGTCGACGTTGTAGATGTCCAAATGGACGTCTCTCTGGTATGCCTTTTTGGTCGTGAACGCCAAAGCCTTTTCCGCTATTCCTTCGTCTCCTCTTGGGTTTGCCAGTCCTCCAAGCACAAACGTCAACTTTAGACCCTCACGAGGCATGGAGATCTTGAACCTATTGGAGGCTGTGATGTGTTCCACGATACCAGGGATCTTGGTTCTGTTCTGGAAGGAGAAAAGATACGGTTTTGCTCTGGCGGCAGACTCTGAAGCGTCCACAATTCTTTCAGGCTCTGGAGCTTTGCCGTGAATTCCCTTCTTCATCTTGGTAGCCAGCAATTCGCTCTCAATTAGAGAGTCCCAGTAGTCCGGCTTACTTTCTGACTTGAACTTCAGGACGGAAGCATAGCCATTGGAAACAATGAGATCCGAAAGATTTGTTCCGTCGTTGAAATAGACACTCACCAAAGAACGCTCGTCAAGCTGTTCTGTCTTCGGTCTGATCGACTCAACCACAACCCTGACCTGTTTGCCAATGGCCTTCGAACGCACGAATTCCCTTGCAGCGGCAACAAACGGTGCCGTTTCTGGATCAGACTGCCGTGGTCCTCTTAGGGATGCGAGCTGGACAATAGTGTCAGTGTCGTTTTTCAGACGGATCACCAACGTGTCTGCTGAAATCACCTTTGCAATGGCTCCATTAAAGCTCTTTTCAGTGGTCTCTGTCGAGCCGTCCTCGCTATGCCACAAATTCTTCTTCTGAGTTCTGCCGATGCGCTCACTCTTGCGCAACTCTGCCATCTCGCTGGCCCCCAGCAGAACGGACTGCCAGTCAGCCACCTCGACCAGTCCTTCCTCCAGCAGTTTGGCATTGATCTTACCTGCCGGGTGGATCACCTGGGCAACTGCGATCCCGCTGGAGGACTCGCCGACAACGCTGATTTTGACGTTTCGGGCCAACAGCCGGGCCTCCACGTAGCTCTTGGCTTCTTCGCCAAAAGGCTCGGCCTCTTGCTCTGCAGAGGCTGTTCTCGGGGCCTTGATTCCAGCAATTAGGACGGGAAACACAGCGTGCTTATTTTTGGAAACCAGCACCCTCACCATCAATCGATCTCCACTGATCACTCTCTCCACTATGGCGTCGAGCGGTGCGGTCTTTGACTTTTCTTTCTGATTTATTGTCAGCTCATTGGCCGTTTCAATGGCACCCAGGTTTTTCGCCCACATGCCAACACCCTTGTCGCGGGCCTTGGCCTCGATCTTCTGCAAATCAAGCAGAGCATCGTCGTCGAAAATTCCAGATCTGAGCTTCACGGCACCTTTCTCCAAAAGATACGAAATCAAGGAGGGGAAAAGTGGCGTCGACACGTCTCCAAACTCTTTCTCGGACTGGCTCTTGTAGAGGATCCAGAATTTGATCTCCTTGCCGACCAAAAGCGTTCTCAAAAGCTCTCTGGCCTCAAAAGCATACTTCTCGCCAGCATTGAGCCGTGGAGCCTGCACGTAGCCCAGAGTCAAAATGCGCTCTGTACTGGGTCCTTTCAGAGGAACCAGCACAAGCGTATCAGCAGAAAGAACGTTCTTGACACGTGCTCCAAATATAGTCGACATGATAATTCAGCAGTAATTTTTCACCACACTTGGGCTCTACATATTTTTAGCGACAATGCTCGAACGTGGGCTGTGCTATATACCCAAGCTTTTTTTCAAACTGTACAAAAGCCCGTCTTCCCTGTGCATCCACGCAGCGACGTCATGACCTGGGACCTGGGCTATTTCGTCCTCGATGCATTCCACGAGAAGCCTTGTTTGTGCTGGCTTGGAGACCGGGTCCAGCTCTTTGGCAGCCAGAAGCAGCCACAGGATCGACTTGCGATGTCTGGTCTGGCCAAAGGAGAGCAGCTTGGGGACCTGGAGCTTCCGCGGATTATCCTGCTCGTAGTAGGACTCTTTAACAGTGGTCTTTGGAGACTTCTCCGGCTGGCCAAAGGTGGAATAAATGTATGCAACCCGTTCCATTAATACGGCGTTGGTCGTGCTTTCTAAAAGGTGCGAGTCGATCAACTTGGTAAACAGATTGATTGCCTCATTGTAGTACAATGCAGATGCAGAGGCCTGGGAGTGCCCAAAGTATGCTGTCGACTGTCCGAGGATGAAAAAAAGCTCGGCAATTATCAGGAGTAAGCGGACACTGTACGTCTTCAAATTGCACCGCGACAGGTACGAGTAGAACGAGGAGTCCACCAGCGGATTGATCACCTCAGATATGATTTTTGCTGTGATTCCGTTCATCACCATGCTGATAGGTGGCTTATCTAACGGATTGACCTTATTGCTTGCGCCCATAATTAAAGAGATGATCATGAACTCTTGGAGCGAAGCGAGATAATTGTACGCCTTGTCATTCAGAAAATCTTTCTTAAGCAGCTCGTACGTCGTGTACGAGCTTCGATAGTCGCGAAGCATGAAATTCCAGTCTGCCAAACGTCGTATGGCCATTTCCGGCGACTTGATGCTGTAGTAACCGTCTTTCTTGTTGTAGCTCGAGCCGCTGGGCTCCGGGGTGGTTTCGAGTTTTTCGCTGCTACCAAAAGAGAAAAACGATTTCTTGGCGCCGTTTCCGCCCCATTTCTTTCCAGCATTGAAGAATCTCCCTGTAAAGCTTTTGCGAGGAGCCACGTATTCCTCTGTCCACAACCTGACCTTTCTTTCCATGTGAGGTATGAGCTGTTTATGAATGATATCCTGAATTTGATCACTGAACGTTTCGTAGACTTGACGTGGGAGTCCGCGCTCAGAGGACTCCGTTCTGGCCATATCCTCTCCTAACTGAGCAAAAATAGGCTTCCCAACGTCCACGTTGTCTCCGGAGTTGTTTAGCGGTACAATGAGACTTTTCACCCCAACACCTAGTTTGAGCTCTTCCTGCAGACGTAGTCCATCTTGCAATTCCTTTTCTGGGTCGACAACGATGAGAACCAGCTCTAATATCGACTCAATGTCCAACCAGCTCGGGTATGCGGTCCTTTTCCAGCCAGACAGCGCTTCCTTGACTGTTTCCAACGAGTCCGCAGACGTGACGACAAACAGTTGCACTATTGGATGGTTGAAGAACTCGAAAGACGAAATCGTTGTGGACGAGATGCTCTTTGTGAGCAGCTTCAAATAGATGGAATTTCGAGCGAGTTTTATATGCACAGGGTCATCGCTCGCGGTAATTATGCTGTCGACGTCTTTTATATGGTCGTTTATGAAAGGGTCCAACGCGTTCAGGTTGTACAGTTCTGACACGGAAAACGTTTGGCTGAAGGAATCTGAGCCACCCAAGCTTGCGCTGCCTCCTAAACTGGACCTTCTCGTTTGCAAAAACTCTTCTTGTTCTCGTAACTGGTCCATGATGGGACTGACAAATCGCACTGTCAGCCTCAAGTTGGAGCCATTAGAAGCAGTTATTCCGGGATCCTGATCCAGGAGGCCTTGCTCAAAACACCTCAGAAGTTCCAAAAAGTTGCCGAATCCCAAACTGGAGGCTAGAGCGTCCGAGCTCGTTGTAGAGATAACACTAATTTTGGGACAGTAGTTCTGCACAATCAGCTGCTTGCAAATCAACGAAGGAGCGCCCTTCATGTCCAGTCCAATGACATTGTATACGTTCTCGTTGAACTTGGATCGGAGCCCCAGGGCCACATTCTCCAGACTTTTAGACATGCCTCGAAAATGCTTTAGAAGGAATTGTTTTCGTACCAAATTTTCGACGCGACGATCCAAATCGTCTTTATGCAATTAATATACAGACTATGAAGCCTTAGCTTTACTCATGTTGCTCATCACTTGGTCGGGCGGAACAGCCTGCACCATCTTGTCCTCCCCCACTCTGGAATGCAGCGGCGCAGTTCTGGTGGCTCTATTACTAGCGTAGTATAGTCCGGCCGCTGCTGCTGTGAACAAGAACATGGTCCCAATAGACAACGCCAGCCCAACGCCAACGACCTGTCCTTTGGTGAGATGGCTCGTGCCCTTGCTCTGAGAGGACGAGGTGCTGGTTTGAGTGCTTGACGAGGAGCCGGAGGAGCTGGTGGACGAATTGGTGGTATTGGTGGCATAATTAATTGTTCTGAAGCTTTTCACGACTCCTTTCATTGTGGCGAGAGTCGAGTTGAGGTTTTGCCCCGCAATCACAAGCGGAATCCAAGAGTTTCCGTCATATGCGGCGAGATTCGCGGTACCGTAGGCGGGAAGCACGATTTTTCCTGTTGCTACCAAAATTTGGTTGTTGACAAACGACGAGGAAGAGTTGACCAACTCAAAGTCGGTGAAGGTGGTGTTGGACCCGAATCCCCCGATTTGGTTGAAGTTGCTTCCTTTTATCGAGCCAATGTAGCTCTCACCCATGACGATTATTGTGTCGTTGAGATGCGACCCGGCAACTATGAATTTTCCAATGTCGCCTGGTAAGGAGACATTCTCCAGATAATTTCCGGATTCGACAGTGGACGTGTTAAGGTTGAGAAGTCTGAGAGATGGCTCAGGCGTATTAGTGCTCACGAGAATGCTCAGGGCGTCCAAGTACTGCAGATGTGTCACTTCTCCAGAGACCTGGTTAGACGGTGCGGATAATGTCCTATTCTGCGGGTTGAAGAGACACAAATAGCTGCATCGACTGGAGGTGAAGTTTCCTCCAAGCACCACGTTGCTATCCTTTGAATTGACCCCAAGCGCCTTGACGCTGCCTGTCAAACTGTCAGACATGAAAACATGAGCCTGCGACGTGGTGTTGTACACCCACAAGCTAGAGCCGGAGGTACCATTGATGGAAGCGGTTCCGTCAAAAGCCACGTAAATGGCATCTTTGTAGCTGTATAGCGCTCTTACAGCCGAGTTGTCGCTAAAAGTGATGTTGGGGGTGGTGCCATTGACAATCACAAAATTTTTCTTCTCGTCGACGGTGGTGAAATTTCCGCCCAGGATCAGCGTATCGTTCAATTTCATTGCCGTGTAAACCTCTCCAGAGCTGATTGAGTCCAAAGAAAAGGTCGACCCGTTTCTGATTTGCGCCACATTGATTGATCTGGTGTCATATTTCACAGCCTCTCCAACAGCAAAGTCGACATCGTCAATTTCGATAGCTCTAGAGATATTGAGCCTGAGTAGGTCTGAGGAGGCCCAAGTCTGTGTGTCATAGTCGTAAACTGAGGCGTTCCCTTCGGATACCAGCGAAATATACTCTGAGGAGTTGTAGTTGAACGTGGTTGCAGAAAACGGATAATCGACAGCTGCCAGCTCGTGGTAGCTACCGTTGAACAAGCCGACATTTTGATCTTCCGAGACCAGCACCAGATCCGTGTCAACTGCTAGAAGCTCGCTCACAGGGTCGCTGACACCGGCAATGCCATTAAAGCCTGCTGTACCAATGTCAAAGGAAATCAAATTCTCGCCGTAGTCTGACTCAAAATCCCCAGCAATGTAGAGCACAGTATCGTTGAGATACAAGCCTGTTATGTTTGCGTCTGTAGTCAAGTTTAGTCCCAACAAATCAATGGAAGAACTGCCGAACGGTCCTTCAGATCCCGGTTGGTACTCTAATAAACCGTTCAGTTTATTCCTGGTTATCTTTTCAATATCCAGACCAACGAACTCAACATAAACCGAGCCAGCGACAAAAGTGACCTCATCACTGTATAGGGCAGAGTCAATGGTGACGTCGAGATATGCTTGGGAGCCAGCGTCCATGTCAATGTAGCCCGAGTATATTATGTCGTATTTTTCCTCATTGTTGGTTTGGTACACCAGCTCACTGCTCAGCAGTTCGGCACTGTTGTAAAAAGACGCATTGACGATTCCTCTTTCAGCGCACGAGTCGTCGCCCAAACATCCTGGTGTGTACAGGTAAATTGTGTAGTTTCCAGAGTAGGTGATATTAAGGTCGTATCTGATACCCTGGCCGTTGATATCTGAGCTGCCGAAGGTGGTGTTCAAATAGCCTTGTGCGGAAGTCCAATCCACGCCACCCAAATTTGACGCTCTTGAGTAGTTCTCTGTGTTGGAGCACGTTGGTTCGTTAAGTGTATTGTTAGCGTAGATTGTAGTTCCATACTGGAACATTTGAAAACCAGATAAGCCTGCATAGCTGCCGTAATTGTCAAGAACTTGGATTGATACTTCGCTGACCTGCAGAGCATTAACGAACTCAAACTCCTGGTAGTTTTCTCCAAAGCCGACCCAGCCAGCCGTCACATTGCTTTCGGTGATGTACAATCCATTGTCGACCACGTCCTCATGCTCCTCTATTGAAGCTGATAAATTAGTATTTGGGAGCAACGGGCACCAGGCATCGCAGTACCGCGTCTCAAGCGAGTCAGGATCCACATACGACAGGTTCATGATTCCATTTGCGGGCTGCGTTATCACTCTGAAGAGGCTCACTCCGTTTGCGTTGGGTAGATTGTACAGGCGTATCTTGGATGGTTGCACAGCATTCGGCAGCACTGCAGACCACGAACCCTGTTCGTCCTCGGCCAGAGTCCACCGGGTTGTGTCTGACGGACAGACAATTTCTTGCGCACCTGAGCCGGAAGAGCTTGATATCTGGGCGTACTTGAAACTGATCAGCTGGTCTGGGTCCACCAGCGTCGTGTTGCTGCCACTAGCAGCCAAAAGGTCTGGGTAGCCAATGGAATCAAACTGTCCTCCAAATATTATGCTGTTGTTGCTGCTGTGTATCATAGTGTTTACTGTGCCATTGAATCCGCCAAACGGAGTGCCTGCCAGAGTATTATTCGAAAGGTGGTATATCAGCACACCCGACTCGTTGTTATAAGAGAGGTCCCCACCAAAGTACACCTCGTCGTTGTCAACAAGAACGCTCGAGACATTGCCTTGAACGTGGTCCCAATTTCGCACATGTGTACTGCTTTTCGCTTCGATGTCGTATATGAAAGGCTGACCGTCGACCAGGTAGATAAAAGATGTATCGTTCAGATTAAATAGTGTGGTAGCTGTGGTGGTTTCGAGCTGGATTAATGAGTCGTTGTTGGCACTCAGAGCCCATAGCCCATAATTTCCTGTTGTGAGGTTGTATTTGGAAACGTCAGAATAATTAGAAATAGAGTCAAATTGGCCATAAATAAAGATGGGCTCCAGTATGGATGGTTGGTCTATCTGGGCTGCATCAAATATGGCCCCTCGAGCCATTTGAGCTAATGCCAGACTGCTCGCAACAATTGTCTTGGAAAACTTCATGGCAAAGTCGGTCCATAGACTAAAATCCTTTTCGTAAAACGGTTAGCAGATAGTCTGGAAAAATACAGTGCAAAGTTTTGGTATTGCCCAAACGGGAAATACATAAACAAAAATTCTTCGCGGAAGTTGGCTGGCAAGGAATAACAGGGTAGGTCTTTGCAGACCACGTCCAGCCAGGAACTGTACGAAAGACTGGCATTTGGTGTACATAGGGGCGATCCAAGTGAAATATCAGTAGCGTATGTACTTAGTTATTTCACACCCAACAATTGACGAAACTCAGCACCGTGGCGCAGTGGAAGCGCGCAGGGCTCATAACCCTGATGTCGTTGGATCGAAACCAACCGGTGCTACTATATTTTTGCTTTTTTTAAGCAACCATGTCCCCATACTTGCGTCGGCATCAGGGCGATGTCAGATTTTTACTTAGTATACCTTGCAGATTGCGGAATTCCAAGATATAGATATCGTCACCCCACCTCCAGAATTGAGTAAGGAACAGTAAGAATATTTTGTGGGGCGATATGATAGTTGCTTGAAAGTTTTTAGTTCATCTTTAGTAACTTGATGCTTTACCATGAGAAGGTGTTCGCTGTTCATATCCGAGCCTGAAAGATTCCTTGAAGAAGAGTCCAAAAAGCAGCTGGCCGACCCAATCGTGTACAATCCTGGGAGTCTTCCTTTGGTCGGCTCTTTGGTATACTTTCGCAAACGAGGCCACTGTGAGTCCTCAGGGCTAAACGGTGACCAGACTCGCTCCAAACTCCTGGACCACAAGTCCAGCTCCTACCCGAATTTGTCACGATGCCTGGGGCAGGGTACAAACTACAACAACGACGACATGGACAATTTGCAACCAACCTCGCCATCCAGCTCCATTTCGAGCACCGATTCCCAGACAACACTACACGATCATGTTCACGAGGTCAAGGACAAATCAGATCCATCGTTCGATGAGCTAGATAGCCACATCAACCACCAGAGACGGAACTCATCGGGATGGAACGATACCGGTGACTGCTCCAGGTCCCTCAAAAAGGATCGCAAAAGTAACACAAGACACAGAAGACGCCTCACGTGTGCTGTCGTGTTCACAAAACCAAGGCTTGTCCAACTATAGTTTGTAATACCCTACGTATAATAATACCCTTTACGCTTCATCATCAAAGAATTGGCAGTGCAGGAATTTATTTCTACACGCAAAGGTTACGTGAGTAACTATGCCGGCAGTAACCGTGTTTATTTATTGTCATAGTGCGTTCCATCCTGGAAGGCACCTAACATTGAATACAGCTCTTATTTATGCAAGGAAACAGACAATAAGATTTGTACAGATGAAAGATCTTGCTGAATGAATCATTCTTGAAGAATAGTAGCAACTGTACTGTGAATCTGGGTGTAGAGACACATATCTCGCTAATTTAGCAACAATAAGTCTAGCAAGCAATGCTCGTCGAATGTCGGACTAGCAACTAGCCACGAACGTTGGACAATAGTCGATTCGTTTTTGACCGCGAAACCCTAAACGGGGTCCAACTGTAAACTCGGTAGAGATATGCGGCGTGTGCTCATAGTCACGTGACTCTTTTTCCCTTTCCTAGTTTCACTCCTTCCAGATTATCGGTTTGGCGGTGCTACCGAAAAATAAAATAGCACGCGTCAACTTACCATGGAGTCAAGACCTCCATTGGCTCGGAAGCGCACAGCTGCTCATGCCAGTGATGATGAGATGGCTATGGACGAGGAAATTGTGCGCAGTCACCAATTTTCAGGTTTCTTGAGGAGCCATGTGAGCTCAGGCACGTCTGATCCGATATCTTTTTCCAGCTCGTCCTATACTCCATATTTTGACAGACAGCCTACAACGAGCTCTCCCCATCTGCAGTACGTTCCTGATGCCGAACTTGACAACTCATACATGACAAATAACGCTTCGTTGGATACCATCCCGTCATCTCCGCCATTGATTTCGCAGTCGCAGGCTACTTTGGTCGATACTCCACCAAAAGTACTGGCGGAGCGCACGTCCTCTTCTCTCGCACCAGAGCCTACCAGAAAGCGGCAACGTGTATTTGACAATGAGGAGCAATTGGCTTTGGACCGCGACGGTAGAGTCTACGGCGTGCAGCTACGAGATTCAACGTTCCCTGAAGGCTACCGGCCAAGTCTATATGACGACCCAATGTTTTTTGTTGTCAAGAACACAGAAACGGCAAGCAAAGCTGCCTCAGAGATTATTACAAACTTATTCGATCAAGAAGTCGATCATGCTAGCAAGATATACAATTTGGAGCTAGAAGAGCTCGGATTGAACTCGCTACCAGAGCAAATAGCAGATTTTAAAGACCTTGTTCTATACGGGCCAGACGGGATCATCAAGCCAGTTCTGCACATCCATGCCTCTAAAAACCAGCTCAGGTCTCTCACTCCCAAAATTTTTGATATTGACGGTCTGGAAGTGCTGTCTCTGCGCACCAACAAAATAGCGAGAGTTCCAGGGCTCATCGAGAAATCGACCAATCTGAAAAGTCTGAACTTATCCAACAACAAGATCAAGTTTCTGCCCCATAATACTCTCAACCTGAAAAACCTCCACACACTGAGGATCAGGCCCAACCCGCTCATCGAACATGCGTCCAGCGAGAACACGCGTGAGGTAAAAGGCTACGAGTCTCCATACCCAGACGCGACCCTGAAACATGTTGACCAACTTCATTGGACGTCGAAGAATAAACAGGTTTCCAAAGCGGCCTTGAATGCCATTTCGCTCGCAAGGAATCTATCCGTCCTTCAAGAAACCGACTTTACGTCTTTCAGCTCTGAGCAATCTCATCTCATGGAAAAACATCAGTGGACCCCAACGCTGGTTGAGCTCTCGCTGCGGAAAATATCAAACTACCTGATATCCCAAGCAGAGCTTATGAAGTGGAAAGACACGGTACACGAGCGAGTGTACAATTTGGCCATCAAGGCGCTGATTCACGGAAACAACGGGGTCACGTGTGGATATTGCGAGAACACGTGTGTGGAAAGCGTCGCGGAACTGATGGAATGGTGGGATTTCAAAGATGCGATAGAGGTCCCTGTGAAGCGACTTTTCTGTTCCAAACGATGTGCGATGTGTTATTGGAACAATATTAAAGTGTATATTTCTTAGTTGCGCAATCAAATCCATACTCTAGCTGTGTTGTCTGCTGACCCGCTCACAAGGTAGCAGCGGATGCCTCCTTCGAGTAGCTTTCTATTTTTGGCTTTGTCGTTTATTGTTGAGGTCTCGGATACCACTGGAGCGGCGAATGCGATGACGTTCACGAAGTTCTCGTGGCCGCGGAGTTGCGCGACATGGCCTAATTGCCCGTTTGATGCCAATGTACGGATATCCCATATTTTGATAAGTTTGTCGTCCCCACACGATGCGAGATAGTAACCGTTAGGATGCATGGAAAAAGATCGGATCCAAGAGCTATGTGCTTTGAATTCGTGGAGGAGCACAGCTTTAGGGTTAGCAGACGGACTGGGTCGTTCTGGGTTGCTCAGATCTGGAACGCTGAGCTTCCAAATGCGTAACATGCAATCTCGTCCTCCGCTGACACAATACTTGTATCCCAGGGTGTCGTAAGTCTCGTCCTTGATATCCACTAGCGGATCAATATACTCGTTGGTCTCCACTGGCAGAAAGATCGAGGCTTCAATAACCTGCTCACTCCCCAAACATAAGGAGATGCCCGCTCCAGTGGCAAAATGAGCAAGTCTCACAGATTGGTCGTTCGAACAGCTCAAGATGTACTCACCATTTGAACTCACATCCACCTTCCTTACCCAGTCAGAATGCCCCTTTATAGTTCGCAAACACCAGCCGGAAACCACGTCCCAGATTTTCACCGATTTGTCTCTTGAGCAGCTGACCAGCTGTGTCTCATCTGCCGGATTGAATTTCAGCCCAGAAACCAAGTGATCATGGCCCGTGAGCACCCGTACCAGTTGGCCTGTTTTGCTATCCCATAACTTGATAAGGAGATCTGACGAGCACGACGCAAGAAGGACCATTTTGGCTGAGTCGACCGTGATTTCTCTGCTTTGGAACTCCAAAGCATTGATTGTCCGCGTATGAGCATTTCTGATCACACGTTCAGGTTCAGTCAGATCAAGCAGGTTCCAGAACGCAATTGTACCGTCTTGAGAGCCTGTCACCACAACCGGCTCAAAAGGGTGTATTGAGACACAAGTGACGGAACCCTTGTGCAACTTTAGCACTGCTTTCACCCTGCTGGGTATCCATTCTAGCTTGTCTCTTCTGATATCCATGCCGCCTGCTGCCTCCAGTAGTTCCGAGTAATTATCTACAAGCTCCTTGTACTCGCCGATCTCCTTCTCCAGATCGTATATTCGCTTCTGGAGTCGAACAACGGTGGCCCATTTCTTCTCCAGGTAATTATTAGGTATAGTATCTGAATCAGTAGGTGCCGGTACCCCCAGTCTTGAGCGGAGCTCGCTGACAACTGCCGAATCCTTGATAATACCCTCCAGGTACTGAATCACAGCCTTGTTGAGCTCCGATCGCTGCCGGTCGCTCAATACAGCGTAGTCCATACGGTTCTAACTATGTTTACAAAATCTGAATTTGTTTTTCTCGACGCGTCTATCGACGTATTGATTTCGCGATATGCATATATATATTGTGTATCAACAGTCCAGATTGTGTTTGTGCGAAGGATCGTTGATCGTGTTGCCCTTCGCGTCAATCGTACAGTACTTGATTTCTGAAAACCACTCATCCTCGAAAATATCCTTCATAGTTGCACGCCGCTCAGGGTCCACCGTCAAAATCCTGGAGAGTAGAGGCCGTGCAGCATGTGGCAGCAGCCTCATCAGCCTGTACGGTCCATGTATTTGACGGTGAGACCGCGAGATTCCCGCGTGGCGGCGTTCAGGCTTCTCCTGCTTGTCACTCTTTTCGTTCTCTGACTCTTGTTGCTGTGGTTCACCAATCTTTGGAGGATCCACCGCCACCAGCGACGGATCAGGCAGTTTGCTGAAGTCAAAGTTCTCCGGCATCTTTGAGGGCTGTTCTTCGGCAGTTTCTTGGACCTCCTTCTTCTGCTCTTCAGCCTTCTCTATTATGTTCTCAAGAGGCTTTTCTTTACTCTCTCCTGGATCCTTGTTCTCCACACCCAGACGTTCAGTCTGCTCGCAAAGCTGCTTGACTTCCGGCTCTTCTTGTGGCTTGCTCTCAGCGGAATGCTCCAGATTCTTCTCGTTCTCCTTCTGCTCCAAAAGCTTCCTCTTTCTCTCCAATAGAAGCTGCTTGTGGTGTTTCGCGCTCTCTACGTAGTCATGGGGAACGTCATCCTCCTGGCAGTAGAGATTGAAGCTTGGATCCTCTGGCTTGGGGGCCTTCCAAGGGAATCTTCTCAGGGTCATGCAGCAATAGATTATGCCAATAGACCAGATATCCACCAATTGAGGATCGTAGCTTTCTGTATGAGTTAACACTTCTGGTGCCAGGTATGGGTCAGAACCGACAATTCCGTGAGCGTAAACTATCTCATCTTCAAAAGGGTATTTGAAAACAACGGCAGAGCCAAAGTCAATGAGCTTCAGTATACCCTCTGTCGTCACCACGCAGTTATCCAGCTTGAGATCTCGATGGGCCAGACCTACAGAATGCAAGTATTGGACGCCCATGGTGATCTGTTTCAAGAAACAGTTGATTTCCGAACGCGTCAGTTTGCCTGCCATAACGACGCCAAAGAAATCAATTGGAGCATACTCCATCACCTCGAAGTACTGATTATGTTCACTAATGATGTCGATCGTCTGAATGATATTCGGATGATGGAGCGTGCTTCCAATGCAGAACTCAGCAGTGCACTTCCTTGCGTACTCCTTGATGCTCTCGTTAGGTCTTCGAGGCACAAACTCTTTCACGGCAAACGTCACTCCGTCGCTCTCACGAACAAGTAATCTAACGGACCCACCTGCTCCTGAGCCTAGCACCTTTCCCAACTTTCCGTACTTCTTCGTGAGCGAACCCTCCAGATCTGCCCAAAAACGAGGGTCCGGCTTCACAATCATGTTATTATTGGCATCATGGGTAAATGTAGGCGAAGCAAGGTCCGAGTGGGATATGTTCGGAGAAACGTTAGCGGATGAGGTTTCCTGAGTCCGATGGCCGGACAGCGACAAGCTTGAACCGCCAAAGTCGTGTCTCTTCGATGGACGGAAGAACCGCTTCAGTTGCACCATGGACGTGTTCCTTTGCGGGACTCTGCGCTCGAGATCGTGGGGTGTCTGGTGGTACTGCGCGTAAACGTGATGATTATTGTGTTCATCCGAGTGGAACGAGTCATGCGATTCGTTAGATGAAGCCTTGCCCATACTGATACCAAAGAACGACCGTCGCGAGCTATTTGAATGAGTCATCAACGAGCTGCCGAGTGCCAAAGAATGAGTACTGGAATCTTTCGGGTGATGCTCGTCATGGTGCTTGTGGCCCAAGTTGGTCAGAGATCCAAATCGACTAGGCATTTTTTATATATTGGGGGTCATACGAGCCTCAAGCCTCCACTCTCCTTCGTAAGAATATGATCGTGTAAAGCGCCCGTTTACCTATTGTCACACAAATTGGATAGTCACAATTGCTAGCTTTCTGTGCACTTTCACTGTATCACCAATATTGCAAGAATGCGCCTCAGTCAAATGATCACAGACTCCTAACGATAACGAATTCCTACAATTCGTTGCTGATCTTTGTATTCATTCCATTTTTTCCCGTAAATGGCATCCTTACACCATGGAATTTTTACAGAGTTTATTTCTTGGACAGTTTCTTTGTACAGGCAGATTAGATCAGAAAAGCCCCACAACGCCTACGTTGTAGCCGTGCTTACCGAATCGCTCCAGGTGGACACGCAGTCTTTCGCGCAATGAGGCCTCGTCTAGTAGTTCATATAGTGTTTTCTCACAGTCTTCCAATAGAGACAGAACTTGCTCCCAGTCCACCAGACCGCGGTCTAGACAGGTGAAAAATACTTCCAGCCTGTCGAGCTTGTCAACTCCCCCGTCGCGCAGGAGTAAATGTGTGTCCACTACTAGCTCCTTGTATTTTTCCAGCAACTGTGCCCTTCGACGGTCAATGCTAGAAAATGGAGTCCCAACCTTGATTAAATCACAGACTGAGCGAAGCTCTTCTTCTGTCATTGTGAATGGATTTTGCACAGCAATCTCGTCGAATGTGCGCTCTTTGCGCAACTCTTTGAGCTTTCTTTGTGCCTTGATGCTTTTACCGTAATACGATTTCATGAAAGCTGGAAACACGCATGTGAACGGCATCAAACTGGGAAAGATGTAGTACAATGGCAGTGAAAACTCCTCCAACAGAGCGAACAAAAGCCCAAAGAGCGGTAGCCTCAAAAGGTCGCCTCTTGTTCGCAACATCGTCTGGAACTGGGCACGGGATATCTTGATCTGCTCACGGCTCAGATCAAGCGAGCCTGAGTTTTCAAGACATGAGACAGCAGTGGCTAGTTCATCCACCACTTGTGGAAGAGTGGAATTTCTCACGTACAGTTTTTGGTCTTTGGCATCCCCGGTTCCAAGATCGTTGGCAGCCAACCCATTGACGACCAAGAACAGGTTTCGGCTGTAAACCTCGGACCTCAGATCTTTGTAGTTCGTCCAGACACTTCCCATCCCTTCTTTGAAGAACTTGAGGTAATTTTTGGCCAGACGGAACAAGACAACGGCTTTCAAACGGACCCCATTGTACGGTTTCTCGAGCGAAACCTGGTCGGTGATGCGTTTTTTCGTTTGAATTAGATGTATGGGCGGCAAACTAGATACTATCCCCCGCCTTTGAACGAAAGCGGGCACACCGTGACTGATCCTTTTCATGGCTCTAATTGAATATATAGTAAATTTTTTATTTTTGTTGCACCTAAAGAAAATGTACTAGTGATTCGTTTACACTCAGACAAACAAAGCAGGCTTATCTGCTGGATCCCGTCCGTACCAGATATACCAGTCTTTGTATTTAACGCTCATCTGGTTGTCCGAAACACTCCCCTTGGCTTGGATAGCGTGTTTGGCAGCAATGGCTGCTTGCACGTCGAAGTACTGGACAGCAAAACAGAGTTTCCGAGAAACAACAGGCAAAATCTCCACTATCGGGCCAAACTGTGAGAAGTCTGCACGTATAGCGTTGAGATCAAAATCTTGAGAATAGTTGAGAATAGGATCGGGATAGCTGGGTCTTTTCTTTTCGGAGGTGATATGGCTGTTGAGTTTGCTTTTGGCGAGGACTGGTTTTTTCAACACCAACACTCGCCGTGCACTTTCAGGCCCGCCCATCATTTCGAGAGACTGCAGACTGTCTTTCTCGTGGTAGCACAAGTAATCTTCGGTGTTCACGATGCCGCTACGCGGGATCCAGGATGGATGCAAATGGTAGCCGTTGACGACAAACATCCCAGTGGAGGCGAAACTCATGAACTTTAGTGCGTCCTCTTCTTTCTGGAAATACAAATGGAGTAAAGTCTCATCCCAGTTGATTTGTTTGCCCAAGTCGTACTGCTTTTCCTTCAAACTCGACTTGTCAAGAAGCTGCACTTTCTCCAGAGGACCTCCATAAATTTGGCTCATTATACTGGTCAAACTAGTGTTGCGATGTATGTTGGAGAGCATCACGACCCGCGATTCCTTCATTATAGCGTCCAAAATGCCGTCCTTTGCGACTTGTCTGTCCAGATGGAAGGTGGTGTTGACTATATTCTCGTTCATTTTAAGTGCATTGTTGTCAGCTCCAACGCTCCCCGTCTTCCTCCCCATACCGAGCTGCTTGGATCCAGAACCCCTGCTGTCTCCGGCTTCCTCGGGCTCAGAGTCTCTGGTGATAGTCGAGTTCCTCGATGCCTTCCGGGTCTCTTGTCGAATTTTGAGGTTGGTCTCCATGAGCCGTGCAAGCAAGGTGTCCTCCTTCTCGCAAGAGTCGGTTTGCTGGCGCGACGCTTGGCTTTGTCTTGAGACGTTACAGCGAGCTTCACCTGCCAGCTTTCTGTTGGCCTTCGACGACGAAAGCGAATAGTTCTTGGCGGTCTCGTAGTATCTGAGCGATTCCCGGTCCTCGTCTAAAGCACATTGCACTAGCTCGTCCAGATCGGTGCCTTTGCTGGCCGTGACATTCTTGCTTTCGTTGTGCAGTAGACTCTTGGCCAGGCGTCTGAAGCCCATTTTCTCCTCTTTGTTGTTCTCGGCTGATCCAAGAAGTGAAGAGAGAGAGGGAAGCCTGGACCTCGACACTCTCAGACTGCTAGCGGTGTTCTCGTTGGTCAGGGAGTGGACAGCCTCGGCGTCTTCGCCAAGGGGGATTTGGCGTAACATGATGATTGACTAGAAGTAGCAATGTAAGAGCAATATCAGGGTCTGCGCACGTGGAAGTACAGCGGTTCGTGTGTTATAGCGCAAGGGATAAAAAAACTACTTTTTTAGGGATCTCGGGGCCCTCATTTTTTTTAGAGCGACAATTGGGCGCAATATAAATTACCTCATTGCTGTCCATCAAGAATCTCTCTGAGCGCCATAGTGGCGTACGCAGACACCCCCAGCTGCATCCGCACAACGAGAGCCACTTTGGAACCCTCTGGCCTCGAAATCAGCCGCGGCTCCTCCTTTCCTTGCTGACGTAAGCGCAGGAGCTCGAGATCTGTGCGGACCAGGGAATCTGTGTTGGCAGTGTACTTGCAAAAGTTGTATTCGAGGCCGTCCACGCGGCCAAAAACGTGGCGGTAGGATCCTGCAAGCGAGAATTCGCGCACGCGACGCGACATTTTGAACGGATCGAGCCCGTCTTTGGCCATCACGTCCACATATGTCTGGCGCAGGGTCTCGTTTTCCGGGTAGAGAACGTCAAAGCCGGGCGTTGGCAGCACTATGTCATGGATGGTGTATTTTTTGTTGTCAACGTCTTCCTGGGTGACAGGCTTTGCGCGAATAAAGGTCTCTTTTTTGACGTCTTCCTCAAAATCGTCGTCCTGCTCCACTGTCTGTGAATTGTCAATCACGAGATCACCCGCAACAACTTTCATTCCAAATAGTCTCACTCTTGCAGAGGCGACCGTGTTCCAGACATACGATTGGTACGCATGACCGTACATTATTCTCAAGTTCCGTGGAATGCCCATAATAGCCTTAAAATAAGAGTTTTCAGAGTACTCTCCGTTCTCGCCCTTTTGGTCGTGCTCAAGACGGCTCAAGATGGAAAACTCAGCACTACAGCGACGAGGCATCTTTTTGAGAGCCTGCGATGCGTCCCTGGTCTCTTTCCAGATTCTTCGAGCCTCCACGGAATCTGGTAGCACGACCTCCTGCTCGCTCAAAATTAACTCGCCTGCTTTTTTCCACTCACTTTGAAGAAGGCATTTACCAACCTCGTGAGTTGAGACCGAAAAGGTGCCAAATCTTTGCATTCCAAAGTAGTTGATAAAGCCGTATTTGTCAACGGACTCGAATATAGGAGCGAGTTTCTGTTCCAGTGTTGAAATGTCCAGTGTTTCTCCATTCAAGGTGACATCCTTGATGGTGATAATAAATTCGTTCCCTCGAAGATCACCCAATCTGAGCGGCTCGTCGGCATAGCTGAAACCTCCTATCTGGAAGCCACGTAGAGCTCTATTAAGGTTGTTGATTCTTTCCACTGAAATGCGTTCTAGAGATATTTTTTGCACCGTCACTCCACGCCTATCTTTAGTTCCCGCATATTTCACGTTTTTCACAGGAATATTGAGGAACTTAGCAAGAAGTCCAGCGACCTCCATGGTCTCCTTATTTTCCTTGTATAGAATGGCGTGCAAGTAGCGCTTGCGATCGCCCAAGTTGTGATTAATCACCGTTCGCCGCTTGCTATTTTTTGAGCTCAGCGAAATCTCAAACTGATTAGTAGCCATAGTCAGACTCTCAAGACGGTTTTTGAACAGTTCACGCACAAGCTTGTGCAGCCTGGTTCTATCATCCTTATTCTCAAATACTTTTTCAGTGACGAGTTTCTCACCAGAGACTGGGATCTGCAAAAGCTTCTCTACGTCTGATTCTCCTAGAATGGCAATCAACTCAGTTCTCTTGTCTTCGGGGATCTCAAATGCGCCTCTAGCTGATTTTTCTGGGTCCGTATCTTTCTCGATCTCCTCTTCAGGGAACCCTAAATCCTCCAGATGGATAACTTTTCCATCCAGCCCTATCTCATTGACAAGGAAATCGGTGTATCTCTGCTTCAAAAGCCCAGCGACTCTATCACTCCCCTTGTATATGTACTCAGTAATGCCCACGTGCTGCTCGGTGATGCCCGAGTCAGCTTTTTGGCGCTCTATATCGTCGAGCTTCCGCTTCATGTGAAAATTATTTTATTTTTTTTCTTGATTTATTATTTTGATCATTTTCCATAAACGAGACGCGTCTGCTAAAGTCTCCACTTGTTTTTCATGAACGGGGAGGCTTCTCAAAAAGATCAAGGCCAGACAACCCAACCCACTCAGCCCACGCAACCGAGCGCCTGGGATGCGCCTGGCAATGACGTGCTTGCACAGGAGCTGATCAGCACCGGGGTGGTTTGCAGGCTGATTTGCACCACTAGCACTGATATATGTCGCGGAAAAGGCTACATTGATGTGATATTGAAAACAGATACCTTGGAGGATAAGCAGGAATGGATATTTGGACGCAGAGCAGAAAGTTGTGACTATCCGCTGAAAACCAAGAGCAACAGGATCAGCAACAAGCATTTTAAGCTCTGGATGAGTACCAAAAATTCCAACGGAGGAGCAAATGGCACCTTAATGATCCAGGACACGGCTACTAATGGAACCTGGGTCAACGGGACCAAACTTATCAAGGGAACGAACTACATCTTAACGCAGGGCGACGAGATCAGTATAGGTATAGGAGTTGCTGCAGACGTGATACGGTTTGTGGTGCACTTTCCGAAAAATGGTGCGCGCGACGAAACGCCAGAGCGAAACAGCAATAGCTCGAATGCAGGGATACATATGGATTTTATTGTGCGAGACGAGATCGTTGGCTCTGGCGCTTTTGCTACAGTCAAGAAAGCCATTGAGCGAGCCACAGGCGAAACGTATGCCGTGAAAATCATTAGCAAGAAGAAGGCATTAACAGGAGGTCTGGATGGAGTGACCCGCGAATTGGAGATTCTCAAGAAGCTGGACCACCCGGGGATCGTTAGATTAAAAGCTTCATACGAGGACGTGGAAAATTACTACCTGGTGATGGAATTTGTTCCTGGTGGAGATCTGATGGATTTCGTGGCATCTTACGGATCGGTCGGAGAAGCTGCAGGCCGCGAAATAGCGAAGCAGATTTTACAGGCCATTGATTATGTGCATTCGAGAGGTATATCACATCGAGATCTCAAGCCAGATAATATTTTAATAGCACAGGATGATCCTGTGACTGTTAAAATTACAGATTTTGGACTGGCAAAACGCCAGGGCATTGCCAGCATCATGAAGACATTTTGCGGAACTTTGGCCTATCTTGCGCCTGAGGTTATTTCTGGTAAATACGGGGCCAAGATGGCTACATCCAAAAAACGATACATGGGCAAAGGGCGCGTTTTTGAAGATTCCTACTCAAACAAGGTGGACATCTGGTCGATCGGGTGTCTTGTCTTTGTGATCCTCACTGCGCATTTGCCTTTCAGCGGGTCTACGCAGGAGACGCTATTCAAAAACATCACGAATGGAAATTACCACGAGTCTTTGTTGAAGGAGAACGGGATATCGCTTGAAGGGCGTGATTTTGTGAATCGACTTCTGGAGACCGACGTGTCGCTGCGTCTGGACGCTCGCCAGGCACTGCAGCATCCGTGGATCAACGAAATGAGCACCATTGACTCGCAAGTGAGTCTTTCGCAGAGTCAGTCTCACCAACAGCGTCTTTCGCAATCTCTGAGTATGAAAGCAGAACCACCCGTTTTCAAAGTTCCACAGGTACCAAAGCCAAGTCAGCGAGCGCACACCGCTGGCGTGGGCGAGACAGATGAGACAATACAGGAGATTGAGTTCATCGATTCTCAGCCTCTATCTCCACGAGAGCAAAACAGAGAGGACGAAAATGTCCCCCCAGGAACCTTCCTAACTCTGAAGCTTATACCGTCGGAACTGGCGAATAAGTACGAGCCCGTGGTCCATATCAAGCAAGGACAACCATTCTTCTCCATCGGGAGACTAGACACATTGGACTATACCATCTCCGATGAAAGAATATCCAAAACCCATGCTGTGATCCTTAAAAAACGTCATCCAATCGCAACAGCCTCCTCTATCTACGAATCGCCAGCTATGGGATTGGAGGATATCTGGATACTGGATCTGAGCACTAATGGATGCTATGTCAATGATCAAAAACTTAAAAAAGGTAACAAGACTAAGCTTTTCAACGGTGATGTGCTGAGCCTGTTCATTGACAAACAACGGGGAGAGAAATTGGCTTACAAGGTGGTAATAAATGATACAACTGGACTGTTCAAGGGAGCCACGAGGGAGGAGAGAAACGTGAGCATAGAGCCGCAAGATGAGGCAGACCAGAAGCTTCCGCTGCTAAAGAAAAGACAATCCAATAATATCGATAAGAAGAGGAAGCACGCAGAGCAGCATGGAATCAATAAAAGGAAAAGAGCAGATTTGAGTAACTACTGAAAAATATCAATAAAATCAAATCTTTTCATGTTTTATAGCAGTAATAGAGACACAAAGAAAATCATTGTCAAGCAACCGTACCCGAGAAGAATTCATGCTAGCAAGTTGAAACTAAAATGCAACTGCCTTGCAGTTACACAGCCTTAGCCAATCCGACAGCGTCTCTGCCAAGGTCGTAGACAGAGTAATATCTTCTGAGGAAAGCGTCACCAATGATAGCCATTGGGCCAATTGGGGCTGGAAGGTCCATTGGAGTGAATGCAGAAATACAAGAACCAGACACTTCCAAAGTGTAATCGTAAGGCGAAATGGTGAAGTTGTAACCATCGAAGTTGAACGTGAGGTCAGGCAGTGAGTCTCTCTTGTCGCAGTCGATCTGGTACTGTCCAGACCACGACTTCTCGGCACCAATTTGAGAGTTCAGAATCTCGGCCAGTTGAGATGGAAGAGCAATCAGAGAAGTTCCTGTGTCAATGGCTGCTCCAGTGTTCTCCAATGGGGCGTATTCGTCACCAAGAGCAATACCACTAAATTTCACCTCCCAGTAAGCCTTTCTTCTGACTGGCAACCAGGTAATATCGCCTGTGTACTTAGAAACATCGTATCCACCGAAAGTGGCCTCTCCTCCATCCTGTTCGGACTTCGAAGTGTCACCAAGGTAAAATCCAAATTGTGGGGTGTCCAGCAATCCCAAGTTAATTGCATTGTAAATTGGAGGAACGATTCTGTTGACCGAAATGGTATCGTAAGCCAGACCCAAGATACCGTCAAACTTTCCGAAAGCGAAAGCCAAGCCAGGCTCGCTAGTAGCCTCGGCGAAATCCTGTTTAGGGATGACAAGGTCACCAATGGTCAGTGTGTCCTGAGAAACGTAACCCTCGAGGGAACCCGAGCCATATTGAATGGAAAACGAAGAACCGTTCTTCTGGTAAGTGGACGACTCATCGTGGTCGTATTTAGTATGCAAATAGCAGGCCAAGGAGGTGCAATCGCTGCTAGGAACCCACAAGTTAGAGGAACCGGTGTCAAGGATAACCTTGAACGATTGGCCAGGAGTACCCAATTGGATCTCCGTGAAATATTGGGCATTGAGGTAGTTGGTCAAAGGAGTGTTGTGGCCCGAGCTTGCACTCTCGTCAGAACGCTTGTTGATCGAGATGATTTCCTGGCTGTTCTGCTGGGCGGCGATAAACTTGTTATAAGTTGTAACATACTTTTGCTTCAAAGAGTCAACATAATCGCCGATAGTAACGTCCTGATAAGTAGCCTGTGCAGGGGCTTTTTTGATGGGAGCTTTGTGGACCTTGGCATCGGCCATGGAGACCAATCCAAGCACAAGAGCAAGCGAGTAAAGGGCTGGGAAAGAGAGTTTCATCTTTGGAATTCGCTTTGTTTATAATAGATGCTCAGCGATGCTAATGATTTGGACAAGGTTTTGCGACAACTGGATTGATGACTCTCTATTCAGAATAGGTTTGTAAATTATGGAACCTATTTAATGAACCCCAAATTTTACTCTCTTTGCCACCCTCATATTTTAGGTAGTGCATGACACACAAACACATCAGTTTTGGGCATTTACGCTGTCCCAACTAGTATTGGTGCGGCTTCCAAAATAGGCAAGTGAACAGATTAAGATATCGATCCGTAGTTTGACAGCTTCAAAACCTCATCGAACTGTTTCTTGCCCTTGTAAAGTTGTGCGTTCGCCATATAATCGTCCAGGAGAAAGTCTATAGGCGACAGTGGCGTGTTCTCGCTCAGTTTCCGAACGTGATGCGGGGACATCGGAATCTTTATGTATGCTGTCCCTGTAGCAGGCGACTTTGACTTTTTCAGTTTGATGTAGTTCTCCACAGAAGTGCTTTCTCTTCTAGCAGCGGGTGCTTCTATTTCGGGCACATTCACGGTATCTCTCTTGTAATCCCATCGGTACCATTGTAGGAGCAACGTACAGTCCAGAGCCACGGTGCCCATGGCCCCCAAAAGGTAGCTGAGCTCGGCCCGCCAGAACTCGCGTGACGTATCTCCGCCACTGAGCGAGCTTTTGCACGTTGCCAGAGACATCGAGTAGCACAAGTTACCCAGAAGCGCGCATATCACAAACTTGGGAGAAATACCACGCGTCGACTTGAGCTTGTTATTGGTCAATATTTGCGGAAATCTGGAACTGATGTATAAGAAAGTGCAGCACCAGGCCAGGATAGTTCCCACTTGGTGCACGGAGAGCGTGGATAATGCGTGTAAAACTTTTAGTAATGCAGAGTTGTTGGTCTTATCCGGTGAGGACGTTGGCGTGCTGATCGGGGCAGCTTCGGCCCTGCTGAACCCCATGATGAAGCTCGAGCTTATCAGCTTTGTGATGCTGTTGGTTATGTTGAGTTTGTTTGGTTGATGCTGACTCTCTATTGGAATAGGGGAAGATATGTGTTCTGCAGGAACGTAGGCGCGATCGCTGGAGTCTGCGTCGATCTCGCGCACGGGATGGCCGTTCAATGCCGTTCGGAGCGCTGTTCGAGGAGTCTTGATTTCGCCGAGCCTCTTGGCACGTCTTTGATGGTAAAAGCGGGATTGAGGATTGTGATACAGTTGACTGTAGTAGTAAAACTGCCCAGCCAGAACTATGTCGATGATGAGATAATACGAGCTGAGCAGGATCTGGAATAGCAAAGCATCCGTCATCAAACAGCTCACAAAGTTCAGCAGGTCTCCAGCAAACCAGCAGCATAGAAACCCGAGTGAAAGCCCGTCAACTGACTTCTCTGAGTAGTTTTTGATAACCTGAGGGATCTGAGCAAACAGCCAGGCAGTGATAGATAGATACCCAGCATAGGCAGAGATGGGCTTGAAGAAATGGATCACCTGTTTCCGCGACACGTCCAGAGGACATTCTCCCGTCATGATATACACCAGTCGGACAATCAGATCGAGCTGCTGACAGAACCCGTCTGGCGGAACACCAGACGGTAACTCGGATAAGACCAGTGGCCTTGTTGGGGTATGATCTATTCGGGACATGGACATCCCTCTTCTTTATAAATTGAAAAAATGGTGAATCATTCCAGGGTTGCCCTCTGTTTCACTATTTTTCGTTGATTTTTTGTGCACTAAAATTAGTTTCGCTGATAGTCATAAAAATTAGATCCCCAAAAACAAAGCAACCCTTTGATCCTGCCGTTTACCTTGGCCTTTGTGATCCGAACTTTCACGGCGGAGCCAAACACTTCCATGGACATTCGGTGTAGCTGGTTCAGGTCAGAGTTTCGCGGCAGAAATAGCACTATTTTGTCCGAGATCTGTAGACAGCTTCTCAGAAGGTCGTCCAGCGGTAACGGTTCGAGCGCGCGCAAATCGAAAGTTTCCTGGTTGAGGTATTTCGGGCCGCCCCACGGCGGAGATGCAAATATAATGTCCACTTTGAGATTCTTAATTACGTTCTGCGTCTGAGCGTATGCAGCAGGATCCTCAGGACTGTCGTTAGGAAGGGCATATTTCCAATCGCAATTGATCAGCTGCAAGCGTTTTCCCGCTTGTTCAAGCTGGTTTTGGTCGAAATAGACGTGCACATTATTGGCTGTACATGCGAGATTCACCTCGTTGTAGTCGACACAAACACACTTTTGAAATATTCTGATGAATTGGATGGAGTTTCCGCCGCCGCCGCAAAACAGGTCAAGCACCGTCTCGGTATCTGGATGGCAATGTCTGATAAATTTTGCGGTGTACACGGCAAGATCCTGCGGAGTCACGCTGAACCACAGTTCTCTGGTCAGTTTGATGCCATCGTCAAACTTGCTAAATAGTGTGTAGCGCCATTTCCAGTACTTCACGAGGTCCTTGGGGATCTTTTCCCGTCGGTCGAGAATCTCCGTCTCCATAACGAGTATTTGAAAAAAAAAATTCCTAAAAAATTACTACAATCCAGAATCACCTGCAATGAGCTCTGGATACGTCCGAGGGCCGCAGTGTGGGGTGGATAATTGCACCTCGAACCTGTGGAAACGAATCGACGGGCGAAACGTCTGCTTTTACGGGCACGTGAACGAGAACGACATTGAAATAGATGATGAAGAAGATCAACTGGACAAACAAACAATGGGTACCTATTCGCGGCGTCTGCGAAATGTCGCTGGCCTCACAAACACAGCAGCCAAAGACCTCCGGAGCCAGCAGTTTTTGCAAGAGCAGCAGCGAGACTATGCACACGGTATGGAGTTACGCAAGCTTCTAGTGCAATGTTTACAGATCATCCTGATGAGACAAACTGAGACGCTCGAGGACAAGCTCAAGCTTCCTCAGGGGTACCAGTCGGTGGTAAAGCGGTACTGGGCTATGTACCTTCTTCACAAGCATACCAAAAAAGACTCAAATGCCGTTTTGAGCCAAATGGCTGATTTCTCAAGTGTGCCCACGGTCTCTGACCTGCTGGTGTTTTGCTACCTTGGGCTCGTTCGAATGAAACTCCCCGTGTATTTCAGCGACCTTTGGGGTCTCGCCTGCAGCGGAGAGCTGCCTTATTTACGAGCGGAAAATGTGGTTCCTTTGGATCTGCGACTGCGAGTTCCAGTGCATGCCTTGAGGGTCTTCCACGGCGCTGCGGGAGATAAAGTTGACCATATTGCGAAATTGAGACACACGGTGCATAATCTTGGGATACGTTGCGAGGTTGCGCCCCCTATCAATTGGTATCCGTTGCTGACTAAGACCGTTTTGCAGCTACGGCTGCCCTTGGAGACAATTGAGGAGGTGTCGAAGTTGATCGATCTGGCCAAAATTGACATGGGCATCGACGTGCGCAGTGCACACCACCCGGAGCTGAAACTTTGGGCGCTATTGATAGTGACGGCGTGCGGACATTTCAAGGCGAATGCAACAAAATACAAAATCTGGAAACTGCTGCACGAGTCCAGGAGTGCAACCAAACACAATAAGATTGTGATGCAGAATCAGATAGTCAACAGGTCTGGCTTTCTAGATCTTGTCAGCTGGACTGACAAGCAAACTACAGAATACCTCGACTTCTTCGAGACCAGCATCCTACCAATCATCTCGAAGGAAAACGTGGTGGACGACACCAACAGGAAATATCACACGCAGAAGATGATGACTAGCAGGCTCTTCAACATATTCGACCTGCCTGCCCGGTCTGAAACGGGAGGGGACCCTGTGACGCAATTAGTGACAGATTACCGAGCGTACGCAGAATCTTCAGGCGACCACGACTATAACGAGGCGGAGCTGTTATCCGTATTGAAAGCAGAAATGTGCGCGCATTATGGGCTGCGGTCGCCCATTATTGATAGGCTGGTCGGTTGGGCCCTGAAGATGTTGGGCACCGTATCAGCTTATCAATAACGCAAGTTCCGTTTTGGGAAATACGTTGCCGTTTGTTTTGTAAAAACAACTGCAAACCGATCATAACCGTGCATAACGTACGGCACTACATACTTAAATTTCCACGGTAGCTGCATATGGAACAACATTTTTAGGCTGCCACGCCAAGACCCCATTATGTCACCGTTCACATTTGCTGGAATCACGTAAAAAGATTTTCATCCCCGCTGAGAAAATATAGTCACCTAAAACTTAAACAAATTTAGTATGGGTAAGGAATACGCGACTGGATCTGGGGCACAGTCCCTCATCTCGGTCCACACCCGGGACTATGCTCTCGAGATGCAAAAGTCGCCTTTTGGCGCCGGCACAGAGCCACTGGCTCTCGAGGATGGCCATCAACTTAAGAAAGATCTCAAATCTCGTCATATTACTATGATTGCCATCGGAGGTGCCTTAGGTACAGGTTTGCTGATTGGTACCTCGTCCTCGCTGGCAAATGCCGGTCCTGGTAGTGTTTTGGTCTCCTACTCGTTGGTGGGCTTGGTTGTTTATTTCGTCATGTGCGCACTTGGAGAAATGGCCAGTTTCATTCCTCTTCCGGAAGGCTTTGCTGGTTACGCCAAGAGATACTGCGACGAGTCACTTGGTTTTGCCGTTGGAATCTCTTACTTGTGCAAGTACCTCATTGTTTCGCCTAATCAAATGGTGGCAGGCTCACTGGTCATGCAGTACTGGGTGTCTGCCGAACGCGTCAATCCTGGTGTCTGGGTGGCCATTCTCTTAGTGGTGGTGGTCTCCATCAACTACTTTGGCGTGAAGTTCTTCGGTGAGTTCGAATTCTGGCTCTCGTCGCTCAAAGTCCTCACTGTGCTTGGTCTCATTTTGTTGCTGCTTTGCATCATGTTGGGAGGCTCCCCAACTCACGATAGAATTGGCTTTAGATACTGGCACAACCCCGGCTCTTTTGCACCATACAGTGGCATCGAAAACCAAGGAACAGCAAAGTTCGTCGCATTTTGGTCTGTCCTGGTGACTGCTGTCTTTGCCTACCTCGGTACAGAGCTGGTCGGTATCACGTTCGGTGAGGCCAGAAACCCAAGATATACCATCAAGAAGGCTATCAGACTCACGTTCTACCGTATCATCGTCTTTTACGTTCTGTCTGTGTTTTTGCTTGGTTGCTGCGTCGCCTACAACGATCCACAGCTGATGACGGCCAAGAGCGCCTCAACCTCGGCAAGTGCTTCGCCTTTCGTGGTTGCTATTAGAAATGCTGATATCAGCGGGTTGCCTCATCTAATCAACGCTTGTGTTCTTCTTTTCATTTTCTCGGCCACAAACTCGGACCTCTATATTGCAACCAGAAACGTTTACGCGCTCTCCGCCAACGGGATGTTCCCAGAGATCTTCTCCAGAACAAACAAGCGCGGTGTCCCTGTCTACGCTCTGATCTTTGCCAGTTTGTTCTGTCTGCTGGCCTTTATGGTGTGTTCGTCGTCTTCCTCGAAGATCTTCAACTATTTCGTCAACGTGGTGTCTATCTTCGGCTTGATCACCTGGATCTCCATCCTGGTCACCTACATCTACTTCTGCAGAGCAGTCAAGGCGCAGGGTTACGACAGAAAAAAGTTTATTTATTATGCTCCGTTGCAACCATACGGCACATGGTTCTCTCTGTTCTTCTGCTGCTTGATTTCGATCACCAAATCCTTCACGGTCTTTATTGGCGAGTTTGACTACAAGACTTTCATCACCTCGTACATTGGTATTCCAGTCTTCTTGATTGCTCTCTTTGGTTACAAGATCATCAAAAAGACAAAGACGGTCAAGCCTGAAGAGGCAGACCTTGTCACATACAAGGATGTCATTGACCTAGAAACAGAAGAGTTCGAGAGACTTGAGGAAGAACGCAAGGCAGCCAGGGGCGGCAAGAAGGACCTGGGCTGGTTCTACGATCACACAGTTGGTTATGTCTTCTGATTACTCGCTTATGTAATTATTACCCCAGGGTCACAAATTCGGAATCCGTAGTGAAAAAAAAAAAGTAGTCATCCAGTATATCGTCAAGTATGCAATCATTCAGACAGTCGGTCGGCGCGATCCGCTGTTTCTCCAGCACGGCCAGGGCTCTCGACAAGATCAAGGTCAAGGCTCCAATTGTGGAGCTGGACGGTGATGAAATGACCAGAATCATCTGGGACATCATCAAGAAAAAACTGATTTTGCCGTACCTGGACGTCGACCTCAAGTACTACGACTTGGGAATTTTGTCCAGAGACAAGACCAACGACCAGATCACTATCGACGCTGCCAACGCCATCAAGCAGTACGGAGTTGGTGTTAAGTGCGCCACCATTACTCCTGACGAGGCCCGTGTCAAGGAATTTGGACTGAAGAAGATGTGGGTCTCGCCAAACGGAACTATCAGAAACATTTTGGGAGGAACCGTTTTCAGAGAGCCGATCGTGATTGGCGGGGAAAACGGAGGCATTGAAATTCCGCGCCTGGTCCCTGGCTGGCAACAGCCAATCATTATTGGCAGACACGCTCACGGCGACCAGTACAAGGCGACAGACCTCGTTATTCCAGGAGCTGGCTCTTTGGAGCTCGTGTACACGCCTAAGGACGGTGGAGAGGTCCAGAAATTCAAGGTGTTTGACTACAAGAGCTCAGGCGTCGGTCTTGCAATGTACAATACGGACGCAAGCATCCAAGGATTTGCTCATTCCTCTTTCAAGATGGCATTGAATAGAGGCCTCCCTCTGTACATGTCTACGAAGAACACTATTTTGAAGAAATATGACGGCAGATTCAAAGATATCTTCCAGGAGACTTATGAGACCACGTATAAAAAAGACTTTGAATCAAAGGGTATTTGGTATGAGCACAGACTTATCGATGACATGGTTGCCCAGATGATCAAATCCAAAGGCGGGTTTGTTCTGGCTTTGAAGAACTATGATGGTGACGTCCAATCGGACATTGTCGCACAAGGATTCGGCTCTCTCGGTCTAATGACATCCGTCTTGATGACTCCAGACGGAAAAGCCTTCGAGTCTGAAGCTGCTCACGGTACTGTTACCAGACACTTCAGACAGCATCAACAAGGTAAGGAGACCTCCACCAACTCCATTGCTTCCATTTTCGCTTGGACAAGAGGTATCGCCCAGAGAGGTAGACTGGACGGTACACCTGAAGTTGTTAATTTTGCAGAGACTTTAGAAAAGGCTGTGATTGACACTGTTTCTCAAGACCAAATCATGACCAAGGATTTGGCCCTGTTGATCAACAAGAAAGACTTTGTTTCCACCACTGGATTCTTGGACGCTGTTGAGTCGAGACTCAAAAAAGCTCTTCCTTAAATACTCCGTATATCTCCACACATTTTTATAGGCAGTTGAATTGCTAATAAATGTGACTTACTTCTCAGATTTATCGTCCTTTTCGTCATCTTCGAGATATCGCCAAAGGTACCTGAGTCCGTAGAATGTTCCGAGGCTGACAGCACCGACTTTCAAGAGAGGCACCGCAAGAACCTTGTAGAAATAGCTGTGTGGATTGAGATTGGGCTGATTTCCTTGGTTACGCCTGGGCAAACTGCTGCCGAACCATCTCAGCATCATATGGGAAAACAATATTTAAAAAAAATGACTTTTTTTTCATCTTCTATTTTCGCCATTTTCTGAACTGCTCCCAGAATCCAGAGCCATCATACTTTCATCCAGATCGTGCTCAGTAGTAGGAGATGATTCCCTCATTTTCTTGAATTCAGGAGAGTTGAGGAGTGGAATTGTTGTCAGACCAAACTGAAACTTTCCGTCAGATCCAAGACCCGGTCCCATACTGGACTGCACAGGCGAAAGGCCCCCTGATCTTTGGTTATCTGAGGGATGGAGTGGTTTGGATGTCAATTTGATGTCTGTGGCGGGTATATCTTGTAGCTTCTTTGAATTAGCTGGCTCGTTGAGTTTCTGTGTTTCTCTCAGTGGAGAGGATACATACTTTCTGGGAACTGTTCCTTCGCTCATACTCACATCTGAATCTTCAGTATTTGGAACTTCCCAGCGTACTTTTTTCGCTTGTTTCACCGTGGTATCAGAAAACGATCTGTTTTGAAGCGACTTGGCGTTGGTGTCGAGTCTATTCAGTTTCGCGAAACCTTTGGTCAACGGTGACGATGATAAGCGTTTTGCTTGTTTCACGGGGGTTGTGACAAGTTCCAATGGTTCCGGCTTTCTTTGCTTCTCGAGAATTGTAGAGGCAGCTGTAGTGTCTAAGTTAACGTAGCCCCCGTCTTCTAGGAGACGGGAAAGAGACACTTTGGTTTCCATTACCATTTCCCGCAATGAGGTTGAAACATTTATCAATGCGTCTTCATTATCCGATGATATATCCAAGAGGATTGCTGTTGCTCTCTGTAGTGTCTCAAAGACAAAATTGAAAGAGTTGAAATTTTTGATGGATCGGTCAAACACTATCGAAGAGTCGAAAAGTATAGCCTTTTCGACGGAGTCTTTGAGATGCAGCACGTGTGCCTCAAAGAGTTTTGTGTCTTCCTCAGACCATGTATCTAGTTCTGTGAGAGAACGAAGAAGAGAGGCAGAAGAGTCCTTGATGATAAAATCAAGCTCATTTGGCTTGCTATATTGAGCCTCGAGCTCTTTCACTCTTTGTTCCAACTTTTCTGACAGATCTTCACAGAAATACATCAACTCGCTAAATCCTGGAACGAACATGTCAATATCAGTTAGATCTTCCTTGGGACCGAATCGATTTTCGAAGGAAACCAGCAATTGCTGGATCTGGTGTCTTTGTAGAAGTAGAAACTTGCGCTCTGCCAGTATGTATGCTTTCTGAAGCCTTGCCTGCTGGTTTTTTTGTAAGGATCGCTGAAGTTCGCTCACTGCTTCTCGCAGTTTTTGCAGACACCTTTGTCTGTTTTTGGTGTACTTGTCAATGCCCACTTTTATCATCTTGTCCTCCCTGTTGCGCAGCTCCTCTATTTCACGTTTTTGTTCAGTGATCATCTTGAGATACGATCCCACATGGCGACTGAGATTATGCTGATTGCGTGAGAGCTTTGTACGGATCTCTTTAGCGCGATCGGCGTACTTTAATGTGTTGAGGGTTTCGTCATAGTGACGTGATGATGGAGATACGCATACAATCATGAAAGTTTTGCAATTCCCGCCGAGAGAAAATTTGAGTAGCCTGGTCAATTTGGAATCTCTGTAAGGGACATGGTTGTGTTTGCGAGGATCGCACAATGCATTAATACAATTACCCAGAGCAAGAAGCGACTTGTTGATATTAGCTCCCTCGTGAAGCCTTGCCCCTTTATTTCTAGTGGCCGATGCGCGCTCACTTCCTGCCAGGTCGATAAATGATAGGGTTGCGTATGTGTGCTCCTCGTTGAGATCCGCTGTTCGGGGCTTCCGTAGCACATTAATCTGAAGTATAGCATGCGATCGCGAGGATGTAGAGTTTGCTTCTGTTGGAGAAACTGTGCGGTTTTTGTTCCCAATGATGATCAGATCCATGACCTCATCCACAGAGTTCGGAGTATGTGTAGATAAATTAGCTACCGTAATGCGCTTATTTTCGTCCTCTCGCAATATTAATGACCTGGGATCTGTGCAGGGATTAAGCAAGTCCCTGATTGCTTCATTGTAAATTTCGAGGTAGCTCAGCGTGATCTCTGCTCTTTGTGTGTCTTCCATCTCGTTTATTCTGTTGAATAGATCTTGCATGGCCAAAAATATGATACCTGGGTTTTCTGGCGTTCCTGATATCGTGAATGTTTTACCACATCCAGTGGCTCCATATGCAAAAATTGTGGCATTGAATCCGTCAAGGACAGAGTCGAGCAAAGGTCTTGTGGAAAACTCGTACACTTCCGTTTGTGTTGTATCCTCATCAAATAGCTTGTCAAACACAAAGCGATGCTCTCTAATTCTTGAGCTATGCTTGCCAATGCTGCTTGTATGCCTCTTATCCCCATTGTTGAATGCATTTGAGAACACGTTCTGCTCCATTTGTACCAGAGGATTTGTATCGCTTGGGTCGAATATTAGCATTCGATCGTCCACAGCGTTCAGAATTTTGCGAATTCCATTGTGGAGTAGCAGCCTGTTGCTCGTATTGTGAGGCACACCATACCCGTGAAGCGTGTTTTCAGGGTTGTCAGGCTCTGATTTTAGTAATTTAGACGATTCCACAGAGGTAAACGGACGTATCCTCACAGCAACGGTGATCGACGACTCCCTGGACATAAGTAAAAACAACCGTCGGTCGACTGGCTGTGAAATCTATCTTGGTGGTTCCACAGAAAGGTACGCTGGCGCTGGTGTCGCGGTAAGATTATCTATCAATAAACCCTTTTGATCCAATATTTATGTAAACAAAAAAAATACAATGCAGTCGACGCGTCGTTGCGACGACTTAATTTTATTGAAGTGGAGCATATAAAATCTGTGTGACATACTTTCTCTTGTACCTCACTATACTTGCCACTGCTAATGTGTTGTGCTTGATGGATGTTGTGGCCAGATGGTTCAACACCACATGGTTAGGAATGCTCAAAGCACCGGAGGTATTGTCTTTATCCGTGTGATTGTAGCTGTTTAGGATGACACTTTCTAGATGTGGTGGCAGCTGAGGAGGAATGAGCCATTGCTGGTTCTGGTTACCTTGTCGTTGATTATTATCCAGTGTGACGTAATACTCCTCCATCACCTTCGGGTCCGTGAAGATCGGAGGAATTGAGTCAATGTACTCTGCCGGAGCGCTATCAGGAAGCTCTTCGTCGTCGTGGTATCTGCTGTAACCGTCTCCCATGTCGTCGTCATCTTTTGTGAGTCCCAGCTTCGAGTCCAGTGTCCTCAAGTATGATTTTGAACGGCTTCCCTGTGCGATGGCATTCAAGCTAGTATAGTCGTCGTGTTCTGACGGAATCACCTCTAAGTAATTAACAAAGTGTCCGGAGGTGTCTGTTGCTGTGGGTATGAAGTTAGAGAATCGCACTTCGTTGTCCACCACGAACTTGAATCTGTGTGTTCCCGGAGGCAATGCAATTTGTACACTGAAACTACCATCTTTCTTAGAAGGACCGTTCAGAGCAATCATCTTTCTCCATCCGGTGAACGTTCCCATAACAAACACCTTGGAACCTCCTTCCGTCCATTTGAACACCGTAGGCACCAATATCGGTTGGGGTGTCTGCTGTTGAGATTGGGATTGTCCCCCTTGGGGGTGCTCGCCTATCGGAGAATGCCCTATGTCGTTTTCGCTGTCAATTACCATATCGTCATCCTTGTGTGCAGTGCTTCCTGTCTTGTGTTTGTCGTAGTCCATGTCATCCGTGAGTATGAGTGTGGACTTGCGTCTCGTGGGTGTATTCACTGAGCTATCTGTAGAATTTGTGGTTGACTTCGACTGTTCACCTTCTTCCGTGGTTCCCGTCTGTCTCTGAAGGTCAATCATGGAGACGTCTTTGAGATTCGAGGCCAGCTCATCGTAAACAGATGAGGAGTTTATCGACGAGTTATTCGAGTTGTTGGACATGTTAGACATCGCAGATGCGTGGTCCACTGGCGGAGTGCTCGTCGCTTGATATATGGCGGTTTACAAAGGCTGCTGGTGGACAAAACTCTCTCCAACAGTGAAACTCAATTTAAACGAAAAGTAAACTCTCGTTTGTTTTTTTGCTGTCACGACGTTGGGTGCCAGTAATAGATACGGGTAAATTTCAAAGGGAAATAAATATTTTTAATTATATTCTAGCTGCTGAAAGCAACCATGGCCGATTTACCCTTTGGATCTGAAACCATAGACGACAAGATCGAGTCGGCGAAAGAGTCAATTCTGGCTGACCTGGCCACCAGAACTACCAACAAGAGCCTTTTGTCTCCTAAAGTGCTTATTATTTGCGGATCAGGCTTGGGAGGCATATCTGAGATCCTGAAAGGAGAAACGGTCTCCATCCCATTTCAGACAATACCAAACTTCAAGATATCCACCGTGGAAGGTCATGTGGGTAAGCTGCTGTTTGGAGAAATTGGCACCAACAAGGTCCCTGTTATGTGTATGGTGGGGAGATTGCATTTTTATGAAGGCTACTCGTTTGAGGAGGCAACGTTCCCCGTGAGGGTGGCAGCAGGCATGGGTGTGACTACGTTGGTGGTCACTAATGCCGCCGGAGGCATCAATCCCAACTATAAACCAGGCGATTTGATGGTTATTAGTGATCACTTGAACATCCCCGGTATGGCTGGCTTCCATCCTCTCAGGGGTCCCAATTTAGATAAGCTTGGACCTCGGTTTTTGCCCCTCTCTGATGCTTATGATTTTGATCTCAGGATGGAGTTCATAAAACAAGCGAAACAGGTTCTCAAACTAAAAAGGACCATACACGAGGGAACTTACTGTTACGTGGCTGGACCAACATACGAAACTAGGGCTGAGGTGAGGCTGATTAGAAACTGGGGTGGCGACTCAGTTGGGATGAGCACTGTTCCAGAGGTGATTATTGCAAGGCATTGTGGAGTGAAGGTTTTGGGTTTGAGCCTGATCACAAACGCCGGTCTGGGAGAGCCACCCGTTAGCGCATTGGAGTCTTTGCAGAATGGATTGAAGAAAGAGGATGTTTTGGATCAAACGGAAGGAATGGCTAGTCATGAAGAGGTTTTGGAAAGTGCCAACAATGCCTCTAAGGATGTCAACATACTGGTTGAAGCATTTATAAATACTCTCAACTGAAGTCGTCAATGCATTATAGTATACAAGATAATCGATGCTCAATGTGCATTCTTCCCAATGGCCATGGCGGCAGCCGCTGCTGCGCTCGACTTATCTGATAAGTCCATTTGTCTGATGCCGCTGCTAACAGAGCTGACTGTCCCATTTTGCGAGGAGCTTCTTCTCACTAATTTAGATGCAGACCCTGGCCTGCTTGCTCTCTTGGGAGCAGTGTTTGTCTTAACTTTTGTTGCAGAGTCAGGGCCTGTTTCCTTACTTTGCCGCAAAAGTTCACGGGCTTTCAAAAGCGAATCAATCCACGAAACCGATTCATTCACTTTGAAGCCCACTCTTACATTTGAGTTGATCCCCCCTCTAACCAATGTTTTTGAATCATAGGCACTCAGAAATATTAGCTTGTTCATATTCATCAACTCCAAGATAAGGTATCCTTCTTTCAATTCCTCGTCGAATTCGTAGTCGTACATCGACACGTTGCGGTTAGTTAGCTTAACCTCAACTATTTTCGAATAGAAATCCATTGCCTGCAATTGTGTGGATGACTGAGGATTCTGCAACTTAAAATCTGAATTGATTTCATAGATTAGCAAGCGAGCCATCGAGGTGATAATTAGAACGCAACTTTTGAGGTCCCGATTCAAGCTTTGGTAATTCTCTGTAATCACCTTGTTCAAAATATTGTCATCCAAAGTATAACCCTGGGGAACAAACTGATTCGGCTTATGCGTCAGCTCGGATTTGAGAATGTTGTCAAGCTTGAGAATGTATTCATTGGCCATTAGTTTACTCGTGATGCTCTTGGGGATCTGTTTGTCGAGTAAAATAGGATTGATCATTTGTTGTTGTTGCTGCTGTTGGTATTGAGAGCTCGAGACGCTCTGAGAAGCTTGCAGCGCCCTCTTATGTGACATCATGTTTCCTATTGCACCCGCTGCACTCACTGCTTGTGAGCTCGGTTGTGGGATCCCCAAAAGTTCGTTGATGGAAGGAGCGCGCATGATTGGTTTCCTATCCGATTGATCGCCTGTTTTGACAAGGACCGAACTTGAAGAACTTCTCGATAAAGACTCCGACGACACGCGCTTGACGAATGTTTGCAAGGGGGAGGAGTTTGAGGAATGCGTCTCTATGTTGGTTGACAGGGGAGGTGTTTTGATAGAAGATGTCTTTTCATGACTGTGTCTAGGATCAATTATACGCAAGGTGGTTCTTAGGGATGTTTCGGACGGTGAGGGGGGTTCAGAAGCTGGTGGGGTGATGGAGGAACTATCGCCGTTGACAAACTGTAAGCTGTTTCTTCTCTCAACAATGTCGTTCTTGTTTCGAAGCTCACTGGATATTGGCGATTTCGGGATGCTTGTGTTTGCTGCGACAGGGGCCATTTGATTGACTAGCAATCGATTTTTGACTTGTTGATCCTTTTCCGCAAGTCGGTGAGACAGTACTTTGTTCATCAACTGTGGATTATTTTGTGCGTTCATTATCTGTCGTTTGAGAGCATGTTGTGGTACGGAAGGTGTCTTGCCGATGATTTTACCATCTGGAGGACCGTAGAAGTTCAGGCTAGAATTTGATGAAGACGTATGTCTTAATTGAAGCAAATTTTGCAGACGCGGATTATATGCCTCCAATTTTGGAACCTTAGTTCTCCAGATGAAATCTTTGTTGTCCCAATCTATGTTTTGCAACCAGGGTTGCATTTTGAGATCTTCGATCTTGCACCTCTTTTCTGGCTCAACCACCAGTAGGCTTCTGATTACCTGCTCAATCTGCGGTGGGACAAAGTAGTTTTTGGGGAAGCTGTAATCTAGAGAAATGATTTTCTCGAACGTCAAATATTCTGTCTGACCTTTAAATGGAGGTCTTCCGACAATGAATTGATAGAGAATGCAACCCAAGGCCCACAGATCACATTCGAACCCGCAAATGTTGTACTTCAGTAGCTCAGGGGAAACGTACTCTGCCGTTCCAACAAACGATCCGTTGCTTGACTGGTTGCTAATTTCCCGCCCTATTTCATTCATGGGCTGCGTGCAGCCATTGGCCCTCTCCTCTTGCGACAAGATCTTAGCCGCCCCAAAGTCTGTAATCATCAATTTCCACTCGTGGTTAAGCAAAACATTTTCCGGTTTCAAGTCTCTATGGATAATTCCCTTCGAGTGTATGAACTCGACAGCATCAATCAGTTGCACAAAATAGTATTTGCTCAATGTTTCACTGAGAGATCCCATTTTGCGAATCAGTGACAGCAGCTCGCCATTTTTGGCAAAGTCTATCACAAAATAAAGCGACTTTTCGTCTTGGAAAGTATAATACAAGGTCACTATCCCGGGATGTTTGCCCAATATGTTGAGTGTGTCCTTCTCTATGTTGACGTACTTGCGTTTGTTCTCTCTATGTATGTGAGACTTCGAAAGAATCTTGATTGCATACGTCCGGTGGTTGTGTATAGAGACACCTCTGTACACCTTAGAGTAGGAACCTTCCCCAATACATTCACCGAACTGGAAATCTATCGCAGATCTCTTTCTAGCCATGGTGACTTTCTGGAGAAGCTGAGAGTTCAAGTTTCAGGGAAAAGATTGGATCTCGGAATTGTTGACGCTTCCAGTCCAGCTTCTATTCTTATACAGCCTTGTCTAAACAATAAGATGTGTTTTTACTTCTGATTTTTTTTGTTAGGCTATTGACACATGTATTAATTATGGCAGCGTCGATTGACATCTATAATCCGGCCAACAGACGGGTCACATCGTCCATGCCGTCATGTTTCTGCTCTTCCAGCCTCTGTTTCACGACCTCAATCAGATCGTCGATGCTCACCAGCTCTCCGTCATCTTTCTCGTTACCGGTACCCAGCACCTTAATTCTGACTTGGCCCTGAGGATATTCTTCTTTTCCAAGGATCACGGCAAGTGGACATCCTGACTTCTCAGCAGCCTCAAACTGCTTACGAGGATTGGCCTTGGCTTTGTATAAGTACTCGCACTCGATTCCCGCTTTCCAGAGCTTAGCAGCGACAGCCATTCTTTCCTTCAAAAATCCGTTCCATCCTTCACCACCACCAAAGGCCATCACATACACCTGGGTCGAGGATGCTCTGATTTTGTCTGCTAGTTCTGCCCTCTGCTTGATGAGCGAGAACAGTCTCTCCACACCAAAGGAGACACCAACACAGGGAATGGATGGAGCTTTCTTTCCCTTGGAGTTTGTTCCTAGAAACATTCCAACCAGACCGTCGTAACGGCCACCAGCAGCAATAGACCCAACACCAACGTACTCAGAAGCGTCTTCGTCGTCTTTCCTGGACTTCTGGGCCCGGGCCTTCTTCTCGGCAGCGTCCTTAGGAGGCGCACTCTGGGAGGTCACGGCCTCGTATATCACACCTGTGTAGTAGTCCAAACCACGGGCCAGAGACATGTCGAAAGAGATGTACTGGTCAACCTCAAACGCTTCGACATAGTCTGCCATGGTGGTGATTTCGTCAATACCCTGTTTTGCGGATTCATTGGCCATCAACACTGGATCGCTGGATAACTTGGATAGGACGTCTCTAAGGGTGCCATTGATTTTCACATACTCTCCAATTTTATCTGCAACATCCTCTGGCTGGTTCTTTTCCTCGCACATCTCCTTCTTGACGGCTTCCCAGGGAGATTTGTCCAATTTGTCCACGGCAGAAGAGACTTTACGCACGTCTTCTTCTTTGACTCCACAGACCTGGAAAATACCGTCCAAGATCTTTCTGTGGTTCAATTTAATCTTGAACTCCTTGATACCAAGCCCAGTAAGACCGGAAACAAGAATGTTCATTATTTCCGCATCTGGGACCATGGAGTCATAGCTTCCTGCAATGTCGAAGTCGCATTGGTAGAACTCTCTCATTCTTCCCTTCGTCATGGCCGGCTGGTCTCTTCTGTAAACTTTAGCAATGTGGTATCTCTTTATATTGGATATTCCGTTCATGGCAACGTATCTGGCGAAAGGAACAGTCAAGTCGTATCTCAAGGATGTCAATTCACCTCCTTGGTCCTCCAGATTGTAGATCAACTTTGAGTCTTCTCCGTACTTACCAGCCAAGATTTCTCTGAGCTCAAAGACCGGAGTATCAATAGTGACACCACCATGGGATTTGAAAAGAGATGTGAGTTTGTTGAAAATGGCTTCTCTAATAATCATATCCTTATCTGCCCAGTCTTTGGTACCTTTGGGGGTCTTCAAGTTGAACTGCTGGGTCTCCTTGGCTTTTTTGCCAGCCACTCCAGCAGCTGCGGCTGCTGCTTGAGACGATGGTGCACTGGTAGAAACGCTCTGCGACATGGCTCGACAAAATATATTATATCTTTTGATCGAGGAACAAATGATCATATAGACGAGCTACGGTCAATATTTTTTCATCATTGGTTTGTGTGGTGCACGACTGTTTATGACTCAGTGTTTGTTGTGAGAGTATGTTGAAATTGTCCCTGAATACAAAAGACTCAGTGGCTTTCGTATGTCGGCAGTAGCTGGACTTGCACTGATATGCTAGCCATTAGTTTCGGAGGTTGGTGTTTTCAATCGGTGTCTCGATTATTTAAATATTCGATATTCTTAATTGCAGATTATTGTACACTATTTAAATTTCTCTACTATATAGTCCTCTCCATTTTCCTGGTATTCTTCCCTGCTGATGAACAGGTTGTCGAAATCACCCACGGAAGAGCTTGTCAGCACGTTGGCTCCAACCCAGGAATCGAACTGTCTTTCAACGGTGTCAGGAGAAAGGTAGGTAATGATGGTGTAGTCTGAAATCAGTCTAGCCAGGTCTTGGGCAATTCTGTGTTCGAGGTTTGGAATTCCCGAAAGCGAGCCGGTGAAGACGATATTTTTCAGCAGCTCCATGTACAGAGTAGCGGGAGCTTCCAGGCTTTTCATGGATTTCAGGATCAAGCTGGAGATGCCTTCTGCATCCTGCGCGACCTTGAGATGAGGCAATTTCTTCGAGTATTCGGCAGGGTTGAACAATGGCTCAGCCAACTTGTACTGTTCGATGCCTATGTCTTTAATCAGACGTCTATTTGGGAGCTCGTAGTTTCTGAATTCGATTTGGGAGTGAGACTCATATTGCGGGTAATTGGTCTGTGGAGGGAGATCTTGCTGGTCAGGCGACACAGGGTACAACGAAGCGTGCAGGAGCACATTTTTAAACTCGGCTAGAGAGGTCGATATCTGGTATGTCCTGAAGGAGTCACTCATTGGCGCCGATTGAAATGGTTTGGGAATAAGGAATGAGTCGACTGGCTCATTCGGGAATTTGGACTGGATAAAGTCCAAAGCAAATGGACTTAGGAAGTCGCCACCAAATTTGGTGAACTGGATGCCTTTGGTAAGCACAGATCCATTACTGATGGGAGTGACACTGACGATATCGTCATCGATGTCCACGACAATGGAAGAGGAAGGCTTTGAGACGGCAAACGCGGTGCAGAGCTGTCTTTTGAGCAGGGAAAAGATGGGCACTTCGAGTTCTTCAAAAGCGACCTGACATGCTTTGACTTTATTTTTCTTGGTGTTCCAAGCGTTTTCGGTCACCACCAGCGGAATCTCGTTCGACTTGAGCTTCAGATCGGAGTACAATTGCGCCCAGTGTTGCGACATGGCGTCCCAGTTGTAGACTATGCCCTCACTGTACATTGTGTAGATATTATTCTGCGGATACAGTTCTATGTCGTCTCCAAAGACGTAGTCGCCCTGATCGACAGATTCTCGCGAGTACACCGTGGGCATCACCACTGATGGAATATCAAAGGTTGACAGGCCTGCTTTGGTGTACGACGAGTTTGAGTCGACAATCAAGGAGGGAAAGTCGAAGTCCATAGTGTTAAAACGTAAATAAAATTTCGCGAAGAAAATAAAGTTGAATATATCCAGCCTTACATTACCATGTCACAGCAGGACTACGAACGGCTGAAGAAGAAGCTGAAGGATGCACTCAACCGCAAGAAGGACATCGACCGGGAGGTTGCGAAGCTAGAAGAGGACATATTCAACAAGGAAACCGCATATCTATCGGAAGGAGCGCAACACGGGAACATCATCAAGGGATTTGAGAACTTCACGAAAACCACCACATCGACGTCGTCCTCGCGAGGGAAGAAGATACAATTCACAGACGAAGACCGCATATTTTCTCTCAGTTCTGCTACCTACGTCCGCCACCTGAAAAAGATCAACAGCGGCCAGATGCAAGGAAGTCTAAACCCACTGCTGGCCCAGTACGACGATGACGATGACGAGAGCGAGGAGTCCACGCCTCGCAAGAGACGAACCTAAATACGGCTGCTTACTGCATTACCGTCCAAACACACTGCTTGTGGACTACCGTCGCCTTTCCCTGTAGAATATATAAAAATAGCGTCGATAAAATTTTATCTGCTAATGCATTTGACACCAGACGAGATCGCCAGGTTGCAGGCCCAGACGGGCAACATCCGCAACATTTGCATTCTTGCGCATGTTGACCACGGCAAGACTACCTTGTCGGATTCCTTGCTTGCCTCCAACGGTATCATATCTCAAAGAATGGCAGGCAAAGTGCGGTATCTTGATTCCCGTCCAGACGAGCAACTCCGGGGAATCACGATGGAATCTTCGGCCATTTCTTTGTATTTCAAGACCATCTCGCGGGCCCAGGAAACCTCCATTGTCAATGAGTACCTAATCAACCTGATCGACTCTCCGGGCCACATCGACTTCTCTTCGGAAGTCAGTACCGCCTCCAGGCTGTGTGACGGTGCCGTTGTCCTGGTCGACGTGGTCGAAGGCGTCTGCTCGCAGACGGTCACGGTGCTGCGGCAGGCCTGGGTTGATAAGCTCAAGCCGATCCTCGTTCTGAACAAAATTGACAGACTGATCACAGAGCTGCAAATGACGTCTGTAGAGGCCTATTTGCATCTGTCCAAAATAATTGAGCAGGTCAATTCGGTTATTGGGTCGTTCTTTGCGGGCGAGAGAATGCAAGACGATATGCTATGGAGAGAGAAGGTTGAGAGGGGCGAGGCGGAGGAGTACGTGGAGAAAGACGACGAAGACATCTATTTCTCTCCTGAGAAGAACAATGTTATTTTTGGTTCCGCCATCGACGGCTGGGGTTTCAATATTGCTCAGTTTGCTGTGATTTACGAAAAAAAGCTGGGTATCAAAAGAGATTTGCTTCAGAAATGTCTTTGGGGAGAGTTCTACTTCGACCCAAAGACCAAAAAAGTGATACCGGCAAAGGCACTGAAAGGCAGAACTTTAAAGCCACTTTTTGTAAGCTTTGTGCTGGATAGCATCTGGCACATCTACGACACCATTTTGATGAACAAGGACACGGAGAAACTGGAGAAGATTGTGAAATCTCTCGGAATAAAGGTGTTGCCAAGAGACCTCAGATCTAAAGATACAAAGCAACTGATCAACACCGTTATGAGCCAGTGGCTTCCTGTCTCGAACGCCGTGCTGCTCACCGTTGTGGACAAGCTGCCATCTCCATTGCAGTCGCAGAAAGAGCGGATTCCACATATTCTAGAGCCTACTCCAAGCTCGGACATGATCGACTCGAGACTGAGAAAAGACATGATTGAATGCAACAGCAAGGGTCTGGTAAGCTGCTATGTCTCGAAGATGATATCTATTCCCGAGGACGAGCTTCCACAGAATCAGAAGCAGGCCATTGGTGAAGAAGAGCTATTTGAGCGCGGCCGCAAAGCACGTCTGGCGGCTCTGAAAGCCGCAGAGGAGGCCAAAAAGCTCGAAAAGCCTTCTGAGGAGGATGAATTTGGTGTTGTCAAGGAATCCGGAGAGGTGGAATGGGAGTTTGAGCAGGAAGAAGAAGAAGAGGAAGTGGAGTTGAAACAAGAGGTTGTGATTGGGTTTGCCAGAATCTACAGTGGTACTCTTTCTGTTGGACAAGAGCTGACTGTTTTGGAGCCCAAATTTGATCCACTCAACCCAAAGGAGCACACCAGCCAGGTGACCATTACCCATCTGTACCTGTTGATGGGTCGGGAGCTCATCTCGTTGGAAAAAGCTCCAGCAGGAAGTATTGTTGGTATCGGTGGTTTGGAGGGCAAGGTGCTCAAGAGCGGCACTCTCATTTCCCCAGGCGTGGTTGGTGTGAACTTGGCAGGTATCAATCTGAACAACCCGCCAATTGTTAAGGTTGCAGTGGAGCCTGTCAATCCGATCCACATGGACCGTTTGGCGCGCGGATTGGAGCTTCTGAACCAGGCCGACCCTTGCGTGCAGACGTATTTGGAGGACACGGGGGAGCATATTTTGGCAACGGCTGGTGAATTGCATCTGGAGAGATGCTTGAAAGATCTCCGTGAGCGGTTTGCTGGTATAGAAATTACGTCTTCCAAGCCTGTGATTCCGTTCAGAGAGACGATCCTGGGTCACGTGGAGATGAACCCGCCCAAGTGTGAACTGGGCAGGGGTGTCGTCGAGGTCAAGCTGGACAAGTACAATATCCTGCTTGAGACGAGACCGCTTCCAGAAAAAGCCACCAGCTTTTTGCTGGAGAACAAGGCTTCCATTGCAAAACTTGTGCGTCGGCATATCAGAGGAGAAGATGAGCAAGAGACCATTGTTGGTAGCGTGCTCAGCAAGAAAGAGTTTTCTGAGAGACTGAAGGAGGCACTTGAGTCTGGCGACAAATCCAAGATGAAGGACAACATCGACTGGACAGATAGCCATCTGCGCGTCGTTTCGTTTGCCCCGAAGCAAGTGGGCCCCAACATTTTGTTTGACACGCCAGACAACCGTCTTCGTCGGTTGCTTGGTACCGACTCCAGATCAGACAAGTTCGAGTATGAGGACAGTCTATTGAACGGATTCCAGATTGCATGCTTTGAGGGCCCATTGACAGCAGAGCCTACTCAGGGCGTTGCACTTTTTGTCAAGAGCATTCAGGAGCTCGACGAGCCTGTTCCTGTGAACAACGTGGCTGGCCGCCTACTCGGTGCCACCAAAGACGCTGTGCACAAGGGCTTTTTGGACTGGTCGCCGAGACTGATGCTGGCAATGTACTCCTGCGATATCCAGGCTTCTGCAGAGGTGCTGGGTAAGGTTTATGCTGTGATCCAGCGTCGTCGCGGAACCATCATCAGCGAGGAAATGAAAGAAGGTACTCCGTTCTTCACAGTGAAGGCTCGTATTCCGGTGATAGAGGCTTTTGGATTCAGCGAGGACATCCGCAAGAAAACCTCTGGAGCGGCCTCTCCGCAACTGGTCTTTACCGGCTTCCAAATCATCGACGAGGATCCGTTCTGGATTCCAACCACAGAGGAAGAACTGGAGGAGCTCGGCGAGTTTGCGGAGCGCGAAAATATTGCGAGACGGTACATGAACGAGGTGCGTCGCAAGAAGGGTTTGTTTGTTGACGAGAAGGTGATTCAGAACGCTGAAAAGCAGCGTACACTGAAGAAAGACTAATTACGTGCGCAGCACAAAAATGTGTATTAAAACGAACTACAATATATTAGCGATTTTTATAATTCTACAGTATGGGGTTGTTTGGCGGAGAAAAGACACCTGAGGCTCCAAACCGCTCGAAGCGAGAGAGGTGCTGGGAAAGCAGAGATATATTCTTCAAGTGTCTGGACAGAATCGACGTTGTGAATCCTTTAGACAAAAGTTTGCAAGGGAAAATCAGCAAGAACTGCTCTAAAGAAGATGCCCAATTCCAGAAAGATTGCGTGGCCTCGTGGGTCAAGTATTTTAAGGAGAAACGTCCTTTTGATATCAAGAAAGAGAAGATACTGAGGGAGGCTGCAGAACAACAAGCAAACGCTAGAATAGACAAATGATTCGGATCGTGTAAATAAGGGCTTATCATTATTGAGTGTATGTATATAAATGACTAGGGAACGAGTCTCAAATTACAGAAACTGGGGCATGCGCGCTCTGGACATGTGATGCTCAGTGTGGGAATTGCGAATGAGATGTATAGTGTACAAGTTCAGCATAGGTTTGTGCAAGAAGCTGATCTGCCGCTCGTTAGCTCGTGCTTTTCACAATTTGCATAAGTTCGCCGAACCTCTCTTTATTTTCATCTATTTCTGTTCGCAATTCAGACACGCGGGCGTTGTATAGTCGTTCGCAAATTTCTACTATCAGGGGCTCGTTCGCTCTGTAAAACTCCAAATCCTTGTCAGAAGAGTCTATGAGCCCGTTTTCCAGCATGAGGTTGTTGTAAAGAGCCAACAACTGACTTTCAGACGGTGTCCACTGCGGACTGTCTTTCATTAGCGGATTTTCCTTCGTTCTCTGTAGTATCGTGCCCAGGTCGAAGTTCTTACCCGAGGAGGAATGCAAACAATCAAACAGCGTTTGGCATATGAGCAAAAGCGTCTGCGTGGTGTAGTTTTCGGGAACAGTCAAATCTATCTGCTCCATTTAAATAAATTACTGTATTTTTATGTACAATCTTTGTTTATTTTACCGATCCGAAAAAAATAGTGTCTCATTTTTGGATCCGTCTCCATGCCTTTTCGAGGTGATTCGCAATTGACATCACTGGCCAACGATCTGGACGGATTTCAAATACACAGTTCTGGATCAAAGGCTGCCATGAGGCCCGAGCGGAGGGCCTTGCATGATCAATCAAAGCTGTGTGTCTCATCTAAACGATTGTCATTGAACGTGCCTTTAGATCCGCAATTCAGCTCCAAGATTCCCACGCGCTCGCCCTCATCGAAGTCTCTCAAACTGATAGACTCTCCACACGCAGATAACTCAAGGCTACCTGTTGCCAAAAGATACTACAGCGACTCCAAACACGCACACAGAAAAGCCTTCGCGAATCCTCCGTCTGGACTACCAAGTTCAAAATCGATGCACCACATCAGCTTGCACACTTCGTCTGCTCCGTCCTATCTGAATCCTACATTGTCGTCATTGAGCAGGTCGAGACACGAAAAGGAGAACGTTCCGTTGCAGAGAAGACAAAGCATGAAACAGGCCCCAGCTCGAGGAATGGTGTCGTCGTCGAGTGTTGCTGATCTACAGATTTTGAAAAAGCCAGATAGAAAGCCAGGGAACAATCGTCCTCAAATTGCGCCTGCCCATCGAATTTCATCCACTCCTTCTAGCAGGCTGCGACGCAGACGTATTTCCTCGGAGGAAGAACTACACAAGCTGATGGAGACCAGCTCGAGATTTGCCAGCCAATTCCGGCAAGTTTTGCATTACGCCTTTCAAGGTCGCCATGAGAAGCTACCACACAGTCCCCAAGATTTGGCGACGGCGGACCCCGGCATGTACCAGCAGCTGACTGTGTACGAACGAGGTGAAATTCTGAGGAAGAGAGAAATCTATTTCACGGGAGAGAGAAGCGTCAAGGCCCGAGTTGACAGTCAAAATTACAGCTGTAATTTTGGTTTTGATGACGTGAAGAAAGACTACAGGTGTGCTGTTGGAGACCATATCAATTACCGCTACGAAATTCTGGCGAAGCTTGGCAAGGGATCCTTTGGTTCTGTCATATGCGCCAAGGACCACAAGACACAGCAGCTGGTGGCAATCAAGATAGTGAAAAACGAAATGGACTGGTCTGTCCAGGCTATGAGTGAGATCAAGTGCATGAAGAGCCTCAGCGGACGCTCGCCCAACATAGTTCAGTATTTTGAGCATTTTCATTTTAGATCGCATATCTGCATTGTCACAGAACTGCTTCTCATCAACCTTTATGAGCTCATTGAATTATCAGGGTTTAGAGGGCTGAGCCTGGGATTGTTGAAGAAGTTTGGAAAAAACATTTTACATGGGCTGCGATTCATCCATGAGCAGAACCTCATTCATTGCGACATGAAACCAGAGAACTTGATGCTGGCTTACAATCACCAGCTTGGGTTCCACGTCAAGGTGATAGACTTTGGGTCTTCTTGCGAGCAGGGCCGCCCCACATTCTCCTACTTGCAGTCTAGATTCTACAGAGCGCCCGAAGTATGTCTCGGAGCCAGGTATGACCACAAGATCGATATTTGGTCTTTTGGAGCAATCATGGCTGAACTATATACAGGGACCCCGATCTTCTATGCCAAAGACGAGTACGAGCTTGTTGACTTTTTTATCTCCTACTTTGGTCCTCCTCCTAGGGGTTACATTCTTGAACTTCGCACACAACTACTAAAGGAAGGGCCGATCATTAACTTAAACAGACCATCTACAAACTCTGTCAATTTCCGCACACTGTTGTGGAGAGCATTCAACGATGACGGATCACTAAATACGTCATATCTGCATTCAAAGAAAAGTGGTTGCAAGTTCAAGCCGTCTTCTTGCAGCCTGTCTCGACAACTTGCTCGCTATTGTACCGAGCCCGGCACTACGTTTGAGCACTTTGTTGAGATGCTCAGTGGCTGCCTCACATGGTCACATCACCGGAGACTTGACTGCGATAAGCTTCTTTCCGTGCATTTTTATCACTAAAACAAATAGACTTCCGTGCACCACTGGTCCCCAGAAATCAATTGTAGAAATAATTTATCAGACAAGATGAGCAATTCTCCTCCTTCGACTTCAAGTTCCGGGAAGGGGCTGTCTATTCCACGCAAGCTGGCTCTCAATGCCATAAATGAGATACAGAACCGTTCGAATGACTACTTGCTTAGCAAAAAAGGCGGAAAGAGCCTTGAAGAAGGGCGTAAAAGAGCAGCTTTAGCAGCTGTGATCTCGACCGTTTCCTCAGTTGGTGCGGATCGGCTTTCAAAAGCAGATTTTGATGAGCTGCGAGATCTTTCAGAACAGGAGTCTCACGACAAAGTGCATTTCATGGACAAATTAACAAACAAGTTGATAGATGCAATTCCGCGACGTTCCGATGAATCAATGGATGAACTGAGAAGCCGATTAGAAGACAGACACAGAGTAGAACAGCCAGGGCTCTCTATCAAGAGAATCAGCAGAAACTTCAAGGTGTTGAGCTCGAAAATGGATCTCGTGTTCAGTCTTCAGTATTCGATAATTCACGTCATATCTTGGGATCAGCCCTCATTAACACTGACCTTTTTGATCCTCTACACTTGGGGCTGTTTGATGCCCTACCTGTTTCTTGTTTACCCAGTGTTCTACGTCTTGACAGGGGTTTTGATCCCTAACTATCTCTATCGGCATCCTTTAACAAAGCCAGATATTATTCCTACTCGTGCGCGCGGTGATAGCTCGATATTTGGGTTTTTGCGAACTCAGAATGCCTGGGAGATGGACAGGCAGCGAATTCTACTGGAGAGAAGTAGAACGCTCGAACGCATGCTCAGCCAGGAGCTGGAGTTGTCCACAATAAGCTCCAGAACATCAACAGACTCAGAAGACGAGGGGACCTCGAGTTTATTTTACGAGGTATTCACAGCAGATTCCAAAAGCAATCTGGTGTTCAAAGCTGTTCTTGAGGAGGACGAGGAGACTACTGAGAAAGGACGAACAGGGGTGGTGGATAAGGTGAAACTGCTTATCAACATGAGAGATTTGCAGAATTTGACCTCTGATTTAATCAGAATGATGACACGCATGCAAGATAGCATCTACGAAAATTACAGTTTCAAGGACGAGAAACAGAGTACCAAACATTTCTTCAACCTGGTCGCATTGATACTCATAACAATAGTCCTTGGGCCCTACATTCCATGGCGAGCAATATTCATCATCACGATGTGGATACTGATTCTTCTGAAACACCCCAACCGCCAATACTTCATCAAGCAGCTAAAACCAGCGACGAAACACAAGCTCCCACCAAAACACAAAACAGAAGTCAAACGCAGAGCTTCTAAACTGGGTGAGTTGATAGTGGACGATGCTCCTCAGTACAGGACCATCCAAATTTACCAGATAGAAAAACAAGACCTCATCAAGCCTTCTGTCTACGAACTCTTCATGTATTCACCATCAATTTTCAATGAGTCCGATACCCTTAGAATACAGAAAAAAAGACCCAAGGGGACTACCAATCTTTCGCTGGTGCAAGCTCCTAGCTCGAGCTGGAAATTCACGGAGAAGAGTTGGAGAGTGGACACCGACCCGGGATCCTGGTGCCTGGAAAATGGAGTCCTAGATGACATGGAGATCGACGGAGAGTGGGCGTATGACAAATCTGGCGAGTATCGCCGTCGCCGTCATGTGCGCGAGGTTGTCAGATATAGCAGGCCACCGAAAAAGCGCTAGGGGCTAAGCTATGATTCCTGAACTAGTCCGTCGAAAAGTCGTCTGAAACATTCGTTCATAGGGTTATTGTAATGAAAATAGGGATCTGTCCTTGACAATGTCTCACCGCACAAATTGCAGAAGTAGGTTCGGCACCGGGAGCATGTCATTTTATTGCAACCATCGGAGCGCTGAATGAGCAGGGAGCAGGATGGACAGCGGACAATCCCTGCCTCTCCTGACTCAATAAGCTCTTCAAACATCATGTCTGAAAGATGCTCCTCGACAGCAAAGACAATCGCTTTTCTGCCGTATTTGAAAGCCAAATTATTGCGCACCTGGGAATCTGGATCATGCTCGAGCCAGAGCTGAATATCTTCCAATGGGATCTTCTCTCCAAGATAGTTTCTGCAACTATTGAGGTCGCCATGCCACGAATGTAGACACCCAAAGCAAAATGCCATTTTGCAATCAGGACAGATCGAGAGTAAGTCGTTCTCGTCTTTGCGAAGAAAATATTTTGCACAATGTCTACGAGGACACTGTGCTACTCTGAAAGGGAACAATCGTCTATATTTTTCAAATTTGTATGTTGTGTTGAGCTTCCAATACCTCTCCGTCAGTTCTGGGTCGACTATTCTGTTGAGAAACTCTTTTGTCAGCGGGACCTCAAAGAATTCCTTTTCGAATTGCTTCATATCTTGGTCCACTAAGCCTCGCGACAAGCGGTCGTTCGTCTCCACATATGCTTTTGTGCAATCAAAAGACGGACAATGGATATTGTCGAGCTCTCCACGAAGTATATTGGAGGTAAAATATTCCCTCAGACACTCGTTGCAATAAATATGGCCACACGGATCAAATCTTTGTACCGCAAGGCCTTTCTTGTCGTTCTGACATATCTCGCACATAAAGGTTGACAGGTTGAACTGGTTTCGTTTTGCCTGCAAATCGGCCTCCAGATATTGCTCGTACGTCTTCTTGTCAAGCACCAAGGGCTGCGAAAAATCAATCACTCCGAAAGCATCACGGCTGCGCTCTTTTAGGTAATCGATAATGGAAAAGAGCACAACCTCGCGATAATCCTGCCACAGGCCTATCAAAGAGGCCACTATTGCATCCTTGTTACTAGGAACTATCCACTGAGCACCACGGAGCTCCACATGTGGAGGCTCTTCCTGTGGATACTTATCTCGGAGCGTGAAACAAAGCTCTATGGGGCTAAGATTAGAGATTAGCTGCGCCTGAGCGCTGTTTTCCAGACAGATCTCCAGCTCCTTATCTAACACAACCGGAATCACGAGCCGTCCCGATTTGGCTGAAGAGTCCAGCTCGATTTCTGGGTAAATTGCTTTTAGAATTTCAAACTCCTCCTCCACATCTAGCATAAAGAAATCTATCTAATTTTTTTTTTTTCATAGTTGACACGATGGATAGATCGTCAGGGTTTATCCGCACATTTGATGCTTTCCGTAAGTGATTCCAGTGGTTATTACTGACTCCGCAGCAAAGGTAGCACCATCTCAGCAGGTGCGGTCCACCAGGGGATCGTACTCTACGATCATCACCTATCTGTTCCTTTTGTTTCTAGTCTGGATCGAGGTCGGAGGATATATCGATGGTGCCATAGATCACCAGTTCACTGTTGACGAATTGGTACGCAAAGATCTGGTGATAAATTTAGACCTTGTTGTCGCCATGCCGTGCAATTACATACACACAAACGTCAGAGACTCGACCGACGACAGATTCTTAGCAGCAGAGCTGTTGAACTACCAAGGGACGACTTTCAACATTCCGCGATGGTACGAGCAATCTGCCAAGAAAATTGTCACTCCTGAACTGGAAGCAGTTTTGGAAAGATCGCTTCAAGCCAGGTTCCAGTACCAGGGCGAACACCACGACGAAGGAGCACCTGCTTGTCGTATATTTGGCGCAATTCCAGTGAATAGAGTCAAGGGCGAGCTTCACATTACCGCAAAAGGGTACGGGTATAGAGACAGAACGCGTATCCCTGCTGAGGCTCTGAATTTCACTCACGCTATTTCAGAGTTTTCATTTGGTGAATTCTTCCCTTATTTGGACAATCCGCTGGATATGACCCTCAAGAAGACGGACACCCATTTACACACTTTCAAATACCACTTGAACGTCGTGCCGACCCTTTATCGTAAACTGGGGGTGGAGATCGACACCAACCAGTACTCACTCTCGCTCACAGAGTCTTCTGGCAAATACGTTCCTGGGATATTTTTCCAGTACGACTTCGAGCCAATAAAGCTCGTTGTTGAGGAGACCAGATTATCATTCTGGCAATTCGTGGTACGTTTGGCAACGATAATGGGTGGGATTCTTGTGGTTGCCGGGTGGTTATACAAACTGTTCGACAAGCTGATTTTGCTCACATTTGGCAAGGAGTTTGCCAAGAGGGGCCAGGAGAAGAAGGAAGGCGGTTTGCTCGACAACGTCGAGGACTTCGAGAAAATATAGATGCTCTGACTAATTCAGCAGAGCCTGTGCGTCTTCCTTGTATCCCACACCCGGTACGACTTCGGTATATCGGATGTATTCGTCGTCGTCAAACGTGATAATATCCCAGTATTTATAGACCATCATGACCGCAAACAGGTTACTAAGAGTGCTGAAAATAAGTCCATCTGCGTAGTGGCTCAACGATGTGCAGATGTCATGGCTGAAGACGTACAGGAGACACTCAGCGGCGACGAAAAAGAATACAGAGAGGCAGAGTGCTTGTATGGCCCACCAGTTGAGTACGAGAGTGACGAAGCATATGAAAAACTGGCACATCAGATACATGAAAAGCAGGAGCCCGTTGACTATGAAATAGAGCACGAAAAGAGGGATGGTTTCAGCGGGGTTGATAGTGCTGGTCCATTTATTGAAGGTGAGAAGTGCCACGACGTAATTGAGGACGAAAACGCTGAGAGAGGAGCCAAACATGGCTGTCATAGTGTTGAACGAGCCGTCGTCCCAAAAATTCAGACTTGACAGGCCTGCGAAGAATAATGTCCAGCAGCAGACACCGGTCATGGCTACCTGGAAGCTGACGAAATACGCGTATGTGGAGGATCCGCTGGGAGATACTCCGGTATCCACTATAATGCAGGATACCGTGAACATTATGAAGCTCCAGAAAAAAGCGAGCATCTCTTTTCTCCCCACAGCGGTGTATCTCAGTCGCACGTTGTATATGATCATCAGGGTGACTATGAGCGAGGACATGTGTATAAATGACGTTCCGATCTGGAATATCAGAGTGTTGGAAATATCCACTGTGCGCGCGTAGCAGTCCGGGATGATCCCCACAAAGGTGGCGTTGTGGGCGTGCAGCGGGCTGACCAGCGTGCACAGAGGAAGCGAAGTTCGGGTGCAAATTCTGGAGAAGTCGCCAATCATAGATGATAACTAAATTCGAAGCTATTTTAGCGCGTTAGATAAGATGATAATTAAATTTGGGAGCGTAAGCATTAGAAGATTCGACTTTGTCTGCATTCATTGGTTGTGGCTGGTTTGACAAGACTACGGAGTCGTCGTCCTCTTGCGCCTGCTGCAGCCACTAAATCATGCTAGCGCGCTTCTGATGAAAAATTACCCGATTAGTACTTGGCAGAAATTGAAAGATCTGTAATTTTCTTCCAAATTTTTCAGTTTCAAGACCGCTCTCTCCCTGAATCGCCATGTCTCCTTCAGCCACTGACAAAAAACAATCTGCTTCCGCCAGAGTGCTGGGGTCTGCCTCCGCAGGTATCTGTGAAATAGCTGTCTTCCACCCGGTTGATACGATTTCCAAGAGACTCATGAGTAATCAAACCAGAGTCAACAGCTTGGAAATCTTTAACAAGGTCATTTTCAGGGAAAATGCCACCAAGCCAATTGGCCAGAGACTGCTGAGTTTATTCCCAGGTCTGGGCTATGCTGCTTGCTACAAGATCTTGCAAAGAGTGTACAAGTACGGTGGCCAGCCTTTTGCAAACGAGTTCCTGACTACCAACTTCAAGAAAACATACGAGGACGCTTTTGGAGCAAAGACAGGTAAGGCGCTGCTTTCCGCCACTGCCGGATCTCTTATTGGTATCGGTGAGATCATTTTGCTGCCTCTTGATGTGCTGAAGATCAAGAGACAGACGAACCCTGAAGCCTTCAAGGGTAGAGGATTTTTCAAGATTCTGCAAGACGAGGGGCTCGGTCTGTACAAAGGATGGGGATGGACTGCTGCCAGAAATGCTCCTGGCTCATTCGCTTTGTTTGGTGGATCGGCTTTTGCCAAGGAATACATCTTCCACCTGAAAGACTACTCCTCTGCCACGTGGGGCCAAAACTTCGTTGCCTCCATCTTCGGTGCCTCTGCTTCTTTAATCGTCTCTGCCCCTCTTGATGTGATCAAGACTAGAATCCAGAACAAGAACTTCGAGTCCAACGAGTCTGGTTTCACCATTTTGAAGAACATGGCCAAGAATGAGGGAGTCACTGCTTTCTTCAAGGGACTGACTCCAAAACTGCTGACCACAGGTCCTAAGCTTGTTTTCTCGTTTGCTTTGGCCCAGACTTTAATCCCAGCTTTTGATAAATTACTTAATTAGTCTGCCTGTATATACAATTAATTAGAGAGAATTCGCCAATTGCAGAATCAAAGGGTGGCAGTTGGGAGGCAGACGTGGCAAATCGACTTGCTTTCCAGCTTTAAGTAACACCTGCACCTCTAGGAGGGTGCAGTAAACGAAGTTGAACTTGTTTGGCTCAGTCAAAGGACCAAAACATCCGTCCACGTCGACTAAGTCAGAAATTGACCTCAGATTAGCTTCCACCTTTTTACGCCATGAATCCAAATTGGCTTTTACACCCACGGCGAGCTGCTGGAACTGAAGACTGCGCCGAATAGGATTTTTGTAGAAATTGTCCTTTTCTGGAGCAAATAGTAGCGAGTCTATGCAAAACAATTGACTGAAATCACACCGAGTAGCCAGATGGAACATATCATCGAACGCAACGACTATTTGCCCCTGACTGATGAAATAATCCACCATTCTCCTTTCCACTTCAACGGGAACCATCGCCTTTTCGAGTCCAAGGTAGCCGGACAAATGGCGTGCGCAAAGAGAACGCAACTCATCGTCGTCGTCAGAAAGATAATCAAATAATTTCAGTCTTACCTGGACTCCGAAGAAATCGTCTCCGGTATGAACAGAATTGAATCCAATGAGCGCATTCAAAGACGCTCTTCTAGCTGGAAACTCACAGCCATCGACACTCAGACGTTTCACTGTCTTGAACCATCTATCGAACTGCAATGGATTCAATTGCTTTCCAACCAAAGGTCCTAACGCCTCAATTAGACTCATCTCAATATCACTGTCTGTGTGCAAGGTGAGAAGAGAGAACAGGCTGTGTACCATTTTGAGGTCGTCGGATCCCGTAGTTGCTAAAAGGTTTTTCAGGCATTTCAAGGCCAAGGATTTAACGTAGTCCCAATCCTCACGCTGGCAAAGGTCCCACAAAATCCGGATTGCTTCAGACTTCACATTATTTGGAAGAGCTGAGTCACACGACTCAATAGCAGCAACACGTACGTCGTAGAGTGAGTTCATTGCAAGCTCCAAGAAGTCAATAAAAACGCTCCACTTGCCAGACATTTTGTAGTAGTTCAATAGTAGATTTGCACAATTTCTCAATGAGAGCTGGCGCGAACCGTCAAGACTAGAAGTCTGCTCGTTCTCAATAAACCAGTTGCCTAGCAGGAATACCGATGTGGAATCCAGTTTGCACTTGGTGAGTTCTATTAGCCTCAAATATGTCAGTTGGATAGCATAGTGTTTTTTCTTGAGCATGTCAGGCAGTTGAGACAGGATCAAACCCATGTACTCCTCGGGAACCTCAGACCATTCATTTTTCAGCTCTTGTCGTGTGATCAGTTCCTGAACAGCCAAAATCGAGCCATGGACTGCATTGAGATTTCCTGGTTTTTGCAGTAGCGCAGAGCATTCCTCAAACACTGTCTCAGAGGACACCAAAGCAGGAAGTGCTCTTGCGGCCATTTCCCGTAATTTCCAGCTTTCGTTACTCAAACAGGCGAGAACAAGCGGCTTGAATTCTTGCAGGCCCTCGTAGCCCGGCGTGGCTTCGAGTCGCGTCAATGTGGTGAGCACGGGATACATTTTCTCTACATTGTCTTTTGTGAACCCTTTGCTGATGGAGTCCGAGAGCGACTCGAGAAGGACACTGCGGATGGTCTTAAACCTGGAAAAGAACAATCGTGCAGAGATTGTGGACAGATGATTGTTGTTAATTTTCTTGCTTCCAAAAAGCTTCGTCTGCAACGCAGCGAAAAGCATCACTCCGCAATTTCGAACGGCCCAGATTTTGGAACCAAAAGAGTCCAACGCGAGTTGCAATGCCTGTCCAACGTAACTTGCGGAGGCATGAGACAAAGCAGAGTCCACAATGATGGCCTTGATTGAGTTGATGGCGTTAACTTGGGGGATGTTGGTGGATAATGCTGCATTCTTGTCAATTGGTAGCTGTGCTATTTGAACAAGACTATCCATCGTGGGGGCTATCAACTTGTCGTCAGAGCGCAGCATAGCGGTGAGAAGAAACGGTATCCCGGCAGATCTTCTTGTGATTGAGATTTTCTCGTGCTTGACCAGATGAAGAGTCTGCGCAAGCCATTCCTTGGTATAGTTGGATTTCTTACAGCACGCCACATATGTAGGGAAAACGGAGGTGAAGGCACCCTTGTGCCGGACCGTTGCAAGCTGCTCCATAAGGATTTCGCCTATCGTTCGGAGTTGCTCTTGGTCTATGGTGTACTTTGATATGAGTATTTCGAGCAAATTAGTCGACTCTTTCAAAGCTCTCCAACAATAATTGTAGACCACTTGTGACGCCTTCCCGTACTTTGCTTCCAAATCTGCACTGTATTCTTCCACTTCCTCCGGTAAATTTCCCTCAGGCGAATCGTTCTGCAGCACGTCTTTCGTGATCTGCCAGATATCCATACAACAATCGATCAGGGCAGGAACGTACTTTTCCAAGTCATCGCTCTTGACGGTGAAAATATGCTTGAGTGCGGAGAAGTACCCTTGCACACTGGCTTTGAAGCAAGCCTCACCAAGATTGTGTGAGGAGTCGATATCCTGTCTCAAGCTCTGTAGCAGCAGCCCCAGGACAGGCCCAACGTCAACGCCTTTATCCCTTCTATGTCTGACCAAGAACTGAAAAAACTTGCCCGCAGAGTCCACACTCTTGCCCTTCATGTCGGAAAGTAGCCAGAGACTTCTCTTTTGAGCAAGCTCAAGATCCACAAAATTTTCTACGTCAACAGGACACATTTCGAGAAATTTGCAGGATATTGCACGAATATCATCGTAGTCATCAGACAAGTGGTCGATAAGGATGCGGATCAGAGTTGCGGAGTACACTTCCATTGAGAAAGGAAAATCAATGTGTCTGAACTTGTCGAAATTGCGGCTGTCGACCCTGCTATCGAGACCAGACCTCACTAGAGATTTCAGGACTGCGTAGCTAAAAGAGACACAGTGGTACGACGAGCCTGGACGCATATTGAATAGCACCTTTTCCAATAAGGTCGCAAGAAACTGCTGAGCATCAGAGACAAGCATTTCTTTGGATACTATCTCCTGCTCAAATCTGGCATAGTCCTTTTTGGTCAAACTCTTTGCGTCCCTGTCCAGAGCGTACGACGAATCTCTGATCCTGATGATAAAATTGTTGAGCAAAGAGAGAGAGGCGGTTCTAGTCTCCAAACTCGTTTGGGAAAATAGGTGGTCAGTGGTGTCCTCCAGAAGGTGGTACACTGTATTTTGTACAGGCATGGCTCCTTTAGGGGATGAAAGGAGCAAAGATAATGCAATCAACCGCAGCTGATCATCCTGCTGCAACAACAAAGCTCTGAACTCGTCATAGGACAGAAAGCTTGTTGGGTCGGAGACGATTGCAAGATCTTGCGCGATTCTCAAGCATCCAAGAAATATCGGAGTGTTTGGTCTCACCGCATCAAGAAATTTTTCGGTAGCAGATTTGCAAATTTTGAAAAGACTCGGTAGCAGATAGGTTTCTGTATGTTTTTTCAACTCTGGAAGTTCCAAATTATGAATCACAGGCTCTTTCCACAAAGAAAGCCAAGACGATGGGTTACTCCCTGTGTATAGATTTTTCAAAAGTAAGGACACAGTCTTTCCAGTACAGCTAGCTAAAGCATTGCTCCATATGTATTCGATAGCTCCTTGGATAAAGAACGGACGGTGTTGGATCACATAGGCACTCCATTGTGGCTCGTTGATAAGATGGTCCAATAGAAAATATAATGCTCTAGAAGAATATGGAAGCTGCAGACATCGATCAATATATGCTTTGAAGATACGGTCTTTAGACGGGGCACGATATATAAATAAAGTCAACCTTGCAAACAAATCTCGAAGACATTTGCCCAGCGGGGCCCCAGACTCATTCCAGAAATCAATGATGTACTGTAAAAAATAGTCAGATCTATCAGTCACCAAAGAAACGATCTTGTCATTGTTGCCAACACTGTTCTCGATGAGTCGCTGCGATCTAGTGAGCCAGATACACAAAGTACTGCACGCAGAAAGACGATCCGTCTCGAGCTGGCTATAAATGAATGTAAAATAATCTATTAGTTGAGGTTCCACGGACTCGTCCACATCTTTCAGCCCGAGCAGTGCCGCCCTGACAGTATCAAGCTGCATCTGGAGGTACGTGCCAGGAAATAAAATTTTAACCAAGGCTTCGCGAAATAATAAAAATTTACGTGTTTTCTCATTTCATAATGGAAGATAAGTACATTGGACTGGCGCTGGCCATCAGTTCGTCGTTGGCGATCGGAACGTCGTTTGTGCTTACGAAAAAGGGGTTGTTGAAAGATGGAAGCGGCGGAGAGTCGTACTCGTACCTGACGAACCCGATCTGGATCTTGGGTACCTCGCTCATGGCCATTGGAGAAATCGCCAATTTCGCGGCCTACACGTTTGCCCCTCCTATATTGGTGACCCCACTGGGAGCCCTTTCTGTCATTATTGGCGCTGTGCTGGCCTCTGTATTCCTGAAGGAGGAACTTGGTACCTTGGGAAAAATGGGATGTGCAATTTGTTTGCTTGGCTCGGTGATCATCGTGCTGCACGCTCCAGCAGACAAGGAGGTGGAGACCGTGGACGAGATCCTCAACTACGCGAAACAGCCAGGCTTCATGCTGTACGCTCTTGTGGTTGGGGTCTACGCGGTGTTCATGATCTACAAAATTGCTCCTAAATACGGAAACCAAAACCCAATGATCTACATCAGCATCTGCTCCCTGGTGGGATCGATTTCCGTGTGCGCGATCAAAGCATTCGGTATCGCTTTGAAACTGACTCTTCAGGGCAGCAACCAGTTCACACACCCTTCCACGTACTTCTTCATCGTTGTGGTGGTTGTGTGCATTCTGACACAAATGAACTACTTCAACAAGGCGCTGGCGCAATTCGATACTTCCATTGTTAATCCACTGTACTACGTGACATTTACCACTGCCACTTTGTGTGCTTCTTTCATTTTGTTCCGCGGATTCAACACCACCTCGTCCGTCAACATCATTTCTCTGATTTGCGGATTCCTCATCATTTTCAGCGGTGTGTTCTTGCTGGACATTTCCCGTCACGGTTCTGACACAGAAGAACTGTTTGCTACGAAAAAAGATGGATTATCCGACATTCCATTAAACTCCGACCTGTCTGCATACCAGTTCAGAAGATCAATGCAATTGAACAGACCGAACCAGGACTCTGCTTATCACAATTTGAATAGCGACCCTGACCGCCTTCGAAGACGCTCCGACAGTTTCGAATTGAACTAGCACTCCGAAATTCAGCAAGAATACATAGAGACCATATACACTTCCTTTAGATATCGTCAATATCCAACTCCTCCTCTTCACCGTCTTCACTTTCGTTTCCAAACTCAAAGTTAGCGTCGTCATCCACGTCCTCACCAAATGTATCCGTTTGGTTGATCTTTGCTGTTTCGGGAAGCTCTCCTTGGGAAATCAGCGTACGAGCTTCGTCGGCGGTATATTTATGCACCACATCGGCCTGGTTATCCTGGAATTCTCTCAAGGCAACAAGAATGATGTCTCCCTGTGCCATCCAAACCTTCTTTCTCAATTTTCCTCTAATATGCGCAATTCTGGTGACACCGTCAAAACAAGCTGCTTGCACGCGGCCGTTACCCAGCATTTTTGTGATCTGTGCGTATTCCTGCTGCTCATCCTTATAAATGAGCTCTCTCTTCTGAGACCAGTTCTCGTTCTTGCCTCTTCTTCTATTCTTTCCTCCTTTGCCCTTTCCTTTATTAGCCATTTTGTCCAGAACAAATGTAATAAAATTTTTTTTTTTCACCTGAAGAAAATGGCTGTGTCAGAACATCTAATATTTATTCATTACCCGGAACCTTCTAGGCCATGGACTCCTTCGAGGCGAGAGTCTATCTAACCAAACAGCTGAGCTCGCTCACGCCATCGAAACAGGCTGCTCAGCAGTGCGCCAAGTTTTTGCTAAAACACAAGGAACTTCAAGACGATCTTTATTCTGTTATTTTGGAGAGTCTCGACGCCGCAGACCTCAATATTCGCATCAACATCTTCCAATTCCTTGAGGAATTGATTCTATACTGCCAGCATGACTCACAGAAACCATATATTTCCTCAATTATCAAGGATATGAAACTTATTCTTACCAAAATTCTCCCGCCAAAGCCTGATACTGTGTCCTGCGAGACCAGATTGCTAACCAATCTCCATGCTGCTTACACGATCTTGGTAAACATCTCAAAATCATGCAAGTTCAAGAATATCAAAGAATACAAGACAAAGTACAGCTCTAACCTGCTCACTGATATGGACAGGAATAGGATCGAGCTTCAGCTCCAATTCGACGAAACACCCTTATACACAGAAAAAGAGCTTCCGGAGTCTATCGATAGCCAGCTAGATTGTGCGTGGGAGTTCCTGTTGGAGAAAAGACGCCAGTCTCAGTATGAACGCCTTTTTATAGACAAGCACCATATACAGTCTCCGACAGAGCCCCTGCAGGACACATTCACAAAAACGCGGAAGCAGCTTCTTGCTCGAATCGAGGCCGATCGAGAACGACAGAAACGTGGCAAAGAGAACCTTTGGCAAATCAACAGGGAAAATGGATCGAAAACTGAATTCGATCTCGTTTACGATACTTTCCACCAGTTTGACATTATTGAAGATAAACCCCTTATAGACGAAATCAACGAACTATATGACAACAGCAAATACGGAACGCCACGCAGACAGCAGCCTAACAAACGATTCAGACGATGATCATTTGTCGTTAGCGATGACCGTGGATAAGATCCTGAATAACTCATTGACACCTGATAATTTCTCCTCTGCCTTCGAGTTAGAATGATCCTGTCCGACCCTGATGGTGAACTTGTTTTCAATATCGAATTCCAGGCTGTTGAAGTAGTTGAACACCTCTTCGTCCACCGGCGTGTTTCCACCAGCAGCCATGACAAAACCCAGATTGTGTTTGAGCTGAGGTTGATCCTTGAACGACATTGTCAGGTCAGATGGCTGGGAAACAGGACTTGTAAGTGACGAGGACGGAATCTTTCTCAAATGGCCATCGAAAGAGTTCTGATTCATCACAAAGGAGAGAGCACGAACAATCAAGTTAGCTTCTTGCACAATGACAATTCCATTGATGAGGTTGGCATGTAAATTGAATTCTTTAGAGTATAACTCATTCACGTGTGTAATAAGCTCTCCAACTAATTTAAGCTTGTGGTCCCTGTCCACATCGGAACAGTTCTCAGTGTGGAAGCGAACAGTGCACTCCTCCACCTCAACAAACGATCCAGGCAGTCTTTCGCACAAAGCGTTCATGACCTCTATGACCGTTGGCATCCAGGTCAGCTCGTTCTCGTCAATCACAGTGAACCATTCGTTGCTGTTTGGGAGTTTGATGTAGCCCCCGTTCTCGGCAATGAGACCAAGCTCGCCAATTCTGCGATACTTACGCAGCAAGTCGGACCGTTTCAGGAAACTGAACACATACACGATATTATTCGGGTCATTGGCAAGATTGAAAAGCGTTGACATGATGTATTCATGTTGAACAGGATTGATCAAAGAGCCTGGGATATTCACTTTGGAGACGAGGTTGCCGAGGTTGATGATGAACAACCGTTTGCTCTCTGGATTTGGCAAATCGTGGTATTTTTCCTTGAACAGTGCCTGGGATAATTGCGTCAATTCAGAAGAGCAGTCCTTGCGGTTGCTTGCAAAAGCTGTTTCGATGTCGCGAATGCAATGTTTCACCCACGACTGGGAGTCGTGTTTGAGAATGGTGGCATACATGTTTTTCCACCTCTGGAGTTTCTCCTCTGGAGACATCTCGAGGCCGAGCTTGATGTTTTCTGCCACCTGCTTGACATCATATGGATTGGTGAGGAGAGGACCCTCGGTCATCACCTGGGCGGAACCAACAAACTCGCTCATGATCAAGGGCGAATGAGACTCTTGTGAGGCAACAACAAACTCATGAGACGTGAGATTCATTCCTTCTCTGAGGGTGGAGACAATAAACAAATCTGCCTCTGCCAGGAGCGCCAAGTACTGCTCAAACTCGATATCCTGGTGCAGAAACGTGACAGGCTGATCGGTAGAGATGTTGCTTGATTTCGCGTTGATTCTTTCGGCAATGTTGAAAATTGTGCTTTCGAAATCATCATCTTTATCCATCTTGGCCTTTGTATAGATGAGGATGAGAATTGTATCAGACACGCGTTCTGGATTATCATTCAAAAAGCGCTCGTATGCCAGTAGTTTCTCTTTGATTCCTCTAATTCTATCGATTTTGTCTCTGCTGACAATTAGTTTCTTATCGGCCCATCTCTCTCTGACTAGTTTTCTCCAGTTGAGACATAAATTGTTTTGCAATCTTGTGTTGAGAGATTTCGCATCGATTCCAATAGGATTACCATTGACACTGACGACTCTATCTTTGTACCTAATTCCGTACTCATCAAAGTCCGCTAGAAGCAGTCTGTTGCACGTCTGATAAAAATGTCTCACATATTCCTCGGTCTGGAAAGAAATGCAGTCGGCTCCTAGAAGACCTTCCAGGATATTGTTTCTCTGCGCCAGACAGCGGAAAACCTCACTCGAAGGAAACGACACATGCAAGAAGAAACCTATTTTGGCGTTTGGTATCTTTTCACGTATCATTTTAGGAACGAGCATAAGATGGTAGTCATGCACCCAGACAATATCACCTTCCTTGTACTGCGAGACAATTTGGTCTGCAACTGCCCGATTCAGCTTCTCGTAGTGCTTCCACGAATGATTCTCAAAAGCATTCGATTTTGGATTGTCAGGGATCTGGTAGTGGAAAATTGGCCATAAGATTTCTTTGGAAAAACTGGTGTAGTGGCCATGGAAAGTGACATCATCCACAAAGGCCACAGACGAGTCGTATTTTTCGCTCAGTTCTTTTGCTATATTGTTTTTGGTTGTTTGTGGAACCACATCTGATGGAATGGGCAAAACACCTATCCATCGGAATTTAGTTTTCGGATCAGAGGCTGCCGCAATGCGAATAGCATTCTTCAAGCTACCATTTCCCTTATCAAACTCAACTACCCTCCAAGGTGCAGTAGCAAAAACATTATTCTTGATGAAAAGATCGTGGTAATCAGGTTTCGAAAAGCCGCCAAATGGCGTCACCTTACCCTCGTCAGGCAGAAATACGTTCTCGTGCTCCGGAGGATACTCGTCCTTTTCACGTTCCGAACGATTCTCCAAAGCATGCTTTGCCACATGCGAACTTGAGCGGCGCGAGGAAAGTCCGGGGCGGTTGACTTTCAAAGAAGAATGTAGCAACTCCGGACCTTTTGCTGCTTGCTTCTCCGACACCGATGAGGAAACAGTGATTTTTGTAGTGCTAACCCTCGACTTTGGCTGAATGAACGTCGACGTCGACACATTGACTGATGGTGTGTTTTTGGAAACTTCCTTCAACTGGCTGATTTCATCCAGCGTGGGCTGTTTGGGGTTGTTGAAGAAAAACTCCTGAACAGAGACGTTTTGGTTTGGCCCGTCTGTGTTCGAAGTAGACACCGAAGTCTCGCCATCGTCGTCCTCGGAGATCGCCTGTATCCTATTGTCGACAAGATCGGTTTGGCTCAGATTAGATGCTGACGAGTTCTGCGCGAGAGCTTTTATCAAGGACATCGTTGTATTGGTAGCATCTTTCAATTTCTTTTCTTTAGCAGAAGCACTCGTTTTTGGCTGTTTAATAGGTTCAGCAATATCATCGAATTCGGTGTCATTGTTGACATATTTGTCCTTGTCTTGGACCTCGAAATGCACAGTATATGGCAGGAATCTAGGAACGTGTTAGAGCAACGCAATACTTCGCATACTTACAAAGAAGCAACAAGGACGGTCATTTTGCTATAAACAAATCCAAATGCTCAGTTCAGAGTCAATGGCCTATTTTCAGTAAATCGTCAAGAACTCTTCCACCAAATTTATTTATACAGCAACTTGGCTTGCTCCTCCAGTGCTAAACTAAGGATATATGTACAAAAAAAAATTGTGTTATTATCCATAAATTTCTAGAACACTTTACAGGATTGTACATACCACGGGGCAGTCGGCACTACACAACTAAAAAAAATGAAATATATTATCCTTCTCCAAAGGACGAATACGTAGTAGTTAGCGGTGTGCTCATGTCGATCATTGAGCGCTAGATCAAGGCTGCAGCCATGCCAAGAGCAGCCCCAAGCATCCCAGTGTAGCCGGCACTCGACATGTAGGCATCACCACAGTAAGTGGACTCCAAAGCGGTCAGGGTGCCGTTTGTGGAGTTAGCAGCCCAGAGAGGTGAGCTGGAGTTGGTTGTGGAGTTCGAATACTCCTCAATATATGGCGTGCTTCCATCCAGGGCGAAAGACTCGTCCTCGTATCTCCTGAACTTACCCTTGGTCTTGACAATTGTACCGCAAGTGATCTTGGTCATGTTTGCAAAATGAAGGTTGACAGAAAGTCCGATGATGTAAGCTTTGTTCTTAGGATTCAGCGAGAGATAAGGATCGTAGTAGGTAGCCTCGAAGCAGGTGGTGTTGATCCATCCGTGCTTTCCAGAGAGGTCTCCGACCTGGCAAAGGGCGTCATCGTCAAAGCTATCGCATTCATCAAGCGGTGCGTTGTAAGGATTTAGATGCGTACCCGTGGCCTCGCAGTTACCGTTTGCTGGAACTGGAGCTTTGTGGATGTGATAATAGAAAGGCCCTCCCTCTTCGGGAAGTCCAGTCACGTCAATATGGACCTTAACTGTGCCGTTCTTTGCGGAGAACTCAATGATACCCTTGGTGTCTTTTCTATCGAGATGGGCTTTGGCAACAATGTTTCTAGGAGAGTCTGTGTTCTCGGGGGCAGGGCCAGCGAGTGCGACAGCGGCAAGAGCGCCGACGAATAAGAATGAAGAAGAGACCATTTTGTGGAGAGAGTAATGCGGATTCTATGGATGTAAACTTAAGATGGAGAAAGTAGTTGAAGAGAAATTGGGGGTACAAATATGCTGGCGTCAAGGACAGACGCCCAAATTTAGGGATAGCTTTTCAGATCTTACCCGGCCGGCTATTTCTCTCTGAAAGAATTTTTTCTCGTGTCATCTCTGGTCGATAAGAGACCATTCACTGATAAGATATGGGTGATAAAGCTTTACACTAATACGTGCCCGGTAGCGGTCGGAATTGACGGAACAGCAAAACTGCCGCCTATTAAGTAGATTGTGTTTGTTTGGCCGAGAACCGGAGTAGTCTGTTCCCAGCTCTGTACCATGGCTGGACAATGCCATCAATCATCCCTTTGCTTCTCAGGTAGTGCACCAAATCAATAAAATTTTTTTCACGTCCAACGTTTCACGCAAGATATTTTATCAGCTGAAAAAAAGATAACAGAGATAGACAACAAGTACTTTGCGTATTTGTCCAAATTGACGTTTTGTACTATATATCAGCTAGTTTGAAGCTCCTGTGCGGTTATTAAACTAATAATCAGCTACATTGCAACTCTTACGAAGTTTTTTTATTGGACTGTTTTGATTCACAAATTGGTGGGCTTTCGTTAGTTTCAATTACGATTTTACCACCATGTCGCACAACATTTCCTTGTTGAAGCCAAAGTTTACTCCATCGTCACCAACCGCTGTCAAACACAGCTCGCTGGACTCCACTCACTACTCCTCCACATCCCCAGGAACAGAGGGCTCGCCACCATCCGGCTCCGACCCGCTACATCCCAACGCTAAGACAACAACCACCACTCAGAGCAACGGTGCCACTACTACCAAACAAAACATGTCTACGCCCACGTGCAAGAACTGTAAAACTCAGACCACTCCATTATGGAGAAGAGACGAAACAGGTCAGGTGCTGTGCAATGCTTGTGGTCTGTTCCTCAAGCTCCACGGCCGTCCTCGGCCCATCTCTTTGAAAAGTGACGTGATTAAGTCAAGGAACAGAGTCAAACACAACAACTCAAAGTCGAACCCGAACACTCCTGAACTCAAGGCTAAGGACTCGTCTTCAAATGGCAAGGTCACTAAGTTTTCTCCAAAACAGTACAAACCGAATACGAAAACACAAAGTGGCCAATCCAAAGAGTCGTCTCCAATTTTGAATTCCACAACCAACGGATCGAATGCACAGGCTGATATCAAGTCTCCGGTGATCTTGCCACTTTTGCCTCGCAATCAACAGGACTCAAATGGACAGCAATCTCCAGGTAACCAGTACTCGTACTCATCCACAAACCCATGGCTCAACAAAAACCAGAACAACGTACAGCCTTTACATTATCCTGCGTCTGCTCCGACCCAGTATGCCAACAATCTGGCCAAGGTCACTTCGCCGCTGCTGTTGTCGACTGGTTCTGGTAACGTGTCAACTCCGCAATACAACCATCCACAATCCTCAGAAAGGTCGAGCAATCAGAATCTGGGCAGAGAGGCCATGCTACATGCAGCTGGAGCGCTGGAAACGTTGAGTCAACAAAGCTCCAGCGACAAGATTCCAGGCATGAAACTCGACAGCGAACTGTCCAACAGGCTTTCATCTCCTCCACAAAAATTACCATCTATTTCCAACATCAGTAAACCCTATTCCCCTGCTACAGAACTCAATAACCATGCCACTCCTCCATTCGGACCCACAAAGCTGACCTCGCTGGATCATGGACACCAGCCAACTCCGTTGCAGTCGATTCTGTCACCTAGTTTTGGCCCTCAATACTCACTCAACAGTTCATCCTCTCAATTCGTTCCGAACGGGTCCGAGAAGCTGCCTCCGCTCAAGAACTTTACAGTGAACGGCGGCACGCAGAGCTCCAACCAGAAGATGTCACCACTGGTCATGCCTGCAGATAATAAACCTGCCAGCAGGGGTTATTCGCAACAGATGGAGCAGAGAAGTCATTCGAACATGTCTTCGTCAGAGGATCTGCGGACGAGAATTTCGGAACTTGAGCTGGTGAATGATTTATACAAAACACGGATATCAGAGCTGGAAGCTATGGATGCCGCCTCGAAACAGAGAGAAGCCTTGTTGAAGAGACGTATCGAAGAGCTTACAGACCTGGTCAAACAAAGAGATGCCTCTAAGAAACACGCAGAGCAACGTTCCCACGCTCACCAGCAGGGCAACGAAGCTAAGCGTTTGAAAGTGGAACCTAACTAACGAAAATAGGATCTCATGATGTAATTTGTATAATGGTTTTAATGAATGAATCAAATAAAGGTTATAGAAAAAAATAATTTTAAGGTGATTATGTCTAAACCACTATCAGTGAGATTCACAGAGGCTTTGCAGCTTGTGGAAAAACTTGACAGCGTGAGCTTGCGAAGAGATTCTGCAGAATACAAGGAAGAGCTGAAAAATGTCCTCGATGTGCTGAATTCGGTTAAGAAGTCCGTCCAACAAATGGCACTATTCAGTGTGAATGAGGACATTGATGAGGTGAGCACAGGCGACTTGCGCTACTTAGCAATTGATTTCTACATCGCACAGGTGCTTGTAAACACCGTCGTTAACAGGGCATCCACTCTCAAGACCTGCAATAACTTGTATTTGCAGTTCCTATGCACCTTGGAAAACTATGGAATATTAGACAAAGGGCAGCGAGCAAAACTGGACGCGATAAAAACATCGTATGACCCGCAAATCGACGAGTTGCGCTCCAAGGATCCTGTAACCAGAAGACAAAGCAAGATCGACGAGTTCAAACGGGAGAAAGAGCTCAAAGAGAAGCTCAAGATCCTCGAGTCGTCAGATTTCCATAATTTGGACGATGAAGTAGTGAGACAAGTCTATCTAGACCAGCTCAAGTTTTTCGCCCTAAAGTCGTTCCAGAGCATTGAGTCAAATCTGATGGAGCTCGAGGTTCTTGCCAACATGCCTGTTCGTCCAATTGAGCCAGTTCAGGAGCCGGATGTGAGAGAGAGACAGAAGAAATTTGACGAGACGTACACGGATAAACTGGAGTCTCTAACTAATCCAATACTGTCGAAGGATGGCAAGGTTTTGCGGCCCTTCACGATCGTGCCATCGACACGAGACCAGGTACAGAAAAAGGTATTTGGAACGGGCCAGGTGCTGCCCACAATGACCGTGGAAGAGCTTGTGGACCAAGAATTGGCAAATGGTGGCATGGTCAAGGAATCCTTGCCGGAAAAAGAATTCGACGAGGATAACGAAGAAGATGTTGATAGACTAACGTACAAGAACCGCGAATGGGACGAGTTCACCGACAACAACCCGAGAGGAAGCGGAAACACACAGAATTTGGGCTGACATGAGTCGTGCACCCTTCAGATTTGAAGAAATCACGGTGGAAAAATAAATCGAGGAGAAAAAAAAAACAGACACGACTAGGAGCGCCATGAGTTCGTTTGTACCTGCGCAATTCAGCTCTTTCACCACGAATTTTGACTTTGACAAGCTGAAGGTAAGACTTTTCCATCGTTATGGCACCTAAATAATACTGACTATCAGACTGATACGACATCGTCTTTCCAAAGCCGACTTCGGTCGCTCAGAAGTCCACAAGACTTTTTCGACTTCAGAAGAATGAGCAAGCCAAGCGGCATATTCGAGGTTCAGCAAAGGGTGAATTTCAACCTGACATACTTTAGTTCAAACTACATCCTCATCACAGCCATCATCTGTTGCTACTGCATTCTGACCAACCTTTTACTGTTTTTTATTCTGGCAGCCGACACGCTTGTTGTCTACTTGACACAGCTACTGTTCAAGAACTCGGACGAGCTTCAGTTCAGAAGTTTCAAGCTAAGCAAATCAGCAATCTACTCCACTCTGTTGCTGATCAATCTACCGCTGCTTTTCGTGGCCAACCCGTTCACCACGTTGATCTGGCTTGCGACCGCGAGTGCTGCAGTTGTCCTGCCCCATGCAGTTTTTATGGAGAAGCCACTAGACGCCTCCTTTGCCGAAGTCGTTTAGGTGCACTAATGAACGCTACTATCTATTAATCACACCTCACACCGACCATGTAGCTTTATCTAGATTAAATTCCTAGCTGATTATTTCTGACGGCAAATTGTTGCATCTAGTTCCACTATGGGAAACTCTACCCTTATGAGATGGCCAGTAACGGCGATACTGGTATTAGGTGTCGTGGTGACTGTCCTTTACAAAGCGATGGCGGTATATATTCCTCGTCCAGGCCCAGTCCAAGTGTCTTCTACCTCTACCCCATCAGCCTTCAAGATCAAACATATATTTCACAACGCTGCAGATGGCAGGACCCACAAAAGACTGGATATTAATGACGAGTTTTTGAGCACTTACAATTCTGCCCAGCCCCAGGTGGCACACATCGAGGATATGGATTTATTTGATGTCTCTCCTTTTGAACAAGAGCTTGTGATCAGACATACGAAGGGACAAACAATCAGATTAGCGGATCGGTCGCCCGACTTTGTGGAGTCGTATCTCGACTTTGCACTGGAGAACGGCCCTGCTTCGCGGATGATTGAGTTTGATTGGCAGCAAGAATCTCTCTTGATTCCAAATATGAGCGATAAGGAAACGATCATCAGTTTGGCCCTGATGTCCTCGGACGCCTATGTTGGCCTTCCTACTGACGCCGACTGGAATGACGTGGGTGAAAAGTACAACGAGTCGGAGCGTTTTGGATGGGAAAATGGAGGTGTGAGAGGTCATGTTTTCACCGATCCAGAAGAAACAATTGTGATAATATCAATCAAAGGCACATCGGCTGCGGGTTTGAACACCGGAGGAGACGGCCAGACAGTTGAGCAGGATAAGACAAACGACAACCTTCTTTTTTCTTGCTGTTGCGCGAGAGTGTCGTCTCTATGGAAAACGGTATGCGACTGCTACGAAGAGTCGTACACTTGTAACCAAAACTGTCTGGAACAGGAACTGAGGCGACCAGACAGGTACTACAAAGCAGTTCTAGACATTTATCGCAACGTGACACACATGTATCCGGAGTCGGAGATATGGGTGACGGGACATTCATTAGGAGGCTCGCTGAGTGCGCTTCTTGGCCGCACGTTTGGCCTTCCTGCTGTTTCTTTCGAAGCCGTGGGAGAATTACTGGCCACTCGCAGATTGCATCTACCAATGCCACCTGGGCTACCAGAGGAGATGGAAAACATTTGGCATGTGGGGAATACTGCAGACCCTATATTTATGGGTGTTTGCAACGGTGCCTCGTCAACATGCTCTTTGGCCGGTTACGCATTGGAAACACAGTGCCATTCGGGAAAGAAGTGCGTATACGACGTGGTAAACGACCTGGGATGGCACGTGAACCTGCTGAACCACAGGATACGAACCATCATTAGCGACGTTCTGATGGTCTACAACGACACTGCCGAGTGCGTCAAGTCCCCACCGTGTTACGACTGCTACAACTGGAGATTCGTGGACCATTCTGGCGACCGATACAGAACCACAGCTTCCTCTCCATTGCCAACGCCCTCCGATCCTCCTGGACGAAGATGTCTGAAGCGCACGTGGTATGGCCGCTGCTACGAATGGGCGGACGATCCCAGCTCGGTCAAGACAACCTTCTCGACAAGCACGATATACAGCAAGACGAGCGACATTCGCACTAGCACCGACACGCACACAGGAGGGAACTCCACATGTATCAGAAGATCCTGGCTTGGATACTGTCTTGAGTATGGTCCAGGATTACATTAGGCATGGGCATAGTTTTTTTTTTCTAGGCTACATTTATATATTTTTATGCTTACGGCTGTGCAGGGAAGTTAAAAACGCGTCTTTCAATTTTAAAACACGCTCCCCAATGTTTAGAAAAGTCAAGCGGAGAACAGACGGACGCCGTAACTTCGATGAGATCCAGGCTGGCGAGCCCGGGTACCGTCGTCTGGGCAGCAAAGGGTTCAAAGACGACCTTTCTATATATCCCCACCGGCTGTCCTTCTACAAAGTGCCTCCCTTTGAGGAGATCACGCTGGAGGAGTTTGAGACCTGGGCGATTGACCGACTGAAGGTTGTTCTGGAGCTTGAGTCGTGTGTTAGCAGAGGCAAGTCGTTCAAAGATATTGAAATCATCATGAAACCGCTGTTGTCCAAGCTGTTGCCCATGAATTTACCCAACAGAGAGTCGACGTCTCTGTATTTAGAGCGCAAGAAGGACCATTACTCGCATTTCATTCTCCGACTGGCATTCTGTCGCTCCGAAGAGCTCAGAACGCGCTTTATACGCGCCGAAACCTTGCTGTTCAGACTCAGATTCAATATGATGTCGATTCAGGAGCAGAAGGATTTTGTCGCGTCTCTCGATCTGCCGTGGGAGACCGTGTCTGAGGAGGAAAAACAGGAGTTTCAGAGCGAGTTGATGGCCTGTTGCTACAACACGGCGCGGTCGATTTTGACGCAGACCGTGGAATACCAGCGCACGAAGAAGGTGACAGAGGAACAGGTGAGGGCGTTTCTGGCAGCGGAGAAATTCTACAAGATCCCGTTTGAGTTTGTCCCGGAGCTAGTCTCCACCAGACAGTCGTTTCTGCGCCGCGGTAAGGCGTTCGTCGCACAGTTCCAGCAACTGTCGCTGATTTTGACCGAGTTCAGCAAACATCTCGCAGAGCAGCTCAATGTCACGATGCGTGCTCTTCCGACGCTGGACGAGGATGACCGGCTCATCCCAGTACTCAACAACCTCTCGCGCGGGTACGCCTCGATGGACTACCACTCGGAACTTGTCGGCTCTGAGACAAACGACGGGTCGGTGAGTGCGGAGAGCGTTCCTAGTCTGACGAAACATATGCCGCTGTGCATGAATCGGCTTATGCAGGGCGTTATGGCCGACCATCACCTGAAATACCAAGGCAGACAGCAACTGTCACTGTTTCTGAAGGGCATTGGGCTGAGTGCAGAGGAAGCACTGCGGTTCTGGCAGATGCAGTTCACGTCCGGGCCGGGGTCGATGTCGATCGAGAGGTTCAACAAGGAGTACAAATACACTTTCAGACACAACTACGGTCTGGAAGGTGGACGCATCAACTACAAGCCGTGGGACTGTCGCACTATCCTGAGCAAGCCGCGTCCAAGTAAGAACGAGTACCACGGGTGTCCGTACAGGGACCTGCACCGCGATCAACTGGCCGACCAGCTGCAGAAGATGGGCCTGGACCAGGGTGCCCGGCTAGATGACGTTTTGGAGCTCAGCGACAGGGGCGAGTACCAGGTTGCGTGCACCAAGGTGTTCGAGCTGGTGCACAGAGAAAAGATCGACACAATGCTGAAGAACGGCGACACGGTGGACGAAACGTCGATCACGCATCCTAATCTGTATTACAGCCGATCCCTGTATTTAGAATCCAAGTAAACAAACGTACAGTTGAAGTATCATGTAAACACCACAACATTCTCGCTCTAGCGATTTTTAGAGTTTAGCACTGCGCGTCAACAATGCGGCGGATAAATATGATGCTTATTGTGATTGTTAGATTGTGCTGCACGAAATATTATTCGGGCGATGCATTGCCTTTTTTAGTTTATTTCCATATCGTGCCAGTCTTCTCACCACTCTTGTTTATATATTCGCTGAGATGCTGTCGCGCAATTCATTTAAGTCGCAAATGAACCTGGAGAACAAGAAGTCAACGTTTAGTCTGTTTTCGAGGTCCAAAACGCGAATCGTCCGCAGGTCCAAAACCTTCCTGTCCCCAAAGTCTCCTTCCGTGGACGCGTTTCCAGAGGATGCCGAAGAAAAGAGAGACGACGACCTGGCGGCCGAAAACAAAATGCTCAAGGAACAAGTGACAAAGCAGAAGTTCATGATACTCAAGCTCATCGACGAGCTCGAATACATGGAGACCCTCTACAAACAGAAAGCAGCCATAGTGGTGGACCCTACGTCACCTACCAACTCGGTTTCGTCCAACGCCTCGTCTATGGAAACACTGGTCGCCGAAAATAGCGAGAAGGAAAAGCTGATAAAGCAGCTCAACCTCAAGACCAAACTACTCGAGTCCAGCGTGGCCGAACTGCGGAGCCAACTGAAGTCTAATCTCTGCCAATACCAGCGCAATCTCTCTAACTTATCCGACTCCGTGACAATGATCAACGAAAACCAGAGATTCCTTACGCCGCCGCCGAGACCCCATATAGTTCCGAGCTCGCGCTCGCTGGATCTCAAACAGTACACCGACAAGGACGCGGGGGAGACCTTTGTGCTGCGCAAATTTAGTATCTGCTAAGACTTATTACGTCGCGTCGATCGGCTGGCTCATTTAATTTTTGTGTACACTTAGATTTCAGTTGTATAGTAACCATAATTTTTCTTGTTGTTATGCGGATTGTTTTAGCATTGGCCTGTTTCGTGGCCGCGTGTCGCGCCGCATTCAGTGCCGAGGAGCTCACGGAGCGGCGGTTGCGGACTCCATCGGGAATCATACCTGTCAAGTCAAGCGAGTTTGACAGTTTCTTCGAGGGAGAAAAGGATTATTTCCTTGTCTCGTTCTTGACGGCACAGACAAACCAGAAATGCCAGCTGTGCCGTTATTTCCAGCTCGTGTACGAAACAGTTGCGCGCTCGTTCTATGAATCGAACCCGTCGTTCCAGAAAGTGTTTTTTCTCTCTGTCGATGCGAGCGACAACATTGCACACTTCCAAAAGTACAACATCAGCACTGTGCCACACCTCTGGGTATACCCTATTTCCTCTTTAATATACAAGCCTGCTGATAGCGACGATGCGTTTGACAAAAGAATCCCAATGCCAGAGAGCTTGTCCATTGTGAGCGAGCACTACACCTATCCAATAACGGACACCATTAAGCAGGCGGATCAGGAGCTCCGATTTGCCACATTTTTGGGCGAGCTCACCCAAACAAAAATCGTGATCAACAAGCCAATGGACCTGGTGCTGGCATTGAAGTACTGTGCTGGCTTCTTCGTTCTGTTCAGGGTTCTAAGGTCTAGAAAAGAGAAGGTGCTCGGCAAAATTAAGAATGGAACAGCAGTGCTGGTCCTAAGCATCATTGCAATATACATATGCTTTTCCGGCGTGAACTTTGCTGTGCAAAGAAACGTGCCGTTCTTGGTCAAGGACAAAGACGGGAGCCTCAAATATCTGACCCCCGGAGTCCAGAACATGATAGGGGCGGAGGTCACACTATCAATAGCGTTCCAGATGATATTTTCGCTTCTTCTATGGCTCCTAATCCAAGGTATTCCAAGAATCCCAAAGGAAAACCAGGCTGTCGGCATGCTCCTTTTTGCTGCCATGCTCTTCATCACCTACAACTTATTCACCAGCATGTTCAAAGCTAAAGACCCCGGTTATCCATTCACATACCTTTATATACCTATCTTCTAGACGACTACTGCTCGCTTTCGCTTTTGTTCACAAAGTAGAAAGACAAGCAGATAAATAACGCTCCCAAAATATACACCCCTGAGTTAACCTTGTGTTTAAACACGAAGTCGCACACCATGGCAAAGGGAATCGTCAGCGACAGTCCTAGCGTGACTGTCAACGGCGACGTGAGAAGCATGGCACGGGCCCAGAGGAAATCCGCGAGGAACGAGATGGCACAATTGAATATGACCACGAAATATACGTACGAGGTTGGCGGGAGCTCGAACTTCTCGTACCCGATTTTGTCCAGCAAAACTAACGGTGGCCATAGAAACAGCAGGTTGAAGATTCCAACGAAACCAAAGAAAAGTCTCATGTCGATTCTGCTGTCGTTCTTGATTTTCAGCTTGAGCAAGATTGAGTAGACTCCGTACAGGAACGCACCAGACAAGGCAAGAATATTGCCCAAAACGACGTACTGTTTGGTTTCCGCTGGCGATGGGTCATCGTTGCGGGTGACAAGAACAACGCCGACAAACGACATCAAGATAGAGGCCAGCTTCGTTTTATTGATGCGCTCAATCAGGAACAGCGCACCAACTATCATGGTGAAGAACGACGACGTTGACGACAAGATGGTCTGCGAGGACACAGAGGTGTATAGTAGCGATGCGTTTGTGACCAAATTGGACAGAAACCACAGGGTGCAGAACCAGAATGCCAATTGGATCGTCTCTTTGACGGTGAGCGGTAGATACTCTGCGTCGAGGTCGTATTCCGTATGGTTTGACAAGTGGTAGGGAATGAGATAGAGCGCGAACGATGCAGTGTTTATCCACGTGATAAAAAACGGTTTTGAGTAGATGTCTTTCTCGAACAGGTCGTTGAGCAGCACCGACGACAAAACCCAGAGCCCAACCACGCAGAAAAGAAAGAAGAGTCCCAGAGACCAGTCGCGCGATCGCTTCGCCCTCTCAATAGCGCTTCTGGTGAGGGTCAGGGAAGACATAATTGGCAACAGAAACTGTGGCTATTATTTTGTTTTTGGGGCGATCGACGCGTCGACGTTTAGAGTGGTCTGGTAAATCTTTTCAGCTCCATATTCAGCAGGTAGGAGAAGTACTTGAACTGGAACGTCGCTAGCGACGTAGTGCTCAGCTCAGCCGGCACACGAGGACAAGACACGTTGTTAGTGTTCTTCCCCAAGGACGGTGCTACCCACATCTTCTCGTGAGGAGGAGACACCTGAAGGGGCACCTGCTCTGCCACCAGAAAGTCGAACTGTTGTGGTGACATGTGAGGGAGTTTTGCTTTCAGGTGGTCGAGGGTCTTTTTGCGCAGCAGGTGTGGGTCGTAATAGGGCTCAAGAGCAGGCTGGTAGCTATGGAGGAAATTCGATGTACGCTGACGGGCCGAATTCCTAGAGCCGTGAGTAGTCTCGGATCCCGAGCTGATTTCTGACTGTGGACCAAGCGAGAGCTGGGACATAGAGGTGGCTGGAGTAGAGAGCTGTTTCCGCCGGTCGGAAAGGGACTGTCTGGACGAGCTCAGGGACATGTATGCAGACAGACTCAGCTGTGCGGAGGAGCTAGCAGATGACAGGTCGGTGCTATCCTTGTTTTCCAGCATGGGGATGAGACAAGGAAAAATTAGAGAAAATAGCAAGTATTTAAAATAAGGTTTTAAGGATGTTATCACCGAACTGTAGCTGACGCAGTACAGAACAGATAGTGCCGGGTGTGCTGACTCGGCCAGGAAGCAGTATTTCCCTATGCAAACGCATAACGGATCCCCATATTTTTATGTATTTTCGGAAATGGGCAATTACCCGGTTGAAAAGTGAAAAAAAATTTTCAAGTTCAAGGTACGACCGAGTGTTTGCCACAGCTAATTGAGTCACTATTTACGATACATAAACCATGTCGTGGCTGTTTGGAAGTAAGCAGGACAAGAAAGAGACGCCAGTGGCTCCAGCTGGCCAGGGCGGGTTCGACGCGAACCAAATCTCGGACATTTCTAGCATTCTGAAGAGTAACACCTTGGATCCAACCAAGCTGCATCCTTTGGCCGGTCTCGACAAAGACATCGAATATTTGGACCTGGACGAGGAAAAACTCACCACTCTGGAAGGCGCCGGCAACGGGCTGTTGCCATCGAGAGGATGGACCGACGATCTCTGTTACGGAACGGGTACCGTGTACGTTCTAGGACTGGGTCTTGGAGGTATCCGTGGATTAAACGAGGGTTTGAAAAATCTGCCACAGGGAAGGATGGACCCTGTGACAAACCAGCTCAGGCCAGTTCCCTTCAAGCTCAAATTGAACACAGTTTTGAATCAGGTCACCAAGTTTGGCCCCCACATGGGTAACAATGCCGGTGTTCTGGCTATTATGTACAACCTGATTGACTCTTCTCTGGACAACATTAGAAACAAGCACGATGACCTCAACTCGCTGGCTGCTGGCTTTTTGAGTGGCGCTCTCTTCAGAAGCAGCAAAGGTCTCAAACCTATGGGGTATTCGGCTGGTGCAATGACCTTGGTGGCCGCAGCATGGTGTGGACTCAAACGAGTGATCAATTGACGAATAACGATTATAGATGACGGGTCATAGATGTATATATGCGAACTGTGCGAGAATTCAGATTTGCGACGGCAGAGGCAGACGCCAGGTGCTGCCCCACGAGCTCACAATTAGACAGTAGTGTCTGTTGATGAGGTTGAGCTCCTCTAGCTCGTCCAGCAGCTCCAGACGGTTGATAGCGGCCAGCTCGTCCTCTGGTATCCAATGGCTGTATATGTAGCTTAGGTCAGACACGTTAGTGGACTCGAAACCGAGCTTTTGCAGTCGCTCGTGCTGCTTTTCGATTGTGGAGTATTTCAGCAGCGACGGCATCTGGATTCCGCGCATCGAGAGGTTTTTCAGCATGATCTCGCCGTAGTGGCCTGGCGAGTTGCCGCCTATCGGGTCGTACACAACAAGCACGGCCTCAGCGAGGTTTTCGCGCAGAAATTGCAAAACTCGATCGCTTTCGACGTCCTCCATGTAGCACACACAGCACTCGCTCAGAACCAGAGTAGGCAATGACGGATCGACTGCTGGCAATTGTGTCATGGAACGGAGTTGGCGTAGGTCGAGTGGAGCCAGATGGTACCGAGGCGTGTCCAGCGCTGCCGAAGAGGCATTAAATTGCTCAACTGTGGTGGGTTCGGGCTCTGGTTGTGCACCAACTACAGACCTCAGCAGTTCTTGGTCTAGGATACTGTACTTTTTTATTCTGCACGTTTCTTCGAAATCGATCTCGACCACAGTCAAATTGCTATTGTTTTCAAGCAGCCTCATGCCCCTCGTGTCGCTCCCGCAGCCAAGAATAATGATTTGCACCGGTGTGGCGGCTTTTGCAGCTAGCCATTTATCCAGCACAAGGTCGATGGCACGGGTCCGTATCCAAGTTCCGCGGTTGATCACGGGGGACTTGAGCACGACCGGCAGTTTAGAGGTCAGCTTGGCCTTGCCGGACCCATCAAAAAGGCCGAAGAACTGTTTACTCAACTGTCGTCTCACAGCCAACCGTTTGTATTCAGAGTCAATTGCCAGCAGTTGGTATTTAAGGGTCCCGCTTATAATAGCCTCAAGGTACTTATCCTGCAGATACCTCTTTAGGTGACACGAAAATCTGCATGCGAGGGCGTCGTAGTCGGTCGACCTGGTGATCTGATCTTGTTGGAGCATTATTTGTGATAAAAAAATTAAAAAATAGGGTCTCGGGTGTATAGGTGTGGACCTTGAGGTGCACGGCGTAAATTTTTCCGTAAAGTGTGGAGTTCGAAAAATGCAACGAATTGTGTCAAAAATCATGTGTCTCTGAAAAATAGAATCTGGCGTATCTGTCGTCCGACGAGCCATTTTATTGCCAAATGGCTTCCAGATAAGCGCGGTGGCGTCCCTGGCGTAGCCAAGACCAGGCGGTCTGCACTTCGCAGAAAACCCGCCTTGCACACTCACCTCCACTGCCGCTCCCAATTCTGTGGCAGCAGCCACATCAAGGCTGTGCTCTAAGCGTATGGAACGCTTTCGATCAAGATTTTGCAACCAGCGCCACTGTTCGGAGATATATAAGACGCCGTCTAGATCTAGTACGTACAGACCTATGACAAGTATGGCGAAAGACGACTCAGTCATTGTTTCGAATGAGAGCGCAAATTTTTCGGATGAGAGCCTAGATCTGGTCGACGCTCCAAATCCATTCTTGGATCCTGCCATCGAGCGCAAATTCAGACAGATCTACGAGGAGAGCCAGTACGAGTGTCGTCACCGGCTGGATCCGGAGTTCACCTGGACGAAGAAAGAGGAGCGCAAAGTTCTGTGGAAGCTCGAATACCGCGTCACTTTCCTCGCGTGCTTCATGTTTGCTGCCTTGCAGATCGACAGAGGTAACTTGGCCCAGGCTGTGTCGGACAACCTGCTGGACGACCTCAACCTCACCACGAACCAGTACAACACTGGTAACACCATATTCTACCTGTGTTTCTTGTCCATGGAGCTGCCATCGCAGCTGATCTCCAAGAGACTGGGTGCAGACGTCTGGATTCCTCTCCAGATGTGTGCGTGGTCCATCGTCACCATCTGCCAGTTCTGGCTCAAGGGCAAGCACAGCTTCTACGCCTGTCGTGCTCTCTTGGGAATTTTCGAGGGAGGATTCATCCCAGACCTGGTCCTGTGGATGTCCTATTTTTTCACTGCCAGCGAGCTTTCCATCAGACTGAGTTTGTTCTGGACCAGTTTGTCGCTGTCGCAGATTATTTCCGCGTTCGAGGCCTACGGACTGCTCCACTTGCGTGGCCACGCCGGAAAGGGCGGCTGGGCATGGCTGTTCATGGTGGAAGGTCTGTCGACGCTCGCCATTGGAATAGTTTCGTGGTTCCTGATGGTTCCTAGTGCTGTGCAGACGAAAAAGCCGTGGAACAAAAAGGGATGGTTCACCGAAAGAGAGGAGAAGATCGTGGTGAACAGAATCCTCAGAGACGACCCTACCAAGGGCGACATGCACAACCGTCAAGGACTGACGCTCAAGATGATCTGGACCGCTCTGATGGACTACAACCTGTGGCCGATTTACTTTATCGGTCTGATTGCGTACATCCCCGTCAACACTGTCACCGCGTACCTGACCCTGGTGTTGAAGAGCTCTGGATTCGGCACGTTCGATGTCAACCTGCTCACGATTCCCTACAACGTGCTCCACATTATTTTGCTGCTGCTGATCACGTGGTTTTCCGAGAAAATCAACGAGCGACTGCTGCTTTCGCTGGTGCAACCAATCTACTCGGTTCCGTTGATAGGAATTTTGCGTTGGTGGAGCGGCTCGCTGGACAACAAATGGGGCACATTCGCCGTCACTACGTTGCTTCTCGGTGTGCCTTACATTCATGCAATGATGGTGTCGTTATGTTCGCGAAACTCCCAATCGATCAAGACTAGAACCGTCTCTGCGTCGCTGTACAATATGTTTGTGCAGGCGGGATCCATTGTGGCGTCCAACATCTACAGGACCCCGGATAAGCCGTACTACCGCACGGGTAACACGGTGCTGTTCTGGATCTCGTTCCTGATGATCCCGACCCTGCTGCTGTCAAAGCTGTACTATGTGTACCAAAATAGGAAGAGGGACAGGATCTGGCAGGCGATGTCCGAAAAGGAAAGAGAGGATTACATTCTCAACTCGCAGGATGAGGGTTCGGCAAAACTGACGTTCCGGTTCGCCCACTAAATAGAAATAGAATATCAATCCGTCGAGTTTCTCCGTGACGTCAAGTAGAGTACATGTATATTGCTGTTGAATTTTGTCTGTTGAACGGTGCCGGGTGTGTCCAACAAAATAAAAAAATTTGTCGGGCAGCGCAGCTCAATAAGCCTACGCGTAGCGAGCGAGCGCAGTGCGCAGAAAATATTTTGATTTAAATTAGACGTCTATGTCTTGTTGAGAGAGCTCAAGAAGAAAGGTGTTTGGATTACGGTAAGTAAAGAGAGGTGGAGAAAGGACCGGGCACAACCAGGGCGGCGAACGACCATGCGGGTGTCTAATTGGGGCGAATTGGCATCCGGGGGGTGAATCTGTTTAGCACAAGATACTGGACTGAGACTCCCGCTGTCTCGCAAGATCGTGTCTAGAATGCTCTTGTGGGCTGGCACAGAAATGCTCGACCACCTTACAGGGACCTGTTTGCCTGGCAAATTTCTGTCTAAACGACAGCCCTGTCCCCCGGCCGTGCTGTGTTTTTCTTCCACCCCATAGAATATATTTTCCATGACTAATGCTCAGATTATTTAGGCTCTCTAAATTCGCTACTCGACCCTTAGCAACGATGACAGCCTCATACAAACAAAAGCACGCCACTCTTCCCAAGCATTTCTTGGGACTTAATTCCGTCGAAGTCGCCGAGCCCTCTGAGGTGAAGGACTTTGTCGTCAAACACGAAGGACACACAGTTATTCAGAAAGTGCTGATTGCCAACAATGGTATTGCAGCCGTGAAAGAGATCCGCTCGGTGAGAAAATGGGCCTACGAGACGTTTGGCAACGAAAGAGCCATCCAATTCGTCGCCATGGCCACTCCCGAGGACCTCGACTCTAATGCCGATTACGTCAGAATGGCCGACCAATACGTCGAGGTTCCTGGAGGAACCAACAACAACAACCACGCCAATGTGGACCTGATTGTTGAAATTGCAGAGAGAACCAAAGTGGACGCTGTCTGGGCAGGTTGGGGACACGCGTCCGAGAACCCAGAGCTGCCTGAAAAACTGGCCGCGTCTCCGCGCAAGATCGTCTTTATTGGTCCGCCAGGGTCCGCCATGAGATCGCTAGGAGACAAGATTTCCTCGACGATTGTGGCCCAGCATGCCAAGGTGCCGTGTATTCCATGGTCTGGAACCGGCGTCGACAAGGTCACCGTCGACGAGAACGGAATCGTGTCTGTGGACCCAGAAACCTACGCCAAGGGATGCTGTGAGGGCCCCGAGGACGGTCTTCGAAAGGCCAAGGAAATCGGGTTCCCCGTCATGATCAAGGCCTCCGAAGGAGGAGGAGGTAAGGGAATCAGAAAGGTCGAGAAGGAGGAAGACTTCATCACCCTGTACCACCAGGCCGCCAGCGAGATCCCAGGATCGCCAATTTTCATCATGCAACTGGCCGGCTCCGCCAGACACCTGGAAGTGCAGCTGTTGGCCGATCAGTACGGAAACAACATCTCGCTCTTTGGCAGAGACTGTTCTGTGCAGAGACGACACCAGAAGGTCATTGAGGAAGCGCCAGTCACGATCGCCAAAGAAGACACGTTCAGACAGATGGAGGCTGCTGCCGTCAGACTGGGTAAACTGGTCGGCTACGTTTCTGCCGGTACGGTCGAGTACCTTTACTCGTACGCCGAGGACAAGTTCTACTTTTTGGAGCTGAATCCGAGATTGCAAGTCGAACACCCAACCACCGAGATGGTTTCCGGCGTGAATCTGCCTGCCACGCAGCTGCAGATCGCCATGGGTATTCCTCTGCACAGAATCAGGGACATTCGTCTTTTCTACGGAGCAGACCCTCACACCGCCACAGAGATCGACTTTGAGTTCAAGAGCGAGAACAGCGTGACGTCGCAGCGCCGTCCTATCCCCAAGGGCCACTGTACTGCGTGCCGTATCACCTCGGAAGACCCTAGCGAGGGATTCAAGCCGTCGAGCGGTACGTTGCACGAGCTGAACTTCCGGTCCTCGTCCAACGTCTGGGGCTACTTCTCGGTCAGCAACCAGTCCTCGATCCACTCTTTCTCCGACACGCAGTTCGGCCACATCTTTGCGTTTGGAGAAAACAGACAGGCGTCGAGAAAACACATGGTGGTTGCACTGAAAGAGCTGAGTATCAGAGGTGATTTCAAGACCACCGTCGAGTACCTGATCAAGCTGCTCGAGTCGCCCGATTTCGAGGACAATACCATCACCACAGGATGGCTGGACGAGCTGATCAGCAAGAGACTCACCTCAGAGAGACCAGACCCTCATGTTGCCGTGATCTGCGGTGCCGTCACCAAGGCGCACCAGGCGTGCGAGGAAAACAAGAAGGAGTACATTGCCTGCCTTGAGAAGGGACAGGTGCCGGCTAAGGAGCTGCTCAAGACCATCTTCAACGTCGACTTCATCTACGAGGGCCAGAAGTACACTTTCACGTGTGCCAAGGCCGCAGAGGACATGTTCAGCCTGTTCATCAACGGCTCCAGATGCGTGACGAAGGTCAAGGCTCTGGCCGACGGGGGTCTGTTGGTTGCTCTGAGCGGCAAGTCGCACTCTGTCTACTGGAAAGAGGAGGTCGGGGCCACCAGAATCTCCGTGGACGGCAAAACTTGCCTGCTGGAGGACGAGAATGACCCTACCCAGCTCAGAACTCCGTCTCCAGGTAAGCTTGTCAGATACCTGGTGGAGAACGGCGGGCACGTGACTGCAGGCAAGCCGTTTGCCGAGGTTGAGGTGATGAAGATGTTCATGCCGCTGGTTGCGCAGGAGAACGGTGTTGTGCAGCTGTTGAAGCAGCCGGGCTCTACTCTTGCTGCGGGCGACATCCTGGCCATCTTGTCCTTGGACGATCCGTCTAGAGTGAAGCATGCTCTGCCGTACGACGGCACTCTTCCGGACCTGGGCGATCCTATCGTTATTGGCACTAGACCCGTGCACAAGTACCAGAAGCTGCTG